TTCTCATGGTGTCCTCAGTGTCCTCAAGGTGTCACCGGGGTCAGATCAGTGTTCCCGTGGTGTCACCACGTTCACATCATTGTCCCCATGGCGTCACCAGGGTCAGATCAGTGTTCCCATAGTGTCACCAGGGTCACCAAGGTGTCACCGGGGTGTCACCGGGGTGTCACCATGGTGTCCTCAGTGTCCCCAAGGTATCACCAGGGTCATCAAGGTGTCCCCATGGTGTCCCCCCAAAATCCCCGTGTTTTCCCTCAAACTCCATATCCTGACCCCAAAACCCCATTTTTCCCCCCAAAATCCCATTTTTTTTCCCCCTAAAATCTCATTTTTTCCCCCAAAATCCCATTTTTTTGACCCAAAAAATCCCTATTTTTTTCCCCAAAATCCCCGTGTTTTCCCTCAAACTCCATTTCCTGACCCGAAAATCCCATTTTCCCCCAAAATTCCCATTTTTCCCGCCCAAAATCCCATTTTTTTCCCCTAAAATCCCATTTTCCCCCCCAAAATCCCATTTTTTCCCCCCAAGAATCCCATTTTTCCCCCCCAAAATCCCATTTTTCCCCCCAAAATCCCATTTTTTTCCCCCAAAATCCCATTTTTCCCCCCAAGAATCCCATTTTTTCCCCCAAAATCCCATTTTTCCCCCCAAGAATCCCATTTTTTCCCCCAAAATCCCATTTTTCCCCCCAAAACCCCATTTTCCCCTTCCAAAATCCCATTTTTTCCCCCCAAAAATCCCTGTTTTTTCCCCAAAATCCCTTTTTTTTTCCCCAAAATCCCATTTTTCCTCAAAAAATCCCATTTTTTTCCCCCAAAATCCCATTTTTTTCCCCCAAAATCCCATTTTTTTGACCCAAAATCCCATTTTTTTCCCCCAAAAATCCCATTTTTCCCCCCAGGCACTGTAACATGGTGCTGGAGAACGTCAAGGAGATGTGGACGGAGGTGCCCAAGAGCGGCAAGGGCAAGAAGAAGTCCAAGCCGGTCAACAAGGACCGCTACATCTCCAAGATGTTCCTGCGCGGCGACTCCGTCATCGTGGTGCTGCGCAACCCCCTCATCGCCGGGAAGTGATGGGAACGTCCTTCTGGAACCTTCCAGAACCTTCCAGGTCCTCCAGGAACCGTCTGGAACCTTCCAGAACCGTCTAGAACCTTCCAGATCCTCCTGGATCCCCTCAGAACCATCCCAGAGCAACCCCCTCATCGCCGGGAAGTGATGGGAACGTCCTTCTGGAACCTTCCAGAACCTTCCAGGTCCTCCAGGAACCTTCCAGATCCTCCAGGAACTTCCCAGATCCTCCTGGAACCTTCCAGATCCTCCTGGAACCTTCCAGAACCTCCTGAAACCATCCCAGATCCTCCTGAAACCTCCTGAAACCATCCCAGATCCTCCTGAAACCTCCTGAAACCTTCTCAGATCCTCCTGGAACCATCACAGATCCCTCAGAACCATCCCAGATCCTCATGGAACCTTCCGGGACCTTCCAGATCCTCCAGGAACTTCCCAGATCCTCCTGGAACCTTCCAGAACCTTCCAGATCCTCCTGGAACCTTCCAGATCCTCCTGGAACCTTCCAGATCCTCCTCAGAACCATCCCAGAGCAACCCCCTCATCGCCGGGAAGTGATGGGAACGTCCTTCTGGAACCTTCCGGAACCTTCCAGGTCCTCTTGGAACCTTCTGGAACCATCCCAGATCCTCCTGGAACCTTCCAGAACCTCCTGGAACCTTCCAGATCCTCCTGGAACCTTCCTAGATCCTCCTGGAACCATCAGAGATCCCTCAGAACCATCCAAGATCCTCCTGGAACCATCTGGAACCATCCCAGATCCTCCTGGAACCTTCCGGGACCTTCCAGCTCCTCCAGGAACTTCCCAGAACCATCCCAGATCCTCCTGGAACCGTCTGGAACCTTCCAGATCCTCCTCAGAACCATCCCAGAGCAACCCCCCGATCGCCGGGAAGTGATGGGAACGTCCTTCTGGAACCTTCCAGAACCTTCCAGATCCTCCAGGAACTTCCCAGATCCTCCTGGAACCTTCCAGATCCTCCTGGAACCTTCCAGAACCTTCCAGATCATCCCAGATCCTCCTGGAACCTTCTGGAACCTTCCAGAACCTTCCAGAACCTTCCAGATCCTCCTGGAACCTTCCAGATCCTCCTCAGAACCATCCCAGAGCAACCCCCTCATCGCCGGGAAGTGATGGGAACGTCCTTCTGGAACCTTCCAGAACCTTCCAGGTCCTCCTGGAACCTTCCAGATCCTCCTGGAACCTCCCAGATCCTCCTGGAACCATCACAGATCCCTCAGAACCATCCCAGATCCTCCTGGAACCTTCCAGAAACTTCCAGATCCTCCCAGAACCATCCCAGATCCTCCTGGAACCTTCCAGATCCTCTTGGAATGTCCTGGAACCATCCCAGATCCTCCTGGAACCTTCCAGAACCTTCTGGAACCATCCCAGATCCTCCAGAAACCTTCCAGAACCTTCCAGATCCTCCCAGAACCGTCCCAGATCCTCCTGGAACCATCTGGAACCATCTGGAACCTTCCAGATCCACCTGGAACCATCCCAGATCCTCCTGGAACCTTCCAGAACCTTCCAGATCCTCCTAGAACCTTCCAGATCCTCCTCAGAACCATCCCAGAGCAACCCCCTCATCGCCGGGAAGTGATGGGAACGTCCTTCTGGAACCTTCCAGAACCTTCCAGGTCCTCCTGGAACCTTCCAGAACCATCCCAGATCCTCCTGGAACCTTCCAGATCCTCCTCAGAACCATCCCAGAGCAACCCCCTGATCGCCGGGAAGTGATGGGAACGTCCTTCTGGAACCTTCCAGAACCTTCCAGGTCCTCCAGGAACCTTCCAGATCCTCCTCAGAACCATCCCAGAGCAACCCCCTCATCGCCGGGAAGTGATGGGAACGTCCTTCTGGAACCTTCTGGAACCATCCCAGATCCTCCAGGAACCTTCCAGAACCATCCCAGATCCTCCTGGAACCTTCTAGATCCTCCTGGAACCTTCCAGATCCTCCTGGAACCTTCCAGAACCATCCCAGATCCTCCTGGAACCTTCCAGAACCTCCTGGAATGTCCTGGAACCATCCCAGATCCTCAAGAAACCTTCCAGAACCTTCCCAGAACCTTCTGAAACCTTCCAGAACCTTCTGGAACCATCCCAGATCCTCTTGGAATGTCCTGGAACCATCCCAGATCCTCCTGGAACCTTCTGGAACCATCCCAGATCCTCCAGGAACCTTCCAGAACCTTCCCAGAACCTCCTGGAAGCATCACAGATCCCTCAGAACCATCCCAGATCCTCCTGGAACCTTCAAGAACCTCCTGGAACCTTCTGGAACCTTCCCAGATCCTCCTGGAACCATCACAGATCCCTCAGAACCTTCTCAGATCCTCCTGGAACCTTCTGGAATCTTCTAGATCCTCTTGGAATGTCCTGGAACCATCACAGATCCTCCAGGAACCTTCCAGAACCTTATTTTGGGGGGTTTTGAGGAATTTTGGGGTTTCGGAAGATTTTGGGGGATTTTGGGCGGTTTTTGGATTTTGGGCGGTTTTTGGGGTTTTGGGATTTTTGTGGATTTTGGGAGGATTTTGGGGTTTTGGAGGATTTGGGGGATTTTGAGGTTTTTGGGGGTTTTTGGAGGATTTTGGGGTTTTGGGGAAATTTTTGGGTTTTGGAGGAATTTTGGGGTTTTTGGAAGATTTTGAGGTTTTTGGAGGATTTGGGGGTTTTTGGAGGATTTTGGGGTTTTGGAGGATTTGGGAGGTTTTTGGAGGATTTTGAGTTTTTTGGAGGATTTTGAGTTTTTTGGAGGATTTGGGGGTTTTTGGAGGATTTTGAGGTTTTGGAGGATTTGGGGGTTTTTTGAAGATTTTGGTGTTTTGGATTTTTTGTGGATTTTGGGGTTTTGGGGAAATTTGGGGGTTTTGGAGGAATTGGGGGTTTTTGGAGGATTTTGAGGTTTTGGGGTTTTGGATTTTTTGTGGATTTGGGGGTTTTGGGGGAATTTGGGGGTTTTTGGAGGATTTTGAGTTTTTTGGAGGATTTGGGGGTTTTTGGAGGATTTTGATGTTTTTGGGGGATTTTGGGGTTTTGGGTTTTTTGCAGATTTTGGGAGGATTTTGGGGGTTTGGAGTAATTTTGGGGTTTTGGGGGAATTTTTGGGTTTTGGAGGATTTTGGGGTTTCTGGAGGATTTTGAGGTTTTGGGGTATTTTGGGGTTTTGGATTTTTTGTGGATTTTGGGGGACTTTGGAGGTTTTGGAGGAATTTGGGGGTTTTGGTTTTTTATGGATTTTGGGGTTTTGGAGGATTTTGGAGTTTGGAGATTTTTGTGGATTTTGGGGTTTTGGGGGAATTTGGGGTTTGGAGGATTTTGGGGTTTTTTGGAGGATTTTGGGGAGGATTTCGGGCTTGTCCCCCCCAATAAATTCCACTTTGGCGCCGCTGTCACCCCCCGGTGTCCCCAAATTTGTCCCCAAAAAAATGACAAAAAACCCCCCCGGGAGCATCCAAAGGTTTTTATTCCCAAAAAATTCCCAAAAAATTCCCAAAAAAGGGGGCGGGGCCACCGCGGGAGGGGGAGGGGCCAGCGAAGGGGCGTGTCCCGAATTTGGGGAGGGGTCGGGGGGGGTCGGGACCCCCCCTCAGATTTTCTTCCGCTGCGGCCGAACCCTCGGGAAGAGCTGAAAATAACCCAAATCTTTAAAATAACCCCAGAAAATAACCCAAATCTTTAAAAAAAAAATCACAATTCCATAAAAAAAACAAATCCCAAAAAAAATCCCCAATAACGAAACCAAACCCTAAAAAAAATCCCAAAAAATATCCCAACTGCCCCAAAAAAAAAACATCAAACACAAAAAATAAACCAAACACCCCCAAAAAATCTCAATCCCAAAAAAATTCCAATTCCCAAAAAAAACACAACCACCCCAAAAAAATCAACTATCCCAAAAAAACCACAATCCCAAAAAATAAATGCTGAAAAAAACCCAATTTCCCAAAAAAACCCAACCACCCCAAAAAATTCAATCCCAAAAAAAACCACAATCCCAAAAAATAAATGCTGAAAAAACCCAACTACCCCAAAAAAACCCATCCCCAAAAAAAACCTAATCCCCCAAAAAAAAACCTCAAAAAAAGCCAATCCCGAAAAAAAAAACCCCAAATCGCAAAAAAACCCAAATCCCAAAAAAACCCAAATCCCCCAAAAAACCCCAAAAAATCCAACCCCGAAAAACTCCAAACCCAAAGAACCCCAAAAATCCCAGTCAAACCCCAAAAAAAGCCAAAATCCCAAAAAACTCAAACCCAAAAAACCAGAAACCCTAAAAACCCAAATCCCAAAAAAACAAAATCCCAAAAAAACCCAAACCCCCCAAAAAATACCCCCCAAAAAATCCCAAAAAAATGAAATCCCAAAAAAACAAAATCCTAAAAAACCCAAACCCCCCAAAAAATACCTCAAAAAACCCCAAAAAAGCCAATCCAAAAATAAACAATCCCAAAAAAAAAACCCCAAACCCCCCAAAAAATCCCAAAACACCCCCATGGGACCCCTCCCCAATGGCTTTTCCCCCCACAGGACCCCTCCCCAAATGGATTCATCCCTATTTATCCCCCATGGGACCCCTCCCCAATGACTTTTCCCCCCACAGGACCCCTCCCCAAATGGATTCAGCCCTATTTACCCATATGGGACCCCTCCCCAAATAGATTTACCCCAATGGGACCCCTCCCCAATGACTTTACCCCCCACGGGACCCCTCCCCAAATGGATTTACCCCCCACGGGACCCCTCCCCAGTTGATTTACCCCCCACGAGACCCCTCCCCAAATGGATTTTCCCCTATGGGACCCCTCCCCAAATGGATTTACCCCCCACGGGACCCCTCCCCAAATGGAATCAGCCCTATTTATCCCCCTGGGACCCCCTCCCCAATGACTTTGCCCCCCATGGGACCCCTCCCCAATGGCTTTACCCCCCATGGGACCCCTCCCCAGTTGATTTAATCCCCTATGGGACCCCTCCCCAAATGGATTCAGCCCTATTTACCCCCCACAGGACCCCTCCCCAAATGGAATCAGCCCTATTTACCCATGTGGGACCCCTCCCCAATGACTTTACCCCCCACAGGACCCCTCCCCAATGACTTTACCCCACCCGGGACCCCTCCCCAGAGCCCCCCCGGCCCCCCCTCACCCCGAAGTAGTTCCGGGGGACGTATCCCTCGTGGCCGTAGAGGGACCCCCACCACCAGTCGAGCTCCTCGGGGGGCTGCCGGCGCAGCACCGTCACCGGTTCCCCCTCGCGGAACGAGAGCTCGTCCCCGAGCTCGGCGCTGTAATCCCAGAGCGCGTACACCACGCCGCTGTTCAGCACCCCCATGCCCTGCTCCACCTCTGGGGGGACCCCAAAATCCGCATTGGCACCCCAAAATCCGCATTGGCACCCCAAAACTGCCCCAGTACCCAAATAACCCCAAATATCCCCAAATATCCCCAAATATCCCCACCCGACACCACGCCACTGTTCAGCACCCCCATGCCCTGCTCCACCTCTGCGGGCACCCCAAAATCCGCATTGGCACCCCAAAATCCGCATTGGCACCCCAAAACTGCCCCGAGACCCCCAAACCAACCTAGTGCCCAAAAATATCCAAATATCCCCAAATATCCCCAAATAACCCCAAATATCCCCAAATATCCCCAAATATCCCCACCCGACACCACGCCGCTGTTCAGCACCCCCATGCCCTGCTCCACCTCTGCGGGCACCCCAAAATCCGCATTGGCACCCCAAAATCCGCATTGGCACCCCAAAACTGCCCCGAGACCCCAAAACTGCCCCGAGACCCCCAAAACTGCCCCAGTGCCCAAAAACATCCAAATAACCCCAAATATCCCCAAATATCCCCACCCGACACCACGCCGCTGTTCAGCACCCCCATGCCCTGCTCCACCTCTGCGGGGACCCCAAAATCCGCATTGGCACCCCAAAATCCGGATTGGCACCCCAAAACTGCCCCGGTACCCAAAAACATCCAAATAACCCGAAATATCCCCAAATAACCCCAAATAACCCCAAATATCCCCACCCGACACCACGCCGCTGTTCAGCACCCCCATGCCCTGCTCCACCTCTGCGGGGACCCCAAAATCCGCATTGGCACCCCAAAATCCGCATTGGCACCCCAAAACTGCCCCGGTACCCAAATAACCCCAAATAACCCCAAATAACCCCAAATATCCCCACCCGACACCACGCCGCTGTTCAGCACCCCCATGCCCTGCTCCACCTCTGCGGGCACCCCAAAATCCGCATTAGCACCCCAAAACTGCCCCGAGACCCCCAAACTGCCCCAGTGCCCAAAAACATCCAAATAACCCCAAATATCCCCAAATATCCCCACCCGACACCACGCCGCTGTTCAGCACCCCCATGCCCTGCTCCACCTCTGCGGGCACCCCAAAATCCGCATTGGCACCCCAAAATCCGCATTGGCACCCCAAAACTGCCCCGAGACCCCCAAACCGACCCGGTACCCAAATAACCCCAAATATCTCCAAATGTCCCCAAATATCCCCAAATAAATGTCCCCAAATATCCCCCAAATAACCCCAAATACCCCCAAATAAATGTCCCCAAATGTCCCCAAATGTCCCCAAATAAATGTCCCCAAATGTCCCCAAATATCCCCCAATAAATGTCCCCAAATATCCCCAAATAAATGTCCCCAAATGTCCCCAAATAAATGTCCCCAAATATCCCCAAATAAATGTCCCCAAATATCCCCAAATAAATGTCCCCAAATGTCCCCAAATATCCCCAAATAAATGTCCCCAAATATCTCCAAATATCCCCAAAAAAATGTCCCCAAATTTCCCCAAATATCCCCCAATAAATGTCCCCAAATATCCCCCAAATATCCCCAAATAAATGTCCCCAAATGTCCCCCAAATATCTCCAAATATTCCCAAAAAAATGTCCCCAAATATCCCCAAATAAATGTCCCCAAATATCCCCAAATATCCCCAAATGTCCCCAAATGTCCCCCAAATATCTCCAAATATTCCCAAAAAAATGTCCCCAAATATCCCCAAATAAATGTCCCCAAATATCCCCAAATATCTCCAAATAAATGTCCCCAAATTTCCCCAAATATCCCCAATGTCCCCAAATATCCCCAAATATCCCCAAATAAATGTCCCCAAATATCCCCAAATATCCCCAAATAAATGTCCCCAAATATCCCCAAATATCCCCAAAAAATGTCCCCAAATGTCCCCCAAATATCCCCAAAAAATGTCCCCAAATGTCCCCCAAATATCCCCAAATAAATGTCCCCAAATATCCCCCAAATATCCCCAAATAAATGTCCCCAAATATCCCCAAAACTCCACATTCCCAGTGCTCCCAGTCCCTCCCAGTTCCCTCCCAGTGCTCCCAGTGCTCCCAGTGCTCCCAGTTCAGACCAGTGAGGCAGATGGAGCAGTCAGGGGTCAATGTAAACCTCCAGTATCCCCAATATCCCATCCCAGTATCCCCAATATCCCATCCCAGTATCCCCAGTACCCCCAGAACCCCACACCCCCAGTCCCTCCCAGTGCTCCCAGTCCCTCCCAGTCCCTCCCAGTGCTCCCAGTCCCTCCCAGTCCCTCCCAGTGCTCCCAGTCCCTCCCAGTGCTCCCAGTTCAGACCAGTGAGGCAGCTGCAGCAGTCAGGGGTCACCATAAACCCTCAGTATCCAATCCCAGTATCCCCAGTATCCCATCCCAGTACCCCCATAACCCCACATCCCCCATATCCCCAGTCCCTCCCAGTCCCTCCCAGTCCCTCCCAGTGCTCCCAGTGCTCCCAGTGCTCCCAGTTCAGACCAGTGAGGCAGCTGCAGCAGTCAGGGATCACCATAAACAGCCAGTATCCCATCCCAGTATCCCCAGTATCCAATCCCAGTACCCCCAGTACCCCCAAAACCCCACATCCCCACCATTCCCAGTCTCTCCCAGTGCTCCCAGTCCCTCCCAGTCCATCCCAGTTCAGACCGGTGATGTAGCTGGAGCAGTCAGGGGTCAATGTAAACCTCCAGTATCCCCAGTTCCCAATCCCAGTACCCCCAGTATCCCATCCCAATATCCCCAGTACCCCCAGAACCCCACACTCCCAGTCCCTCCCAGTGCTCCCAGTCCATCCCAGTTCAGACCGGTGATGTAGCTGCAGCAGTCAGGGGTCAATGTAAACCCCCAATATCCCATCCCAGTATCCCCAGTATCCCATCCCAGTAACCCCAGAACCGCACACCCCCACCACTCCCAGTGCTCCCAGTGCTCCCAGTTCAGACCAGTGAGGCCGATGGAGCAGTCAGGGGTCAATGTAAACCTCCAGTATCCCATCCCAGTATCCCCAGTATCTCCAGAACCCCACACTCCCAGTCCATCCCAGTCCCTCCCAGTGCTCCCAGTGCTCCCAGTCCATCCCAGTTCAGACCAGTGAGGTAGCTGCAGCAGTCGGCGTAGCCCTCGCGGTACGGGTCACACCATCAACCCCCAATAACCCATCCCAGTATCCCATCCCAGTACCCCCAGAGCCCCACATCCCCCATATCCCCCATCACTCCCAGTCCCTCCCAGTGCTCCCAGTCCATCCCAGTCCATCCCAGTCCCTCCCAGTGCTCCCAGTTCAGACCAGTGAGGCAGATGGAGCAGTCAGGGGTCAATGTAAACCTCCAGTATCCCCAGTTCCCATCCCAGTATCCCCAGTACCCCCAGAACCCCACACCCCCAGTCCATCCCAGTGCTCCCAGTGCTCCCAGTCCATCCCAGTTCAGACCAGTGAGGTAGCTGCAGCAGTCGGCGTAGCCCTCGCGGTACGGGTCGCATTTCTCCACCGCCATGCTGCCGTCGCTGGCCGTGGTGGCGAAGACGGCGGCGCCGTGCCGCACCAGCGCCACGCACACGCCGGTGTCGTTGCACGAGGCCGCGCAGTGCAGGGGGGTCCTGCACCCCAAATTCGGGGGTTGGACCCCAAAAATTGGGGGATCGCCCTCAGGGTTTGGGGGATTGGTCCTTCCATCACCCACCCCCCAAAAAATGGGGTGTTTGTGGGGTGTGGAGGGGTTTGGTTACAGGTGGTTTGGGGGATTGAGGGTTTGGGAGTTTTGGGGTCACTGAGGGTTTGGGGTCACTGAGGGTTTGGGGGATTGAGGGTTGGGGGAGTTTTGGGGTCACCAAGGGTTGGGGGTTTTGGGGTCACCAAGGGTTGGGGAGAGTTGGGGTCACTGAGGGTTTGGGGGCGTTTGGGGGGGTTTTGGGGTCACTGAGGGTTTGGGGAGTTTTGGGGTCACTGAGGGTTTGGGGTCACTGTGGGTTTGGGGCTTATTTGGGTCAGTGAGGGTTTGGGGGACATTGGGGGTTTTGGGGTCACTGAGGGTTTGGGGGCGTTTGGGGGGGTTTGGGGTCACTGAGGGTTTGGGGGTCACTGAGGGTTTGGGGTCACTGAGGGTTTGGGGGACATTGGGGGGGTTTTGGGGTCACTGAGGGTTTGGGGAACATTGGGGGAGTTTTGGGGTCACTGAGGGTTTGGGGGACATTGGGGGGGTTTGGGGTCACTTTGGGTTTGGGGAGTTTTGGGGTCACTGAAGGTTTGGGGGCGTTTGGGGGGTTTTGGGGTCACTGAGGGTTTGGGGAGTTTTGGGGTCACCAAGGGTTGGGGGAGTTTTGGGGTCACCGAGGGTTTGGGGGCGTTTGGGGGGTTGTGGGGTCACTGAGGGTGTCGGGGTCCCATCCCCCCATGTCCCCCCATGTCCCCATTGTCCCCCCATTGTCCCCATGTCCCCCCATGTCCCCCCATGTCCCCATGTCCCCATTGTCCCCCCATGTCCCCATTATCCCCATATCCCCATGTCCCCATGTCCCCCATATCCCCCCATGTCCCCATTGTCCCCGTGTCCCCCCCATGTCCCCATTGTCCCCCCATGTCCCCATATCCTCCCATGTCCCCATTGTCCCCCATGTCCCTATTGTCCCCATATCCCCCATGTCCCCCATGTCCCCATTATCCCCATTGTCCCCATTGTCCCCCCATATCCCCCCATTGTCCCCATGTCCCCATTGTCCCCATGTCCCCCCATGTCCCCCCATGTCCCCATTGTCCCTATATCCCCATTGTCCCCATGTCCCCATTGTCCCCCATGTCCCCATTATCCCCCATTGTCCCCATGTCCCCATTGTCCCCATATCCCCCATGTCCCCCCATGTCCCCATTGTCCCCATGTCCCCCATGTCCCCATATCCCCCATTGTCCCCATTATCCCCATGTCCCCATTGTCCCCATTATCCCCATGTCCCCACTGTCCCCACGATGTCGCACCACCCGTGGCTGTCGGGGGAGTTGACGTTGGCCCCGCTGGCGATCAGGAACTCCACGATGCCGTAGTTGGCGCCGCAGATGGCGTTGTGCAGCGCCGTGATGCCCTCGTCGTTGGGCTGGCTCGGGTCATTCAGCTGGGGACAGCGGCGTGTCCCCCACTGCCACCCGGGACACACCCGGGACAGTGCCGGGGACACACCCGGGACATCCCCGGGACAGCCCCGGGACAGCCCCGGGACACCCCCGATGTCCCCACTGTCACCCAGCCCCGCTGTCCCACACTTCTGTCCCCTCACTGCCACCCGGGACAGCCCCGGGACAGCCCGGGGACACAGCCGGGACAGCCCCGGGACAGCCCCAGAGCAACCCCGATGTCCCCGCTGTCACCCAGCCCCGCTGTCCTACACCTCTGTCCCCTCACTGCCACCCGGGACAGCCCCGGGACACACCCGGGACAGCCCCGGGACAGCCCCGGGACACCCCCGATGTCCCCGCTGCCACCCAGCCCCGCTGTCCTACACCTCTGTCCCCTCACTGCCACCCGGGACAGCCCCGGGGACACACCCGGGACAGCCCGGGGACACAGCCGGGACAGCCCCGGGACAGCCCGGGACAGCCCGGGGACACAGCCGGGACACAGCCGGGACAGCCCCGATGTCCCCGCTCTCACCCAGCCTCGCTGTCCTACACCTCTGTCCCCTCACTGCCACCCGGGACAGCCCCGGGACAGCCTCGGGACACAGCCGGGACACAGCCGGGATAGCCCCGGGGACACAGCCGGGACAGCCCCGATGTCCCCAGTGTCACCCAGCCCCGCTGTCTGCATCCCTGTCCCACACTGCCACTCGGGACAGCCCCGGGACAGCCCGGGACAGTGCCGGGACAGTGCCGGGGACACAGCCGGGACAGCCCCGGGACAGCCCCGATGTCCCCGCTGTCACCCAGCCCCGCTGTCCTACACCCCTGTCCCCTCACTGCCACCCGGGACAGCCCCGGGACACACCCGGGGACACAGCCGGGACAGCCCCGGGACAGCCCCGGGACAGCCCCGATGTCCCCCCCTGTCACCCAGCCCCGCTGTCTGCATCCCTGTCCCCTCACTGCCACCCGGGAGAGCCCCGGGACAGTGCCGGGGACACAACCGGGACACACCCGGGACAGCCCCGGGATAGCCCCGATGTCCCCACTGTCACCCAGCCCCACTGTCCCACACCTCTGTCCCCTCACTGCCACCCGGGACAGCCCGGGGACACACCCGGGACAGCCCCGGGACAGCCCCGATGTCCCCGCTGTCACCCTGCCCCGCTGTCCCACACCTCTGTCCCCTCACTGCCACCCGGGACAGCCCCGGGGACACACCCGGAACAGCCCCGGGACAGCCCCGGGACAGCCCCGATGTCCCCGCTGTCACCCAGCCCCGCTGTCTGCATCCCTGTCCCCTCACTGCCACCCGGGACAGCCCGGGACAGCCCCGGGGACACCCCTGGGACATACCCGGGACAGCCCCGGGACAGCCCCGGGACAGCCCCGATGTCCCCGCTGTCACTCAGCCCCGCTGTCCTACACCCCTGTCCCCTCACTGCCACCCGGGACAGCCCCGGGACAGCCCCGATGTCCCCGCTGTCACCCAGCCCCGCTGTCCCACACCTCTGTCCTCTCACTGCCACCCGGGACAGCCCCGGGACACCCCGGGGACAAACCCGGGACACCCCCGATGTCCCCACTGTCACCCAGCCCCACTGTCCCACACCCCTGTCCCCTCATTGCCACCCGGGACAGCCCCGGGGACAAAGCCGGGACAGCCCCGGGACACCCCCGATGTCCCCGCTGTCACCCAGCCCCGCTGTCCTACACCCTTGTCCCCTCACTGCCACCCGGGACAGCCCCGGGACAGCCCCGATGTCGCCGCTGTCACCCAGCCCCGCTGTCCTACACCCTTGTCCCCTCACTGCCACCCGGGACAGCCCCGGGACACCCCCGATGTCGCCGCTGTCACCCTGCCCCGCTGTCCTACACCTCTGTCCCCTCACTGCCACCCGGGACAGCCCCGGGGACACACCCGGGACACACCCGGGACAGCCCCGATGACCCTCCCCAGTGTCCCCGGTGTCCCCGGTGTCCCCCCTGTCACCTCGGCCACCGCCTGCTGCACCACGTCCAGCTCCCACTGACCCTCCCCAATGTCCCCAATGTCCCCAATGTCCCCAGTGTCACCTCTGCCACCGCCTGCTGCACCACGTCCAGCTCCCACTGACCCTCCCCAATGTCCCCAATGTCCCCAATGTCCCCAGTGTCACCTCTGCCACCGCCTGCTGCACCACGTCCAGGTCCCGCTGACCCTCCCCAGTGTCCCCGGTGTCCCCAATGTCCCCGGTGTCCCCAATGTCCCCGGTGTCCCCAATGTCCCCAATGTCCCCAGTGTCCCCAATGTCCCCAATGTCCCCAATGTCCCCAATGTCACCTCTGCCACCGCCTGCTGCACCACGTCCCGCTCCCACTGACCCTCCCCAGTGTCCCCGGTGTCCCCGGTGTCCCCAATGTCCCCAATGTCACCTCTGCCACCGCCTGCTGCACCACGTCCCGCTCCCGCTGACCCTCCCCAGTGTCCCCATTGTCCCCAGTGTCACCTCTGCCACCGCCTGCTGCACCACGTCCAGCTCCCATTGACCCTCCCCAGTGTCCCCAGTGTCCCCACTGTCCCCAATGTCCCCGGTGTCACCTCGGCCACCGCCTGCTGCACCACGTCCAGCTCCCACTGACCCTCCCCGGTGTCCCCAATGTCCCCAATGTCCCCAATGTCCCCAGTGTCACCTCTGCCACCGCCTGCTGCACCACGTCCAGCTCCCACTGACCCTCCCCAGTGTCCCCAGTGTCCCCGGTGTCCCCGGTGTCCCCAATGTCACCTCTGCCACCGCCTGCTGCACCACGTCCAGCTCCCACTGACCCTCCCCAGTGTCCCCAATGTCCCCAGTGTCACCTCTGCCACCGCCTGCTGCACCACGTCCAGCTCCCGCTGACCCTCCCCAGTGTCCCCAATGTCCCCTGTCCCCGGTGTCCCCAATGTCACCTCGGCCACCGCCTGCTGCACCACGTCCCGCTCCCACTGACCCTCCCCAGTGTCCCCACTGTCCCCTGTCCCCGGTGTCACCTCGGCCACCGCCTGCTGCACCACGTCCAGCTCCCACTGACCCTCCCCAATGTCCCCAATGTCCCCAATGTCCCCAATGTCACCTCTGCCACCGCCTGCTGCACCACGTCCAGCTCCCACTGACCCTCCCCGGTGTCCCCAGTGTCCCCAGTGTCCCCAATGTCCCCAGTGTCACCTCTGCCACCGCCTGCTGCACCACGTCCAGCTCCCCGGTCAGGGCCGCGTCCAGCAGCAGCACCAGCGGGTTCAGCCGCACCCGCGCCCCGGGGCGGCGCCGCGGTGAGGAGGGGTCGCGCAGGGCCGAGCGCAGCTCCTGCGGCAGCGGGAGGGCTCAGGGGACACGGGGACAGCACCGCGGGGGTTGGGGACATCACCCCGGGGGTTGGAGACATCACCTCGGGCACTGGGGACAGCACCGCGGGCATGGGGACATCACCCCGGGCATTGGGGACATCACCCCGGGCATGGGGACATCACCACGGGCATGGGGACATCACCCCGGGACACCCCCAGAGATTGGGACATCACCTCGGACATGGGGACATCACCCCGGAGACTGGGGACATCACCCCGGGCATGGGAACACCACCCCGGGACAGCCCCGGACATTGGGGACATCACCCCGGGACAGCCCTGGGCACTGGGGACATCACCCCGGGCATGGGGACATCACCCCGGGCATGGGGACATCACCCCGGGACAGCCCCGGGCACTGGGGACATCACCCCGGGACAGCCCCGGACATTGGGGACATCACCCCGGGCATTGGGGACATCACCCCGGGCATTGAGGACATCACCCCGGGCATTGGGGACATCACCTCGGACATGGGGACATCACCCCGGGACAGCCCCGGGCACTGGGGACATCACCCCGGGACAGCCCCGGACATTGGGGACATCACCCCGGGCACTGGGGACATCACCCCGGGCACTGGGGACATCACCCCGGGCACTGGGGACATCACCCCGGGCAGTGGGGACATCACCAGGACACTCCAGGGGACACCACAGGGGACTTCAAGGGACAAGGACTGGGGGGTCTCAGAGGGACAGGGACACCGTGTGACACTGGGGGGGGGGGACAATGACACTGGGGGGGTCTCAGAGGGGACAGGGACACCGTGTGACACTGGGGGGGTGACAATGACACTGGAGGGGTCTCAGAGGGACAGGGACACCGTGTGACACTGGGGGGGTGACAATGACACTGGGGGGGGTGTGACAATGCCACCTCGGGGGTCTCAGAGGAGACAGGGACACCGTGGGGGGGGAACAATGACACTGGGGGGGTGACAATGACACTGAGGGGGTGACAATGACACTGGGGGGGGGTGACAATGCCACCTCGGGGGTCTCAAGGGACACTGGCCGAGGGTCTCCAAGGCACAAGGACCGGGTGGGTTTTGGGGGGGCCCCAAAGCGACAACGCCACCCTGTCCCTCTGTCCCCGTGTGTCCCCGTCCGTCTGTCCCCACTCACCGGCACCGGCCCCGCCGCTCCGGGCGCTGCCACCGCCGCTGCCACCGGCGGCGAACTCTCCACCGGCGGCGGAGGAAGAGGAGGAAGAGGAGGAAGAGGAGGAGGAGGAGGAGGAGGCGACAATGACAGCGCCACCTCCGCGCCGCCGTCCCCCGGTGCGGCGGCGGCCCCGGGCCGGTGCAGCAGGCGCGGGATGAGCTGCCGGTAGTGGCGGGTGCGCGCCGGGGCGGCGGCGGGCCCGGGGCTCTGCTCCATCGAGCCCCGGCGCTTCAGCGGCCGCGGCATCTCCGCCAGGACCCGGGCCACCTCCCGGTACTCCGGGACGCGGCGCGCCTCGGGCGGCAGCAGCGGCTGCAGCCGCGTCGGGCTCAGCGGCCGCACCGGGGGTCCCTCCGGGGGTCCCTCCGGGGGTAATTCCGGGGGTCCCTCCGGGGGTCCCTCCGGGGGTCCCTCCGGGGGTCCCTCCGGGGGTAACTCCGGGGGTAACTCCGGGGGTAACTCCGGGGGTAACTCCGGGGGTAACTCCGGGGGTAATTCCGGGGGTAACTCCGGGGGTAAATCCGCGTCCGAGCAGCGCAGGAGCCGCTCCAGCTCCGCCTCGGCCTCCGGAGGGTCCGGGGGTGTGGGGCGGGTGGGAGCTGGGGGGGAAAAAGGGGGTGAGACCCTCGAATTGGGGTGGGGGGAAAAGGGGGAAATGGGGTGAGACCCCCGAATTGGGGTGGGGGAAATGGGGGAAAAGGGGTGAGACCCCCGAATTGGGGTGGGGAAAAAGGGGAGACACCGGAAAAGAGGGAAAGGGGGGTGAGACCCCCGAATTGGGGAGGGGAAATGGGGGTGAGACCCCGAAATTGGGGAGGGGGAAATGGGGAGTGAGACCCCGGAATTGGGGAGGGGAAAAAGGGGAGACACCGGAAAAGGGGGAAAGGGGGAATGGGGGTGAGACCCCCGGAACTGGGGAGGGGAAATGGGGATAGACCCCGGAATTGGGGAGGGGGAAATGGGGTGAGACCCCCGAATTGGGGAGAGGGAAATGGGGGTGAGACCCTCGAATTGGGGAGGGGGTAAAGGGGGTGAGACCCCGGAATTGGGGAGGGGGAAATGGGGGAAATGGGGGGAGACCCCCGAATTGGGGAGGGGAAAAGGGGGTGAGACACCGGAATTGGGGAGGGGGAATGCGGGTGAGACCCCCGAATTGGGGAGGGGGAAAAGGGGGTGAGACCCCGGAATTGGGGTGGGGGAAATGGGGGTGAGAACCCGGAATTGGGGAGGGGGAAAAGGGGAGACACCGGAATTGGGGAGGGGAAAAGGGAGGAGACCCCGGAATTGGGGAGGGGGAAAGGGGAGACCCCGGAATTGGGGAGGGGGAAATGGGGAGTGAGACCCCCGAACTGGGGAGGGGGAATTGGGGGTGAGACCCCGGAATTGGGGAGGGGGAAATGGGGAGACACCGGAATTGGGGAGGGGGAAAGGGGGGTGAGACCCCCGAATTGGGGAGGGGGGAAAAGGGGAGACACCGGAAAAGGGGGAAAGGGGGAATGGGGGAAATGGGGGGAGACCCCCGAATTGGGGAGGGTCGGGGGGCGCGGGGCGGGTGGGAGATGGGGGGAGGAAAAGGGGTGAGACCCCCGAATTGGGGTGGGGGAAATGGGGAGAGACCCCGGAATTGGGGTGGGGAAATGGGGATGAGACACCGGAATTGGGGAGGGGGAAATGGGGGTGAGACCCCCGAATTGGGGAGGGGAAATGGGGGAGAGACGCCGGAATTGGGGAGGGAGAAATGGGGGTGAGAACCCGGAATTGGGGAGGGTCGGGGGGCGCGGGGCGGGTGGGAGCTGAGGGGGGGAAAAGGGGGTGAGACCCCCGAATTGGGGAGGGGGGAAATGGGGGTGGGGGAGACCCCGGAATTGGGGAGGGGGAAATGGGGATGAGAACCCGGAACTGGGGAGGGGAAATGGGGGTGAGACCCCGAAATTGAGACCCCCCCCAAACCCCCCATTTCCCCCCCCAAACCCCCCCAAAAATCCCATTTTCCGCCCCAAACCCCCATTTCCCCCCCCCAAACCCCCCCCAAAAATCCCATTTTCACCCCCCGAAACCCTCCAAAAATCCCATTGTCATCCCCAAACCCCCATTTACCCTCCCCAAACCCCCCAAAATCCCATTTTCACCTCCCAAACCCCCCATTTCCCCCCCAAAAATCCCATTTCCCCCCTCCCAAAATCCCATTTCCACTCCCCAAACCCCCTTTTCACCCTCCAAACCCCCTTTTTACCCCCCAAAATCCCATTTTCAACCCCCCAAACCCCCCAAAACCCCCATTTCCCCCCCAAACTCCCCCAACCCCCCTTTTCACCCCCCAAAATCCCCTTTTCACCCCCCAAAATCCCCTTTCTCCCCCCCAAAAATCCCATTTCCCCCCAAAAAATCCCATTTCCAGCCCCTCTCACCTTCCCCCGCCATCACCGCCGGTCCCGGGGGCAGCCCCGGGGGCAGTTTTTGGGGCGCCCCCCGAGCCCCCCAGAACGGGGGAACCCCCCGGGGGCCGCCCCCCTCCCAAAAAGCGTTCTGCAGGCGGAAAATCACCGACAGCGGCAGCGCCTTCTGCCGGGGGGGCCGCCCCGGTACCGGAACCGGGACCGGCACCGGGACACGGGACAGCACCGGCGACACCGGGACCGGCGGCACCGAGACCCGGGACTGCCCCGGGACCGACACCGGGACCGGCACCGGGACCCGGGACTGCCCCGACACCGGGACCGGGACCCGGGACAGCCCCGGAACCGGTACCGGGACCGGCGGCACCGGGACCCGCGCCAGCACCGGCCGCCCCCGGGGCTGCGGCCGCCGCTCGGCGGGGAAGAGTTTGGAATTGCGGGGCAGAGTGGCGCTGCCGGACACCAACGGGGCCTCCTGCGCGGGGCACAAAGGGTTAAAAAAGGCATTTTTTTAATTAGTTTTTTGGGATTTTTTAAAAAATTTTTTTAATTTTTTTTGAGGGGGTTAAAATTTGAATTTTTTTGATTTTTTTTTTGCAGGGGTTAAAAGGGTAAAAATTTTAATTTTTTTTTTTTGAGGGGTTAAAATTTGAATTTTTTTTTTTTTGAGGGGTTAAAATGTGAATTTTTTTTTTTGAGGGGTTAAAATTTGAATTTTTTTTTTTTTTGAGGGGTTAAAATGTGAATTTTTTTTTGAGGGGTTAAAATTTGAATTTTTTTTTGAATTTAAAAAAATTTTTTAATATTTTTTGAGGGGTTAAAATATGAATTTTTGATTTTTTTTTTGGAGGGGTTAAAATTAAAATTTATTTTTGGAGGGGTAAAGGGTGAAAATTTGAATTTTTGAATTTTTTTAAATTGAATTTTTAAATTTTTTTTAAGGATTCAAAGGGTTAAAAATTGAATTTTTGAATATTTTTTTATGGAGGGGTTAAAGGAGTTAAAATTGAATTTTGGAATTTTTCTTTTTTTTTTAATTTGAATTTTTGAAATTTGTTTTGGTTTTTGGTGGGTTTTTTTGGAGGGGTTAAAAGGGTTAAAATTTGAATTTTTGAATTGTTTTTTATTTTAATTTTTACAATTTTCTTTGGAGGGGTTAAAAGGTTTAAAATCTGAATTTTTTTGAATTTTATTTTCCACCCCTTCAGGACATTTTGGGGACCCCTTGGGGACATTTTGGGAACCCCTTGGGGACATTTTGGGGAAATTTTGGGGACCCCTTGGGGACATTTTGGGGACATTTCAGGGGGAATTTTGGGGACATTTTGGAATTTTGGGGACCCCCTGGGGAATCAGAATTTTTGAATATTTTATTTTTATTCCTATTTTGGGTAGGGGGATGTTTAAAGTTTAAAAACCCCCAAATCCCCCCAAAATTTGGGGACTGACCTTGGCCAGCCCGGCCCCGTCCAGGCTGGATTCCCTCCAGGGCCGCGCCGCAGCCTCGGGGGTCCCTGGGGGGGACACGGGGGTTATTTGGGGGGGGTCTCACCCCAAAAATTAAAAATTGGGGGTTTGGGAATATTTCACCCCCTCCCCGAATTTTGGAGTTCCCCCCAAAAAGGTTCGAACCCCTAAAAAGCCTCAGAGGCGAACCCCGAAAAAATCCGAAATTCAGTCTGCAAGTTAAAGCTCCCAAAAAAAACCCCAGACCCCCCAAAAAAACCCCACAGACCCCCCCCAAAATAACCCCCCAGACCCCCCAAAAAAAGCCCAAAGACCCCCCAAAAAAAGCCCAAAGACCCCCCCAAAAAAGCCCAAAGACCCCCCAAAAAAAGCCCCAAGAACCCCCAAAAAATAGTCCCGAGAGCCCCCCAAAAGAAACCCCCAGACCCCCCCAAAAAAAAGCCCAAAGACTCCCCAAAAATAACCCCCAGATCCCCCAAAAAAAGCCCCCAGACCCCCCCAAAAAAAACCCCCAGACTCCCCAAAAAAACCCCCAGACCCCCCCAAAAAAAGCCTCCAGACCCCCCCAAAAAAAGCCCCAGACCCACCCAAAAAGCCCCCAGACCCCCCCAAAAAAAGCCCCCAGACCCCCCAAAAAAAAGCCCCCAGACCCCCCCAAAAAAATGCCCAGACCACCCCAAAAAAAACCCCAAAGACCCCCCCAAAAAAAGTCCCCAGATCACCCCAAAAAATAGCCCCCAGACCCCCCAAAAAAAGCCCCCAGACCCCCCAAAAAAAGCCCCCAGACACCCAAAAAAAAAACCCCCAGACCCCCCAAAAAAAGCCCCAGAGCCCCCCAAAAAAAGAAACCCCCAGACCCCCCAAAAAAGCTCCCAGACCCCCCAAAAAAAGCCTCCAGACCCCCCCAAAAGAAACCCCCAGACCCCCCCAAAAAATAGCCCCCAGACCCCCCCAAAAAAAGCCCAAAGACCCCCCAAAAAAAGCCCAAAGACCCCCCAAAAAAAGCCCCAAGAACCCCCAAAAAAACCCTCCAGACCCCCCAAAAATAACCCCCAGACCCCCAAAAAAAGCCACCAGACCCCCCCCAAAAAAAAGCCTCCAGAACCCCCAAAAAAACCCCCAGACCCCCCTAAAAAAAGCCCCCAAACCCCCCCAAAAAAAGTCCCCAGAACCCCCCAAAAAAAGTCCCCAGACCCCCCCAAAAAAAGCCCCAAAACCGCCCCAAAAAAAGCCCAAAGACCCCCCAAAAAAAGCCCCCAGACCCCCCAAAAAAAGCCCCAAAACCGCCCCAAAAAAAGCCCCCAGACCCCCCAAAAAAAGCCCAAAGACCCCCCAAAAAAGCCCCCAGAACCCCCCCAAAAAAAGCCCCCAGACCCCCCCAAAAAAAAAAAGCCCAAAGACTCCCCAAAAATAACCCCCAGAGCCCCCCAAAAAAAACTCCCCAGACCACCCCAAAAAAAGCCCAAAGACTCCCCCAAAAAAAGCCCCAAAACCCCCCAAAAAAAGCCCCAGACCCCCATAAACCCCTTCAAGTGCCACCCCCGCGGTGTCCCCCGATGTCCCCCGATGTCCCCAAAGTCCCCAGCCCCCCCAAATCCTCTTCCACACCCCTGAGACCCCCCAAAAAATCCCCAAAACCCCCCAAAAAAGCCCCGAAACCCCCCAAAAAGCCCCTCCAAACCCCCATAAACCCCTTCAAGTGCCACCCCCGCGATGTCCCCACAGTGTCCCCGATGTCCCCAAGGTCCCCAGCCCCCCCAGGCCCCCCCAAATCCCCTTCCACACCCCTGAGACCCCCAAAAAAGCCCCAAAACCCCCCAAAAAGCCCCAAAACCCCCCAAAAAGCCCCTCCAAACCCCCATAAACCCCTTCAAGTGCCACCCCACCGATGTCCCCCGATGTCACCTGATGTCCCCCGATGTCCCCACCCCTACCACCCCCCCAGCCCCCCCCAAATCCCCTTCCACACCCCTGAGCCCCCCCAAAAAAGCCCCAAAACCCCCCAAAAAAGCCCCAAAACCCCCCAAAAAAGCCCCTCCAACCCCCCATAAACCCCTACAAGTGCCACCCCCGCGGTGTCCCCCGATGTCCCCGATGTCCCCAATGTCCCCAGCCCCCCCCAGCCCCCCCCAAATCCCCTTCCACACCCCTGAGACCCCCCAAAAAAGCCCCAAAACCCCCCAAAAAAGCCCCAAAACCCCCCAAAAAGCCCCTCCAAACCCCCATAAACCCCTTCAAGTGCCACCCCCGGAGTGTCCCCGATGTCACCCCGATGTCCCCGATGTCCCCGATGTCCCCAGCCCCCCCCAAATCCCCTTCCACACCCCTGAGACCCCCCAAAAAAGCCCCGAAACCCCCCAAAAAGCTCCAAACCCCCCCAAAAAAAGCCCCAAAACCCCCCATAAACCCCTTCAAGTGCCACCCCTGGAGTGTCCCCCAATGTCCCCAATGTCCCCCCTGATGTCCCCAAGGTCCCCAGCCCCCCCAAATCCCCTTCCACACCCCTGAGACCCCCCAAAAAAGCCCCAAAACCCCCCAAAAAAGCCCAAAAAACCCCCAAAAAAGCCCCTCCAAACCCCCATAAACCCTTTCAAGTGCCACCCCCGCGATGTCCCCTGATGTCCCCCGATGTCCCCCAATGTCCCCCGATGTCCCCAAGGTCCCTGGCCCCCCCCAAATCCCCTTCCACACCCCTGAGACCCCCCAAAAAAGCCCCAAAACCCCCCAAAAAAGCCATAAACCCCCCAAAAAAGCCCCAAAACCCCCAAAAAGGCCCCTCCAAACCCCCATAAACCCCTTCAAGTGCCACCCCCGGAGTGTCCCCGATGTCCCCCAATGTCCCCAAGGTCCCCATCCCCCCCAAATCCCCTTCCACACCCCTGAGACCCCCCAAAAAAGCCCCAAACCCCCCCAAAAAAGCCCAAAAAAAACCCCAAAAAGCCCCTCTAACCCCCATAAACCCCTTCAAGTGCCACCCCCGCGGTGTCCCCCGATGTCCCCCGATGTCCCCAATGTCCCCGATGTCCCCAGCCCCACCGTAGCCCCCCGATTTTTTCTCGTAGGCCACGTCCAGGTCGGACTCGTTCCAACTTTTCTGCCGCCGCTTGAGGCCGATGTCATCTGGGGACACCACGGGGACAGGGTTGGGGACACGGGGACAGGGTTGGGGACATGGGGACAGGGCTGGGGACAGGGTTGGGGACACAGGGACAGGGTTGGGGACACGGGGACAGGGTTGGGGACATGGGGACAGGGTTGGGGACATGGGGACAGGGCTGGGGACAGGGTTGGGGACACAGGGACAGGGTTGGGGACACCACGGGAGGGGTTGAGGACACCACGGGGACAGGGTTGGGGACATGGGGACAGGGTTGGGGACAAGGGGACAGGGTTGGGGACAAGGGGACAGGGTTGGGGACACGGGGACAGGGTTGGGGACACGGGGACAGGGTTGGGGACAGGGTTGGGGACATGGGGACACAGTTGGGGACAGGGGGACAGGGTTGGGGACACGGGGACAGGGTTGGGGACACGGGGACAGGGTTGGGGACAGGGTTGGGGACATGGGGACAGGGTTGGGGACACGGGGACAGGGCTGGGGACAGGGTTGGGGACACCACGGGAGGGGTTGGGGACATGGGGACAGGGTTGGGGACACGGGGACAGGGTTGGGGACAGGGTTGGGGACACGGGGACAGGGTTGGGGACATGGGGACAGGGTTGGGGACAGGGTTGGGGACATGGGGACACGGGGACAGGGTTGGGGACACCACGGGAGGGGTTGGGGACACAGGGACAGGGTTGGGGACAGGGTTGGGGACATGGGGACAGGGCTGGGGACAGGGTTGGGGACACAGGGACAGGGTTGGGGACACCCCCGGACAGGGTTGGGGACACGGGGACAGGGTTGGGGACACAGGGACAGGGTTGGGGACACCACGGGAGGGGTTGGGGACAGGGTTGGGGACACCACGGGGACAGGGTTGAGGACACGGGGACAGGGTTGGGGACACACAGGGACAGGGTTGGGGACAGGGTTGGGGACATGGGGACAGGGTTGGGGACAGGGTTGGGGACACAGGGACAGGGTTGGGGACAGGGTTGGGGACACGGGGACAGGGTTGGGGACAGGGTTGGGGACACAGGGACAGGGTTGGGGACAGGGTTGGGGACACAGGGACAGGGTTGGGGACACAGGGACAGGGTTGGGGACAGCCCGGGAAGGGTTGGGGACACGGGGACAGGGTTGGGGACAGCCCGGGAAGGGTTGGGGACAGGGTTGGGGACACAGGGACAGGGTTGGGGACATGGGGACAGGGTTGGGGACAGGGTTGGGGACACCCCCAGACAGGGTTGGGGACACGGGGACAGGGATGGGGACACAGGGACAGGGTTGGGGACATGGGGACATGGGGACAGGGTTGGGGACAGGGTTGGGGACACGGGGACAGGGTTGGGGACACCCCCAGACAGGGCCAGGCACGCCGGGACAGGTGTCCCCTCAATGTCCCCCCCCTTGTCCCCTTCTCTGTCCCCCCCAAATCCCCCCGTGTCCCCCCTAAATCCCCCCAAACCCCCCAAATCCCCCGTTGTCCCCATGTCTGTCCCCCCAAATCCCCCCCATGTCCCCCCGTGTCCCCCTCAATGTCCCCCCAAATCCCCCCAAATCTCCCCCCCAAATCCCCCCATATCCCCCCCAAATCCCCCGAATCCCCCCCTATTCCCCCCATATCCCCCCCAAATTCCCCCCAAACCCCTCCAAATCCCGCCAAAACCCCCCCAAATCTCCCCCCAGATCCCCCCAAATCCCCCCCAAATAACCCCATATCCCCCCCAAATCCCCCCATATCACCCCCAAACCCCCCAAATCCCCCCCAAATCCCTCCAAATCCCCCCCATATCCCCCCATATCCCCCCAAACTCCCCCATATCCCCCCAAATCCCCCCAAATCCCCCCCAAATCCCCCCAAATCCCCCCAAATCCCCCCAAACCCCCCAAATCCCCCCAAATCCCCCCAAATCCCCCCAAACCCCCCCAAATCCCCCCCAATGCCCCCAAATCCCCCCCAATGACCCCAAATCCCCCCAAATCCGCCCCAAATCCCCCCAAATCCCCCCCAAATCTCCCCAATTTCCCCCCAATGCCCCCAAAATCCCCCCCAAATCCCCCAACCCCCCCCATATCCCCCCTAAATCCCCCCAAATCCCCCCATATCCTCCCCAAATCCCCCCCAAACCCCCCCAAAACCCCCCCAAATCCCCCCAAATCTCCCCCAAATCCCCTAAATCCCCCCAAACCTCCCCAAATCCCCCCAAACCCCCCAAATCCCCCCAAATCCCCCCAAATCCCCCCAAATTCCCCCAAATCCCTCCCAAAACCCCCCTCAGATCCCCCCAACCCCCCCCATATCCCCCCTAAATCTCCCCCAAAACCCCCCCCAAACCCCCCGAACCCCCCCAAATCCCCCCCAAACCCCCCCACAAATCCCCCCCATATCCCCCCCAAATCCCCCCCAAATCCCCCCCAAATCCCCCCCAAATCCCCCCCAAATCACCCCCAATGCCCCCCCAAGCCCCCCCATATCCCCCCAAATCCCCCCCTTGTCCCCATGTCTGTCCCCCCAAATCCCCCCATGTCCCCCCGTGTCCCCCCAAATCCCCCCCAAATCCCCCCAAACGCCCCCAAATCCACCCCAAATCCCACCTCAAATCCCCCCAAATCCACCCCAAATCCCCCCAAATCCCCCCCAATGCCCCCAAATCCCCCCCAAATAACCCCAAATCCCCCCTTGTCCCCATGTCTGTCCCCCCCATATCCCCCCCATATCCCCCCCAAATCCCCCCAAATCCCCCCAAATCCCCCCAAACCCCCCCAAATCTCCCCCAAATCCCCCCCAAATTCCCCCAATTCCCCCCCAAACCCCCCCAAACCCCCCAGTGCCCCCCCCGCCCCTCACCCTGTGTCCGGAAGGTTCCGGGGGTCCCGCTCAGGGAGGGGTACAGCGCCTGCAGCTCGTACGGGGGGGGGGCCGGGGGTCTCTCTGCCCCCCCGGGGGACCCCCCGAGCCCCCCCAGCAGCTCCAGGGCCCGGAGGGGCCGTGGGGAGGGGGCTCTGCCTCCCCCTCCCCCCCCTCCAGGGCCGGGCACCGTCAGCACCTTCGGCCGGGGGGAGGGGGCGCGTTCCTCCCCCCCAAAAAAATGGGTCGGGGGTCTCCCCAAAGTCTCGCCGAGCCCCCCCCCCAAATCCAGACCGTCCCCCAGGAGGCTCCGGCGGCTCGAGCGGCTCCGGCCGGGGCTGCTCTGCTCCTGGGCATGAAGGGGTTAAAAGGGTTTGGTGGGTGGGGGGGATGGGGGGGACATGGGGGGGAAGCCCCCTCCCCAAAATCCCCCCAAAAAATCTCGGGGCTCACCCTGGGGGGGGGTCCGGGCCCGTCTGTCCAGAGGGACTCGAGCTGGCGGGAGAGTTCGTCCACTCTGGCCACGGCCGTGTCCAGCTCCTCCTGCTTCAGGTCCATGTGCTGCATGGCCAGCGCTGATTTGGGGTCAGAATCGGGGATTTTGGGTCATGGATTTGGGGTTAGAATAAAGGATTTGGGGTCAGGGTAAAGGATTTGGGGTCAGGGTAAAGGATTTGGGGTCAGGGTAAAGGATTTGGGGTCAGGATAAAGGATTTGGGGTCAGTTCGTCCACCCGGGCCACGGCCGTGTCCAGCTCCTCCTGCTTCAGGTCCATGTGCTGCATGGCCAGCGCTGATTTGGGGTCAGAATCGGGGATTTTGGGTCATGGATTTGGGGTCAGGATCATGGATATGGGGTCATGGATTTCGGGTCATGGCTTTGGGGTCATGGGTTTGGGGTCAGGGTAAAGGATTTGGGGTCAGTTCGTCCACCCGGGCCACGGCCGTGTCCAGCTCCTCCTGCTTCAGGTCCATGTGCTGCATGGCCAGCGCTGATTTGGGGTCAGAATCGGGGATTTTGGGTCAGGGAATTGGGGTCAGGATCAAGGATTTGGGGTCAGGGTCAAGGATTTGTAAAGGATTTGGGGTCAGGGTAAAGGATTTGGGGTCAGGGTAAAGGATTTGGGGTCAGGATCAAAGATTTGGCCACGGCCGTGTCCAGCTCCTCCTGCTTCAGGTCCATGTGCTGCATGGCCAGCGCTGATTTGGGGTCAGAATGAGGGATTTTGGGTCATGGATTTGGGGTCATGGGTTTGGGGTCATGGATTTGGGGTCAGAATAAAGGACTTGGGGTCAGGGTAAAGGATTTGGGGTCAGTTCATCCACTCGGGCCACGGCCGTGTCCAGCTCCTCCTGTTTCAGGTCCATGTGCTGCATGGCCAGCGCTGATTTGGGGTCAAAATCGGGGATTTTGGGTCAGGGGTTTGGGGTCAGGGGTTTGGGGTCATGGGTTTGGGGTCAGGGTCATGGGTTTGGGGTCAGGATAAAGGATTTGGGGTCAGGGTCATGGGTTTGGGGTCAGTTTGGCCACTCGGGCCACGGCCGTGTCCAGCTCCTCCTGCTTCAGGTCCATGTGCTGCATGGCCAGCGCTGATTTGGGGTTAAAATCGGGGATTTTGGGGTCAGGGATTTGGGGTCATGGCTTTGAGGTCAAGGATTTGGGGTCAGGGTAAAGGGTTTGGGGTCAGGATAAAGGATTTGGGGTCAGGGTGAAGGATTTGTCCAGCTCCTCCTGCTTCAGGTCCATGTGCTGCATGGCCAGCGCTGATTTGGGGTCAAAATCGGGGATTTTGGGTCATGGATTTGGGGTCAGGATCAAAGATTTGGGGTCAGGGTAAAGGATTTGGGGTCAGGGTCAAGGATTTGGGGTCAGGGTAAAGGATTTGGGGTCAGTTCGTCCACCCGGGCCACGGCCGTGTCCAGCTCCTCCTGCTTCAGGTCCATGTGCTGCATGGCCAGCGCTGATTTGGGGTCAAAATCGGGGATTTTGGGTCAGGGTAAAGGATTTGGGGTCAGGGGTTTGGGGTCAGGGCTTTGGGGTCAGGATCAAGGATTTGGGGTCAGGGTAAAGGATTTGGCCACTCTGGCCACGGCCGTGTCCAGCTCCTCCTGCTTCAGGTCCATGTGCTGCATGGCCAGCGCTGATTTGGGGTCAAAATCAGGGATTTTGGGTCAGGGGTTTGGGGTTAGGATCATGGATTTGGGGTCAGGGTAAAGGATTTGGGGTCAGGATTAAGGATTTGGGGTCAGGGTCAAGGATTTGGGGTCAGGGTAAAGGATTTGGGGTCAGGATTAAGGATTTGGGGTCAGGGTAAAGGATTTGGGGTCAGGGTAAAGGATTTGGGGTCAGTTCGTCCACCCGGGCCACGGCCGTGTCCAGCTCCTCCTGCTTCAGGTCCATGTGCTGCATGGCCAGCGCTGATTTGGGGTCAAAATCGGGGATTTTGGGTCAGGGTAAAGGATTTGGGGTCATGGATTTGGGGTCAGGATTAAGGATTTGTAAAGGATTTGGGGTCAGGGTAAAGGATTTGGGGTCAGTTTGACCACTCGGGCCACGGCCGTGTCCAGCTCCTCCTGCTTCAGGTCCATGTGCTGCATGGCCAGCGCTGATTTGGGGTCAGAATCGGGGATTTTGGGTCATGGATTTGGGGTCAGAATAAAGGATTTGGGGTCAGGGTAAAGGATTTGGGGTCAGGGGTTTGGGGTCAGGGGTCTGGGGTCATGGATTTGGGGTCAGGGTAAAGGGTTTGGGGTCAGGGTAAAGGATTTGTCCAGCTCCTCCTGCTTCAGGTCCATGTGCTGCATGGCCAGCGCTGATTTGGGGTCAAAATCGGGGATTTTGGGTCAGGGGTTTGGGGTCAGGGCTTTGGGGTCATGGATTTGGGATCAGGATAAAGGATTTGGGGTCAGGGTCAAGGATTTGGGGTCAGGGTAAAGGATTTGGGGTCAGAATAAAGGATTTGGGGTCAGGATCAAAGATTTGGGGTCAGGATCAAGGATTTGTAAAGGATTTGGGGTCAGGGTAGAGGATTTGGGGTCAGGGTCAAGGATTTGTCCAGTTCCTCCTGCTTCAGGTCCATGTGCTGCATGGCCAGCGCTGATTTGGGGTCAAAATCGGGGATTTTGGGTCAGGGTAAAGGATTTGGGGTCAGGGGTTTGGGGTCATGGGTTTGGGGTCATGGGTTTGGGGTCAGGGTAAAGGATTTGGGGTCAGGATCAAGGATTTGGCCACGGCCGTGTCCAGCTCCTCCTGCTTCAGGTCCATGTGCTGCATGGCCAGCGCTGATTTGGGGTCAAAATTGGGGATTTTGGGTCAGGATAAAGGATTTGGGGTCAGGGGTTTGGGGTCAGGATCAAGGATTTGGGGTCAGGGTAAAGGATTTGGGGTCAGGGTAAAGGATTTGGGGTCAGGATCAAAGATTTGGCCACGGCCGTGTCCAGCTCCTCCTGCTTCAGGTCCATGTGCTGCATGGCCAGCGCTGATTTGGGGTCAGAATCGGGGATTTTGGGTCAGGGGTTTGGGGTCAGGGTAAAGGATTTGGGGTCAGGGTAAAGGATTTGGGGTCAGGATCAAGGATTTGGGGTCAGGGGTTTGGGGTCAGGGTAAAGGATTTGGGGTCAGGGTAAAGGATTTGGGGTCAGGGTAAAGGATTTGGGGTCAGGATCAAGGATTTGGGGTCAGTTTGGCCACTCGGGCCACGGCCGTGTCCAGCTCCTCCTGCTTCAGGTCCATGTGCTGCATGGCCAGCGCTGATTTGGGGTCAGAATAAAGGATTTTGGGTCAGGGGTTTGGGGTCAGGATCAAGGATTTGGGGTCAGGATTAAGGATTTGGGGTCAGGGTAAAGGATTTGGGGTCAGGGTAAAGGATTTGGGGTCAGTTTGGCCACGGCCGTGTCCAGCTCCTCCTGCTTCAGGTCCATGTGCTGCATGGCCAGCGCTGATTTGGGGTCAAAATCGGGGATTTTGGGGTCAGGGGTTTGGGGTCATGGATTTGGGGTCATGGGTTTGGGGTCAGGGTCATGGATTTGGGGTCAGGATTAAGGATTTGGGATCATGGATTTGGGGTCAGAATAAAGTATTTTGGGTCATGGATTTGGGGTCAGGATAAAGGATTTGGGGTCAGGGAGACACCCGGATTTTGGGGTGCCCCAGATTTTGGGGTGCCCGGATTTTGGGTCTCCCAGATTTTGGGGTTTCCCGGATTTTGGGGTGTCCCACATTTTGGGGTCTCCCAGATTTTGGGGTGCCCCGGATTTTGGGGCACCCGGATTTTGGGGTTTCCCAGATTTTGGGGTCTCCCACATTTTGGGGTCTCCCAGATTTTGGGGAACCCGGATTTTGGGGCACTCAGATTTTGGGGTCTCCCACATTTTGGGGTCTCCCAGATTTTGGGGTGCCCCGTATTTTGGGGCACCCTGATTTTGGGGCACCCAGATTTTGGGGTGCATGGATTTTGGGGCATCCTGATTTTGGGGTCTCCCAGATTTTGGGGTCTCCCACATTTTGGGGTTTCCCAGATTTTGGGGCACCCGGATTTTGGGGTGCTCCGGATTTTGGGGTCTCCCAGATTTTGGGGTCTCCCGGATTTTGGGGCACCCTGATTTTGGGGTCTCCCGGATTTTGGGACACCCAGATTTGGGGTGCCCGGATTTTGGGGTGCCCGGATTTGGGGTCTCCCAGATTTTGGGGTGCCCGGATTTTGGGGTCTCCCAGATTTTGGGGCACCCGGATTTGGGGCACCCGGATTTTGGGGTCTCCCACATTTTGGGGCACCCTGATTTTGGGGTCTCCCAGATTTTGGGGTTCCCAGATTTTGGGGTGCCCGGATTTTGGTGTGCCCAGATTTGGGGCACCCGGATTTGGGGTCTCCCAGATTTTGGGGTCTCCCAGATTTTGGGGTGCCCTGATTTTGGGGTCTCCCAGATTTGGGGTCTCCCAGATTTTGGTGTGCCCAGATTTTGGGGTGCCCGGATTTTGGGGTCTCTCAGATTTTGGGGCACCCAGATTTTGGAGCGCTCCGGATTTGGGGTTCCCCGGATTTTGGGGTGCCCCAGATTTGGGATTTCCTGGATTTTGGGGTGCCCAGATTTTGGGGTGCCCACATTTTGGGGTCTCCCAGATTTTGGGGCACCTGGATTTTGGGGCACCCGGATTTTGGGGTCTCCCACATTTTGGGGTCTCCCAGATTTTGGGGTGCCCGGATTTTGGGATCTCCCAGATTTTGGGGTCTCCCAGATTTTGGGTCTCCCAGATTTTGGGGCACCCAGATTTGGGGTCTCCCAGATTTGGGGTCTCCCAGATTTTGGGGTTTCCTGGATTTTGGGGTGCCTGGATTTTGGGGTGCCCGGATTTTGGGGCACCCTGATTTTGGGGTGCCCTGGATTTTGGGGTGGGGGTGCCCCAGATTTGGGGTCTCCCAGATTTGGGGTGCCCCAGATTTGGGATTTCCTGGATTTTGGGTCTCCCAGATTTTGGGGTGCCCGGATTTTGGGGCACCTGGATTTGGGGTCTCCCAGATTTTGGGGTGCCCCGGATTTTGGGGTGCCCAGATTTTGGGATGCCCTGGATTTTGGGGTGGGGGTGCCCCAGATTTGGGGGTCCCTGGATTTTGGGTTGCCCAAATTTTGGGGCGCCCGGATTTTGGGGTGCCCGGATTTTGGGGTGCCCGGATTTTGGGGTGCCCAGATTTTGGGGTCTCCCAAATTTTGGGGTGCCCGCTCACACTGGAAGGTGAGGTCCAGCAGGTCCTGGGCGCTGCGCAGCCGCTCACTCGCCATCGGCGCCGCCTGCGGGGAAATTTGGGGTGAATTTGGGGCTTTTTGGGGTCAGGGGACACTTGGGGGGTGACACCCGATGGGTTTATGGGGTTTTTGAGGGTTTTTGGGGACTTTTAGGGCTTTTTTGGGGTGGGTTTGGGGCTTTTTGGGGGGTCTGGAAGTTTTTTGGGGGGTTTTGGGTTTTTTTGGGGGGTGTCCGGGAGTTTTTTGGGGGGGTTTGGGGCTTTTTTGGGGGTCGGGGGACACCGGGGGACACTTGGGGGGTGTCACCCGATGGGTTTATGGGGTTTTTGAGGGGTTTTGGGGTTGATTTTAGCACTTTTTTGGGGGGATTTTAGCATTTTCTGGGGAGATTTTAGTACTTTTTGGGAGGTTTTAGCACTTTTAGGGTGATTTCAGCACTTTTGGGGTGATTTTAGCACTTTCCGGGGTATTTCAGCACTTTTGGGGTGATTTTAGCACATTTTTGGGGGAATTTCAGCACTTTTGGGGTGATTTTAGCACTTTTAGGGGGATTTTAGCGCTTTTTACATTGATTTTAGCACTTTTTGGGGAGTTTTAGCGCTTTTTAGGGTGATTTCAGCAATTTTTACATTGATTTCAGCACTTTTGGAGGGAATTTTTGCACTTTTTGAGGTGATTTTAGCACTTTTTGGGGGCTAAAATCGACCTAAAAAATGCTAAAACCACTTGGGAAATTTTGGGGACCCTTTGGGAAATTTTGGTTCCCCCCGGGGAATTTTGGGGACCCTTTGAGGAATTTTGGGGACCCCCTTGGGAATTTTGGGGAATTTTGGGGACCCTTTGGGGAATTTTGGGGACTCTTTGAGGAATTTCGGGGAATTTTGGGGACCCCCTGGGGAATTTTGGGTTCCCCTGGGGAATTTTGGGGACCCTTTGGGAAATTTCGGGGACCCTTTGAGGAATTTTGGGGACCCCCTGGGGAATTTTGGGGAATTTTGGGGACCCCCTGGGAAATTTTGGGGACCCCCCGGGGAATTTTGGGGACCCCCTGGGGAATTTTTGGGACCCCTGGGGAATTTTTGGGGAATTTTGGGGACCCCCCGGGGAATTTTGGGGAATTTTGGGGAATTTTGGGGACCCTTTGGGGAATTTTGGGGAATTTTGGGGAATTTTGGGGAATTTTGGGGCCCCCCGGGGAATTTTGGGCCCTGGGAACGCCGCGGGCGGGACGTGCCGGGACCCGCCGGGGCCGGGCAGCAGCGAACGTTAATTATGTTAATTAGCGCTAATTAATCCCGCGGGGGGGGGGGGGGGGAGGGCCCTGCTGGGGGCCCCCAAAAAACACGGGGGGGGGGCGATGGGACCCCCGAATTTTGGGGTTTTTTGGGGGGTTTTTGTGATTTTTTTGGGATTTTTTTGGGGGGTTTTTTGGGGTTTTTGGGGGATTTTTTGGGGTTTTTTTGTGATTTTTTGGGATTTTTTTGGGGGGTTTTTTGGGGTTTTTGGGGGATTTTTGGGGGATTTTTGGGGGTTTTTTTTTGATTTTTTGGGGGTTTTTTTGTGATTTTTTTGGGATTTTTTGGAGGGATTTTTTGGTGATTTTTGGGGGTTTTTTTGGAGGGATTTTTGGGGGTTTTTTTGGAGGGATTTTTTGGGGGTTTTGGGGGGTTTTTTTGGGGATTTTTGGGGATTTTTTTTTGGGGAAGGGAACGAGCGGCGATTTTTTGGGGTGAGGGGGAATTTGGGGGGGTCCGGACCCACCCCCAGCACCCCAAAATCCCACCCGGGGGTGTCACCCCCACCCCCGACACCCCAAAATCCCACCCAGGGGTGTCACCCCCACCCCCGGCACCCCAAAATCCCACCCGGGGGTGTCACCCCCCACCCCCGGCACCCCAAAATCCCACCCAGGGGTGTCACCCCCCACCCCCGGCACCCCAAAATCCCACCCAGGGGTGTCACCCCCCACCCCCGGCACCCCAAAATCCCACCCGGGGGGGTCCGGACCCACCCTCGGCACCCCAAAATCCCACCCGGGGGTGTCCCGGTGGTCGTTGAGGGGTCCCGGTTGGTCCCGGGGGGGTCCCGGTTATTACCGGGGGGTCCCGGGGGGGTCCCGGTTGGTACCGGGGGGGTCTCGGGTGGGGTCCCGGTGGGTGTTGAGGGGTCCCGGTGGGTGTTGAGGGGTCCCGGGGGGTCCCCGGGGGGGGTCCCGGTGGGTGTTGAGGGGTCCCGGTGGGTTTTGAGGGGTCCCGGTGGGTGTTGAGGGGTCCCGTTGGTACCGGGGGGGGTCCCGGTTGGTCCTGGGGGGGGTCCCGGGGGTGTCCCGGGGGTACCGGGGGGTCCCGGTGGGTGTTGAGGGGTCCCGGGGGGGTCCCGGTGGGTATTGAGGGGTCCCCGGGGGGTCCCGGTGGGTGTTGAGGGGTCCCGTTGGTACCGGGGGGGTCTCGGGTGGGGTCCCGGTGGGTGTTGAGGGGTCCCGGTTGGTCCCGAGGGGGTCCCGGTGGGTGTTGAGGGGTCCCGGTTGGTCCCGGGGGGGTCCCGGTGGTTGTTGAGGGGTCCCGGTTGGTACCGGGGGGTCCCGGTGGGTGTTGAGGGGTCCCGGTTGGTCCCGGGTGGGGTCCCGGTTGGTCCCGGGGGGGTCCCGGTGGGTATTGAGGGGTCTCGGGGGTACCGGGGGGGTCCCGGGTGGGGTCCCGGTGGGTGTTGAGGGGTCCCGGGGGGGTCCCGGTTGGTACCGGGTGTGTCCCGGTGGGTGTCCCGGGGGCACCTGGGTGGTCCCGGTGGGTGCGGGCGGGTGTTGTGAAGATCCGGGGGGTCCCGGTAGGGTCCTGGTGTGTGTCGGTAACTACCGGAGGGGTCCCGGTGAGTACCGGAGGGTCCCGGTGAGTACCGGAGGGGTCCCGGTGGGTACCTGGGAGGCACCGGAGGGGTCCCGGTGGGTACCGGAGGGGTCCCGGTGGGTACCTGGGAGGTACCGGCGGGTCCCGGTGAGTACCGGAGGGGTACCGGAGGGGTACCGGAGGGGTCCCGGTGGGTACCGGAGGGGTACCGGAGGGGTACCGGAGGGGTCCCGGTGGGTACCTGGGAGGTACCGGCGGGTCCCGGTGAGTACCGGAGGGATCCCGGTGGGTCCCGGTGGGTACCTGGGAGGTACCGGATGGTCCCGGTGAGTACCGGAGGAGTCCCGCTGGGTACCGGACGGTCCCGGTGAGTACCGGAGGGGTCCCGGCGGGTCCCGGTGGGTACCGGAGAGGCCCCGGTGAGTACCGGAGGGGTCCCGGTGGGTACCGGAGGGGTCCCGGTGGGTACCTGGGAGGTACCGGAGGGGTCCCGGTGGGTACCGGAGGGGTCCCGGTGAGTACCTGGGAGGCACCGGAGGGGTCCCGGTGGGTACCGGAGGGGTCCCGGTCAGTACCTGGGAGGCACCGGATGGTCCCGGTGGGTACCGGAGGGATCCCGGTGGGTACCTGGGAGGCACCGGAGGGGTCCCGGCGGGTCCCGGTGAGTACCGGAGGGGTCCCGGTGGGTACCTGGGAGGTACCGGACGGTCCCGGTGGGTACCTGGGAGGCACCGGAGGGGTCCCGGTGAGTACCGGAGGGGTCCCGGTGAGTACCGGAGGTGTCGCGGGCGCGTCCCCGCGGCCTCTCCGCCCAATTCCAGAGCGTTGGGTCACGCGGGGGAGGCGCGGAGGGGCCGCGCCCGCGCCCCGGGGCACCGGGGGTGGGGGCGGGTCCGGGGAACGGAGCCCAAAACCGGGGAGGGGTCCCAAAACCGGGGAGGGGACCCAAAACCGGGGAGGGGACCCCAAAACCGGGAGGGGGTCCCAAAACCGGGGAGGGGTCCCCAAAACCGGGGAGGGGACCCCAAAACCGGGGAGGGGTCCCAAACCGGGGAGGGGGTCCCAAAAACGGGGACGGAGTCCCAAAAATGGGGTGGGGACCCAAAACCGGGGATCGGAGCCCAAAACCGGGAGGGGGTAACAAACCGGGAGGGGTCCCAAAACCGGGGAGGGGGTCCCAAAAACGGGGAACGGAGCCCAAAACCGGGGAGGGGTCCCAAAACCGGGGAGGGGAGCCCAAAACCGGGGAGGGGACCCCAAAAACGGGGAACGGAGCCCAAAAACGGGGAGGGGTCCCAAAAACGGGGAGGGGTCCCAAAACCGGAGAGATTCTCACGGTGGGGGGCGGGTCCGGTGGAACGGAGCCCAAAACCGGGGAGGGGTCCCAAACCGGGGAGGGGTCTCAAAAACGGGGAGGGGACCCCAAAAACGGGGAAGGGACCCAAAAACGGGGTGGGGACCCCAAAACCGGGGTGGGGAACCCAAAACCGGGGAGGGGTCCCAAAACCGGGGAACGGATCCCAAAACCGGGGAGGGGTCCCAAAACCGGGGAGGGGACCCCAAAACCGGGGAGGGATCCCAAAACCGGAGGGATTCTCACGGTGGGGGGCGGGTCCGGTGGAACGGAGCCCAAAACCGGGGAGGGGGTCCCAAAACCGGGAAACGGAGCCCAAAACCGGGGAGGGGTCCCAAAAACGGGGAAGGGACCCCAAAACCGGGGAGGGGACCCAAACCGGGAGGGGACCCAAAACCGGGGAGGGGACCCCAAAACCGGGGAGGGGAGCCCAAAACCGGGGAGGGGACCCCAAAAACGGGGAGGGGAGCCCAAAACCGGGGAAGGGACCCCAAAACCGGGGAACGGAGCCCAAAACCGGGGAACGGACCCCAAAACCGGGGTGGGGAGCCCAAAACCGGAGGGATTCTCACGGTGGGGGGCGGGTCCGGTGGAACGGAGCCCAAAACCGGGGAGGGGACCCCAAAACCGGGGAGGGGAGCCCAAAACCGGGGAGGGGAGCCCAAAAACGGGGAGAGGGTCCCAAAAACGGGGAGGGGTCCCAAAACCGGGAGGGGGTCCCAAAACCGGGGAGGGGTCCCAAAACCGGGGTGGGGAGCCCAAAACCGGAGGGATTCTCACGGTGGAGGGCGGGTCCGGTGGAACGGAGCCCAAAACCGGGAGGGGGTCCCAAAACCGGGGAGGGGTCCCAAAACCGGGAGGGGGTCCCAAAAACGGGGAACGGAGCCCAAAACCGGGGAGGGGATCCCAAAACCGGGGAGGGGTCCCAAAACCGGGGAGGGGTCCCAAAACCGGGGAGGGAACCGAAAACCGGGAGGGGGTCCCAAAACCGGGAGGGGTCCCAAAACCGGGAGGGGTCCCAAAACCGGAGGGATTCTCACGGTGGGGGGCGGGTCCGGTGGAACGGAGCCCAGAACCGGGGAGGGGGTCCCAAAACCGGGGAGGGGTCCCAAAAACGGGGAACGGATCCCAAAACCGGGAGGGGGTCCCAAAACCGGGGAGGGGGTCCCAAAACCGGGGTGGGGAGCCCAAAACCGGAGGGATTCTCACGGTGGGGGGCGGGTCCGGTGGAACGGAGCCCAAAACCGGGGAGAGGGTCCCAAACCGGGAGGGGACCCCAAAACCGGGGAGGGGTCCCAAAAACGGGGAACGGATCCCAAAACCGGGAAACGGAGCCCAAAACCGGGGTGGGGACCCCAAAACCGGAGGGATTCTCACGGTGGGGGGCGGGTCCGGTGGAACGGAGCCCAAAACCGGGGAGGGGGAGCCCAAAACCGGGGAGAGGAGCCCAAACCGGGGAGGGGTCCCAAAAACGGGGAACGGAGCCCAAAACCGGGGAGGGAACCCAAAACCGGGGAGGGGACCCAAAACCGGGGAGGGGACCCCAAAAACGGGGAACGGAGCCCAAAACCGGGAGGGGTCCCAAAACCGGGAGGGGGACCCCAAAACCGGGGTGGGGAGCCCAAAACCGGGGAGGGGACCCCAAAACCGGGGTGGGGTCCCAAAACCGGGGAGGGGACCCCAAAACCGGAGGGATTCTCACGGTGGGAGGCGGGTCCGGTGGAACGGAGCCCAAAACCGGGGAGGGGTCCCAAAACCGGGGAACGGATCCCAAAAACGGGGAACGGAGCCCAAAACCGGGGAGGGGTCCCAAAACCGGGGAGGGACCCCAAAACCGGGGAACGGATCCCAAAATCGGGGAACGGAGCCCAAAACCGGAGGGATTCTCACGGTGGGGGGCGGGTCCGGTGGAACGGAGCCCAAAACCGGGGAGGGGTCCCCGAAACGGGGAGGGGTCCCAAAACCGGGAGGGGGTCCCAAAACCGGGGAGGGGTCCCAAAACCGGGGAGGGGATCCCAAAACCGGAGGGATTCTCACGGCGGGGACCGGGGGGGGGACCCCAAAACCGGGGTGAGGACCCCAAAAACGGGGAGGGGAGCCCAAAACCGGGGAGGGGTCCCAAAACCGGGGAGGGGTCCCCAAAACCGGGGAGGGGGTCCAGAACCGGGAGGGGGTCCCGAAACCGGAGGGATTCTCACGGTGGGGGGCGGGTCCGGTGGAACGGAGCCCAAAACCGGGAGGTTCCCACGGGGGGGGGGGGGATCCCACGGGAAACGGATCCCACGGGGGGGGGTGGGCGGATCCCACGGGAACGATTCGGGTCCCCCGGGGGGAGGGGGTCCCCCGTGAAGGGCTCAGCTCCTACGGGAGAGGTGGGGAGGGGTTTCCGTTCCCACCGGGGGGTCTCCGTTCCCACCGGGGGGGTCCCGACACCCAAATTTCCCCCCCCCACCCCGTACCTGTAGCGCCGCTCCGCCCCAGCCACGCCCCCGCCCGTCCCGTCCCGGTGCACGCCGGGAGCGCGCCCCAAACCGGATCTCCCCCTCCCCCCAAACCTTCTCCCCGCCCCTCCGGTGCCCCCCGACCCCCCCGGGGCCGTCCCGGTGCCCCCCCCGCTGCCCCCGGGTCGGGGTCGTTCCGGGGGTCGCTGTACCTTTAAATGCCGCCGGGGCGTGGCCACGCCCACGCCCATATAAGGAAAAAGGGGCGTGGTTTGGGAGTGGCCACGCCCCTTTAGCCACGCCCCGGACTGTACCAAGTGCGCGGCGGCGCGGGGGGGGCGGGGCCAGGCGGGCACGCGGCGGCGGCGGCGACATGAACGGTGGGGGGGGGGACACGGGGGGGATTTGGGGACATTTGGGGACATTTCGGGACATTTTGGGGGATTTTGGGGACATTTGGGGACATTGGAGGGACTTTGGGGGTCTGGGGGTGATGGGGGAGGTGGGGATGTGGCGGGAGATTGGGGACAGGGGGACATGGGGGGGTTTGGGGACATTTGGGGGGATTTTGGGGACATTGGGGGGACTTTGGGGACATTTGGGGACATTTGGGGGGATTTTGGGGACATTGGGGGGACTTTGGGGACATTTGGGGGGACTTTGGGGACACTGGGGGGTCTGGGGGGATATTGGGAGGGTCTGGGGTGACATTGGGGACATTGGGGTGACATTGGGGACATTGGGGGGACTTTGGGGACTTTTGGGGACATTTGGGGGGATTTTGGGGACATTGGGGGGACTTTGGGGACATTCGGGGGGATTTTGGGGACATTGGGGACATTGGGGGGGTCTGGGGGGACATTGGGGACATTGAGGGGACATTGGGGGGAGTTTGGGGGGGTCTGGGGGGACTTTGGGGACACAAGGGGAGACATTGGGGGGGTCTGGGGGGACATTGGGGGGACTTTGGGGACATTGGGGGGATTTTGGGGACATTTGGGGACATCAAGGGGACTTTGGGGACATTTGGGGGGGACTTTGGGGACACTGGGGGGACATTGGGGACATTCAGGGACATTGGGGGGATTTTGGGGACATTTGGGGACATTTGGGGACATTTGGGACATTTGGGGACAGTGGGGGTCGGGGGGTGATGGGGGAGGCGGGGATGTGGCGGGAGATTTGGGGACAGGGGGACATGGAGGGGGTTTGGGGACATTTGGGGGGATTTTGGGGACATTTGGGGACATTGGGGGGGACACTGGGGGGGCTTTGGGGACATTTGGGGGGATTTTGGGGACATTTGGGACATTTGGGGACATTGGGGGTCTGGGGGTGATGGGGGAGGCGGGGATGTGGCGGGAGATTTGGGGACAGGGGGACACTGGGGGGGGTTTGGGGACATTTGGGGGGATTTTGGGGACATTTGGGGGGATTTTGGAGATATTGGGGGGACACCGGGGGGGATTTGGGGACACGGGGGGGCTTTGGGGACATTTGGGGGGATTTTGGGGACATTTGGGGGGATTTGGGGACATTTGGGGGGACTTTGGGGGGGCTTTGGGGACATTTGGGGGGATTTTGGGGACATTGGGGGGATTTTGGGGACATTGGGGACATCAAGGGGACACTGGGCGGACTTTGGGGGTCGGGGGGTGATGGGGGAGGCGGGGATGTGGCGGGAGATTGGGGACAGGGGGACACTGGGGGGGCTTTGGGGACATTTGGGGGGTCACCGGGGGGGATTTGGGGACATTTGGGGGGATTTTGGGGACATTTGGGGACATTGGGGGGGACACTGGGGGGGCTTTGGGGACATTGGGGGGACTTTGGGGGTCCGGGGGTGAGGGGGGACGCGGGGATGTGGCGGGAGATTGGGGACAGGGGGACACTGGGGGGGCTTTGGGGACATTTGGGGGGACACCGGGGGGGCTTTGGGGACATTTGGGGGGATTTTGGGGACATTTGGGGGGATTTTGGGGACATTTGGGGACATTTGGGGGACTTTGGGGGTCCGGGGGTGATGGGGGAGGCGGGGATGTGGCGGGAGATTTGGAGACAGGGGGACACTGGGGGGGCTTTGGGGACATTTGGGGGGATTTTGGGGACATTGGGGGGACATTGAAGGACATTGGGGGGGTCTGGGGGGACTTTAGGGACATGGAGGGGACACTGGGGGGACTTTGGGGACATTTGGGGGGGACTTTGGGGACATTTGGGGGGACTTTGGGGACATTGGGAGGACATTGAGGGGGTCTTGGGGGACATTGGGGACACGGGGGGGACATTGGGGACATTGAGGGGACATTGGGGGGGTCTGGGGGGACTTTGGGGACACTGAGGGGACATTGAGGCGACATTGGGGGGACACTGGGGGGACATTGGGGGGTCTGGGGGGACATTGGGGACACCTGGGGGGGACATTGGGGACATTTGGGGACATTGGGGGGGTCTGGGGGGACTTTGGGGACACTGAGGGGACATTGAGGCGACATTGGGGGAGTCTGGGGGGTTCTGGGGGGACACCGGGGGGACATTGGGGGGCTCTGGGGGGACATTGGGGACATGGAGGGGACATTGGGGACACTGGGGGGACATTGGGGACATTAGAGGGGACATTGTGGGGGTCTTGGGGTACGTTGGGGACACCGGGGGGGACACTGGGGGGGTCTGGGGGGACATTGGGGACATAGAGGGGACATTGAGGGGACATTGGGGGGCTCTGGGGGGACTTTGGGGACACTGGGGGGACTTTGGGGACATTAGAGGGGACATTGGGGGACATTGAGGGGACATTGGGGACATTGGGGACATTGAGGGGACATTGGGGACATTGGGGGGACATTGGGGGGATTTTGGGGACATTTGGGGACATTAGAGGGGACATTGGGGGCGTCTGGGGGGACATTGGGGGGACTTTGGGGACATTGGGGGGACATTGGGGGGGTCTGGAGGGACATTGGGGACACGGGGGGGACACAGAGGGGACAGGGCCACCCAGGGGGAGGGGCAGAGGATGGAGGGGACACTTTGGGGACACCGGGGGGACTTTGGGGACATTTGGGGGGACTTTGGGGACACTGGGGGGACATTGGGGGGATATTGGGGTGGTCTGGGGGGACACTGGGGGGACACAGAGGGGACAGGGCCACCCAGGGGGAGGGGGCAGAGGAGGAGGGGACACTTTGGGGACACTTTGGGGACATTTGGGGACATTGGGGGGGGTCTTGGGGAACATTGGGGACACGGGGGGGACATTCGGGTGGTCTGGGGGGACATTGGGGACACTTTGGGGACACTTTGGGGACACTGGGGGACACGGAGGTGGCCCCGGGGGTGACGTCCCGCGTGTCCCCAGGGCCACCGCCGCGGTTCCGGTGTCCCCCCGAGTTCGAGGCGGAGGCCGGGGGGGTGACAGTGACACTGGGGGGTCCCCAGGCCGAGCTGTGGCTGATCCGCGCCCCCGCTGACTTCTGTCCCCAGAGGTGACAATGAGGGTGACAGTGACACTGGGGGGATGACAGTGACACTGGGGGGGTGGCAGTGACACTGGGGGGGTGACAATGACACTGGGGGGTCCCCAGGCCGAGCTGTGGCTGATCCGCGCCCCGGCTGACTTCTGTCCCCAGAGGTGACACTGGGGGTGACAGTGACACTGGGGGTGGCACTGGGGGTGACAGTGACACTGGGGGGGTGACAGTGACACTGGGGGGTCCCCAGGCCGAGCTGTGGCTGATCCGCGCCCCGGCTGACTTCTGTCCCCAGAGGTGACAATGAGGGTGACAGTGACACTGGGGGGATGACAGTGACACTGGGGGGGTGGCAGTGACACTGGGGGGGTGACAATGACACTGGGGGGTCCCCAGGCCGAGCTGTGGCTGATCCGCGCCCCGGCTGACTTCTGTCCCCAGAGGTGACACTGGGGGTGACAGTGACACTGGGGGTGGCACTGGGGGTGACAGTGACACTGGGGGGGTGACAGTGACACTGGGGGGTCCCCAGGCCGAGCTGTGGCTGATCCGCGCCCCCGCTGACTTCTGTCCCCAGAGGTGACAGTGACACTGGGGGTGGCACAGGGGTGACACTGGGGGTGACAATGACAATGTGGGGCTGACTGTGACACTATGGAGGTGACAATGATACTGGGATGGGAGTGACAATGACAATGTGGGGGTGACTGTGACAATGGGGGTGACAGTGACACTGGGGGTGGCACTGGGGATGGCATTGGGACACTGGGGGTGGCACAGGGGTGGCACTGGGGTGGCAGTGACACTGGGGGTGACACTGGGGGTGGCACTGGGGGTGACACTGGGGGTGACAGTGACACTGGGGGTGGCACAGGGGGGTGACAGTGACACTGTAATGGGGGTGACAATGACACTGGGGATGGCAGTGACACTGGGGGTGACACTGGGGGTGGCACTGGGGGGTGACACTGGGATGGCAGTGACACTGGGATGGGGGTGACAGTGACACTGGGGGTGGCACTGGGGATGGCATTGGGACACTGGGGGTGACAATGACACTGGGGGTGGCAGTGACACTGGGGGGGTGACAGTGACACTGGGGGTGGCACTGGGGTGACACTGGGGGTGACACTGGGGATGGCATTGGGACACTGGGGGTGGCACTGGGGTGGCAGTGACACTGGGGATGGCAGTTACACTGGTGGTGACACTGAGGGTGGCACTGGGGTGACACTGACACTGGTGGTGACACTGGGGATGGCATTGGGACACTGGGGGTGGCACAGGGGTGACACTGGGGGTGGCAGTGAAAATGTGGGGGTGACAATGACAATGTGAAGGTGACAATGACACTGGGGGTGACAGTGACACTATGGGGGTGACAATGACACTGGGATGGAGGTGACAATGACACTATAGGGGTGACAATGACACTATGGGGGTGACAGTGACACTATAGGGGTGACAATGACAATGTGAAGGTGACAATGACAATGTGGAGGTGACAATGACACTGGGGGGGTGACAATGACAATGTGAAGGTGACAATGACACTGTGGGGGTGACAATGACACTGGGGGGGTGACAATGACACTATGGGGGTGACAATGACACTGGGGGGGTGACAATAACAATGTGAAGGTGACAATGACACTGGGGGGGTGACAATGACACTACGGGGGTGTGACAGTGACAATGTGGGGGTGACAATGACACTGGGATGGGGTGACAATGACACTGGGGGGGTGACAGTGACACTGACACTGTCCCCGTGTCCCCCCCAGCCTCGAGGGCTGCCCGGTGCCCCTGGACGGCCTCGAGCGGCTCCGTCCCCCCGGTGACGGTGACAGCGGTGACAGCGGTGACACGGGTGACACCGGCGAGCTGTGGGTGCTGCGGGGTGGCCCGGGGACAGGGGACTGTCCCCTCCTGCTGTCCCCAATGTCCCCGGGGGGGGGCCCTGGGCTGCGCCCCCCCCCTGCGGGGGTCCCTGAGCATCGCCCGCAGCTTCGGGGGGACACGGGGGACGGCCCGGGTGGCACTTGGGGACACCGGGGTGGCACCTGGGGACACCAAGATGGCACCTGGGGACACCAGGATGGCCCGGGTGACACCCAGGGACACCAAGATGGCACCCGGGGACACCGAGGTGGCACTTGGGGACACCGAGGTGGCACCTGGGGACCCTGAGGTGGCACCTGGGGACACCGAAATGGCACCTGGGGACACCGAGGTGGCAGCTGGGGACACCGAGGTGGCACCTGGGGACACGGGGACGGTGCCACCCGCGGGGACAGAGCCCCGAGAGGGCCCCGGACCCCCCGAGGAGCCCCCGAGGAAGAGGAAGAAGAGGAAGAAGCAGAAGCGGGAGGAGCAGGAGTGACCCCGAGTGTCACCTGTGTCACCTGTGTCACCTGTGTCACCTCTGTCACCTCTGTCACCTCTGGCACCATTAAATGTTCTTTATTACAAAAAATAAAGAGGTTTTGGGGGGGTTTTTGGGGCATTTTGGAGGGATTTTTTGGGGATTTTGGGGTATTTGGGGATTTTTTGGGGATTTTGGGGTATTGGAGGAATTTTTGGGGGGTTTTCTGGGGATTTTGGGGGATTTTTTTGGGATTTCTTGGGGATTTTGGGCGATTTTTGGGGATTTTTGGGGCGATTTTGGGGGGGTTTTGGGTATTTGGGGAATTTTGGGGGGATTTTTAGAGATATTTTTGGGGTTTGGGGGATTTCTTGGGGATTTCGGAAGATTTTGAGGGATTTTGGGGATATTTTTTGGGATTTTTGGGGGATTTTTTTTTGGTAGATTTTGAGAGATTTTTGGGGGGATTTTTTGTGGATATTTTTGGAGTTTTTGGGGCATTTGGGGGGATTTTTTTTGTAGATTTTGAGGGATTCTTTTGGGGGATTTTCGGGGCATTTTGGGGGATTTTTTGTGGATATTTTTTGGGATTTTTCGGGCATTTTGGGAGGGTTTTGTTGGTAGATTTTGAGGGATTTTTTTGGTGTTTTTTTGGGGATTGTGGAGGATTTTTTGGGGGATTTTTTGGGGCAATTGGGGGGATTTTGTGTGGATATTTTTTGGGATTTTTGGGGGACTTTTTTGATAGATTTTGAGGGATTTTTTTGGGGATTTTCGGGGCATTTTGGGGGATTATTGTGGCTATTTTTTGGGATTTTTGGGGCATTTTGGGGGGATTTTTGGGGGGATTTGGGCCATTTTCGGGGCTCATCGGGGGCTCTTGAGGAACGGCTCGTGCAGGACATCGAAGAGTCGCTTGGCCTGGTTGGGGACAAAGGGACAAAGGGACAAAGGGACAGGAGGACGCTGCTGCTGTCCCCACTGTCCCCACCTCTGTCCCTCCTTGTCCCTTTCTGTCTCTTTTTGTCCATTTTTGTCCCTTTTTCTCCCCTTTTTGCCCATTTTTGCCCCTTTCTGCCCGTTTTGGCCCCTTTTTATTCCCTTTTTATCCCTTTTTATTCCCTTTTTCTCCCTCCCTGTCCCTTTTTTGTCCCTTTTTTGTCCCTTTTTGCCTGTTTTTGTCCCCTCTCTGTCCCTTTTTATCCCTTTTTGCCCCATTTTGCCAGATTTTGCCCCTTTCTGTCCCTTTTTCTCCCCTTTTTGCCCATTTTTGCCCCCTTTTCTCCTGTTTTTGCCCTTTTTACCCCTCTTTCTCCCCTTTTTGTCCCTTTTTGCCCCATTTTTGCCCTTTTTGCCCCTTTTTATCTCCTTTTTTCCATTTTTGACCCATTTTTGCCCCATTTTGCCCTTTCTGTCCCTTTTTCTCCCTTTTTTGCCCCTTTTTCTCCCATTTTTGCTCATTTCTGTCCCTTTTTTCCCCCTGATTTCCATTTTTGCCCCATTTTCCCCATTTTTGGCCTTTCTGTCCTTTCTTCTCCCCTTTTTACCCATTTTTGCCCCATTTTGCCCTTTCTGTCCCTTTTTCTCCCGTTTTTGCCCATTTTTGCCCCTTTTTGCCCCTTTTTGCCGCATTTTCCCCATTTCTGTCCCTTTTCCTCCCCTTTTTGCCCCTTTTTCCCCCTTTCTGTCCCTTTTTCTCCCTTTTTTTGCCCCTTTCTGTCCATTTTCTCCCCTTTTTGCCCATTTTTTACCCATTTTTGCCCCATTTTTCCCCTTTCTGTCCCTTTTTCTCCCCTTTTTGCCCATTTTAGCCCCTTTTTGCCCCATTTTGCCCCTTTCTGTCCCTTTTTCTCCCTTTTTTGCCCCATTTTGCCCTTTTCCTCCCCTTTTTGCCCATTTTAGCCCCCTTTGGCCCATTATTTCCCCCTTTTTTTACCCTTTTTGCCCATTTTTTGCCCTTTTTGCCCGTTTTGACCGTTTTTTCCCCTTTTTACCCATTTTTTGCCCTTTTTGTCCCTTTCTGTCCCTTTTTGCCCGTTTTTTGCCCGTTTTTTCCCCTTTTTGCCCGTTTTTTGCCCCGTTTTGCCCTCACCTTCTGCGGCCCCACTCCGGGACACAGCGACAGCTCCTGAGGGGACGCGGCCGCCACTGCTGCCATCGACTGCGGGTGACAAAGCCACCGCGGTGTCCCCAAATGTCCCCAAATGTCCCAAATGTGTCCCCAAATGTCCCCAAATGTGTCCCCAAATGTCCCCAAATGTCCCCAAAGCCACCCCAGTGTCCCCAAATGTCCCCAAATGTGTCCCCACAATGTCCCCAAAGTCCCCCCAATGTCCCCAATGTCCCCAATGTCCCCAATGTCCCCAATGTCCCCAATGCCCCCAATGTCCCCAATGTCCCCAATGTCCCCAATGTCCCCAATGTCCCCAAATTTCCCCAATGTCCCCCCAATGTCCCCCAATGTCCCCAATGTCCCCAATGTCCCCAATGTCCCCCAATGTCCCCAATGTCCCCAATGTCCCCAATCCCCCCAATCCCCCCAAATGTCCCCAATCCCCCCAATCCCCCCAATGTCCCCAATGTCCCCAATCCCCCCAATCCCCCCAATGTCCCCAATCCCCCCAATGTCCCCAATGTCCCCAAATGTCCCCAATGTCTCACCCCGAATGTCCCCATCAGGCTCAGCGCGTCCGTTCTGTTCACGGCTCTGACACTGGTCAGGCAGTCGGTCACCTGCGGGGTGGCACCGCTCAGAGGGGACATTTGGGGACATTTGGGGACATTTGGGGACATTTGGGGACATTTGGGGACACCCACCCGTGACAGGAAGTCGGGCTCCACGCGCTCCCTCAGCAGATCTGGAGGTTTCTGCTCGTAGGACTTGAAGGTCTCCAGGTACCGCCCGGCCTCCTCCGCACTGGGGACATTTGGGGACATTTGGGGACATTGGGGACATTGGGGACTTTGGGGGCATTGGGGGGACATTGGGGACATTGGGGACATTGGGGACATTGGGGACATTGGGGGGATTGGGGACATTGGGGACATTGGGGACATTGGGGACATTGGGGGGGATTGGGGACATTGGGGACATTGGGGACATTGGGGGGATTGGGGGGACATTGGGGACATTGGGGGGATTGGGGACATTGGGGACATTGGGGACATTGGGGACATTGGGGACATTGGGGACATTGGGGACATTGGGGGGATTGGGGACATTGGGGACATTGGGGGGATTGGGGGACATTGGGGACATTGGGGGGATTGGGGACATTGGGGACATTGGGGGGATTGGGGACATTGGGGACATTGGGGGGATTGGGGACATTGGGGGACATTGGGGACATTGGGGACATTGGGGACATTGGGGGGACACTGGGGGCATTGGGGACATTGGGGACATTGGGGACATTGGGGACATTGGGGACATTGGGGGGACACTGGGGGCATTGGGGACATTGGGGACATTGGGGACATTGGGGACATTGGGGACATTGGGGACATTGGGGGGACACTGGGGGCATTGGGGACATTGGGGACATTGGGGACATTGGGGACATTGGGGACATTGGGGACATTGGGGGAATTGGGGACATTGGGGACACTGGGGACATTGGGGACATTGGGGACATTGGGGACATTGGGGGGATTGGGGACATTGGGGGGATTGGGGACACTGGGGACATTGGGGACATTGGGGACATTGGGGACATTGGGGACATTGGGGGATTGGGGACATTGGGGGGATTGGGGACATTGGGGACATTGGGGACATCGGGGAGATTGGGGACATTGGGGACATTGGGGGGATTGGGGACATTGGGGACATCGGGGAGATTGGGGACATTGGGGACATTGGGGACATTGGGGACATTGGGGACATTGGGGGGGTTGGGGACATTGGGGACATTGGGGACATTGGGGGGATTGGGGACATTGGGGACATTTGGGGACATTTGGGGACATTGGGGACATTGGGGACATTGGGGACATTGGGGACATTGGGAGGATTTGGGGACATTCGGGGACATTGGGGACATTGGGGACATTGGGGACATTGGGGACATTGGGGGGATTTGGGGACATTGGGGGATTGGGGACATTGGGGACATTGGGGACATTTGGGGACATTGGGGACATTGGGGACATTGGGGGGGATTGGGGACATTGGGGACATTTGGGGACATTGGGGACATTGGGGACATCGGGGACATTGGGGACATTGGGGACATTGGGGACATTGGGGACACTTGGGGACATTGGGGGGATTGGGGACATTTGGTGACATTCGGGGACATTTGGTGACACTGGTGACATTTGGGGACACTGAGGGCATATTTGGGGACATTTGGGGACATTTGGGGACATTTGGGGTCACTGAGGGCACATTTGGGGATATTTTGGGGACATTTGGTGACATTTGGTGACATTCGGGGATATTTTGGTGACATTTGGTGACATTTGGGGACATTTGGGGACACTGAGGGCACATTTGGTGACATTTGGGGACATTTGGCAACATTTGGGGATGTTTGGTGACATTTGGGGACATTTGGTGATATTTTGGGGACATTGGTGACATTTGGGGACATTTGGGGACATTTGGGGATATTTTGGGGACATTTGGGGACATTTGGTGACATTTGGTGACATTTGGGGACACTGAGGACACATTTGGGGACATTTGGTGACATTTGGTGACATTCGGGGATATTTTGGGGACATTTGGGGACATTTGGTGACATTTGGTGACATTTGGGGACATTTGGGGACACTGAGGGCACATTTGGGGATATTTTGGTGATATTTGGGGACATTTGGTGACATTTAGTGACATTTGGGGACATTTGGGGACATTTGGGGCCAGCCGTACCTCCAGGCCAGCAGCAGGGTGCAGTCGGTGAGGAGACACACCTTGGCCAGGTCCTGCAGGGAGCGCTGGGGGTCCCGCTGGGGACAGGGACAGGTGACACAGGGACAGGTGAGATGGGACAGGTGAGATGGGACAGGGGAGGGGACAGAGACAGGTGAGATGGGGACAGGGACAGGTGAGATGGGGACAGGTGAGATGGGGACAGGGACAGGTGAGGGACAGGTGACAGGTGAGATGGGGACAGGTGAGATGGGGACAGGTGAGATGATGGGGACAGGGACAGGGACAGGGACAGGTGAGAGGGGACAGGGACAAGTGAGGGGTGACAGTGACAATGTGACAGTGACAATGCCAAGGTGACAAGGCCAAGGTGACAGTGACAATGACAAGGTGAAGGTGACAGTGACAAGGTGACAATGACAAGGTGACAATGCCAAGGTGACAAGGACATGGTGAAGGTGACAATGACAGTGACAAGGTGACAATGACAAGGTGAAGGTGACAATGACAATGCCAAGGTGACAATGCCAAGGTGAAGGTGACAGTGGCAATGACAAGGTGACAATGAGAAGGTGACAATGACACGATGACAATGAAAAGGTGACAATGACAAGGTGACAATGACATGGTGAAGGTGACAATGCCAAGGTGACAATGCCAAGGTGAAGGCGACAATGACACGGTGACAGTGACAATGAGAAGGTGACAATGGCAATGCCAAGGTGACAATGAAAAGGTGACAATGACAATGAGATGGTGACAATGAGACGGTGACAATGACAAGGTGAAGGTGACAATGACAAAGTGACAATGACAAGGTGACAATGACGGTGACACTGACGGTGACAGTGACAATGACAACGTGACAATGAGAAGGTGACAATGACACGGCGAAGGCAACAATGAGAAGGTGAAGGTGACAATGACAAGGTGACAATGACAGGGCCACCTCACCACGTCCACCTGCAGCAGCAGCACCTGGAGGGGCCTAGGGAGGGGACAGGGACACGGTGACAATGCCAAGGTGACAATGAAAAGGTGAAGGTGACAATGACAATGAAAAGGTGACAATGAGAAGGTGACGATGACACAGTGAAGGTGACAATAAGGTGACAATGACAAGGACAAGGCCACCTCACCACGTCCACCTGCAGCAGCAGCACCTGGAGGGGCACAGGGAGGGGACAGAGACAAGGTGACAGTGACACGGTGACAATGAAAAGGTGACAATGAGAAGGTGACAATGAAAAGGTGAAGGTGACAATGAGAAGGTGACAATGACGAGGTGACAATGACAAGGTGAAGGTGACAATGACAAGGTGACAATGCCAAGGTGATAATGCCAAGGTGAAGGTGACAGTGACAATGCCAAGGTGACAATGAACAGGTGACACTGACGGTGACAATGACAAGGTGACAACGACGGTGACAATAAGGTGACAATGACAAGGACAATGCCACCTCACCACGTCCACCTGCAGCAGCAGCACCTGGAGGGGCACAGGGAGGGGACACGGACACGGTGACAGTGCCAAGGTGACAATGAGAAGGTAAAGGTGACAATGACAATGACAAGGTGACAATGACAAGGTGACAATGACAGTGACGGTGACAATAAGGTGACAATGACAATGACAATGACAAGGCCACCTCACCACGTCCACCTGCAGCAGCAGCACCTGGAGGGGCACAGGGAGGGGACAGGGACAGGTGACAATGACACGGTGACAATGAAAAGGTGACAATGAGAAGGTGACAATGACAGTGACAATGCCAAGGTGAAGGTGACAATGCCAAGGTGACAATGCCAAGGTGACAATGCCAAGGTGAAGGTAACAGTGACAGTGACAATAAGGTGACAATGCCAAGGTGACAATGGCACGGTGAACGTGACAATGCCAAGGTGACAATGACAAGGTGACAATGACAATGAGAAGGTGACAATGAGAAGGTGACAATGACGGTGACAATAAGGTGACAATGACAAGGTGAAGGTGACAATGACAAGGTGACAATGCCAAGGTGATAATGCCAAGGTGAAGGTGACAGTGACGGTGACAATGACAAGGTGACAATGACAAGGTGACAGGGACAATGTGACAATGCGAAGGTGAAGGTGACAGTGACAATGACAATGAGAAGGTGACAATGACAATGAGAAGGTGAGAATGACAATGACACGGTGACAATGAAAAGGTGACAATGACACGGTGACAATGAGAAGGTGTCAGTAACAATGACAGTGACAAGGTGACAATGACAATGACGGTGACAATGACAAAGTGACAATGACGGTGACAATGACAAGGTGACAATGCCAAGGTGAAGGTGACAGTGACAATGACAAGGCGACAATGACACGGTGACAATGAGAAGGTGTCAGTAACAATGACAGTGACAAGGTGACAATGACAATGACGGTGACAATGACAAAGTGACAATGACGGTGACAATGACAAGGTGACAATCCCAAGGTGACAATGCCAAGGTGAAGGTGACAGTGACAATGACAAGGTGACAATGACACGGTGACAATGAGAAGGTAAAAATGAAAAGGTGACAATGACAAGGTGACAATCCCAAGGTGACAATGCCAAGGTGACAATGACAATGAGAAAGTGAAGGTGACAATGACGGTGACAATGACAATGACAGGGCCACCTCACCACGTCCACCTGCAGCAGCAGCACCTGGAGGGGCACAGGGAGGGGACAGGGACAAGGTGACAGTGCCAAGGTGACAATGAGAAGGTGACAATGACACGGTGACAATGACAAGGTGACAATGACAAAGTGACAATGAGGTGACAATAAGGTGACAATGACAATGACAAGGACAAGGCCACCTCACCACGTCCACCTGCAGCAGCAGCACCTGGAGGCCGAAGCTCCGGCCCAGCTCCCGCAGCCGCTCGTGGATGTACCCGGGGTGCAGCTGGTGGTACCTGAGGCTGGCACGGGACAGGTGACACCTGGGCACACCTGGGCACACCTGGGGACAGCTGGGGACAGCTGGGGACACCTGGGGCACACCTGGGGGTACCTGGGACACACCTGGGCACACCTGGGACAGCTGGGGACACCTGGGCACACCTGGGGGTACCTGGGACACACCTGGGCACAGTTGGGCACAGCTGGGGCACACCTGGAGGTACCTGGGGCACACCTGGGGCACACCTGGGCACAGCTGGGCACACCTGGGGACACCTGGGCACACCTGGGGACACCTGGGGCACACCTGGGGGTACCTGGGCACACCTGGGCACACCTGGACACACCTGGGGCACAGCTGAGCACACCTGGGGCACACCTGGGGCACACCTGGGCACACCTGGGCACACCTGGGGGATATTTTGGGCACACCTGGGTGTACCTGGGACACACCTGGGCACACCTGGGGCACACCTGGGACAGCTGGGACAGCTGGTGACACACCTGGGCACACCTGGGGACACCTGGGACACACCTGGGCACACCTGGGGCACACCTGGGCACACCTGGGCACACCTGGGGACACCTGGGGACACCTGGGCACACCTGGGACACACCTGGGGCACACCTGGGACAGCTGGGGACACACCTGGGGCACACCTGGGGGTACCTGGGGCACACCTGGGGCACACCTGGGCACACCTGGGGACACACCTGGGGGTACCTGGGGCACACCTGGGGCACACCTGGGTACACCTGGGCACACCTGGGGGATATTTTGGGCACACCTGGGTGTACCTGGGACACACCTGGGCACACCTGGGGCACACCTGGGACAGCTGGGACAGCTGGTGACACACCTGGGCACACCTGGGGGACACCTGGGACACACCTGGGCACACCTGGGGCACACCTGGGCACACCTGGGGCACACCTGGGGCACACCTGGGCACACCTGGGCACACCTGGGGACACCTGGGCACACCTGGGACACACCTGGGACACACCTGGGGACACCTGGGGGCACACCTGGACACACCTGGGGACACCTGGGCACACCTGGGGACACACCTGAACACACCTGGGCACACCTGGGGACAGCTGGGGGATATTTTGGGCACACCTGGGGCACACCTGGGACAGCTGGGGGTACCTGGGCACACCTGGGCACACCTGAGCACACCTGGGGACACCTGGGCACACCTGGGCACACCTGGGACAGCTGGGGACACACCTGGGCACACATGGGACAGCTGGGGCACACCTGGGGACACCTGGGGGTACCTGGGGGTACCTGGGGGATATTTTGGGCACACCTGGGCACACCTGGGGGATATTTTGGGCACACCTGGGCACACCTGGGGGTACCTGGGACACACCTGGGGGTACATGGGGCACACCTGGGCACACCTGGGGCACACCTGGGCACACCTGGGGCACACCTGGGCACACCTGGGGGATATTTTGGGCACACCTGGGCACACCTGGGGACACACCTGGGCACACCTGGGGGTACCTGGGGCACACCTGGGGGTACCGGGGCACACTTGGGGCACACTGGGGCACACCTGGGGCACACCTGGGACACACCTGGGACAGCTGGGGCACACCTGGGCACACCTGGGGCACACCTGGGACAGCTGGGGACACCTGGGCACACCTGGGACAGTTGGGGCACACCTGGGGCACACCTGGGGGTACCTGGGGCACACCTGGGCACACCTGGGCACACCTGGGACAGCTGGGGACACCTGGGGGATATTTTTGGCACACCTGGGGCACACCTGGGCACACCTGTGTGACACCTGGGCACACCTGGGACACACCTGGGGGCACCTGGGGCACACCTGGGCACACCTGGGGCACACCTGGACACATCTGGGGCACACCTGGGGCACACCTGGGCACACCTGGGCACACCTGGGGACACCTGGGCACACCTGTGTGACACCTGGGCACACCTGGGACACACCTGGGGACACCTGGGGCACACCTGGACACACCTGGGGACACCTGGGCACACCTGGGGACACACCTGAACACACCTGGGCACACCTGGGGACAGCTGGGGGATATTTTGGGCACACCTGGGGCACACCTGGGACAGCTGGGGGTACCTGGGCACACCTGGGACACACCTGGGGGCACCTGGGGCACACCTGGGGACACACCTGGGCACACCTGGGGACACCTGGGGGCTGTTTGGGGCACACGTGGGCACACCTGGGGACAGCTGGTGACACACCTGGGGCACACCTGGGGACACCTGGGCACAGCTCGGACACACCTGGGGACACCTGGGCACAGCTGGGGACACCTGGGGGTACCTGGGGCACACCTGGGGACACCTGGGGCACACCTGGGCACAGCTGGGCACACCTGGGCACACCTGGGGGTACCTGGGGCACACCTGGGGACACACCTGGGGACACCTGGGGGTACCTGTGGCACACCTGGGACACACCTGGGCACACCTGGGCACACCTGGGGACACCTGGGGCACACCTGGGCACACCTGGGGGTACCTGGGGCACACCTGGGCACACCTGGGGGCACCTGGGGCACACCTGGGGGTACCTGGGGCACACCTGGGGACACCTGGGACAGCTGGGGACACACCTGGGACAGCTGGGAACACACGTGGGCACACCTGGGGCACACACCTGGGCACACCTGGGGGCTGTTTGGGGCACACCTGGGACACACCTGGGCACACCTGGGGGATATTTTGGGCACACCTGGGGCACACCTGGGCACTCACCTGAGGAAGAGGGCGCAGGCAGTGGCGCCGAGGACGTAGTCGGGGACGACGTCACCGAAGTGCCACGGGACGCTGCGGATGAAGCGCAGCACCGGATTGCCGCGCTGGGGGAGGGGCATGTCGCGACATGAGCCCGGGGACACGCCCCCCGTGTCGCGACATGAGCCCGGGGACACGCCCCCCGTGTCACGATATGAGCCCGGGACACGCCCCCGTGTGACAAGGGACACGCCCCCGTGTCGCGATATGAGCTGGGGACACGCCCCCCGTGTCGCTATATCAGCTGGGACACGCCCCTCATGTCGCGATATGAGCCCGGGACACGCCCCCCATGTGACAAGGGACACGCCCCCGTGTCGCGATATGAGCCCGGGACACGCCCCCGTGTCGCGATATGAGCCTGGGACACACCCCCCGTGTGACAAGGGACACGCCCCCCGTGTCGCGATATGAGGCCGGGACACGCCCCCGTGTCGCGATATGAGCCGGGGACACGCCCCCCATGTCGCGATATGAGGCTGGGACACGCCCCCCGTGTGACAAGGGACACGCCCCCGTGTCGCGATATGAGCCCGGGACACGCCCCCGTGTCGCGATATCAGCCGGGGACACGCCCCCCGTGACAAGGGACACGCCCCTGTGTCGCGATATGAGCCGGGACACGCCCCCATGTCACGATATGAGGCCGGGACACGCCCCCCGTGTGACAAGGGACACGCCCCCCGTGTCGCGATATGAGCCCTGGGACACGCCCCCATGTCGCGATATGAGCCCGGGACACGCCCCCCGTGTCGCGATATGAGCCTGAGACACGCCCCCGTGTCGCGATATCAGCCCGGGACACGCCCCCCGTGTGACAAGGGACACGCTCATGTCGTGATATGAGCCCGGGACCCGCCCCTCATGTCGCGATATGAGCTGGGACACACCCCCCGTGTGACAAGGGACACGCCCCATGTCGCGATATGAGCCCGGGACACGCCCCCGTGTGACAAGGGACACGCCCCCCGTGTCGCGATATGAGCCCGGGACACGCCCCCCGGGTGACAAGGGACACGCCCCCCGTGTCGCGATATGAGCCCGGGACACGCCCCCCGGGTGACAAGGGACACGCCCCCGTGTCGCGATATGAGCCCGGGACACGCCCCCCGTGTCACGACATGAGCTGGGACACGCCCCCCGTGTCGCGATATCAGCCCGGGGACACGCCCCCCGTGACAAGGGACACGCCCCCCGTGTCGCGACATGAGCCAGGGACACGCCCCCATGTCGCGATATGAGCCCGGGACACACCCCCCGTGTGACAAGGGACACGCCCCCATGTCGCGACATGGCCCCGCCCACCCGCGATACGGAGGGACAGCCCCGCCCATGTCGCGACATGGCCCCGCCCACCCGCGATACGGAGGGACGGGCCCCGCCCATGTCGCGACATGGCCCCGCCCACCTGGCGCGGGCTGACGACGATGCTGCTGCTGCGCGTGCCCGGCCGGAGCACCGGGAGGGGACCCAGCGGCTCCCGGTTCGGATCCCGGTTCTGGTCCCGGTTCTGGTTCTGGTCCCGGTTCTGATCCCGGTTCGGGTCCCGGTCCTGGTTCGGATCCCGGTTCTGCTCCCGGTCCCGGTCTCGGTTCTGGTCCTGGTCCCGGTTCTGGTCCCGGTCCTGGTTCTGGTCCCGGTTCGGGTCCCGGTCCCGGTTCGGATCCTGATCCCGGTTCTGGTCCCGGTTCTGGTCCCAATTCTGCTCCTGGTCCCGGTTCGGATCCCGGTTCGGATCCCGGTCCCGGTTCTGCTTCCGGTCCCGGTCTCGGTTCTGATCCCGATCCCGGTTCTGGTCCCGGTCCGGATCCCGATTCTGCTCCCGGTCCTGGTTCGGATCCCGGTTCTGGTCCCGGTTCGGATCCCGGTCCCGGTTCTGCTCCCGGTTCTGCTCCCAGTCCCAGTTCGGATCCCGGTTCCGGTTCGGGTTCGGGTTCTGGTCCCGGTTCTGCTCCCGGTCCTGGTTCGGATCCCGGTTCAGGTCCTGGTCCCGGTTCCGGTCCCGGTTCTGGTCCCCGGGGGTCAGGAGGGGTCCTGAGGGGCCGGTTCCGGTGGGTCCGGGATCCCGGGCCCGGTTCTGGTCCCGGTTCGGATCCCGGTTCTGGTCCCGGTTCTGCTCCCGGTCCCGGTTCTGATCCCGGTTCTGGTCCCGGTTCTGGGTTTGATCCCGGTCCCGGTTCTGGTCCCGGTCCCGGTTCCGATTCCGGTTCCGGGCCCGGTCCGTCCCGGTGCCCCCCGAGCCCCGCACCACAAACTCAGCGTAAGAACCGGGACCGGGCGGGACCAGAACCGGCACCGGAACCGGTACCGGGCCCGGGGGGGGCGCGGCCGAGGCTCTGAACAGCGACGGGACCTGTTGGGGACACCGGGACACTTCCGGTCACACCGGGACACTTCCGGTCACACCGGGACACCGGGGCCACCCCCCCCGACCTCTCCCGGTCCCGGTCCCGGTGGTGGTCCCGGTCCCGGTTCGGTCCCCGTTCGGTTCCCGGTCCCATTCCCGGTCCCCGATGTCACCGCGCGGTTCCCGGTCCCGGTCCCCGTTCCCGGTCCCCGTTCGGTCCCCGGTGCCGTTCCCGGTCCCCGTTCCCGGTCCCGGTTTGGTCCCCGGTCTCGTTCCCGGTCCCATTTCCGGTCCCGGTCCCGGTCCCGTTCCCTCCCCGTTTCCCGGTACCGGTACCGGGGGTTCGTCGGGCCCCTCCTGCCGGACCGTGAAGCGCCGCCGCTTCCCCGCCGGTACCGGGACCGGGTCGGTGGCGGCTCCGGGATTCGGCTCCGGTTCCGGGTCCATGGCGGGGCCGGTTTGGGGTCCCGGGGCCGGTTCCGGGACCCGGTTCCGGGTTCCCGGTTCCGGTTCTGGGGGTCCCGGGTTCGGTTCTGGGGGTCCCGGGGCCGGTTTGGGTTCCCGGGGCCGGTTCCGGGAGGTACCGGGGTCGGTTCTGGGGGGTCTCAGGGGGTTCCCGGGGCCGGTTTTGGGGTCCCGGTTTCGGTTTTGGGGGTCCCGGTTTCGGTTTGGGGGTCCCGGGGCCGGTTTTGGGGTCCCGGGGCCCGTTTGGGGTTCCCGGTTTCGGTTTTGGGGTCCCGGGGCCGGTTTGGGGTTCCCGGTTTCGGTTCCGGGAGGTACCGGGGCCGGTTCTGGGGGGTCTCAGGGGGTTCCCAGGGCCGATTTTGGGGTTCCCGGGGCCGATTTTGGGGTCCCGGTTTCGGTTTTGGGGTCCCGGTTTCGGTTCTGCGGTTCCGGCGCCGCCGCGCGCCCTCCGGTCCCGCGGAAGGGGCGTGGCCTCTTTCCCCCCTTCCCATTGGACCGCCGCGCTGTCAATCAAACTACGGACACACCCCCTTTCCCGCCAATAGGAAGGGGCGTGGCCGGCGCGCGCTGGTGGGCGTGGCCGTGGTGCAAAGGCCACGCCCCCCTCGGGGACAATGACGAACCGGGGGGACACGGGGGACACGAGTGGGGACACGGGGGGCACACGGAGGGGACACGAGGGTCCCCAAACCCACCCCGGGACCGGGATGGACCCCGGGGACACCGGGGGGACACGGGAGGGGACATCGGGGACACGCGGGGGACAAGGACGGTGACATGGGGGGGACACGAGGGACAGATTGGGGGGGACACGAGTGGGGACATGAGGGACAGATTGGGGACACACAAGGGGCAGAATGGGGGGACACGAGGGGGACAAGGACGGGGACACGGGAGGGGACATGGGGAGACACGGGAGGGACATGGGGGGGACACGCGGGTGACAAAGGGGGACACGGGGGGGACACGAGGGGGGACACGAGTGGGGACATGAGGGACAGATTGGGGGGACAATGGGGTGACACGCCGGGGGACAACGGCGGGACATGGGGGGACACGAGTGGGGACACGAGGGTGACAAAGGGGGACATGGGGGGACACGAGGGACAGATTGGGGGGACACGAGTGGGGACACGAGGGACAGATTGGGGGGGACACGGGGGGACACGAGGGACAGATTGGGGGGGACATGGGGGGACACGGGAGGGGACACGCGGGTGACAAAGGGGGACACGGGAGGGACACGAGGGACAGATTGAGGGGGACATGGGGGGACACGAGAGGGACACGCGGGTGACAAAGGGGGACACGGGAGGGGACACGAGGGGGACAAGGACGGGGACACGGGGGGGACACGAGGGACAGATTTGGGGGGACATGGGGGGACACGAGGGGGAACACGAGTGGGGACAAGGATGGGGACATGGGAGGGGACATGGGGGGACATGAGGGACAGATTGGGGGGACACGGGGGGGGACACGAGTGGGGACACGAGTGGGGACACGAGTGGGGACACGAGGGACAGATTGGGGGGACACGAGTGGGGACACGCGGGTGACAAAGGGGGACACGGGAGGGGACATGGGGGGACACGAGGGACAGATTGAGGGGACACGGGAGGGGACACGGGGGGACATGGGGGGGGACACGAGGGGGGACACGAAGGGGGACACGAGGGTGACAAAGGGACAGATTGGGGGGACATGGGGGGACACGAGTGGGGACATGAGGGACAAATTGGGGGGTACATGGGGGGGACATGAGGGACAGATTTAGGGGGACATGGGGGGGACACGAGGTGGGACACGCGGGTGACAAAGGGGGACACGGGAGGGGACATGGGGGGACACGAGGGACACATTGGGGGGGACACGCGGGTGACAAAGGGGGACACGGGAGGGGACACGGGGGGACACGAGTGGGGACACGGGGGGGAGCACGGGAGGGACACGGGGGGGACAAGGACGGGGACATGGGGGGACACGAGGGACACATTTAGGGGGACATGGGGGGGGACAGTGGGGGGACACGGGGGGGGACACGCGGGTGACAAAGGGGGACACGGGGGGACACGGAGGGGGACACGAGGGACAGATTGGCGGGGACACGGGGGGGACACGAGGGACAGATTTAGGGGGACATGGGGGGGATACGAGTGGGGACACGAGTGGGGACACGCGGGTGACAAAGGGGGACACGGGAGGGGACATGGGGGGACACGAGGGACAGATTGATGGGGACACGGGAGGGGACATGGAGGGGACACGCGGGTGACAAAGGGGGACACGCGTGTCACCCCACCACGTCCAAAGTGCCACACGTGCCACCCGGGGGCGGCGAGGAAATGCCAGCGGTGCCAGCCCGCCCCCGCGGGGACACTGGGGACACTGGGGACACTGGGAGAGATCAAACTGGGGATACTGGGAGAGATCAAACTGGGAGAGATCAAACTGGGGATACTGGGGACACTGGGGACACTGGGAGAGCCCAAACTGGGGATACTGGGGATACTGGGAGAGATCAAACTGGGGACACTGGGGACACTGGGGACACTGGGAGAGATCAAACTGGGGACACTGGGAGAGATCCAACTGGGGACACTGGGAGAGATCAAACTGGGGACACTGGGAGAGATCAAACTGGGGACACTGGGAGAGATCAAACTGGGGACACTGGGGACACTGGGGACACTGGGAGAGATCAAACTGGGGACACTGGGAGAGATCAAACTGGGGACACTGGGAGAGATCAAACTGGGGACACTGGGAGAGATCAAACTGGGGACACTGGGAGAGATCAAACTGGGGACACTGGGAGAGATCAAACTGGGGATACTGGGAGAGATCAAACTGGGGACACTGGGGACACTGGGAGAGCTCAAACTGGGGATACTGGGGACACTGGGGACACTGGGGACACTGGGGACACTGGGGACACGCGGGACACTGGGAGAGATCAAACTGGGGACACTGGGGACACTGGGGACACTGGGAGAGATCAAACTGGGGACACTGGGAGAGATCAAACTGGGGATACTGGGAGAGATCAAACTGGGGACACTGGGGACACTGGGAGAGATCAAACTGGGAATAATGGGAGAGATCAAACTGGGGACACTGGGAGAGATCAAACTGGGGACACTGGGGACACTGGGAGAGATCAAACTGGGGACACTGGGAGAGATCAAACTGGGGACACTGGGAGAGATCAAACTGGGGATACTGGGAGAGATCAAACTGGGGACACTGGGAGAGATCAAACTGGGGATACTGGGAGAGATCAAACTGGGGACACTGGGGACACTGGGAGAGATCAAACTGGGGACACTGGGAGAGATCAAACTGGGGACACTGGGAGAGATCAAACTGGGGACACTGGGAGAGATCAAACTGGGGACACTGGGGACACTGGGGACACTGGGAGAGATCAAACTGGGGATACTGGGGACACTGGGGACACTGGGGACACCGGGACTGGGGACACTGGGGACATTGGGGACACTGGGGACACTGGGAGAGCTCAAACTGGGGATACTGGGGACACTGGGAGAGATCAGACTGGGGACACTGGGAGAGATCAAACTGGGGACACTGGGGACACTGGGAGAGATCAAACTGGGGACACTGGGAGAGATCAAACTGGGGACACTGGGGATACTGGGAGAGATCAAACTGGGGATACTGGGAGAGATCAAACTGGGGACACTGGGGACACCGGGACTGGGGACACTGGGGACATTGGGGACACTGGGGACACTGGGAGAGCTCAAACTGGGGATACTGGGGACACTGGGAGAGATCAAACTGGGGACACTGGGGACACTGGGACAGCCCGGATTTGGGACACTGGGGACACTGGGGACACTGGGGACATTGGGGACACTGGGGACACTGGGGACACTGGGGACAATGGTGACACGCGGGACACTGGGGACACTGGGACAGCCCGAGCTGGTGACACTGGGGACACTGGGGACAGCCCGGACTGGGGACACTGGGGACATCCCGTACTGGTGCCACTGGTGCCACTGGGGACCCCAGGCCAGCCCCGCACTGGTGCCACCGGTGCCACCCACCGCAGGGTGCGGCCACCCCGTTGTCACCCAGATGCCACCCGCGGCCGGGCCAGCAGGTTCCTCGGGCAGAGGCGCCGGAAGCGGCGCTGCCACCGCGATGCCACCGCGATGCCACCGCGATGTCACATCGGTGTCACATCGATGCCACAGCGGTGTCACAGCGGTGTCACCGCGGGGTTGGCAGCGTCCCCTGCCCGCCCCGAGCGCGGGGGGCGCGTTCCCGGCCCCGGTGTCCCCTCGGTTGTCCCCGGGGTTGTCCCCGGGGTTGTCCCCTTTGTCCCGGTTGTCGCCGCTGTCCCCTTTGTCCCGGTTGTCGCCGCTGTCCCCTCCCGGGCCGGATCCGGGCGGGAATTGCTGCGCCCTGACTCAGGCCGGGCCCGGCCGGAATTTCTGCCCCGGCCGCCCCTCCCTGGCCGGGATCGCCGGGATCGCGGGGCCGGGGCCATAAATCCCGGGACAGGAACGGGACAGACCCGGGACAGGCGCGGGACAGCAGCGGGGACGGGCATGGAGCCGCTGGATCTGGCCCGGGTAGGATTGGGGCGGGATAAGGGTCGGGAACACCGGGACCGGCGGTGCCGAAAGTCCGGGACAGGGATGGGGACCGGGAGAGGGACAGAACCGGGATAGGACCGGGACAGGGATGGGGATGGAGACAGGGATGGGGATGGGGACAGGGATGGGGACAGGGAACGGGGACAGAACCGGGACAGGGATGGGGATGGAGACAGGGATGGGGATGGGACAGGGACAGGGACAGGGATGGGGACAGGGACAGGGATGGGATCAGGGATGTGGACAGGGACACAGGGACAGGGACGGGGACAGAACCGGGATAGGACCGGGACAGGGATGGGACAGGGACAGGGATGTGACAGGGACAGGGACGGGGACAGAACCGGGATGGGGACAGGGACAGGGATGGGACAGGGACAGGGATGTGACAGGGACAGGGACGGGGACAGAACCGGGATGGGGACAGGGACAGGACCGGGACAGGGATGGGGACATGGACGGGGATGGGACAGGGATGGGACAGGGACAGGGACAGGGATGGGGATGGGACAGGGATGGGACAGGACCGGGATAGGACCGGGACAGGGATGGGGATGGAAATAGGACCGGGGACAGGACCGGGACAGAGACAGGGATGGGGACAGGACAGGGACAGGGACAGGGACAGGGATGGGGACAGGGACAGGAATGGAACAGAGACAGGGATGGGGACAAAACCGGGACAGGGACAGGGATGGGATCAGAACCGGGATAGGACCGGGACAGGGATGGGATCAGGGATGTGGACAGGACCGGGACAGGGACGGGGACAGAACCGGGATAGGACCGGGACAGGGATGGGGATGGGACAGGGATGGGGATGGAGACAGGGATAGGGACAGAACCGGGATAGGACCGGGACAGGGACAGGGACAGGGACAGGGACAGGGACAGGGACAGGGATGGGGACAGGGACGGGGACAGAACCGGGATAGGACCGGGACAGGGATGGGGGTGGAAACAGGACCGGGACAGGGACAGGAATGGAACAGAGACAGGGATGGGGACAAAACCGGGACCGGGACAGGGATGGGACAGGGACAGGGATGGGGATGGGACAGGGATGGGGATGGAGACAGGGATGGGGACAGGGACAGGGACAGGGACAGGGATGTCCCCAAGGTGTCCCTGTCCCCGCAGGATCCCCGTGATGTCCCCAGGGATGTCCCCAAGGTGTCCCTGTGATGTCCCCAAGGTGTCCCTGTGATGTCCCCAAGTGTCCCTGTCCCCGCAGGGTTCCTGTGATGTCCCCAGGGTGTCCCCAAGGTGTCCCTGTGATGTCCCCAGGACTGTCCCCAAGTGTCCCTGTCCCCGCAGAGTTCCTGTGATGTCCCCAGGGATGTCCCCAAGGTGCCCCCAGGGTGTCCCTGTGATGTCCCCAAGTGTCCCTGTCCCCGCAGGGTTCCTGCTGCTCCTCAGGACCGGGGCTGTCCCCGGGGCTGTCCCCAGGACTGTCCCCAGGGTGTCCCTGTGATGTCCCCAAGGTGTCTCTGTGATGTCCCCAAGGTGTCCCTGTGATGTCCCCAAGTGTCCCTGTCCCCGCAGGGTTCCTGTGATGTCCCCAGGGTGTCCCCAAGGTGTCCCCAAGTGTCCCTGTGATGTCCCCAAGGTGTCTCCATGATGTCCCCAAAGTGTCCCTGTGATGTCCCCAGGGTGCCCCTGTGATGTCCCCAAGTGTCCCTGTCCCCGCAGGGTTCCTGCTGCTCCTCGGGGCCGGGGCTGTCCCCAGGACTGTCCCTGTGATGTCCCCAGGGTGTCCCCAAGTGTCCCTGTGATGTCCCCAAGTGTCCCTTTGATGTCCCCAAGTGTCCCTGTCCCCGCAGGGTTCCTGTGATGTCCCCAGGGTGTCCCCAAGTGTCTCTCTGATGTCCCCAAGTGTCCCTGTCCCCTCAGGGTTCCTGTGATGTCCCCAGGACTGTCCCCAGGGTGTCCCCAAGTGTCCCTGTGATGTCCCCAGGGTGTCCCTGTGATGTCCCCAAGCGTCCCTGTCCCCGCAGGGTTCCTGTGATGTCCCCAAGGTGTCCCCAAGGTGTCCCTGTGATGTCCCCAAGTGTCCCTGTAGGGTTCCTGTGATGTCCCCAAGGTGTCCCCAAGTGTCCCTGTCCCCGCAGGGTTCCTGCTGCTCCTCGGGGCCGGGGCTGTCCCCAGGATTGTCCCCAGGACTGTCCCCAGGGATGTCCCCAGGGTGTCCCCAAGTGTCCCTGTGGTGTCCCCAAGGTGTCCCCAGGGCTGTCCCCAGGGATGTCCCCAAGTGTCCCTGTCCCCACAGGGTCCCTGTGATGTCCCCAGGGATGTCCCCAGGGAAGTCCCCAGGGATGTCCCCAGGGATGTCCCCAAGTGTCCCTGTCCCCGCAGGGTTCCTGTGATGTCCCCAAGGTGTCCCTGTGATGTCCCCAAGTGTCCCTGTCCCCGCAGGGTTCCTGCTGCTCCTCGGGGCCGGGGCTGTCCCCAGGACTGTCCCCAGGATTGTCCCCAGGGATGTCCCCAGGGATGTCCCCAAAGTGTCCCTGTGATGTCCCCAAGTGTCCCCAGGGATGTCCCCAAGTGTCCCTGTGATGTCCCCAAGTGTCCCTGTGATGTCCCCAAGGCGTCCCTGTGATGTCCCCAAGGTGTCCCTGTGATGTCCCCAAGTGTCCCTGTCCCCGCAGGGTTCCTGTGATGTCCCCAGGGATGTCCCCAGGGATGTCCCCAAGTGTCTCTGTGATGTCCCCAAGTGTCCCCAGGGATGTCCCCAAGGTGTCCCTGTGATGTCCCCAAGCGTCCCTGTCCCCGCAGGGTTCCTGTGATGTCCCTAAGGTGTCCCCAAGGTGTCCCTGTGATGTCCCCAGGGTGTCCCCAAGTGTCCCTGTGATGTCCCCAAGTGTCCCTGTCCCCTCAGGGTTCCTGTGATGTCCCCAGGGATGTCCCCAGGGTGTCCCCAAGGTGTCCCTGTGATGTACCCAAGGTGTCCCCAAGTGTCCCTGTGATGTCCCCAAGTGTCCCTGTCCCCGCAGGGTTCCTGCTGCTCCTCAGCACCAGGGCTGTCCCCAGGACTGTCCCCAGGACTGTCCCCAGGACTGTCCCCAGGGATGTCCCCAAGGTGTCCCCAAGTGTCCCTGTGATGTCCCCACGGTGTCCCTGTCCCCGCAGGGTTCCTGTGATGTCCCCAGGAATGTCCCCAAGGTGTCCCTGTGATGTCCCCAGGGATGTCCCCAAGGTGTCCCCACAGTGTCCCTGTCCCCGCAGGGTTCCCGTTGTTTGTGGTGTCCCCAAGGTGTCCCCAAGGGGTCTCCAAGTGTCCCTGTCCCCGCAGGGTTCCTGCTGCTCCTCGGGGCCGGGGCTGTCCCCAGGACTGTCCCCAGGACTGTCCCCAGGACTGTCCCCGGAGGACTCGGAGGAGTTCGAGGCCTGGCTGGGCCCGGGGGGGTGTCCCCGGCCGTGTCCCCACCGAGACCCCACCGAGGGAGGGACCCCGGAGCCCCGAGGTACGGCCGGCCCCAATCCCAAATCCTGATCCCAAATCCTGATCCCGAATCCCAATCCCAAATCCCAAATCCCGATCCCAAATCCCGATCCCAAATCCCGATCCCAAATCCTGATCCCGAATCCCAATCCCAAATCCCAAACCCCAAACCCCCCAAACCCCAAACCCCAAACCCCAAATCCCGATCCCAAACCCCAAACCCCAAACCCCAAACCCCAAACCCAAACCCCCCAAACCCCAATCCCAAACCCCAAACCCCAAACCCCAAACCCCAAACCCCAAATCCCAAACCCCAAACCCCAAATCCCCCAAACCCCAAACCCAAACCCCAAACCCCAAACCCCAAACCCCAAATCCCAAATCCCAAATCCCAGAACCCACAGAGGATGACGTGTACTGCCGCTGTCTGTCCCAAACCCCAAACCCCAAATCCCCCCAAACCCCAAACCCCAAATCCCCCAAACCCCAAACCCCAAACCCCAAACCCCAAATCCCAAATCCCAAACCCCAAACCCCCCAACCCCAAACCCCAAACCCCAAATCCCGATCCCAAACCCCAAACCCCAAACCCCAAACCCCAAACCCCAAACCCCCCAAACCCCAAACCCCAAACCCCAAACCCCAAACCCCAAACCCCAAACCCCAAATCCCAAACCCCAAACCCAAATCCCCAAATCCCCAACCCAAACCCCAACCCCAAATCCCAAACCCCAAACCCCAAATCCCCCAAACCCCAAACCCCAAACCCCAAACCCCAAACCCCAAATCCCCCAAACCCCAAACCCCAAATCCCAAACCCCAAACCCCAAATCCCCCAAATCCCAAATCCCAAACCCCGAACCCCAAATCCCCCAAACCCCAAACCCCAAACCCCAAATCCCAAATCCTGATCCCAAATCCCAAACCCCAAACCCCAAACCCCAAACCCCAAACCCCAAATCCCAAACCCCAAACCCCAAACCCCAAACCCCAAACCCCAAATCCTGATCCCAGAACCCCAAACCCCAAACCCCAAATCCCAAATCCCAAATCCCAAACCCCAAACCCCAAATCCGAACTCCCAACACCCAAACCCCAAATCCCAAATCCCAAACCCCAAACCCCAACTCCCAAACCCCAAACCCCAAATCCCAAATCCCAAACCCCAAACCCCAAACCCCAAATCCTGATCCCAGAACCCCAAACCCCAAACCCCAAATCCCAAATCCCAAACCCCAAACCCCAAATCCCAAACCCCAAACCCCAAATCCCAAACCCCAAACCCCAAACCCCAAACCCCAAATCCTGATCCCAAATCCCAAACCCCAAACCCCAAACCCCAAACCCCAAACCCCAAACCCCCAAATCCCAAACCCCAAACCCCAAATCCCAAACCCCAAATCCCAATCCCAAACCCCAAACCCCAGAACCCACGGAGGATGACGTGTACTGCCGCTGTCTGTCCCAAACCCCAAACCCCAAACCCCATAAACCCCAATCCCAAATCCCAAAACCCAAACCCCAAACCCCCAACCCCCAACCCCCACCCCCCAACCCCCACCCCAACCCCCAGACCCAACCCCCAAACCCAACCCCAAATCCCAAACCCAAACCCCAAACCCCAAATCCCAAACCCCAAATCCCAAACCCCAAACCCCAAACCCAAACCCCAAACCCCAAAGTCCAAACCCCAAATCCCAAACCCCAAACCCCAAACCCCAAAACCCCAACCCCAAACCTCAAACCCCAAACCCAAACCCCAAATCCCAAATCCCAAACCCAAACCCAAACCCCAAATCCCAACCCCAAACCCAAACCCCAAACCCCAAACCCCAAACCCCAACCCCAAACCCCAAATCCCAGAACCCCAAACCCCAAACCCCAAACCCCAAACCCCAAATCCCAAACCCCAAACCCCAAACCCCAAACCCAAACCCCAAACCCCAAACCCCAGAACCCACGGAGGATGACGTGTACTGCCGCTGCCTGTCCCAAACCCCAAACCCAAACCCCAAATCCCAAACCCCAAACCCCAAACCCCAAACCCCAAACCCCAAACCCAAACCCCAAACCCAAACCCCAAACCCCAAACCCCAACCCCCAAACCCCAACCCCCAAATCCCGATCCCAATCCCAGAACCCACGGAGGATGACGTGTACTGCCGCTGTCTGTCCCAAACCCCAAATCCCAAACCCCAAACCCCAACCCCAAACCCCAAACCCCAAACCCCAAACCCCAAACCCCAAACCCCAAATCCCAATCCCAAACCCCAAACCCCAAACCCCAAAGTCCAAACCCCAAACCCAAACCCCAAACCCCAAACCCCAAACCCCAAATCCCAAACCCCAAACCCCAAACCCCAAACCTCAAACCCCAAACCCAAACCCCAAATCCCAAATCCCAAACCCAAACCCAACCCCAAATCCCAAACCCCAAAACCCCAAATCCCCAAATCCCCAAACCCCAAATCCCAAATCCCCCAAACCCCAAACCCCAAACCCCAAACCCCAAATAAACCCCAAACCCAAACCCCAAACCCAACCCCAAACCCCAAACCCCAAACCCAAACCCCAAACCCCAAAATCCCAAACCCCAAACCCCAAACCCCAACCCAAACCCCAAATCCCAAACCCCAAACCCCAAACCCCAAACCCCAAACCCCAAACCCCAAATCCCAAACCCAAACCCCAAACCCCAAACCCCAAACCCCAAATCCCAAACCCAAACCCAAACCCCAAACCCCAAACCCCAAATCCCGATCCCAAATCCCAGAACCGACGGAGGATGACGTGTACTGCCGCTGTCTGTCCCAAACCCCAAACCCCAAACCCCAAACCCCAAACCCCAAAACCCCCCAAACCCCAAAACCCCAAACCCCAAACCCCAAACCCCAAACCCCAAATCCTGACCCCAAATCCCGATCCCAAACCCCAAACCCAAACCCCAAACCCCAAATCCCAAACCCCAAAATCCCCAAACCCCAAACCCCAAACCCCAAACCCCAAACCCCAACCCCAAACCCCAACCCCCAAACCCCAAACCCCAAATCCCAAACCCCAAACCCCAAACCCCAAACCCCAAACCCCCAAACCCCAAACCCCAAACCCCAAACCCCAAATCCCAAACCCCAAACCCCAAACCCCAATTCCCAAACCCCAAAACCCCAAATCCCAAACCCCAAATCCCAAACCCCAAACCCCAAACCCCAAACCCCAACCCCAAACCCCAAACCCCAAACCCCAAATCCCAAACCCCAAATCCCAAACCCCAAATCCCAAACCCCAAACCCCAAACCAAACCCCAAACCCCAAATCCCCAAACCCCAAATCCCCCAAATCCCAAACCCCAAACCCAAACCCCAAATCCCAAATCCCAGAACCCACGGAGGACGATGTGTACTGCCGCTGTCTGTCCCAAACCCCAAACCCCAAACCCCAAACCCCAAACCCCAAATCCCAAACCCCAAACCCCAAACCCCAAACCCCAAACCCCAAATCCAAACCCCAAATCCCAAACCCAAACCCCAAACCCAAACCCCAAATGCCCCAAACCCAAACCCCAAATCCCAAACCCAAATCCCAAACCCCAAACCCCAAACCCCAAACCCCAAACCCCAAACCCCAAACCCCAAACCCCAAACCCCAAACCCCAAACCCCAAACCCCAAACCCCAAACCCCAAACCCCAAACCCCAAACCCCAGAACCCACGGAGGATGACGTGTACTGCCGCTGTCTGTCGCGCACTCTGTGCCACACGGCCACTCCGGTCACCGTCGGTTTCTACGCGCCGTGTGGTCACCGCCTCGAGTCCCTGCTGGCCAAGGTCACCGGTGCGTCGGGAATTCGGGAATTATCCGGGAATTATTTGGGAATTCCAGGAATTCGGGAATTTGGGAATTGGGGAAAAGTCGGGAATTGGGAAATGCGGGAATTTGGAGCAGAGGATTTGGGGTTTTTCTGGGCCTGGTGGTGTTTGCTCAGGGTTTGGGGGAGGGGTCCAAATTCCATCCCAATTCTTAATTCAGTCCCAAATCTCATCTCAGTGCCAAATTTCATCCCAAATCCCAAATTCCATCCCAATTCTTAATTCAGTCCCAAATCCCATATCAGTGCCAAATTTCATTCCCAGTCCCAAATTCCATCCCAAATCCCAAATTCCATCCCAAATCCCAAATCTCATCTCAATCCTAAATCCTGTCCCAATCCCGAATTCCATCCCAGTCCCAAATTTCATCCTAAATCCCAAACCCCACCCCAAACCCCAAATCTCAACTCAATCCTCACACCCCACCCCAAACCTCACCCCAAACTCCAAACCCATCCCCAAATCCCATCCCAAACCCCAAACCCCAGAACCCACCCCAAATCCCACTCCAAATCCCATCCCAGTCCCAAATCTCATCCCCAGTCCCAAATCCCACCCCAACCCCCAAACCCCAAACCCCAAAGCCATCCCTAAATCCCACCCCAAACCCAAAAAACCACCCGAAATCCCATCCCCCAAACCCATCCCCAAAGCCCAAACCCCACCCCAAACCCCAAATCCCACCCCAAACCCAAAAAACCACCCAAAACCCAAAAAACCACCCCAAATCCCATCCCAAACCCTAAACGCATCCCAGTCCCAAATCCCATCCCAGTCCCAAATGCTATCCCAACCCCCAAACCCATCCCCATCCCCAAACCCCAAACCCCAAATCCCAAACCCCAAACCCCAAACCCCAAACCCCAAATCCCAAACCCCAAACCCCAAACCCCAAATCGCACCCCAAACCCCAACTCCAAAAACCACCCAAACCCCAAACCCCAAACCCCAAATCCCAACTCAATCCTTACACCCCATCCCCAAATCCCACCCCAAACCCAAAAAACCACCTGAAATCCCATCCCAAACCCATCCCCAAACCCCAAACCCATCCCCAAACCCCAAACCCCAAATCCCACCCCAAAGACATCCCCAAACCCCAAACCCCAAACCCAAAACCCCCAACCCCCAAACCCCAAATCCCGTCCAAAACCCAACCCCACCCCAAACCCCACCCCAAACCCATTGCCAAACCCCAAACCCCAAACCCCAAATCCCACCCCGAATCCCACCCCAAACCCCAAATCCCAAACCCATCCCCAAATCCCATCCCAAACCCTAAACCCATCCCAGTCCCAAATCTCATCCCCAGTCCCAAATCCCACCCCAAACTCCAAACCCATCCCCAAACCCCACCACAAACTCCAAACCCCAAACCCCAAACCCCAAACCCAAACCCTAAACCCATCCCCAAACCCCAACCCCCAAACCCCAAACCCCATCCCGAATCTCCCCAAACCCCAAAGCCATCCCCAAATCTCACCCCAAACCCATCCCCAGCCCCCAAACCCCAAATCCCACCCCAAACCCCAAACCCCAACCCCCACACCCCAAACCCCAAACCCCAAACCCCAAATCCCCTAACCCCCAACCCCAACCCCAACCCCCAAATCCCACCCCAAAAACCCCCCAAACCCCAACGCGTCCTGCCCCGCGCAGCGTTCATGCGTGAGGAGATGGCCCAGCGCGAGCTGGCCGAGCTGCGCCGGGGCGGTTCCCGTCCTCGCCGGCCGCGGGGTTGGGGTCTGCTGGCGGCGCTGTGGCTGCTGACCTTCTACCAGCCCGTGGTGACCGAGGGCCACCTGCGGAGGAAGAACCTGGAGTTCATCTTCATCCGCTTCAGCGCCTGGGAGTTCGCCGGCTGCGACAAGCTCTGGGCGGGGCTGGTGACCACGCTGTGCCACCGCGTGCGCCGCCACTTCGGCGCGTTGCCGCTCAGCGTCTTCCACGTGTTGGGCTCGCGGCCGCGCTTCGCCGCCGGCGCCGAGCGCCGCGAGTGGGTGCTCAAAACCGGCGTGTGCCTGCGGCTCTGGGCGCTGCTGGCGGCGTTGGCCGGCGGCGTGGCCGTGCTGCTGGTGGCCCTCTTGGTGCCCGGCGTCAAGGATCACCGCGTCCTCAAGGCGGTGGGCGGCGCGGTGGCGTCGTTGTCGGGTTCCTCGCTGCTGTTGGGCGCGTTGTCCATCCTCAAGAACTTCCTGGTGAGCGAGAAGAAGAAGATCGAGCGGTTGACCAACAGCGACAGGTTTGCCGGGCAGTTGGGCTTCATGAGCAAGATCCGCGCCGAGGTGGAGGTGCTGGTGGATTATTTGGCCTTCATGGAAGTCTTCGAGCGGCGGCGGCTGCGCGTGGTGATGGAGATCATCGGGCTGGACCTCTGCTACCCGGAGAAGGTGGCGGGGGTGTTCAACGCCATGGCCACGCTGCTGTCGGACGCCAACGCGCCCTTCATCTTCCTGCTGGCCGTGGACCCCAGCGTCATCGTGCCGTGCCTGGAGCAGACGGGCTGCATGAAGGGGCTGGCGGACAACGGGTACCTGTACCTGAACCGCGCCGTCACGCTGCCCTTCTCCATCCCCGAGATGGGCGCGCGCTCCCGCCTGCGCAGCGTGGCCGCCGCCATCCGCACGCGCGAGGACCTCATGTCGCTCATCATCGCCGGCAACGCCGCCAAAACCCGTAACAACGGTTGTGGTGTTTCCGCGGCGGTTCCGGCGTCGCCCGGTTGGAAGGAGGCGGATTCGGAGGCGGTGGTGTGGATCCACGAGGCGTTCCGCTGCCTCCACGACGGTTCCGACATCTTGTGCCGGTACCTGCCGGAGAACGGCGCCAACGTCCGGCGCATCGTCAACACCATCCCCATCACGCTGCGGCTGCTGCTGCACCGCGCCGGCGGCGCCGCGCCGCTCTCGCCCCGCGCCGCGGCCGCGTGGGTGGTGCTGGCTGACCGCTGGCCGTGCCGCCTCAGCTGGACGCTGCAGTGCCTGGAGGACGCCGGGCAGAACATCGCGGTGTCACCATCATCATCATCATCATCGTTGGAGAGATCCTTGTGGAGCGTCTTCGAGGAGCACGCGGGCGAGCTGAGCGCGCTGCGGCAGCCGCTGGGCAAAGTGCTGAGCCTGGACGCCGATCCCGGCCTCTTCCAGGCCTTCCTGGCGCGGGATTTCCCCTTCGGCGCCCGCGAGGCGCGGCGGCTGCTCGGCGTCACCGTCAACCTGGACCACTCCATCCGGCAGCAGATGGGGCTGCTGCGGGCGCTGGCGCGGCTCGGCCGGGCGGCGCCGGTGAACCGCGGGGTGCAGTGCACGCCCTGCGCGCGGTGACGACGCAAGGATGGGATTGGGGTTGGGTTTGGGATGGGGATGAGTATTTGGGGTTGGGGTTGGGATGGGGATGAATATTTGAGGTTTGGATGACTATTTCGGGTTGGGGTTGGGGTTTGGGATGGGGATTTGGGGTTTGGATGAGTATTTGGGGTTGGGATGAGTATTTGGGGTTGGGATTGGGATTTGGGATGAGTATTTGGGGTTGGGATGAGTATTTGGGGTTGGGATTGAGATTTGGGATGAGTATTTGTGGTTTGGATGACTATTTGGGGTTGGGGTTGGGGTTTGGGATGAGTATTTGGGGTTGGGATTGGGATTTGGGGTTGGGATTTAGGATTTGGGGTTTGGGATTGGGATTTGGGATGAGTATTTGGGTTGGGCGGTGCCCGTGTTCTGCGCGTTGCAGTGCACGCCCTGCACGTGGTGACCCCGACGCGGCGGGATTGGGATTTGGGGTTTGGGGTTGGGATTTGGGGTTGGGGTTGGGATGGGGATGAGTATTTGGGGTTGGGATTGAGATTTGGGGTTGGGAGTTGGGATTTGGGGTTGGGAGTTGGGATTTGGGGTTGGGCGGCGCCGGTGAACCGCGGGGTGCAGCGCACGCCCTGCGCGCGGTGACCCCGACGCGGCGGGATTGGGGTTGGGGTTGGGATTTGGGATGGGGATTTGGGGTTGGGATTTGGGGTTGGGGTTGGGGTTGGGATGGGGATGAGTATTTGGGGTTGGGGTTGGGGTTTGGGATGAGTATTTGGGGTTTGGATGAGTATTTGGGGTTGGGGTAGGGATTTGGGGTTGGGATTTGGGGTTGGGTTGTGACCGTGTCCCGCGTGGTGCAGTGCCCACCCTGCGCGCGGTGACGCCGATGGGGATGGGATTTGGGGTTGGGGTTGGGGTTTGGAGTTGGGATTTGGGGTGGGAATTGGGATTTGGGATGAGTATTTGGGATTGCGATTTGGGGTTGGGATTTGGGGTGGGAGTTGGGATTTGGGGTTGGGTGGCGCCGGTGACCCGTGGGGTGCAGTGCACGCCCTGCGCGCGGTGACGCCGATGGGGATGGGATTTGGGATTTGGGATGGGATTTGGGGTTTGGGTGAGAATTGGGATTTGGGATGGGGATTTGGAATTTAGGAGTTGGGATTTGGGATTTGGGGTTGGGATTTGGGGTTGGGTTGTGACCGTGTCCCGCGTGGTGCAGTGCCCGCCCTGCGCGCGGTGACGCCGGTTGGGATGGGATTTGGGTTGGGATTGGGGTTTGGAGTTGGGATTTGGGGTTGGGATGAGTATTTGGGATGAGTATTTGTGGTTGGGATGAGTATTTGGGGTTGGGGTTGGGATTTGTGATGAGTATTTGGGGTTGGGATTGGGGTTTGGGATGACTATTTGGGGTTGGGGTTGGGATTTAGGAGTTGGGAGTTGGGATATTTGGGGTTGGGATTGCGATTTGGGGTTTGGGGTTGGGATTTGGGGTTGGGATTGGGATTTGGGATTGGGATGAGTATTTGGGGTTGAGATTGGGATTTGGGGTGGGAATTGGGGACGGGCGGCGCCGGTGACACGCGGGGTGCAGTGCACGCCCTGCGCGCGGTGACGACGCAAGGATGGGATTTGGGATGGGGATTTGGGGTTGGGATTGGGATTTGGGATGAGTATTTGGGATTTGGGGTTGGGATTTGGGACGGGCGGCGCTGGTGAACCGCGCGGTGCAGTGCGCGCCCTGCGTGCGGTGACGACACAAGGATGGGATTGGGGTTGGGATTTGGGGTTGGGGTTTGGGATGAGTATTTGGGGTTTGGATGAGTATTTGGGGTTGGGGTTGGGGTTGGGATTTGGGATGAGTATTTGGGGTTTGGGATGAGTATTTGGGGTTTGGATGAGTATTTGGGGTTGGGATGAGTATTTGGGGTTTGGATGAGTATTTGGGGTTGGGATGAGTATTTGGGGTTGGGGTTGGGATTTGGGGACGGGCGGCGCCGGTGAACCTCGCGGTGCAGTGCACGCCCTGCGCGCGGTGACGTCGGTGGGGATGGGATTGGGGCTGGGGTTGGGATTTGAGATGAGTATTTGGGGCTGGGATTGGGATGGGGATGAGTATTTGGGGTTGGGGTTGGGGTTTGGGTTGAGTATTTGGGGTTGGGATGAGTATTTTGGGGTTGGGGTTGGGATTTGGGGTTGGGATTGGGGTTTGGGATGAGTATTTGAGGTTGGGATTGGGATTTGGGGTTGGGATTTAGGATGAGTATTTGGGGTTGGGATTGGGATGGGGATGAGTATTTGGGGTTGGGATTTGAGGTGGGAATTTGGGATGAGGATTTGGGATTTGGGGTTTGGGATTTGTGATTTGTGACAGGGATTGGGAATGGCATCAAGTTTTGTGATCGAGATTTGGGATTTGGGGTTGGGATTTGGGATCAGGATTCGAGATTTGGGATTTGGGACTGGGATCAGGATTGGCATCAGGATTTGGGATTTGGGATTGGGATCCGGGATCTGAGATCAGGATTGGCATCGGGATTTGGGATTGGGAATGGCATCAGGATTTGGGATTTGGGATCAGGAATGGCACCAGGACTTGGGATCAGGAAGTGCACCAGGGTTTGGGATCAGGATTTTGGGATCAGTAATTGCACCAGGATTTGGGATTGGGATTTGGAATCAGGAATTGCCCCAGGATTTGGGATCGGGATTTGGGATCAGGAATGGCACCAGGATTTGGGATCGGGATTTGGGATCAGGAATTGCACCAGGATTTGGGATCAGGAATTGCACCAGGATTTGGGATCAGGATTTGGGATCAGGAATTGGACCAGGATTTGGGATCAGGATTTGGGATCAGGAATTGGACCAGGATTTGGGATCAGGAATTGCACCAGGATTTGGGATCAGGATTTGGGATCAGGAATGGGATCCGGACCCCCCCCAAGGGCAGGGAGAGCTCCTGGAGGATTTGGGGATCCTTTTAGGGGAACCGGGATTGGGAATTCTGGGGTTTTATCCCAGAACTGCGATCCAGAAGGGGACTGGGATGATCCAGAGGGAATTCCCAGGTTTTATTCCCAGTTTTTGTCCCTGGGAGATGCTGGAGGGGTTTGGGATGATCCAGAGGGAATTCCCAGGTTTTATTCCTGATTTTTGGAGATGTTGGAAGGGTTTGGGAAGATCCAGAGGGAATTCTTTGGGTTTATTCCCGTTTTTTGTCCCTGGGAGATGCCGGGAAAGACGGGGATTGGGAATTCCGGGGTTTTGATCCCGGATTTCGGAGGTGCTGGAGGGGACTGGGATGATCCAGAGGGAATTCCGGGCTTTTATTCCCAGTTTTTGTCCCTGGGAGATGCTCGGAGGGGACCGGGATGATCCCAAAGCTCCCAGAATCCGAGGGAATTTTGATCCCTCCCACAAATCCCCGACCCTGAGACATTTTTGGGATCTCTTCCCAAAATCTGGGCCTTTTTGGGAAGGAAAATCAGGAAAATTCCCCAAAAAAGCCCCAAATTTGGGTCATTCCCACCCAGAATTCCCAGGAAAACCCCCCAGGATCATCCCCCAATAAAACAAGCTCCACCCCTGGTTCTGTATTTTGGGATTTTTTGGGATTTCCCGCCTGTTCCGGGTTTTTTTTTGGGGATTTCACCCCCCACCCCTCTCCCCAAATCCACAAATTCCCAAAATCCTGGAATTCCGGGATGAGCCCCCAAAAAGAGGGCGGGTGACGAATGCAGAATTCCTTTAATTAGAAAACAGCCGTTAACAAAAATTCCACCACGGGGAAAACAAAGGGAAGAAAAAAAACAACAAACAAAACACCCAAAAACCGGGAAAAGATGGAAAAAAAACCCACCCAAAAACCGGGAAAAGATGGAAAAAAAACCTACCCAAAAACTGGGAAAAGGCGGAAAAAAAACACCGAAAAACCGGGAAAAGACGGAAAAAAAAAACCACCCAAAAACCGGGAAAAGATGGAAAAAAACCCACCAAAAAAATGGGAAAAGACGGAAAAAAAACCCACCCAAAAACCGGGAAAAGATGGAAAAAAAACCACCCAAAAACGGGGAAAAGACGGAAAAAAACCCCCCAAAATCCCCAAAACCAAATCCCGGAAACACCAGCGAAAATTCCCGTCCGGAATATCGGGAATATCCCCCCGGAATTCCAACCCCGCCCCCTCAGCTCCCTGAAAGATTTTATTGCACTTAAGAAAGAAAAGCGACCCCCGGGAATTCCCCGGGAATTTTGGGAATTCCGGGCTGGGAGATCCCCGATTTCCACGACTCCGACTCCGGAAATTTGGGATGAACGAGGAATTCCAGCCCCTCCCTCTCCCCTTTTCCGCCTTCCCCGTTTTCCCGGGAATTCTGCGGCTGGTGATAAATAGAGACGGGGGAAAAATGGGAAAAAAACGGGAAAAAACGGGAAAAAACGGGAAAAAAATGGGAAAAAACGGGAAAAAAATGGGAAAAACGGGAAAAAAAAACAGGAAAAAAGGGGGATGAAATGGGAAAAAACGGGAAAAAATTCCCAAAGAAAGCAAAAGCACCGGAAAAGAAGGGAAATTAAAAATAAATAAAGCGTGGGGGCTGTGGGAGCAGCCGATCCCGGGATTCTGAGGGACGGAATTCCCAAATTCCGGCCGCTCCCGGTCCCTGTAGTGTCGCGGATCCCGCCGGGAATTCCCGGGAAATCGGGAAGGCGCAGCCCCGGCTCCTTCCCTGCCCCTCGGAGGAGGGAAAAGTCGGGAAAAATCGGGAAAAAAACTCGGGAAAAATCCGTTTTTTGTGGGTTTTTTTGTCTTTGTTTTTCTTTCTCTCTCCCACGAAAAGTCCCGAAATTCCCGAGGTTTGGTTGGAATCTTGTGCGGAGTGGGGGGAGGGGAAAGCGCCGGAGCCTCCCCCTCCAGGACCTGTGGGGAGAGAGAAAATACCAAAAATTCCCAGAAATTCCCAGAAATTCACGTAAATTCCCAGAAAATAAAAAAAATTCCCAGAAATTCCCATACATTCCTAGAAAATCCCCCAAATTCCCAGAAATTCCCGGAAATTCCCGGAAATTCCCGGAAAAATTCCCAGAAATTCCCCGAAATTCACGGAAATTCCCAGAAATTCACGGAAATTCCCCAAAATTCCCAGAAAATCCATAAAATTCCCAGAAAATCCCAAAAATTCCCAGAAATTCCCGGAAATTCCCAGAAATTCCCGTAAATTCCCAGAAAATCAACAAAATTCCCAGAAATTCCCCAAAATTCCCATAAATTCCCAGAAAATAAAAAAAAATTCCCAGAAATTCACAGAAATTCCCAGAAATTCCCAGAAATTCACGGAAATTCCCAGAAATTCTAAGAAATCCCAGGCCCGGGCAGAGAGGGAAGGCCGGGCTGGAATTCCCAGAAAATCCCCAAAATTCCCAGAAATTCCCATAAACTCCCAGAAAATCCACAAAATTCCCAGAAATTCCCAGAAATTCCCGTAAATTCCCGTAAATTCCCAGAAATTCCCGTAAATTCCCAGAAAGTCCCAAAAATTCCCAGAAATTCCCAGAAATTCCCAGAAATTCCCAGAAATTCCCAGAAATTCCCCAAAATTCCCAGAAATTCCGGTTTTTCCCGGCTCACCTGCGCTCACAGCGGCTCCGGCGCCGTGTCCTGGGCGGCCTCGCGGAGCAGCTCCCGCAATTCCTGCAATTCCTGCAATTCCTGCAATTCCTGCAATTCCTGCAATTCCTGCAGCTCCTGCAGCTCTGCGGGGGGACACGGAACCTTCCAGAACCATTCCCGGAATTCCCGGCCCAGGGAGCCGGGATTTCCCCCACTCCTTTCCCAGATTTTCACCCCAATTCCTGTTCCTTCCCTGTTTATTTACCCCAATTCCAGCTGCATTCCCAGATTTTCCTGTTCCCCACCCAAGGATTTGGGATTTTCCCACTCCTTTCCCAGTTTTCCCTGCTCTTTTCCCAGTTTTTCACCCCAATTCCAGCTTCTTTCCCAATTTTCACCCCAATTCCAGCTGCATTCCCATTTTTCACTCCAATTCCAGCTGCATTCCCACTTTTCCACCCCAATTCCAGCTTCTTTCCCACTTTTTCACCCTAATTCCAGCTGCATTCCCAGTTTTTCCTGTTCCCAACCCAAGAATTTGGAATTTTCCCACTCCTTTCCCATTTTTCCACCCCAATCCCAGCTGCAATCCCACTTTTCTGCCCCAATCCCAGCTGCATTCCCAGTTTTTCCTTTCCCAACCCAGAGATTTGGAATTTTCCCACTGCTTTCCCAGTTTTTCCTGTTCTTTTCCCAGTTTTTCTGGCTCTTTTCCCAGTTTTTCACCCCAATTCCAGCTGCATTCCCAGATTTTCCCATTCCCAACCCAAGGATTTGGGATTTTCCCGCTGCTTTTCCCACTTTTCCACCCCAATTCCAGCTTCTTTCCCACTTTTCCACCCCAATCCCAACTTCTTTCCCAGTTTTTCAACCCAAATCCAGCTTCTTTCCCATTTTTCATCCCAATCCCAGCTGCATTCCCAGTTTTTCCTGTTCCCAACCCAAGGATTTGGGATTTTCCCACTCCTTTCCTAGTTTTTCCAGTTCTTTTCCCATTTTTCCCCGCTCTTTTCCCAGTTTTTCACCCCAATTCCAGCTGCATTCCCACTTTTCCTCCCCAATTCCAGCCGCATTCCCAGTTTTTCCTTTCCCAACCCAGAGATTTGGAATTTTCCTGCTCCTTTCCCACTTTCCCACCCCAATCCCAGCTCCATTCCCATTTTTCACCCCAATCCCAGCTGCATCCCCAGTTTTTCCCACTCCCAACCCAGAGATTTGGGATTTTCCTGCTTCTTTCCCATTTTTTCCCATTTCTGACCCAGAGATTTGGAATTTTCCCACTGCTTTCCCAGTTTTTCCAGTTCTTTTCCCAGTTTTTCTGGATCTTTTCCCACTTTCCCACCCCAATCCCAGCTGCATTCCCACTTTTCCTCCCCAATTCCAGCCGCATTCCCAGATTTTCCCATTCCCAACCCAAGCATTTGGGATTTTCCTGCTTCTTTCCCATTTTTTCCCATTCCCAACCCAGAGATTTGGGATTTTCCCGCTGCTTTTCCCACTTTCCCGCCCCGATCCCACTTTTCTGCGCTCCGGAGCGGGCGGGGTCGGAATTCCGGGCTCTCACCGCGCTCGGCCGCGCCCGTTCCCGGTTTCCCGTCGCTCTCCGGGCCCGGCTCCGGCAGCGCCCGGGCGAAATCCGCCTTCAGCCCGTTGGGAAGCGGCGAATCCCGGGAGGGGCTCCCGCACGGAATTCCCTCGGAGGCGCCGGCCCGGCGCGGCCGCGGGTCGGGAACGGGATCGGATCCGATGGGAACGGCTCCAAGTCCATCGGGAACAATCCCAGATCCATCGGGAATGGGTCCAGATTCAATGGGAACGGCCCCGGATCCGACGGGAACGGCGCCAGATCCATCAGGAACGGGTCCGGATCCATCGGGAACGGCTCCAAGTTCATCGGGAACAATCCCAGATCCATCGGGAACAGCCCCGGATCCGACGGGAACGGCCCCGGATCCATCGGGAACGGCCCCGGAGCCATCGGGAATGGGTCCGGATTCGATGGGAACGGCCCTGGATCTGACGGGAACGGCTCCGGATCCAATGGGAACAGCTCCAAGTTCATCGGGAACAATCCCGGATCCATCAGGAATGGCCCCGGATCCATCGGGAATGGTTCCGGATTCGATGGGAACGGCCCCGGATCCGACCGGAACGGCCCCGGATCCATCGGGAACAATCTTGGATCCACCGGGAATGGCCCCGGATCCATCGGGAATGGGTCCGGATCCAACGGGAACGGCAACAAATCCATCGGGAATGGCTCCAAGTCCATCGGGAACAATCCCAGATCCAACAGGAACAATCTTGGATCCATCAGGAACAATCCCAGATCCATCAGGATCAATCCCAGATCCAACAGAAAGGGCCCCAGATCCATCGGGAATGGCTCCAAATCCATCGGGAACGGCACCGGGTGCGATGGGATCGGCGCCGGATCCAACGGGAACAATCCCAGATCCAACGGGAATGGGGCCGGATCCATCGGGAACAGCGCCAGATCCAACGGGAATGGAGCTGGATCCATTGGGAACAACCCCAGATCCATCGGGAACGGCCCCGGATCCTTTGGGAACGGCTCCAAATCCATCGGGAACAACCCTGGATCCATCAGGAATGGTGCCGGATCCATCAGGAACGGCTCCAAATCCATCGGGAACGGTGCCGGATCCATCGGGAACGGCCCCGGATCCATCAGGAATTGTCCCAGATCCATCGGAAGCGGCGCCAGATCCACCAGGAACAGTCCCAGATTCCTTGGGAATGATCCCGGATTCCTTGGGAATGACCCCGGATTCCTTGGGAACGACCCCGGATTCCTTGGGAACGACCCTGGATTCCTTGGGAATGACCCCGGATTCCTCGGGAATGACCCCGGATTCCTTGGGAACGACCCCGGATTCCTCGGGAATGACCCCGGATTCCTTGGGAACGACGCCGGATCCCTCTGGAACGTTCTCCACCCGCGTCACCACAAAGATCTTGCGGCCCCTGCCGGGGCTGGAGACGGAAATCCTGCGCTCGGCATTCCCGGAATTCCTGGAATTCCCGGAATTCCCAGATTCCACAACCTCCCTGGAGCCCTTCTCCCCATCCTCCTCCTCCTCCTCCTCCTCCTCGGTGTCCGAGCTGGAATCTCCGGCCGGAGCCGCGTTCCCGTTCTCCTCCGGGGCGGGCGAGGCGGCGCCGCCGGGAATTCCGGGATCCTCGGGAATTCCGGGATCCTCAGGAATTCCGGGATCCTCGGGAATTCCGGGATCGGAGATCTCGGCCATGGAGGCCGAGTGCCGGAGCTGCTCCTGCTCCTCCTTCTCCTTGGCCAGGATGAAATTCCGCTTGCAGCCGTTCTGGATCTCGGCCAGCAGCGCCTTCTGCGTCTCCAGGAAGCTCTTCACCTGCCGGGAAAAATCCGGGAATGTCGGGAAAATCCCGGAAAAAACCCCGGGAAAATCCGGGGAAAACCCCGGGAATTACGGCGCTCCCACCCCGCGCTGCGCTTTGGTGGCGCTGGCCCTTTAAGAGAGGGAAATGCGGAATTTTGGGGCTTTTCCCCAATTTTTCGGGGGTTCTGGATCGGGATTTGGGATTCCAGAGGGGGTCGAAGGATGGAGATTCCCGGAATTCCCAAAATTCCTGCTGGGAAATGGGGAAATCCGCGGGATCCGGATTTAAAAAAAACGGGTTTTTCCCACAGGGAAAAGACACCCAAAAAATGTGGGAATGCAAAGGATCGGATGCTGGAGATTCCCAAAATTCCTGGAGCTGGGAATGATCCCTTATCCCCAAAAACCCCGGGGTTTAATTCCTGGGAAAACTTGGCAAATCCAAGGAAAATCCTGGAAAAACCTGGAAAACCCCATCAGGAACCAACCCCAAAACCCCAAAGCCTCCAGCGCCGCTTCCCGCTCCGGGAATGCCCCAAAATATCGGAATTTTTTGGGGAATTTCAGGAATTTTTGGGGGAATTTCAGGAATTTCCAGGGGGATTGCAGGAATTTTTTTTAATTCCATGAATTTTTTGGGAATTCTGGGAATTCTTAGGCTTGTACTCAAATCCTCAAACCCCCGACATCGGAGGCGCCGCTTCCTGCTCCAGGAATGCCCCAAAATCTTGGAATTTCAGGGGAATTTCTTGTGGAATTTTGGGAAATTTGTTGGAATTCCATGAATTTTTGCAGAATTCGTTAGGAATTCCATGACTTCTTTGGGAATTCTGGTAGTTCTCAGGCTGGTGCTTGAATCCCAAACCCCCAATGCCTCCGATGCCGCTTCCCGCTCCGGGAACACCCCAAAATATCGGAATTTTTGGGGGAATTTCAGGAATTTTGGGGGGAATTTCAGGAATTTCTAGGGGGATTGCAGGATTTTTTAAAAATTCCATTAATTTTTTGGGAATTCTGGGGATTCTTAGGCTCGTACTTGAATCCCCAATCCCCGACACCTCCGGCGCCGCTTCCCACCCCGGTAACGCCCCAGAACCGCGGGGATTTTTGGGAATTCCCAGATTTTCTTGGGAATTCCAGCAATTTTTTGGGGAATTCCGGGAATTTTTCAGGAATTCCAGGATTTTTTTGGGGGAATTTTGGGACACAGCACCTCCTCCTCCAGCTCATCCTCAAACCGACCCCCAAAACCTCCGGCGCCGCTTCCCACCCCGGGAATGCTCCAGAACCGCGGGGATTTTTGGGAATTCCCAGATTTTCTTGGGAATTCCAGCAATTTTTTTGGGAATTCTGGGGATTTTTTGTAAATTCCCAGAAATCTTTGGAATTCCATGAGTTTTTTGGGAATTCTGGGACAGAGCACCTCCTCCTCCAGCTCATCCTCAAACCGACCCCCAACACCTCCGGCGCCGCTTCCCGCTCCAGGAACGCCCCAGAACCGCGGGGATTTTTGGGAATTCCACGATTTTCCTTGGGAATTCCAGGAATATTTTTTTTTAAGGAATTCCAGGATTTTTTTAGGAATTTTTTTAGGAATATTTCACAATTCCAAGACACAGCACTCCCTCCTCGAGCTCATCCTCAAACCGACCCCCACCGCCTCCGGTGCCGCTGCCCGCCACAGGAATGCCCCAGAAATGCGGGAATTTTGGGAATTCCTAGAATTTTTTTGGGAATTCCGGGGATTTTTTGGACATTCCCAGAAATCTTTGGAATTCCATGAGTTTTTTGGGGGAATTTTGGGACACAGCACCTCCTCCTCGAGCTCATCCTCAAACCGACCCCCACCGCCTCCGGTGCCGCTGCCCGCCGCAGGAATGCCCCAGAAATGCAGGAATTTTGGGAATTCCTAGAATTTTTTTGGGAATTCCAGTAATTTTTTGGGAATTCCATGACTTTTTTGGGAATTCTGGGAATTCTTAGGCTTGTACTCAAATTCGAAACCCCCCAAAACCTCCGGCGCCGCTTCCCGCCCCGGGAACGCTCCAGAACCGCGGAGATTTTTGGGAATTCCACGATTTTCCTTGGGAATTCCAGGAATATTTTTTTTTAAGGAATTCCAGGAATTTTTTTAGGAATTTTTTTAGGAATATTTGGCAATTCTGGGACACAGCACCTCCTCCTCGAGCTCATCCTCAAACCAACCCCCCAAAACCTCCGGTGCCACTTCCCGCCCCGGGAACGCCCCAGAACCGCGGGGATTTTTGGGAATTCCCAGATTTCCTTGGGAATTCCAGGAATATTTTTTTTTGAGGAATTCCAGGAATTTTTTAGGAATTTTTTAGGAATTTTTTAGGAATTTTTTTAGGAATTTTTTAGGAATATTTGGCAATTCTGGGACAGAGCACCTCCTCCTCAAGCTCATCCTCAAACCAACCCGCAAAACCTCCGGCGCCGCTTCCCGCCCCAGGAACGCCCCAGAACCGCGGGGATTTTTGGGAACTCCACGATTTTCCTTGGGAATTCCAGGAAATTTTTAGGAATTTTTTAGGAATTTTTTAGGAATATTTGGCAATTCCAGGACAGAGCACTCCCTCCTCGAGCTCATCCTCAAACCGACCCCCAACACCTCCGGCGCCGGGAACGCCCCCACGGAACCGGGGGGGATTTTTTTTGTTTTTTGGGAATTGCGGGGGGATTTTTTGGGAATTTTGGGACGCACCGGCTCCTTCTTGGGCTCGCGGTCGAGGTCGAGGCGCAGCAGGGAGTGGTTGACGCGCAGCGCCAGGCTCAGCGCCATCAGCCCCCCGGTCTTGATGTCGTTCTCGCGCAGGTCCAGGCGCAGCAGCCGCGGGCTCTCGGCCACGAACTCCGCCACCGCCACCGCCCCTGACGGAAAAACACCGGATTTGGGGGGAAAAACGGGAATTAGGGGGGAAAACGGGAATTGGGGGGAAAATCCTGGGGATTTGGGGAAAAAATCCTGGGGATTTGGGGGGGAAATCCTGGGGATTGGGGGGGAAATTCTGGGGATTGGGGGGGAAATCCTGGGGATTTGGGGGGGAAATTCTGGGAAATCTGGAGGAAATTGTGGGAATTGGAGGCCCATCCCAAGTCCTTCAAGCCCATCTCGACTTTCCCAAACCCATCCCAACTTTCCCAAGCCCAACGTGAATTCTCCAAGTCCATCCCAACTTTTCCAGGTCCATCCCAACTTCTCCAAGTCCATCCCGACTTTTCCAGGTCCATCCCGACTTTCCCAAGCCCAACGTGAATTCCCCAAGCTCATCCCAACTTCTCCAAGTGCATCCTAAATTCCCCAAGCCCATCCCAACTTCTCCAGGTCCATCCTAACTTCTCCAAACCCATCCCAACTTTCCAAAATCCATCCCAACTTTTCCAGGTCCATCCCAATTTCTCCAAACCCATCCTGACTTTCCCAAGCCCATCCCGACTTTCCCAAATCCATCCCAACTTTTCCAGGTCTATCCCAACTTTCCCAAGCCCATCCCAACTTTCCCAAGCCCATCCCAAGTCCTCCAAGCCCATCTCAACTTTTCCAGGTCCATCCCGACTTTCCCAACCCATCCCGAATTCCCCAAGCCCATCCCAACTTTCCCAAGCCCATCCCAACTCCTCCAAGCCCATCCCGACTTTCCCAAATCCATCCCAACTTTTCCAGGTCCATCCCAACTTTTCCAGGTCCATCCCAACTTCTCCAAACCCATCCCAAATTTTCCAGGTCCCTCCCGACATTCCCAAGCCCATCCTGACTTTCCCAAGCCCATCCCAACTTCTCCACACCCCTCACGACTTTCCCAAGTCCATCCCAACGTTTCCAGGTCCATCCTGACTTTCCCAACCCATCCTAACTTTTCCAGGTCCATCCCAACTTCTCCAAGCCCATCCCAACTTTCCCAAACTCAACCTGAATTTCCCAAACCGACCCCGACTTCTCCAAGCCCATCCCAACTTTCCCGGGAATTGCCGGGAATGGGAGGGAAAATCCCGGGAATGGAGGGGGAAAATCCGGGAATGGGAGAGAAAACCCCGGTAACAGGAGGGAAAATCCCAGGAATTGAGGAGGGAAAATCCCGGGAACGGGAGGGAAAACCCCGGGAACTGGAGGGAAAATCCCAGGAATGGAGGGGGAAAATCCAGGAATGGGAGGGAAAATTCCGGGAATGGAGGGGAAATCCCGCGAATGGGAGGGAAAATCCCGGGAATGGAGGGGGAAATCCGGGAATGGGAGAGAAAATCTGGGAATGGAGGGGGAAATCTGGGAATGGGAGGGAAAATCTCAGGAATGGGAGGGAAAATCTATGGGAATGGAGGGGGAAAATCTGGGACTGGGAGGGAAAATCCCGGGAATGGGAGGGAAAATCCCAGGAATTGAGGGGGAAAATCCAGGGAATGGAGGGGAAATCACAGAATGGGAAGGAAAATCCGGGAATGGAGGGGGGAAATCCCAGAAATTGAGAGGGAAAATCTGGGGAATGGAGGGGGAAATCCCAGGAATTGAGAGGGAAAATCCCCAAATGGGAGGGAAAATCCTGGAATGGAGGGGGAAAATCCTGGGAATTGAGGGGGAAAACCCTGAATGGGAGGGAAAAATCCCAGGAATTGAGGAGGAAAATCCCGGGAACGGGAGGGAAAATCCCAGGAATGGGAGGGAAAATCTTGGAATGGGAGGGAAAATCCCGGGAATGAGGGGGAAAATCCCAGGAATTGAGGGGGAAAATCCCAGGAATGGAGGGGGGAAATCCGGGAATGGGAGGGAAAATCCAGGAATGGGAGGGAAAATCCCAGGAATTGAGGGGGAAAATCCTGGAATGGGAGGAAAAATCCCAGGAACGGGAGGGAAAATCCGGGGAATGGAGGGGGAAATCCGGGAATTGAGAGGGAAAATCCCGGAATAGGAGGGAAAATCCCAGGAATTGAGGGGGAAAATCCGGGAATAGGAGGGAAAATCCCGGGAACGGGAGGGAAAATCTGGGAATGGGAGGGAAAATACTGGGAATTGAGGGGAAAATCTGGGAACGGGAGGGAAAATCCCTGAATGAGAGAGAAAATCCCAGGAATGGAGGGGAAAATGCCGGGAATGGGAGGGAAAATACCAGAATGGGAGGGAAAATCTGGGAATGGAGAGGGAAATCTGGGAATGGGAGGGAAAATCCCGTGAACGGGAGGGAAAATCCTGGGAATGGAGGGAGAAAATCCCGGGAATGGAGGGGGAAAACCTGGGAATGGGAGGGAAAATCCTGGAATGGTAGGGAAAATCCCAGGAATGGAGGGGGAAAATCCCGGGAAAGGAGAGGGAAAATCTGGGAATGTGAGGGAAAATACTGGGAACGGAGGGGAAAATCCCAGGAATGGAGGGGGAAATGCCAGGAATGGGAGGGAAATCCCATAATGGGAGGGAAAATCTTGGAATGGGAGGGAAAATCCCAGGAATTGAGCAGGGAAATCTGGGAATAGGAGGGAAAATCCAGGGAATGGAGAGGAAATCCGGGAATGGAGATGGAAATCCTGGGAATTGAGAGGGGAAAATCCCAGGAACTGAGCAGGGAAATCTGGGAATAGGAGGGAAAATCCCAGGAATTGAGGGGGAAAATCCCAGGATGAGAGGGAAAATCCTGGGAATTGAGGGGGAAAATCCAGGGAATGGAGAAGAAATCCGGGAAGGGGAGGGAAAATCCTGAGAATGGAGGGGAAACCCGGGAATTGAGGGGGAAATCCAGGAATGGGAGGGAAAATCTCAGGAATGGGAGGAAAAATCCCGGTAACGGGAGGGAAAATCTCAGGAATTGAGGGGGAAAATCCCAGAATGGGAGGGAAAATCTCAGGAATGGAGGGGAAAATTTGGGAATGGGAGGAAAAATCCCGGGAATGCGCACCTTCGCAGGTGAGGCGGGTGCAGGCCAGCCCCAGGCGCAGCACGGAGCGGTTCCCGATCAAGCCGCTCTTCAGGTTGCGCACGCCCTCGTTCCCCAGCGCGTTGTGGCCCAAGTTCAGCGTCTCCAGGCTCTGCGTGTGCGGCTGCGGGAGCCCCGGAATCCGGGAAAAAACAGGGAAAATACGTGGGGATGCGGGGGAAAAACAGGGAAAATCCGTGGGGAAAAATTCGTGGGGATCCGGGGGAAAAATAGGGGAATACAGGGGGAAATCCAGGGGGAAAAAACAGGGGGAATACAGGGGAAAAAACAGGGGAAATCCAGGGGAAAAAACAGGGGAAATCCAGGGGAAAAAACAGGGGAAATCCAGGGGGAAAATCCAGGGGGATCCAAGGAAAATCCAGGGGAAAATCCATGGAAAACCAACAGAAACCAAAGAAAATCCCCGGAAAACCGAAGAAAACCCAAGGAAAACCAACAGAAACCAACAGAAACCCACAGAAAATGACAGAAAACCAAGGAAAACCCACGGAAAATCCATGGAAAATCCATGGAAAACCCAAGGAAAACCAACAGAAACCCACAGAAAACCCACAGAAAATCCATGGAAAATCCATGGAAAACCAACAGAAACCAACAGAAACCCACGGAAAACGACAGAAAACCAAGGAAAACCCACAGAAAACCCACGGAAAATCCATGGAAACCCAACAGAAACCAAATAAAATCCCCAGAAAACCAAAGAAAATATCCGGAAAACCACCAGAAATCCCCGGAAAACCAAAGAAAATCCATGGAAAACCAACAGAAACCCACGGAAAACGACAGAAAACCAAGGAAAACCCACAGAAAATCCATGGAAAATCCATGGAAAACCCAAGAAAAACCAACAGAAACCAAGGAAAATCCCTGGAAACCCAAAGAAAATCCATGGAAAACCAACAGAAACCAACAGAAAACCAAGGAAAACCCATGGAAAACCCACGGAAAACCCACAGAAAATCCATGGAAAACCCATGGAAAATCCATGGAAAACCCATGGAAAACCAACGGAAACCAAAGAAAATCCATGGAAAACCAACAGAAACCAACAGAAACCCACGGAAAATGACAGAAAACCAAGGGAAACCCATGGAAAACCCATGGAAAACCCAAGGAAAACTCAAGGAAAACCAACAGAAACCAAATAAAATCCCCGGAAAACCGAAGAAAACCCAAGGAAAACCTACAGAAACCAATAGAAACCCACGGAAAGTGACAGAAAACCAAGGAAAAGCCACAGAAAACCCATGGAAAATCCATGGAAAATCCATGGAAAACCAACAGAAACCAAAGCAAATCCCCGGAAAACCAAATAAAATCCATGGAAAACCAACAGAAACCAACAGAAACCCACGGAAAACGACAGAAAACCAAGGAAAACCCACCAAAAATCCATGGAAAACCCATGGGAAACCCATGGAAAACCCAAGGAAAACCAACAGAAACCAAAGAAACTCCATGGAAAACCAATGGAAAATCCATGGAAAATCCATGGAAAATCCATGGAAAACCCAAGGAAAACCAACACAAACCAAAGAAAATCCCCGGAAAACCGAAGAAAACCCAAGGAAAACCTACAGAAACCAATAGAAACCCACGGAAAATGACAGAAAACCAAGGAAAACCCACGGAAAATCCATGGAAAATCCACGGAAAACCCAAGGAAAACCAATAGAAACTCAAGGAAAACCCACAGAAAATCCATGGAAAACCAACAGAAACCCATGGAAAACAACAGAAAACCAAGGAAAACCCACGGAAAATCCATGGAAAAACCATGGAAAACCCAAGGAAAACCAACAGAAACCAAGGAAAATCCCCGGAAAACCGAAGAAAATCCCCGGAAACCCATCAGAAAATCCCGGAAAACCAAAGAAAATCCATGGAAAACCAACAGAAACCCACGGAAAACAACAGAAAACCAAGGAAAACCCACGGAAAATCCACAGAAACCCCACGGAAAATCCATGGAAATCGATAGAAAACCAAGGAAAATCCATGGAAACCCAAGGAAAACCAACAGAAACCAAAGAAAATCCCCGGAAAACCAAAGAAAATCCCCGTAAAACCAAATAAAATCCCTGGAAACCCAAATAAAATCCCCGGAAACCCAAAGAAAATCCCGGAAATCCACCACTGAACGGCCCGGAAGCGAGGATTCCGGCGTTTCCGCCGGGAATTCTCACCAGGGTCATTCCCAGATAGGCCATTCCGGCGTGGCTGAGCTGGTTGTTCCACAGCACCAACGTCACCAACCCCCGGCGCTGCTCCCGCAGCCCCTCGCAGATGTACGCCAGGCCTGGAAAAGCGGGAACGGCCCGGAATTCCCGGGAAAAACGGCGTCAGGGAAAAGCGGGAATGGCCCGGAAATCCCAGGAAAAACGGCGTCAGGGAATAGTGGGAATAGCCCGGAAATCCTGGGAAAAACGGCGTCAGGGAATGGCCCGGAAATCCCGGGAAAAACGGTGTCAGGGAAAAGTGGGAACGGCCCAGAAATCCCGGGAAAAACGGCGTCAGGGAATGGCCCGGAAATCCCGGGAAAAACGGTGTCAGGGGAAAGCGGGAATAGCCCGGAAATCCCGGGAAAAACGGCGTCAGGGAAAAGTGGGAATGGCCCGGAAATCCCGGGAAAAACGGCGTCAGGGAATGGCCCGGAAATCCCGGGAAAACGGGCATCAGGGAAAAGCGGGAATGGCCCGGAAATCCCGGGAAAAACGGCGTCAGGGAAAAGTGGGAATGGCCCGGAAATCCCGGGAAAACGGGCATCAGGGAAAAGCGGGAATGGCCCGGAATTCCCGGGAAAAACGGCGTCAGGGAAAAGCGGGAATAGCCCGGAAATCCCGGGAAAACGGGCATCAGGGAAAAGCGGGAATGGCCCGGAAATCCCGGGAAAAACGGCGTCAGGGAAAAGTGGGAATGGCCCGGAAATCCCGGGAAAACGGGCATCAGGGAAAAGCGGGAATGGCCCGGAATTCCCGGGAAAAACGGCGTCAGGGAAAAGCGGGAATAGCCCGGAAATCCCGGGAAAAACGGCGTCAGGGAAAAGTGGGAATGGCCCGGAAATCCCGGGAAAATCGGCATTAGGGAATAGCGGGAATGGCCCGGAAATCCCGGGAAAACGGCGTCAGGGAATGGCCCGGAAATCCCGGGAAAACCAGCAGCAGGGAATGGCCCGGAAATCCCAGGAAAACGGCGTCAGGGAAAAGCGGGAATGGCTCGGAAATCCTGGGAAAACGGGCATCGGGGAAAAGTGGGGATAGCCCAGAAATCCCGGGAAAAACGGTGTCAGGGAAAAGTGGGAATAGCCTGGAAATCCTGGGAAATCAGCGTCAGGGAATGGCCCGGAAATCCCGGGAAAATGGGCATCAGGGAAAAGCGGGAATGGCCCGGAAATCCCGGGAAAAACGGCGTCAGGGAAAGTGGGAATGGCCCGGAAATCCCGGGAAAAACGGCGTCAGGGAAAAGTGGGAATAGCCTGGAAATCCTGGGAAATCAGCGTCAGGGAATGGCCCGGAAATCCGGGGAAAATGGGCATCAGGGAAAAGCGGGAATGGCCCGGAAATCCCGGGAAAACGGCGTCAGGGAAAAGCGGGAATGGCCCGGAATTCCCGGGAAAAACGGCGTCAGGGAAAAGCGGGAATAGCCCGGAAATCCCGGGAAAAACGGCGTCAGGGAAAAGCGGGAATGGCCCGGAAATCCCGGGAAAAACGGCGTCAGGGAAAAGCGGGAATGGCCCGGAAATCCCGGGAAAAACGGCGTCAGGGAAAAGCGGGAATAGCCCGGAAATCCCGGGAAAAAACGGCGTCAGGGAAAAGCGGGAATAGCGCGGAAATCCCGGGAAAACGGGCAGCAGGGAAAAGCGGGAATGGCCCGGAAATCCCGGGAAAAACGGCGTCAGGGAATAGTGGGAATGGCCCCGAAATCCCGGGAAAACGGTGTCAGGGAATGGCCCGGAAATCCCGGGAAAACGGCGTCAGGGAAAAGCGGGAATGGCCCGGAAATCCCGGGAAAACGGGTGTCAGGGAAAAGCGGGAATAGCCCGGAAATCCCGGGAAAAACGGCGTCATGGAATAGCGGGAATGGCCCGGAAATCCCGGGAAAAACGGCGTCAGGGGAAAGCGGGAATGGCCCGGAATTCCCGGGAAAAACGGCGTCAGGGAAAAGCGGGAATGGCCCGGAATTCCCGGGAAAACGGCGTCAGGGAATGGCCCGGAAATCCCGGGAAAAACGGCGTCAGGGAAAAGTGGGAAGAGCCCGGAAATCCCGGGAAAAACGGCATCAGGGAATGGCCCGGAAATCCCGGGAAAAACGGCGTCAGGGAATGGCCCGGAAATCCCGGAAAAACAGCATCAGGGAAAAGTGGGAATAGCCCGGAAATCCCGGGAAAAACGGCGTGAAGGAATAGTGGGAATGGCCCCGAAATCCCGGGAAAACGGTGTCAGGGAATGACCCGGAAATCCCGGGAAAAACGGCGTCAGGGAAAAGCGGGAATGGCCCGGAAATCCCGGGAAAAACGGTGTCAGGGAATAGCCAGGAAATCCCGGGAAAATGGGCATCAGGGAAAAGCGGGAATGGCCCAGAAATCCCGGGAAAAACGGCGTCAGGGAAAAGTGGGAATGGCCCGGAAATCCCGGGAAAAACGGCGACAGGGAAAAGCGGGAATGGCCCGGAAATCCCGGGAAATCGGGCATCAGGGAAAAGGCATGGAAAAACAGGGATCAGGGATTCCCAAACCCATTCCCAACCCCATTCCCACATTCCCAACCCCATTCCCACATTCCCAACCCCATTCCCAACTCCCATTCCCACATTCCCAACTCCCATTCCAAACCCCATTCCCACATTCCCAAACCCCACAATTCCTGTCATTCCCGGTGGGAATTCCCATTATTCCCATTATTCCCATTATTCCCATTACTCCCATTATTCCCAGTTGAAACTCTTGTTACTCCCATTGTTATTCCCATCCGGAATTCCCGTCATTCCCACGATTCCCACTGTTATTCCCATCTGGAATTCCCGTGATTCCCGCTGTGATTCCCGCCGGGAATTCCGGCATTCCCACCGGAGTCGGTGAGGCGGTTGTTGCGCAGCTCCAGCCCGTTCCCACATTCCCAAACCCCACAATTCCCAAACCCCACAACTCCCATTACTCCCATTACTCCCGCTTGGAATTCCCGTCATTCCCATGCGGAATTCCCGTTATTCCCGCCGGGAATTCCCACCGGAGTCGGTGAGGTGGTTGTTGCGCAGCTCCAGCCCCTTCCCACATTCCCAAACCCCACATTTCCCATTACTCCCATTATTCCCATCTGGAATTCCCATTGTTATTCCCATCCGGAATTCCCATTATTCCCACCGGAGTCGGTGAGGTGGTTGTTGCGCAGCTCCAGCCCCTTCCCACGTTCCCAAACCCCACAATTCCCAAACCCCATAATTCCCATTACTCCCATTACTCCCGCTTGGAATTCCCATTTTTTCCAGCTGGAATTCCCGCGATTCCCGCTGTTATTCCCATCCGGAATTCCTGTCATTCCCACAATTCCCACTGTGATTCCCATCGGGAATCCCGGAATTCCAACCGGAGTCGGAGAGGTGGTTGTTGCGCAGCTCCAGCCCCTTCCCACGTTCCCAAACCCACAATTCCCAAACCCCACAATTCCCATTACTCCCATTACTCCTGCTTGGAATTCCCATTTTTTCCAGCTGGAATTCCCCCGATTCCCGCTGTTATTCCCATCCGGAATTCCGGAATTCCCACCGGAGTCGGCGAGGTGGTTGTTGCGCAGCTCCAGCCCCTTCCCACGTTCCCAAACCCCACAATTCCCGTGACTCCCATTGCTCCCATTGTTATTCCCCTCTGGAATTCCCATGATTCCCATTGTTATTCCCATCCGGAATTCCCATCCGGAATTCCCGGAATTCCCACCGGAGTCGGCGAGGTGGTTGTTGCGCAGGTCCAGGATCTGGATGCAGCCGTTGAACTTGAGCAGGTTCCCGATCTGCGCCGAGTCCTGCAGCCCGTTCAGCTTATTGTCGGCCAGGTACAGCTCCCGCAGCGCCACGTTCATCCTCAGCGCCGTGGCTGCCGGAAAACCGGGAATCAGCACCGGGAATAACCGGGAAATAACCGGGAAATAACCGGGAATAACGGGAATAACGGGAATAACGGGAATAACGGGAATAACGGGAATAACGGGAATAACGGGAATAACGGGAGCCCAGGCCATTGTCCGCCAGGTACAGCTCCCGCAGCGCCACGTTCATCCTCAGCGCCGTGGCTGCCGGAAAACCGGGAATCAGCACCGGGAATAACCGGGAATAACCGGGAAATAACCGGGAAATAATAACGGGAATAACGGGAATAACGGGAATAACGGGAATAACGGGAGCCCAGGCCATTGTCCGCCAGGTACAGCTCCCGCAGCGCCACGTTCATCCTCAGCGCCGTGGCTGCCGGAAAACCGGGAATCAGCACCGGGAATAACCGGGAATAACCGGGAAATAACCGGGAAATAATAACGGGAATAACGGGAATAACGGGAATAACGGGAGCCCAGGCCATTGTCCGCCAGGTACAGCTCCCGCAGCGCCACGTTCATCCTCAGCGCCGTGGCTGCCGGAAAACCGGGAATGAGCACCGGGAATAACCGGGAAATAACCGGGAATAACCGGGAAATAACCGGGAAATAACCGGGAAATAACGGGAATAACGGGAATAACGGGAATAACGGGAATAACGGGAGCCCAGGCCATTGTCCGCCAGGTACAGCTCCCGCAGCGCCACGTTCATCCTCAGCGCCGTGGCTGCCCGGAAAACCGGGAATGAGCACCGGGAATAACCGGGAATAACCGGGAAATAACCGGGAAATAACCGGGAATAACGGGAATAACGGGAATAACGGGAGCCCAGGCCATTGTCCGCCAGGTACAGCTCCCGCAGCGCCACGTTCATCCTCAGCGCCGTGGCTGCCGGAAAACCGGGAATCAGCACCGGGAATAACCGGGAAATAACCGGGAAATAACCGGGAAATAACCGGGAAATAACCGGGAAATAACGGGAATAACGGGAATAACGGGAGCCCAGGCCATTGTCCGCCAGGTACAGCTCCCGCAGCGCCACGTTCATCCTCAGCGCCGTGGCTGCCGGAAAACCGGGAATCAGCACCGGGAATAACCGGGAAATAACCGGGAAATAACCGGGAAATAACGGGAATAACGGGAATAACGGGAATAACGGGAGCCCAGGCCATTGTCCGCCAGGTACAGCTCCCGCAGCGCCACGTTCATCCTCAGCGCCGTGGCTGCCGGAAACCGGGAATGAGCACCGGGAATAACCGGGAATAACCGGGAAATAACCGGGAAATAACCGGGAATAACGGGAATAACGGGAATAACGGGAGCCCAGGCCATTGTCGGCCAGGTACAGCTCCCGCAGCGCCACGTTCATCCTCAGCGCCGTGGCTGCCGGAAAACCGGGAATGAGCACCGGGAATAACCGGGAAATAACCGGGAATAACCGGGAATAACCGGGAAATAACCGGGAAATAACGGGAATAACGGGAATAACGGGAGCCCAGGCCATTGTCGGCCAGGTACAGCTCCCGCAGCGCCACGTTCATCCTCAGCGCCGTGGCTGCCGGAAAAACGGGAATCAGCACCGGGAATAACCGGAATAACCGGGAAATAACCGGGAAATAAACGGGAAATAATCGGGAAATAACCAGGAAATAATCGGGAAATAACCGGGAAATAACCGGGAAATAACCGGGAAATAACCGGGAATCAGCACCGGGAATAACCGGGAAATAACCGGGAAATAACCGGGAATCAGCACCGGGAATAACCGGGAAATAACCGGGAAATAACCGGGAAATCACCGGGAAATCACCGGGAAATAACCGGGAAATAACGGGAATAACGGGAATAACGGGAATAACGGGAGCCCAGGCCATTGTCCGCCAGGTACAGCTCCCGCAGCGCCACGTTCATCCTCAGCGCCGTGGCTGCCGGAAAACCGGGAATCAGCACCGGGAATAACCGGGAAATAACCGGGAAATAACCGGGGAATAACGGGAATAACGGGAATAACGGGAGCCCAGGCCATTGTCCGCCAGGTACAGCTCCCGCAGCGCCACGTTCATCCTCAGCGCCGTGGCTGCCGGAAACCGGGAATCAGCACCGGGAATAACCGGGAATAACCGGGAAATAACCGGGAAATAACCGGGAAATAACCGGGAAATAACGGGAATAACGGGAATAACGGGAATAACGGGAATAACGGGAATAACGGGAGCCCAGGCCATTGTCGGCCAGGTACAGCTCCCGCAGCGCCACGTTCATCCTCAGCGCCGTGGCTGCCGGAAAACCGGGAATGAGCACCGGGAATAACCGGGAATAACCGGGAAATAACCGGGAAATAACCGGGAATAACGGGAATAACGGGAATAACGGGAATAACGGGAGCCCAGGCCATTGTCCGCCAGGTACAGCTCCCGCAGCGCCACGTTCATCCTCAGCGCCGTGGCTGCCGGAAACCGGGAATCAGCACCGGGAATAACCGGGAAATAACCGGGAAATAACGGGAATAACGGGAATAACGGGAATAACGGGAATAACGGGAATAACGGGAATAACGGGAGCCCAGGCCATTGTCCGCCAGGTACAGCTCCCGCAGCGCCACGTTCATCCTCAGCGCCGTGGCTGCCGGAAAACCGGGAATCAGCACCGGGAATAACCGGGAATAACCGGGAAATAACCGGGAAATAACCAGGAATAACGGGAATAACGGGAATAACGGGAATAACGGGAGCCCAGGCCATTGTCGGCCAGGTACAGCTCCCGCAGCGCCACGTTCATCCTCAGCGCCGTGGCTGCCGGAAAACCGGGAATGAGCACCGGGAATAACCGGGAAATAACCGGGAAATAACCGGGAAATAACCGGGAATAACCGGGAAATAACCGGGAAATAACCGGGAAATAACCGGGAAATAACCGGGAAATAACCGGGAATGGGAATGGGAAATAACCGGGAATGGGGCCGGGATTGTCACCAGCAACGGCAGGAAAATGGGCGGGAAAATGGGAAAAATGGGTGGAAAAATGGGGAAAAATGGATGGAAAAATGGGTGGAAAAATGGAGGGGAAAATAGAAAAAATTAATGGGAAAATGGGGAGAAAATAGATGGAATAATAGGAAAAATGGGGAAAATTGACGAAAAATGGGGAAAATGGGTGGGAAAATGGGTGGAAAAAGAGGAAAAATGGGGAAAATTGTCGGAAAATGGGTGGAAAAACGGGAAAATTGATGGGAAAATGAATGGAATAATGGGGAAAACTGATGGAAAATGGGAAAAAATGGATGGAAAAATAGAAAAAATGGATGGAAATATGGGAAAAAATGGGTGGAAAAAGAGGAAAAATGGGGAAAATGGATGGAAAATGGGGAAAATGGATGGAAAATGGGGAAAATGGATGGGAAAATGATGGAATAATGGGGAAAACTGATGGGAAAATGGGAAAAAATTGATGGAAAAATAGAAGAAAATGGATGGAAAATGGGTGGAAAAATGGATGGAAAATGGATGGAAAAATGGAAAAAAATGGATGGGAAAATGGGTAGGAAAAATGGATGGAAAAATGGGAAAAAATGGGTGGAAAAAGGGGAAACATGGGGAAAATTGACGGAAAATGGATGGAAAAATGGGAAAAATTGGGAAAATTGACGGAAAATGGATGGAAAAAGGGGAAAATGGGGAAAATTGATGAAAATGGATGGAAAAATGGGAAAATGGGGAAAATTGATGGAAAATCGGGAAAATGGATGGAAAAATGGGAAAAATGGAGAAAATGGATGGAAAAACGGGAAAAATGGGGAAAATTGACGGAAAATGGGTGGAAAAACGGGAAAATTGATGGGAAAATGAATGGAATAATGGGGAAAACTGATGGAAAACGGGAAAAAATTGATGGAAAAATGGATGGAAAATGGGTGGAAAATGGGTTGGAAAACGGGTGGAAAAATGGATGGAAAAATGGGAAAAATTGACAGAAAATGGGGAAAATGGATGGAAAAACGGGGAAAATGGGGAAAATTGACAGAAAATGGATGTAAAAACGGGAAAAATGGGGGAAATTGATAGAAAATGGGTGGGAAAATGGGTGGGAAAATGGGTGGAAAAATGGATGGAAAAAGAGGAAAAATGGGAAAAATTGACGGAAAATGGATGTAAAATGGGACAAATGGGGGAAATTGACGGAAAATGGATGGAAAAAGGGGAAAAATGGGGAACATTGACGGAAAATGGGGAAAATGGATGGAAAAAGGGGAAAATTGGGGAAAATTGACGGAAAATGGGGAAAATGGATGGGAAAATGGGAAAAAAATGGATGGAAAAAATGGGAAAAAATGCATGGAAAAAGGGGAAAAAGGGGAAAATTGACGGAAAATGGGGAAAATGGACGGAAAATGGGGAAAATTGATGGAAAAATGGGGAAAATGGAGGGAAAACCAGGAAAAATGGGGAAAATTGAGGGAAATGGATGGAAAATGGGAAAAATTGGGAAAATTGACGGAAAATGGGGAAAATGGATGGAAAAAGGGGAAAAATGGGGAAAATTGACGGAAAATGGGGAAAATGGATGGAAAAACGGGAAAAATTGACGGAAAATGGATGGAAAAATGGGAAAAATGGGGAAAATTGACGGAAAATGGATGGAAAAAGGGGAAAAATGGAAAAAATTGACGGAAAATGGGGAAAATGGATGGAAAAATGGGGAAAATGGAGAAAATGGATGGAAATGGGTGGAAAAACGGGAAAATTGATGGGAAAATGAATGGAATAATGGGGAAAATGGATGGAAAAATGGGAAAAATGGGGAAAATTGACGGAAAATGGGGCAAATGGATGGAAAAACGGGGGAAATTGAGGGTAAATGGATGGAAAACAGGAAAAATGAGGAAAATTGACGGAAAATGGGAAAAATTGATGGAAAAATGGGAAAAAATTGATGGAAAATGGGAAAATGGATGGAAAACCAGGAAAAATTGGAAAAATTGACAGAAAATTGATGGAAAACCGGGAAAAACAGCGAATATTCCCAACAGCCCCTCCCCTCCCCCACCGCAAACCCCTTTAACCCCTTCCTCCCCACCTCCCTGCCGTGCCGGGGGCTCCCGGGAATTCCGGAATTTGGGGAATTTTGGGAATCTGACCGAGCAGCATGAGGGGCCTCCCGGACAGGGCGGTGTTCTCCAGGTGCAGCACGGTCAGGCTGCTGCTGATGCGCAGCGCCCGCGCAACCAGCGGCGCAGACGGCTCCAGCAGCGGCGTGTTCCGCGCGTCCAGGAACTGCAGGCAGCTGGTCTGGGGGGAAATCGGGAATTTGGGGTCAGGATTTGGGATTTGGGGTCAGGATTTGGGATTTGGGATGGGTTCTGACCCCCCCAGGAGCTGCAGGCAGCTGGTCTGGGGGAAAAATGGGAATTTGGGGTCGGGATTGGGGATTTGGGGTCAGGATTTGGGATTTGGGGTCAGGATTTGGGATTTGGGGTTTGGGACCCCCCCAGGAACTGCAGGCAGCTGGTCTGGGGGGAAATCGGGAATTTGGGATTTGGGATGGGTTCTGACCCATTCCAGGAACTGCAGGCAGCTGGTCTGGGGGGAAAATTTGGGAATTTGGGATTTGGGGTTGGGATTTGGGATTTGGGGTCAGGATTTGGGATTTGGGGTCAGGATTTGGGGTGGGTCAGGAGCTGCAGGCAGCTGGTCTGGGGGGAAAATGGGAATTTGGGATTTGGGATTGGGATTGGGATGGATCCTGACCCATCCCAGGAACTGCAGGCAGCTGGTCTGGGGGAAAAAAATGGAAATTTGGGATTTGGGATGGGTTCTGACCCCCCCAGGAACTGCAGGCAGCTGGTCTGGGGGAAAAACGGGAATTTGGGATTTGGGATGGGGATTTGGGATCGGTTCTGATTCCCCCAGGAACTGCAGGAAAAGAAATTCGGGATTTGGGGTTTGGGATGGGGATTTGGGACGAGTTCTGACCCATCCAGGAACTGCAGGAAAAGAAATTCGGGATTTGGAGTCAGGATTTGGGATTTGGGATGGGGATTTGGGATGGGTTCTGACCCCCCCAGGAACTGCAGGGAAAGAAATTCGGGATTTGGGGGTCAGGATTTGGGATTTGGGATGGGGATTTGGGATTTGGGACCCCCCCAGGAACTGCAGGCAGCTGGTCTGGGGGAAAATTTGGGATTTGGGATTTGGGATTGGAATTTGGGGTCAGGATTTGGGATTTGGGGTCAGGATTTGGCATTGGGACCCCCCCAGGAACTGCAGGCAGCTGGTCTGGGGGGAAATTCGGGATTTGGGATTTGGGATGGGGATTTGGGGTGGGTTCTGACCCATCCCAGGAACTGCAGGCAGCTGGTCTGGGGGAAAAATGGGAATTTGGGGTCAGGATTTGGGATTGGGATTTGGGATGGGTTCTGACCCCCCCCAGGAACTGCAGGCAGCTGGTCTGGGGGGAAAAAACGGGAATTTGGGGTCAGGATTGGGGATTTGGGGTCGGGATTTGGGATTTGGGGTCAGGATTGGGGATTTGGGGTCGGGATTTGGGATTTGGGGTCAGGATTTGGGATTTGGGATGGGTTCTGACCCCCCCAGGAACTGCAGGGAAAGAAATTCGGGATTTAGGATTTGGGATTGGGATTTGGGATCGGGAGACGCCTCTGGAGGGATCCCGACTGCCCTGGGGAACCCTGAACCAGGAAATTTGGGAAAACCTCCCAGAATTCCCAGATTTCCCAAAAATCCCGGATTTCCCAAACCCAGGGAATCCCCAAAAATTCGCACGGATCCAATCCCGGAGCTGGAATCCGAGCCAGGAAAAGTCTGGGACAAAAATCTGGGAATTCTGGGAGAGAATTTGGGAATTCTGGGAGAGAATTTGAGAATTCCAGAGAATTTTAAAATTCCAGTAGAAAATTTGGGAATTCTGGGAGAGAATTTGAGAATTCTGGAGAATTTTAAAATTCCAGAAGAAAATCTGGTAATTCTGGGAGAGAATTTGGTAATTCTGGGAGAGAATTTGGGAATTCTGGAGAATTTTAAAATTCCAGAAGAAAATTCGGGCATTTTGGGAGAGAATTTGGGAATTTCAGAGGAGAATTTGGGAATTCTGGGAGAGAATTTGGGAATTCTGGGAGAGAATTTGAGAATTCTGGAGAATTTTAAAATTCCAGAAGAAAATTCAGGAATGCTGGGAGAGAATTTGGGAATTTCAGAGGAGAATTTGGGAATTTTGGGAGAGAATCTGGGAATTCTGAGAGAGAATTTGGGAATTCTGGGAGAGAATTTGAGAATTCCAGAGAATTTTAAAATTCCAGAAGAAAATTCGGGCATTTTGGGAGAGAATTTGGGAATTTCAGAGGAGAATTTGGGAATTCTGGGAGAGAATCTGGGAATTCTGGGAGAGAATTTGAGAATTCCAGAGAATTTTAAAATTCCAGAAGAAAATTCGTGAATTCTGGGAGAGAATTTGGGAATTTCAGAGAATTTTAAAATTCCAGAAGAAAATTTGGGAATTCTGGGAGAGAAATTGGGAATTCCAGAGAATTTTAAAATTCCAGAAGAAAATTCGGGAATTCTGGGAGAGAATTTGGGAATTTCAGAGGAAAATTTGGGAATTCTGGGAGAGAATTTGAGAATTCCGGAGAATTTTAAAATTCCAGAAGAAAATCTGGGAATTCTGGGAGAGAATTTAGGAATTTCAGAGGAGAATTTGGGAATTCTGGAGGAGAATTTGGGAATTGAGGGGCAGATCCGGGAGCAGAAGTCCCAAACAATTCCCAAACAATTCCCAAACAATAATTCCAACGCCTCTGGAATTCCTGGGAGCGCCCCAAGGGAAATGAGGGGGTTGGGAAAGAACCGGAAAATCGGGATCGAGGTTGGGATAATTGGGATAATTGGGATAATTGGGATAATTGGGATAATTGGGGTGACAATATTCCGCCCTTTGTTTGGATAATTAACCCTTTGTTGGCAATAATTATCCCGGGAAAAGCTTCTCCCAGGGATGTTCCACCCTTTTTTTTGGGAATTTGGGGAATTTCAGGGAATTCCGGCAATGATTCCGTGGAATTTTGGGAATTTTGGGAATTCTCAGCCACTCTGAGCCCTCCCGGCCCCTCCCAGGCACAAAAACCCTCAGGAGTGGCTGAAATTCCCTGGAATTCCAGGAATTGGGGGGGAAAAAAATTGGGAATCTCAGGAATTTTGGGGGAAAACTCAGGAATTTTGGGATTTGGGGGAAAACTCAGGAATTTTGGGATTTGGGGGGAAAACTGGGGAATTTGGGGAATTTCAGGGAATAATTCACAGGAATTCTGGGAATTTTGGGAATTCTCACCTTCCTAATCACTGCCCCTCCCAGGGAACAGAAACCCTCAGGAACGCCGGGAATTTTGGGGGGAAACTCAGGAATTTTGGGAATTTGGGGGGAAAAACTGGGGAATTTGGGGAATTTCAGGGAGGAATTCCCAGGAATTTGGGGAATTTTGGGAATTCTCACCTTCCTCATCACCTCTGGCTCTCACCTGAGCCATCCCTGCCCCTCCCAGGGCACAGAATCCCTCAGGGAATCCCAGGAATTTTGGGGGAAAACTCAGGAATTTTGGGGGAAAACTCGGGAATTTTGGGGTAAAACTCAGGAATTTTGGGAATTTCGGGGACGAATTCCCAGGAATTTGGGGAATTTTGGGAATTCTCACCTTCCTCATCACCTCTGACTCCCACCTGAGCCATCCCTGCCCCTCCCAGGGTATAGGAACACTAGGAAACCCGGGAATTTTGGGGGAAAACTCAGGAATTTTGGGATTTGTGGGGAAAAACTCAGAAATTTGGGGAATTTCAGGGAGGTTTTCCCAGGAATTTGGGGAATTTTGGGAATTCTCACCTTCCTCATCACCTCTGGCTCCCACCTGAGCCGTCCCTGCCCCTCCCAGTGCACAGAATCCCTCAGGAACGCCGGGAACCCCGGGAATTTTGGGGGAAAACTGTGGAATTTTGGGAATTTGGGGGCGGAATTCCCGGGAATTGTGGGAATTTTGGGAATTCTCACCTTCCTCATCATGTGTGCGGCCGCCTGCTCCCACCTGAGTCATCCCTGCCCCTCACAGGCCACAGAATCCCTCAGGAACGCCGGGAATTTTGGGGGAAAACTGGGGAATTTTGGGAATTTGGGGGGAAAACTCAGGAAATTTGGGAATTTTGGGGCGGAATTCCCGGGAATTGTGGGAATTTTGGGAATTCTCACCTTCCTAATCACTTCTGCTGCCATCTGCTCCCACCTGAGCCATCCCTGCCCCTCCCAGGGCACAGGAACACTAGGAAACCCGGGGATTTTGGGGGGAAACTCAGGAATTTTGGGAATTTGGGGGGAAAAACTGGGGAATTTGGGGAATTTCAGGGAATAATGCACAGGAATTCTGGGAATTTTGGGAATTCTCACCTTCCTAATCACTGCCCCTCCCAGGGAACAGAAACCCTCAGGAATGCTCAGGGAACCCCGGGGATTTTGGGGAAAAACTGGGGAATTTGGGGAATTTGGGGGAAAAACTGGGGAATTTGGGGAATTTCAGGGAATAATTCCCAGGAATTTGGGAATTTCGGGAATTCTCACCTTCCTCATCATGTGTGCGGCCGCCTGCCAGCCGCGGGCCCCCAGGTGTTTGTTGGAGCCGATGTTGAGGTGCGTGGCCGACTCGTAGTACTCGATCATGTCGAACAGCGCCGAGGCCCCCTGGGAAAGAGCCGGGAAAACGTCGGAAAACAGCGGGAAAACGGCGGGAAAATCGCCGGGAAATCGTGGGGAAATTGTGGGGAAATCGTGGGGAAATCGTGGGGAGAATGTCGGGAAAATTGCCAGGAAATCGTGGGGAAAACAGTGGGAAAATCACCGGGAAATCACAGGGAAGTCATGGGGAAATCGTGGGGAAAACAATGGGAAAACATTGGGAAAATTGCCGGGAAATAATGGGGAAAATCGTGGGAAAACAGCAGGAAAATGTTGGGAAAATCGCCAGGAAATCACGGGGAAATTGTGGGAAAACAGCGGGAAAACGGCGGGAAAATCACCAGGAAATCGTGGGGAAATTATGGGGAAAACGATGGGAAAACGTCAGGAATATTGCCGGGAAATCATGGGGAAATCACAGGGAAATCGTGGGGAAATTGTGGGGAAATAATGGGGAAAATTGGGGAAAAATCATTGGAAAAATCATTGGGAAAATCATGGGGAAAACATGGGGAAATGGTGGAAAAACATTAGGAAAACATTGGGAAAATCGTGGGAAAATCATGGAAAAATCACGGGAAAACAGTGGGAATACACCGGGAAAATCACCAGAAAATTGTGGGGAAATCACCGGGAAAATTGTGAGAAAATAATGGGAAAATAGTGGAAAAATCATTGGGAAAATCATGGAAAAATCATGGGAAAATCATGGGAAAACCCCGAAAAAAACCATGGACAAATCCTGGAAAAAATTCAGTAAAATCCTGGGAAAATCAGGGAAAAATCCTGAGAAAATTGCAGAAAAAACCACAGGAAATTCCCAGGAAAATCAGGGGAAATCCTGGGAAAATCAGGGATAAACCCCAGAACAATCATGGAAAAACCCTGTAAAAAATCCCAGAAAAACCCTGTAAAAAATCCCAGAAAAACCCCATAAAAATCCCAGAAAAACCCTGTAAAAATCCCAGAAAAACCCTGGAAAAAACCTGGAAAACTCCCGGAAAAATCCGAAGCGTTGCAGGGAGTGGCCAAATGAAAAAGCACAGGAAAAAAAAAAACAAACAGTGGGAAAATCCCCCCAAAAAATCAAAAATCTGCGATGGGGCTGAGCCGGAATTCCTGAAAATGCCTAAAAAATTCCCGAAAATTCCCAAAAATTCCCAAAAATTCCCAAAAATTCCTGAGAATTGGGGCTCACGTCCTCGTCCAGGCTGGTGTGCTCCAGGTCGAGCAGTTTGAACTGGAGGCGTTTGAAGATCTCCTCCATGGCCTCGCAGGCGCGGTAATCCAACTTCTCCCCTGGAAAAACGGGAATGCCCCAGGGAAGTGCCGGGAATTCCCAGGAAATTCCCAGGAAATTCCCAGGAAATTCCTGAAAGAGTTCTGAGGAAGTCCCCAGAAAGTCCTGAGAAAGTCACGAGAAATTCCTGAGAAAATCCCCAGAAAGTCTTGAGAAATTCCCAGGAAATTCCTGAGGAATTCCTGAAAAAGTTCTGAGAAAGTTCCTAAAAATTCCTGAGAAATTCCTGAGAAAAATCCCCAGAAATTCCTGAGAAAATCCTGAGAAACTCCTGAGAAAATCCTGAGAAAGTCCCAGGAAATTCCTGAGAAAATCCTGAGAAAAATCCCCAGAAATTCCCAAAAAATTCCCAGGAAATTCCGGAGAAATTCCTGAGGAAATCCCCAGAAAGTCTTGAAAAATTCCCAGGAAATTCTGGAGAAATTCCTGAAAAAGATCTGAGAAAGTCCCCAGAAATTCTGGAAAAATTCCTGAGAAAATCCCCAGAAAGTCTTGAGAAATTCCCAGAAATTCCCAGCAAATTCTGGAGAAATTCCTGAAAAAGCTCTGAGAAAGTCCCCAGAAATTCCTGAGGAAATCCTGAGAAAACTCCCAGAAACTCCTGGGAAAGTCACGAGAAATTCCTGAGAAATTCTGAAGAAATTCCTGAAAAAGTTCTGAGGAAGTTCCCAGAAATTCCTGAGATATTCCCAGGAAATTCCTGAGAAAGTTCTGAGAAATTCCCACTAAAATTCCCGAAAAAATCCTGAGAAATTCCCAGGAAATTGCTGAGAAAATCTGAGAAATTCCTGAGATGTTCCTAAGGAACTCCTGAGAAAATCCTGAGAAAATCCCCAGAAATTCCTGAGAAATTCCCAGGAAATTCTGGAGAAAATCCCAAAAAAGTTCTGAGAAAGTTCCCAAAAATTCCTGAGAAATTCCTGAGAAAATCGCCAGAAATTCCTGAAAAATTCTGGGAAATTCCTGAGAAATTCCCAGAAATTCCCAGGGAATTCTGGAGAAATTCCTGAAAAAGTTCTGAGGAAGTTCCCAAAAATTCCTGAGAAATTCCTGAGAAAATCGCCAGAAATTCCTGAAAAATTCCCGGGAAATTCCTGAGAAATTTCTGGGATGTTCCTGAGATATTCCCAGAAAATTCCAGAGATATTCCTGGGAAATTCCCGGGAAATTCCCAAGATATTCCTGGAAAATTGCTGAGAAATTCCTGAGAAAATCCCCAGAAACTCCTGGGATATTCCTGGGAAATTCCCAAGAAATCCCAAGAAATTCCTGAGAAATTCCTGAGAAAATCCCCAGAAATTCCTGGAAAATTCCTGAGAAAATCCCCAAAAATTCCTGAGAAATTCCCCAAAAAAAATCCCCAGAAAATCCCGAGAAATTCCTGAGGAAAAAGAAAAAAAAAAAAGCTGGAAAAGGGCCGGAAAACGGGATAAAAAAGGGCGGAATTGGGACTCACCCTTGAGATCCAGACACTCGATCCGGGGAGCCAAATCCTTCAGTTCCTGGAAAAGACAAAAATTCCAGATTTTCTGGGGGAAAACGCAGGAAAATGGGATTTTTTGGGCTGGAAACACAGAAAAAAATGGGATTTTTTTTTAGGAAAACGTAGAAAAATCAGGATTTTTTGGGGGACAGGCAGAAACCGTGAATTTTTAGGAAGTTTTGGGATTTTTTTGGGGAATTTAGGAATTGGGGAATTGGTGATTTTGGGATTTTGAGAATTTGGGATTTGGGGAATTGGGGAGTTTAGTAATTTTTTGGGAATTTGGGAATTCGGTATTTTGGGAATTTTGGGGAAGTGGGGATTTGGAAGTTTGAGATTTTGGAAATTTGGGATTTTGGGAATTTGGGAATTTGGTATTTTGGGGATTTGGGGATTTTAGGAATTTTTTGGGAATTCGGGATTTTTTTGGGAATTCGGTAATTTTTTGGGAATTTGGGATTTGGGGATTTTTGGAATTTTTGGGAATTTGGGAATTTTTGGGATTTTGGGGGTTTGGGGAATCTGGGTTTTTGGGAATTTTGGGGAATTGGGGGATTGGGGATTTGGGAATTGGGGATTTTAGGAATTTTTTGGGAATTTTTGGGATTTGGGGATTTTGGGAATTGGGGAATTTTTTTTGGAATTTGGGGTATTTTTGGAGGTTTTGGTATTTTGGAATTTTTTGGGGGGAATTTGGGGGATTTATTTTGGTAATTTGGGGTATTTTGGGGGGATTTGGTATTTTTGGATTTTTTTTGAATTTGGGGGATTTTTTGGGGATTTGGTATTTTGGGAATTTTTTTGTGAATTTGGGGAATTTTTTGGGGGTAATTTGGGTTATTTTTGGGGTATTTTGGTTACCTGTAGCTGCTTGATGAGCTTGGGGCTCTGGCGGCACTGCAGCTTGAGGCACGCCTGCCGGTACGCCGCCAGAGTCTCCTCCAGGGTCACGTTCCGCGCTGCAAAACGGGAAAAAACACGGGGAAAATGGGAAAAAATTGGGGAAAAAATGGGAAAAAATTGGGAAAAATTGGGGAAAAATATGGGAAAAAATATGGGAAAAGGGGGGAGAATGGGGGGGAAATGGGGGAAAAAATTGGGAAAAAATTGGAAAAAAGGGGGGGTGAAAAAGGGAACAAAATGGAAAAAAAAAGGGGGAAATATGGGAAGAAAATGGGAAAAAAAAAAGGAAAAAATTGGGGGAAAATGGGAAAAAATGGGAAAAATGGGAAAAAAATTGGATAAAATGGGGAAAATGGTAAAAATGGGAAAAAAATGGGGAAAGGGGGAAAAATGCGGAAAATTGGAAAAATTGGAAAAAAGGGGGGAAATATGGGAAGAAAATGGGAAAAATGGGAAAAAATTGGGGAAAAATTAGGAAAAAAATGGGAAAAATGGGGAAAATTGGGGAAAAATGTGGGAAAAGGGGAAAAAGATGGGGGAAAAAGGGAAAAGGGGAAAAAAAGATGGAAAAAGGGCAAAAAACGGGAAAAGGGGAAAAAATGGGAAAATTGAGGGGAAAGGGGTGGGAAAAGGGAAAAAAGGGAAAAAAGGGAATTTTGGGAGGAAGAAATGAAGAATTTTTTTTTTTTTTCCCTTTCCCCGGATTTATCCCCCACCCCCCCCAGTTGGGATTTTGGGATCCCACCCAAAAATTCGGAGTTTTTTGGGAAAAGGCGGAATTGGATCCTGAAATGGATCCCAAGGAACGAGCTCAGGGATAATTAGTGATCAATAATTAATGGTTAATGAATAATTAATGAAGTTCCCAAGGATCCGCGGGGCGAAAGCTGAGCCGGGACTGCGGGGGGAGGAAAAGGGGGAAAATTCCCAAAATTCCGGCCGGGATCCCAAAAATTCCTGCTGGGATCCCAAAAATTCCTGCCGGGATCCCAAAAATTCCTGTTTGGATCCCCAAAAAATCCATTTGGGATCCCAAAAAAATCCAGTCAGGATCCTAAAATTCCTGATTAGATCCTAAAAATTCCTGCTGGGATCCCAAAAATCCAGTCAGGATCCCAAAAATTCCCGTTTGGATCCCAAAAATTCCTGTTTGGGCTGGTATCGGGTCATTTCTAGGCCAAATTTATGATAATTTTGGGGCATTTTCGGGGGGGGGGTTTGGGTATTTTTAGGGGCGTTTTTGGGGTATTTTTGGGGCATTTTGGGGGCATTTTTAGGGCTTTTTTTTGGGTATTTTTTTGGGCATTTTTGGGGTATTTTGGGGCTGTTTTTAGGGAGGGTTTTGGGGTGATTTGGGGGCATTTTGGAGCTGGTTTTGGCGTGATTTGTGGAATTTTGGGGCAGTTTCAGGGCAGATTTTGGGGTGATTTGGGGGGATTTTGGGGTTGTTTCCAGGGCAGTTTTTTTGGGGGGATTTGGGGGGATTTTGGGGTTGTTTCCAGGGCAGTTTTTGGGGGTATTTGGGGGGATTTTGGGGTTGGTTTTGGGGCTGTTTTCAGGGAGGGTTTTGGGGTGATTTGGGGGCATTTTGGGGCTGTTTTTTGGGGTGATTTGGGGGCATTTTGGGGTTGTTTCCAGGGTAGTTTTGGGGGGGATTTGGGTGGATTTTGGGGCTATTTCCAGGCTGGTTTTTGGGGTGATTTGGGGGAATTTTGGGGCTGGTTTTGGGGTGATTTAGGGGCTGTTTTGGGGGTGATTTGGGGAGGTTTTGGAGTCGGTTTTTGGGGTGATTTGTGGCATTTTGGGGCTGGTTTTGGGGTGATTTTGGGGTTGGTTTTGGGGTGATTTTGGGGCATTTTGGGGCTGGTTTCAGGGCAGTTTTTGGGACAGGTTTGGGGCATTATTTGGGGCTATTTTTGGCTTGGTTTCAGGCCATTTTTGGGGTGATTTTTGGGTATTATTTGGGCTGGTTTCAGGCCATTTTTTGGGGCACTTTTGGGTATTATTAGGACTATTTTCAGGCCATTTTTTGGGTATTATTGGGGCTGGTTTCAGGCTGGTTTTTGGGATTATTTGGGTATTATTAGGACTATTTTCAGGCTATTTTTTGGGTATTATTTTGGCTGTTTTCAGGCCATTTTTTGGGTATTATTAGGACCATTTTCAGGCCATTTTTTGGGGATTATTAGGACCATTTTCAGGCCATTTTTGGGGATTATTCGGGACAATTTTCGGGCTCTTTTCAGCCATTTTTGGGCCATTTTGGGGCTATTCCAAAGCTCCCCCTCCTTCCCTTCCTCCTTCCGCCGCTTTCCCCGTGCTCCCGGTGCCCCCTCCCGGTGTCCCGGTGTCCCCTCCTGGTTCTCTCCCCGTTCCCCCTCCCGGTGTCCCGTTTCTCTCCCGGTTCCTCCCGGTTCCCTCACGGTGTTCCCTCCCGTTCCCTCCCGGTTCCCCCTCCCGGTGTCCCGGTATCCCCTCCCGGTTCCCTCCCGTTTCCCTCCCGTTTCTCTCCCGGTTCCCTCCCGGTTCTCTCCCGGTGTCCCGGTGTCCTCTCCCGGTTCCCTCCCGTTTCCCTCTCCCGGTTCTCTCCCGGTTCTCTCCCGGTTCTCTCCCCGTTCCCCCTCCCGGTTCTCTCCCGTTTCCCTCCCGGTTCCCTCACGGTGTTCCCTCCCGTTCTCTCCCGGTTCCCCCTCCCGGTGCCCCCTCCTGGTGTCCCTTCCCGGTTCTCTCCCGTTTCCCTCCCGGTCCCCTCCCGGTTCTCTCCCGGTTCCCCCTCCTGTTTCTCTCCCGGTTCTCTCCCGGTTCCCCCTCCTGTTTCTCTCCCGGTCTCTCCCGTTTCCGTCCCGGTTCGCCCTCCCGGTGTCCCGGTTCCCCCTCCCGGTTCTCTCCCGGTTCCCCCTCCCGGTGTCCCTTCCCGGTTCTCTCCCGGTTCTCTCCCGTTTCCCTCCAGGGTCCCTCCCGGTTCTCTCCTGGTTCCCCCTCCCGTTTCCCTCCCGTTTCCCTCCCGTTTCCCTCCCGGTTCTCTCCCGGTGTTCCCTCCCGTTTCCCTCCCAGTTCTCTCCCGGTGTCCCCTCCCGTTTCCCCCTCCCGGTGTCCCGGTGTCCTCTCCCGGTTCTCTCCCGGTTCTCTCCCGGTTCCCCCTCACGGTTCTCTCCCCGTTCCCCCTCCCAGTGTCCCCTCCCGTTTCCCTCCCGTTTCTCTCCCGGTTCCCCCTCCCGGTTCTCTCCTGGTTCTCTCCCGTTTCCCTCCCGGTTCTCTCCCAGTGTCCCCTCCTGTTTCCCTCCCGGTTCTCTCCCCGTTCCCCCTCCCGGTGTCCCGGTGTCCCGGTGTCCCCTCCCGTTTCCCTCCCGGTCCCTCCCTGTTCTCTCCCGGTTCTCTCGCCATTCCTCTCCCGGTTCTCTCCCGGTTCCCCCTCCCGGTTCCTCCCGTTTCCCTCCCGGTTCTTTCCCGGTTCCCCCTCCCTTTGTCCCGGTGTCCCCTCCCGGTTCTCTCCCGGTTCTCTCCCGGTTCTCTCCCAGTTCCCCCTCCCGGTGTCCCGGTCCCTCCCGGTTCCCCCTCCCGGTTCCCTCCCGGTTCTCTCCCGGTTCCCTCCCGGTTCTCTCCCCGTTTCCCCTCCCGGTGTCCCGGTGTCCCCTCCCGGTGTCCCGGTTTCCCCTCCCGGTGTCCCATCCCGGTCCCTCCCGGTTCTCTCGCCATTCCCCTCCCGGTCCCTCCCGGTTCCTCTCGTTTCCCTCCCGGTTCTCTTCCCGTTCCCTCTCCCGGTGTCCCCTCCCGTTTCTCTCCCGGTGCCCTCCCGGTTCCCTCCCGGTTCTCCCTCCCGTTTCCCTCCCGGTTCCCCCTCCCGGTTATCTCCCGTTTCCCTCCCGGTCCCTCCCGGTTCCCTGCCGGTTCTCCCTCCCGTTTCCCTCCCAATTCTCTCCCCATTCCCCCTCCCGGTGTCCCGGTGTCCCGGTGTCCCCTCCCGTTTCTCTCCCGGTTCTCTCCCGGTGTCCCGGTGTCCCCTCCCGTTTCCCTCCCGGTCCCTCCTGGTCTCTCCCGTTTCCCTCCCGGTTCTCTCCCGTTTCCCTCCCAATTCTCTCCCCATTCCCCCTCCCGGTGTCCCGGTTCCCCCTCCCGGTTCTCTCCCGGTTCTCTCCCGGTTCTTTCCCGTTTCCCTCCCGGTTCTCTCCCGATTCTCTCCCGGTGTTCCCTCCCGGTTCTCTCCCGGTTATCTCCCGTTTCCCTCCCGGTTCCCCCTCCCGGTGTCCCCTCCCGGTTCCCCCTCCCGGTTCTCTCCCCGTTTCCCCTCCCGGTGTCCCGCTGTCCCCTCCCGGTTTCTCTCCCGGTTCCCCCTCCCGGTGTCCCCTCCCAGTGTCCCGGTTCCCCCTCCCGGTGCCCTCCTGGTTTCCTCCCGTTTCCCTCCCGTTTCTCTCCCGTTTCCCTCCCGGTTCCCCCTCCCGGTGTCCCCTCCCGTTCCCGGTCCCCCCGGTTCCCGCCGCTCACCGTGTCTCCAGGGGTCTTTGGGCTCCACGGCCCCGGACACGATCTCCTCGTCCGAGGGGAACGTGACCCGTTTGCCGCCGGTTCTCCCGCGCCCGTCCCCCGGTGAGGCCTCGGCGGCCGCCGGTACCGCGTCCGCCGCCGCGGGCTCGGCCCCGTCCATGGCGGAGCTCCGGTGCTTCAGCGCCGCCGCATCTCCCGGGAGCGGCACCGGCACCGGCAGCGGCACCGGCAGCGGTACCGGCAGCGGTACCGGCAGCGGTACCGGCACCGAGCGGAGCCGCCGCCGCCGCCGCAACGGCCCCGAGCGCTCCGCCGCAACGGCCGCAGATTCGCCACCGCCGCGCGGGGCGGTCCCGCCGCCATCCCGGACACCGGAAAAATACCGGAGGGAGCGGCGGGACCGGGAACGGGACCGGGGAAACGGCGGCGGGGAAAGGAACGGAGCGGCGGAACCGGAGAGGTGGAGCGGGAGGTGCGGCGGGGGCGGCGAATCTGCGGCGGCGAATCGGTACCGGGGAGGAGCGGCAGATTCGGTACCGGAAATTTTGGGGAATTTTGGGGGATTTTTGGGAAAATTTAGGGGGAAAGGAGCGGGGGATAACGGGGGGATAACGGGGAGGGGGTTCCGGTACCGGCGGGGATCGGGAGGTCTCGGCGGTCGTGGCGAATCTGCGGCGGCGAATCGGTACCGGGGAGGAGCGGCAGATTCGGTACCGGAAATTTTGGGGCAATTTTGGGGGATTTTGGGTGTTTTGGGAAAATTGAGGGGGAAAGGAGCGGGGGGATAACGGGGACGGGGCTCCGGTACCGGCGGGGATCGGGAGGTCTCGGGGTGCGGCGGCGAATCGGCCCGGGGAGGAGCGGCAGATTCGGTACCGGGAATTTTGGGGAAATTTCGGGGAAATTTTGGGGGGTTTTGGGAAAATTGAGGGGAAAAGGAGCGGGGGGATAACGGGGACGGGGCTCCGGTACCGGCGGGGATCGGGAGGTCTCGGCGGTCGTGGCGAATCTGCGGCGGCGAATCGGTACCGGGGAGGAGCGGCAGATTCGGTACCGGAAATTTTGGGGCAATTTTGGGGGATTTTGGGTGATTTTGGGAAAATTGAGGGGGAAAAGAGCGGGAGGATAACGGGGACGGGGCTCCGGTACCGGCGGGGATCGGGAGGTCTCGGCGGTCGTGGCGAATCTGCGGCGGCGAATCGGTACCGGGGAGGAGCGGCAGATTCGGTACCGGGAATTTTGGGGGAATTTTGGGGGAATTTTGGGGTTTTTTGGGAAAATTGAGGGGAAACGGAGCGGGGGGATAACGGGGACGGGGCTCCGGTCCCGGCGGGGCTCGGGAGGTCTCGGCGGTGGCGGCGAATCTGCGGAACGGGGGAGGAGCGGCAGATTCGGTACCGGGAATTTTGGGGAAATTTTGGGGAATTTTGGGGGTTTTTGGGAAAATTGAGGGGGAAAGGAGCGGGGGAATAACGGGGACGGGGCTCCGGTACCGGCGGGGCTCGGGAGGTCTCGGGGTGCGGCGGCGAATCTGCGGAACGGCGGCGCGCGCTGGGCCGGGGACCCGCGTGGGGACCGGACCGGCACCGGGAACGGGAACGGGACAGAGAAACCCTCTCGGGACTGGGGTTAGGACCGGACCGGCACCGGGAACGGAACAGGGACCGGGACCGGGATCCGGACTGGGACAGAGAAACCCTCTCGGGACCGGGATTAGGACCGGACCGGCACCGGCACCGGGAACGGGACCGGGACAGAGAAACCCACTCGGGACCGGGATTAGGACCGGACCGGCACCGGGAACGGAACAGGGACCGGGACCGGGATCCGGACTGGGACAGAGAAACCCTCTCGGGACCGGGATTAGGACCGGACCGGGACTGAGAACGGGACCGGCACCGGGAACGGGAACGGGACCGGGACAGAGAAACCCTCCCGGGACCGGGATTAGGACCGGACCGGGACTGAGAACGGGACCGGGACCGGGATCCGGATCGAGACAGAGAAACCCTCTCGGGACTGGGACCGGAAGCGGGACCGGGAGCCCCACTCGGGTACGGGACCGGGATCGGGAGATGTGTGAGGCACCGGGAACGGGAGCGGGAGCGGGAACCCCGCTCGGGACTGGGAAAGGGACCGGGAATGGGAACGGGACCGGGAATGGGAACGGGACCGGGAATGGGAACGGGACTGGGAATCCCACCCGGGAATGGGAACGGGACCGGGAATGGGATCGGGACCGGGAATGGGAACGGGACCGGGAACTGGACCGGGAATCCCACCCGGGAATGGGATCAGGAATGGGAACGGGACCGGGGATCCCACCCGGGAACGGGAATGGGAACGGGACCGGGAATCCCACCCGGGAATGGGACCGGGAATGGAAACGGGAATGGGAACAGGACCGGGAATTCCACCCGGGAATGGGATCGGGACCGGGAACGGGACCGGGAATCTCACCCGGGAATGGGACTGGGAATGGGACCGGGACCGGGAGTCCCACCCGGGATCTGGATTGGGAACGGGAATGGGAACGGGACGGGGAATCCCACCGGGGAATGGGAATGGGACCGGGAATCCCACCGGGGTTCTGGATCGGGACCGGGAATGGGAACGGGAACGGGATGGGGACCGGGAATCCCACCCGGGAATGGGATCGGGACCGGGAATGGGATCGGGACCGGGACCGGGACCGGGACCCCGTTGGATCGCTGACCGTATTTTCCCTCGTTTTTCTCCCTTTTTTCCTCCCCTTTTCCCGATTTTCCCCCTTTTCCCGCTTTTTCCCCTTTCCCCTTTTCCCGCTTTTCCCGATTTTTCCCTTTTCCCGATTTTCCCCCTTTTCCCGCTTTTCCCCTTTCCCTTTTCCCGTTTTTCCAGCCGCTCCATGGCCGATCCCATCCCGGTTCCGGTGCCCGTCCTGCGCCTCCCGCGGGGCCCCGACGGCTCCGGCGGCCGCGGCTTCTCCCGGGACCCCCGGGGCGGGGCCGGTGCCCGGGACACCGAGAATCTCTGGGACCGGGACCATTCCCGGGACCGGGACAATTCCCGGGGCGGTTCCCGGGACCGGGACCATTCCCGTGACGATTCCCAGGACCGGGAGAATTCCCGGACCGATTCCCGGGACCGGGAGAATTCTGGGGCCGGTTCCCGGGACTCGGACGATCACGGGGCCGGTTCCCGGGACCGGAACAATTCCCGTAACGATTCCCGGGACCGGGACAATTCCTGGGACCGGGACAATTCCGGGGCCGGTTCCCGTGACAATTACCGGGACTGGAACAATTCCCAGGACCGGGAGGATCCCGGGGCCGGTTCCCGTGACCGGAACAATTCCCGGGACTGGGAGAATTCCGGGGCTGGTTCCCGGGACCGGGACAGCTCCCGTGACCGGGAGAATTCCCGGACCGGTTCCTGTGACCGGGAGAATTCCCGGGATCGGGAGAATTCCGGGGCCGGTTCCCGTGACGATCCCGGGGCCGGTTCCCGTAACCGGGAGGATCCCGGGGCCGTTTCCCGTGCCGATCCCGGTTCCCGTGCCGATTCCGGTGCCCCGGTGGCGGCGGAGCAGCAGCAGCAGCAGCAGCAGCAGCGGGCTCGGGCGGCGCTCCGTTCCCGGTTCCTGCGGCTGCTGGGCCGGGCCCGGGGCCGGCGGGGCCGGTTCCGCCTCTGGAACGGGCTCGGCCTCCGCGCCACCTTCGGGGCCGCCGACGTGCACAGCGGCCATTTCCAGGTCAGGCCGCGGTTCCCGGCTTTATTCCCGCTTTTCCCGGCTTTTTCCCGGTTTTCCCGGCTTTAGTCCCGAATTTCCCATTGTTTTCCCGGCTTTTTTCCCGGTTTTCCCATTTTTTTTCTGCCTTTTTTCCCGGTTTTCCCGCCTTTGTTCCCGGTTTTCCCGCCTTTATTCCCACTTTTCCCGCCTTTATTCCCGGTTTTCCCGATGTTCTCCGCCTTTTTTCCCAAATTATCCATTGTTTCCCTGGCTTTATTCCCGCTTTTCCCGCCTTTATTCCCGATTTTCTCTGCCTTTATTCCCGCTTTTCCTACCTTTATTCCTGTTTTTCCCCTCTTTTTTCTGCCTTTATTCCCGTTTTTCCTCCTTTTACCCACCTTTATTCCCAGTTTTTCCAGCTTTATCCCCGGTTTTCTTCCCTTTTTCTGCCTTTATTTCCGGTTTTCGCCTTCTTTTCCCGGCTTTATTCCCGGTTTTCCCGCCTTTATTCCCGGGTTTCCCGCCGTTATTCCCGATTTTCCCGACTTTAGTCCCGATTTTCCCTTTTTTCCCGCCTTTATTCCCGAATTTCCCGGCTTTATTCCCAGTTTTCCTGCCTTTATTCCCGGTTTTCTTCCCTTTTTCTGCCTTAATTCCCGGTTTTCCCCTTGTTTTCTGCCTTTATTCCCGGTTTTCCCGCCTTTATTCCCGGTTTTCTTCCCTTTTTCTGCCTTAATTCCCAGTTTTCCCCTTCTTTTCCCGGCTTTATTCCCGGTTTTCCCATTTTTTTCCTGCCTTTAGTCCCGCTTTTCCTGCCTTTATTCCCGCTTTTCCCGGCTTTATTCCCAAATTTCCCATTTTTTTTTCTGCCTTTATTCCCAATTTTCCCCCTTTTTCCCAGCTTTATTCCCATTTTTCCTGCCTTTATTCCCGGTTTTCCCCTTTTTTCCCAGCTTTATTCCCAGTTTTCCTCCTTTTTTCTGGCTTTATTCCCGATTTTCCTCCTTTTTTTCTGCCTTTATTCCCCATTTCCCCCCTTTTTTCCCGCCTTTATTCCCAGTTTTCACGGCTTTATTCCTGTTTTTTTCCCCTTTTTATTCCCTGACTTTCCCGCCACTTTTTTCTGGCTTTATTCCCACTTTTTCCTGCCTTTTCCCCATTTTTCCTGGATTTCCCCACTTTTTCCTGCCATTTCCCGCTGTTTCTGGCTTTTTTTTTTGGAATTTTTCCAATTTTCCCCGACTCTCCCCGTTTTTATTTGGATTTTTCCCACTTTTTCCTGAATTTCCCCTTTTTTATTTGGATTTTCTCACTTTTCCCCGACTTTCCCCCCTTTTGCCTGGATTTTCTCCCACTTTTCCCCCTTTTTCTTTGGATTTTCCCCCTTTTTGATTTTTTTTCCCACTTTTCCCTGACTTTCCCCACTTTTGCCTGGATATTCCCCCACTTTTCCCTGACTTTTCCCAATTTTTCTTTGGATTTTCCCCTTTTTTATTTGATTTTTCCCTGACTTTTCCCTGACTTTTCCTCCTTTTTCTTTGGAATTTTCACCCTTTTTCTTTGCATTTTCCCCCTTTTTATTTGATTTTTTCCCACTTTTCCCTGACTTTTCCCCCTTATTCTTTGGAATTTTCCCCTTTTTCTTTGGATTTTTCCCACTTTTCCCCCTTTTCCATTGGAATTTTCCCTTTTTCCCTGATTTTCCCCCTTTTTCTTTGGAACTTTCCTCCTTTTTCTTTGCATTTTCCCCCTTTTTCTTTGCATTTTTCCCACTTTTCCCCCTTTTTCTTTGGATTTTCCCCATTTTTCTTTGGTTTTTCCCCCTTTTCCCCCTTTTCCATTGGAATTTTCCCATTTTTCCCTGATTTTCCCCTTTTTCCAGGTGGATTCTCTGCAGACGCCGTTGGGAGTTCAGCGCGCGGCGCTGCTGCGCTCCGGGGACGTCCTGGAATTCTCCTTCCCGCTGGAATTCCCGGAATTCTCCTCCCCTCTGGAATGAGCCCTGAAATTCCCGAATTCTCCTCCCCTCTGGAATTCCCGGATTCAGCCCCCGTGGGAATAAATCGATTTTTTTTCTGCTTTTCCACGATTTTTTCTGCCTTTTTTTTGGCTTTTTCCTGGAATTTTCCCCCTTTTCCAGACCTTTTCCCTTTTTCCTGCCTTTTTCCCACTTTTTCCCCCTTTTCCTTCCCCCTTTTCCTGCCTTTCCCATTTTTCTGCCTTTTTTCCAGTTTTTATCCCATTTTTCTCCCCTTTTCCTGGCTTTTCCCGCACTTTTTCCAGATTTTTTCCTCATTTTCCCCCCTTGAATTTTCTCTTTTTTTTCCCCTTTTCCAACCTTTTTTCCCACTTTTTTTTTCTGATTTTTTCCCAAATTTTCTCCCTGTTTTCCTGACTTTTCCCCACTTTTTTCCCTTTTTCTGGCTTTCCCCCATTTTCCCGGTTCCTTCCTTATTTCCCAAACTTTTCCTCCATTTCATTTCCCACCTTTCCATCTCTTTTTTGAGACATTTTCCCCCTTTTCGGACTCTCCTCCCTTTTTTTGGCTTTTTTCCATCTTTTTTCCATTGTTTTTTCCAATTTTTCCCAACTTTTCCCCCATTTTCCAGATTTTTCCCAATTTTTCCATATTTCCCCCCATTTTCCCCGATTTTCCCCAATTTTCCAGATTTTTTCCCAATTTTTCCTGCTTTTCCCCCATTTTTTCAGATTTTTTCCCAAATTTTCCATATTTCCCCGCCCATTTTTCCTGATTTTTCCTGCTTTTCCCCCCATTTTCCTAGGTTTTTCCCAATTTTTTCCTGCTTTTCCCATTTTCCCAGATTTTTCCCAATTTTTCCTGCTTTCCCCCTCATTTTCCCGGATTTTTCCCAATTTCCCCCAATTTTTTCCTGCTTTTTCCCCCATTTTCCCAGATTTTTCCCAATTTTTCCTGTTTTCCCCCATTCCCTTTTTTATCAGCCTTTCCCCCTTTTCCCATCATTTTTTCCCCATTTTTCCAGCTTTACCCCCAAATTTTCCTGCTTTTTCCCATTTCCCCCACTTTCCCCCAAATTTTTCCTGCTTTTTTCCCAAATTTTCCTGCTTTTTCCCCCATTCCCCCCTTTACTCCATCTTTTTTCCCCTTTTTTCCAGATTTTTTCCCAATTTTTCCTGCTTTTCCCCATTTCCCCCCTTTATTCCATCTTTTTTCCCATTTTCCATCTTTTTTTTCCAGTTTTCCCCCCATTTCCCATCATTTTTTCCCAATTCTTCCTGATTTTCCCCCGTTTCCCCCCTTTATTCCACCTTTTCTCCATTTTTTCCACAATTTCCCCCAATTTTTCCTGCTTTTCCCCCATTTCCTCCCTTTTTTCTGGCTTTTTTCCAGCCTTTTCCCCATTTTTCCTGCTTTTCCATTTCCCCCATATTTTTTCCTGCTTCCCTCCCCCTTTATTCCATATTTTTTCCATCATTTTTTTTCCATTTTCCCCAACTATTCCCCCAGTTTTTAATCATTTTTCCCATTTTTTTCATCATTTTCCCCCTTTTTCCCAGCTTTTTTCCCCATTTTTCCAGTTTTTCCCCCTTTTTTTCCGGCTTTTTCCCTTTTCCCACCGTTTTTTCCCGATTTTCCCAGCGGCACGGGACAATTCCGGGATTTTTCCATGGATTTATTGGGGGCTCGGCCGTCAGTGCCGGTAGTGGGGGCTCCGCGAGTGGGACCGGGAGTGCCTGCGGAAAAAACGGGAAAACGGGAAAAACGGGAAATTTGGGATCCCTGGGAAAATGGGAAAAATTGGGATCCCTCGGAAAATGGGGAATTTAGGATTTCTGGGAAAATGGGGAATTTGGAATCGCTGGGAAAATGGGAAAATTTGGATTCCTGGGAGAATGGGAAAAACAAGAAAATTTGGATTTCTGGGAAAATGGGAAATTTGGGATTTCTGGGAAAACGGGAAATTTGGGATCTCTGGGAAAATGAGAAATTTGGGATCAGGGAAAATGGGAAATTTGGAATTTCTGGGAATATGGGAAAGTTGGGATCCCTGGGAAACCTGGAATGGGAAATTTGGGATTCCTGGGAAAAATGGGAAATTTGGGATCCCTGGGAAAATGGGAATGTGGAATTTGGGATCAGGGAAAACGGGAAATTTGGGACCTCTGGGAAATCGGGAAATTTGGGATCCCTGAGAAAATGGGAAATTTGGGATTTCTGGGAAAATGGGGAGTTTGGGATCCCGGGGAAAATTTGGGATTCCTGGGAAAATGGGAATGTGGAATTTGGGATCAGGGAAAATGGGAAAATTTGGATTTCTGGGAAATCAGGAAATTTGGGATTTCTGGGAAAATGGGAAAGTTGGGATCCCTGGGAAATCTGGAATGGGAAATTTGGGATTCCTGGGAAAACAGGAAAGGGAAATTTGGGATTCCTGGGAAAACAGGAAAGTTTGGATTCCTGGGAAAATGGGAATGTGGAATTTGGGATTGCTGGGCTAGTGGGAAATTTGGGATCAGGGGAAATGGGAAATTTGGGATCTCTGGGATCTCTGGGATTGGAGGAAATTTGGGATTCCGGGATGGGGGAACGGGGCCGGATCAAGGTCGGGACCCCCCGGATCTCTGGGAATTTCGGGAATTTCGGGAATTCCGGGAACAGCGGCCGTACCTCCGTGAGGAGCTGTACTCCCGACCTGCGGGAAACAGACAAGGTCAAATCCCAAAAAATCCCAAATCCCAAAAAATCCCAAATCCCCAAATTCAAAATCCCCAAATCCCCACAAATTCCCAAATCCCCAAATTCAAAATCCCCAAATCCCAAAAAATTCCAAAATCCCCAAATCCAAAATCCCCAAATCCCCAAATCCCAAATCCCCAAATCCCAAAAAATCCCCAAATCCCCACAAAATCCCAAATCCCAAAAATTCCCAAATCCCAAATCCCAAAAAATCCCAAAATCCCCAAAAAATCCCAAATCCCAAAAAAATCCCAAATCGCAAAAAATCCCAAATCCCCAAATCCCAAAAAATCCCCAAATCCCAAATTCCCAAATCCCCAAATCCCCAAATCCCAAAAAATTCCAAATCCCAAATAATCCCAAATCCCCAAATCCAAAATCCCCAAATCCCCAAATCTGAAATCCCAAAATTCCCAAATTCCCAAATCCCAAATCCCCAAATCCCAAAAAATTCCAAAATCCCCAAATTCCCAAAATTCCCAAATCCCCAAATTCCAAATCCCAGATTTCCCACTTTTCCCTTTGTTTTTCCACTTTTCCCCCCATTTTTACAGCCCAAAATCCCATTTTTTCCCATTTTTTTCCCAGCATTTTTCCACAGTTTGGCCTCCCCCAAAATCCCAATTTTTCCAGCCCAAAATCCCTTTTCCCCCCCCAATTTTCCCAGCCCAAAATCCCACTTTTTTCCCATTTTTTTCTCCATTTTCCCATCCCAAAATCCCATGGTTTGGACTCCCCAAAAATCCCATTTTTCCAGCCCCAAATCCCATTTTTTCCCTTTTCCCCCCATTTTTTTCCCTTTTTTCTCCATTTTTTTTCAACCCCAAAATCCCTTTTTTCCCCATTTTCCAGCCCCAAATCCCATTTTTCCCACCCAAAATCCCATTTTTTTCCCATTTTTTCCCATTTTTTCCCAGCCCCAAATCCCTCCCCCTCTGCCCCCCCCATCCCCTGGAAAAGTGGGAATGGCTCCCGGATTTTTGGGAATTTTCTGGGAATTTTGGGAAGGGACCCCCTCAGACCCCTGGAAAAGCAGGAGCAGCTCCCGGAATTTTGGGAATTTTCTGGGAATTGTTGGGAATTTTGGGAAGGGACCCCCTCAGAGCCCTGGAAAAATGGGAAAGGCTCCCGGATTTTTGGGAATTCTCTGGGAATTTTGGGAATGGAACCCTCAGACCTCTGGAAAAGTGGGAGCAGCTCCCGGAATTTTGGGAATTTTCTGGGAATTTTGGGAAGGGACCCACTCAGAGCCCTGGAAAACAGGAAGGGCTCCCAGATTTTTGGGAATTTTCTGGGAATTTTGGGAAGGGACCCCCACAGACCCCTGGAAAAATGGGAACAGCTCCCAGATTTTTGGGAATTTCCCGGGAATTTTGGGAATGGGACCCTCAGACCCCTGAAAAAGCGGGAGCAGCTCCCGGAATTTTGGGAATTTCCCGGGAATTGCTGGGAATTTTGGGAAGGGACCCCCTCAGACCCCTGGAAAAACGGGAATAGCTCCCAGATTTTTGGGAATTTTCTGGGAATTTTGGGAAGGGACCCCACAGAGCCCTGGAAAAACGGGAAGGGCTCCCAGATTTTTGGGAATTTCCCAGGAATTTTCTGGGAATTTTGGGAAGGGACCCCCTCAGACCCCTGGAAAAATGGGAATGGCTCCCGGATTTTTGGGAATTTCCCGGGAATTTTGGGAATGGACCCCTCAGAGCCCTGGAAAAGCGGGAGCAGCTCCCGGATTTTTGGGAATTTTCTGGGAATTTTGGGAATGGAACCCTCAGACCCCTGGAAAAATGGGAGCAGCTCCCGGAATTTTGGGAATTTCTCAGGAATTGCTGGGAATTTTGGGAAGGGACGCCCTGCAGAGCCCCGGGAATTGTCGGGAATTGTCGGGAATTGTTGGGAATTGTTGGGAATTTTGGGAATGTCGGACCGTGGCGCGGGGAGGGGCTGCGGCTCTGGCGGCTGTACTGCCGCTCCCACTCCTCCCGCTCCTTCTCCCGACGCTCCCGCTCCCTGGAAAAGCGGGAAAAGAGCGGAAAAACGGGATCAGCCACACGGAAAACGGGAAAAATGGGATCGGGGACCGGGAAAAATGGGAAAGGAGCAGAAAAATGGGATCGGGGACTGGGAAAAATGGGAAAAGAGCAGAAAAATGGGATCAGGGACACGGAAAAATGGGAAAAATGGGATCAGGGACACGGAAAAACGGGAAAAATGGGATCAGGGACACGGAAAATGGGAAAAATGGGATCGGGGACGGGGAAAAATGGGAAAAGAGCTGGAAAAATGGGATCAGGGACCGGGAAAAATGGGAAAGGAGCAGAAAAATGGGATCAGGGACATGGAAAATGGGAAAAATGGGATCGGGGATGGGAAAAATGGGAAAGGAGCAGAAAAATGGGATCAGGGACATGGAAAAACGGGAAAAGAGCAGAAAAATGGGATCAGGGACACGGAAAACGGGAAAAGTGGGATTGGGGATGGGGAAAAATGGGAAAAGAGCAGAAAAATGGGATCAGCGACACGGAAAAACGGGAAAAATGGGATCAGGGACCGGGAAAAATGGGAAAAGAGCAGAAAAATGGGATCAGCGACACGGAAAATGGGAAAAATGGGATCGGGGACCGGGAAAAATGGGAAAAGAGCGGAAAAATGGGATCAGGGGCTGGGAAAAATGGGAAAAGAGCAGAAAAATGGGATCGGGGACACAGAAAAAAGGGAAAACAGACGGAAAAATCGGATCAGGGACATGGAAAAATGGGAAAAATGGGATCGGGGATGGGGAAAAATGGGAAAAGAGCAGAAAAATTGGATCAGGGACCGGGAAAAATGGGAAAAGAGCAGAAAAATGGGATCAGGGACACAGAAAAAAGGGAAAACAGATGGAAAAACCGGATCAGGGACATGGAAAAACCGGAAAAATGGGATCAGGGACCGGGAAAAACGGGAAAGGAGCAGAAAAATGGGATCAGGGACACAGAAAAACGGGAAAAATGGGATTGGGGACCGGGAAAAATGGGAAAAGAGCAGAAAAATGGGATCAGGGACCGGGAAAAATGGGAAAAGAGCAGAAAAATGGGATCAGGGACCGGGAAAAATGGGAAAAGAGCAGAAAAATGGGATCAGGGACCGGGAAAAATGGGAAAAGAGCAGAAAAATGGGATCGGGGACACGGAAAAATGGGAAAAATGGGATCGGGGACTGGGAAAAATGGGAAAGGAGCAGAAAAATGGGATCAGGGACACGGAAAAACGGGAAAAATGGGATCGGGGACGGGGAAAATGGGAAAAGAGCGGAAAAATGGGATCAGGGACATGGAAAAATGGGAAAAATGGGATCGGGGACGGGGAAAATGGGAAAGGAGCAGAAAAATGGGATCAGGGACACGGAAAAACGGGAAAAATGGGATCGGGGACGGGGAAAATGGGAAAAGAGCAGAAAAATGGGATCAGGGACCGGGAAAAATGGGAAAACAGACGGAAAAATCAGATCAGGGACACGGAAAAACGGGATCAGGGACCGGGAAAAATGGGAAAAGAGCTGAAAAATGGGATCAGGGACACGGAAAAATGGGAAAAGAGCAGAAAAATGGGATCAGGGACACAGAAAAAAGGGAAAACAGACAGAAAAATCGGATCAGGGACATGGAAAAATGGGAAAAATGGGATCAGGGACATGGAGAAACAGGAAAACAGCCAGAAAACCGGGATCAGGAACTGGGAAAAATGGCAAAACAGTGGAAAAATGGGATCAGGGATGGGAAAACAGGAAAAATGGGATCAGGGACTGGGAAAAAGAGCGGAAAAACAGGAAAACAGCAGAAAAATGGGATCAGGGATTGGGAAATCAGGATCAGGGTTGGGAAATCGGGATCAGGGATTGGGAAATTGGGATCAGAGCTGGGAAATCGGGATCAGGGGTTGGGAAATCGGGATCAGGGATGGGAAATCGGGATCAGGGTTGGGAAATTGGGATCAGGGATTGGGAAATGGGGAAAATCGGGATCAGGGCTGGGAAATCGGGATCAGGGATTGGGAAATTGGGAAATCGGGATCAGGGATTGGGAAATCGGGATCAGGGACTGGGAAATCGGGATCAGGGCTGGGAAATGGGGATCAGGGATTGGGAAATTGGGATCAGGGATTGGGAAATGGGGATCAGGGATTGGGAAATCGGGATCAGGGGTTGGGAAATCGGGATCAGGGACTGGGAAATCGGGATCAGGGGTTGGGAAATCGGGATCAGGGATTGGGAAATGGGGAAAATCGGGATCAGGAGAGGAAAATCAGGAATTACTTCATGCGGATCTTGCGGGCCATGGCGCGCAGCTCGTCCTCGCGCTCCTGCGGAAAATCCCAATTCCCAGTTCCCAATTAATTCCCAGTTCCCAATTAATTCCCAGTTCCCAGTTCCCAGTTCCCAATTCCCAGTTCCCAGTTCCCAATTCCCAGTTCCCAATTCCCAGTTCCCAATTCCCAATTCCCAGTTCCCAATTCCCAGTTCCCAATTCCCAATTCCCAGTTCCCAATTCCCAATTCCCAATTCCCAATTCCCAATTCCCAGTTCCCAATTCCCAGTTCCCAATTCCCAGTTCCCAATTCCCAATTCCCAGTTCCCAATTCCCAGTTCCCAGTTCCCAATTCCCAATTCCCAATTCCCAGTTCCCAATTCCCAATTCCCAGTTCCCAATTCCCAATTCCCAATTCCCAATTCCCAGTTCCCAATTCCCAGTTCCCAATTCCCAGTTCCCAGTTCCCAATTCCCAGTTCCCAGTTCCCAGTTCCCAATTCCCAATTCCCAGTTCCCAATTCCCAGTTCCCAGTTCCCAGTTCAGTCCTGGTTTTCTCCCAGTTCCATCCTGGTTTTATCCCATTTCCATCCCAATTCCCTCCTGGTTTTATCCCAGTTTTAATCCTGGTTTTGTCCCAATTCCATCCCATTTTTCTCCTGTTTTTCCCCCATTTTTTTCCCAATTAAATCCCATTTCCCCCCATTTTAATATCATTTTCCCCATTTTTCCTCCCATTTTTCCCCTTTTCCCCCATTTCCCCCCATTTTAATCCCTTTTTCCCCATTTTCCTCCCATTTTTACCCTATTCCCCCCCCTTTTTTTTCCCATTTTCCCCCAAATTTTTATCCCTTTTTTCCCCCTCTTTTTCCCCCATTTTTTCCCCATTTTCCTCCCATTTTTACCCCATTTCCCCCCCTTTTTTTACCCCATTTTCCCCCATTTTTTTTCCTCTTTTCCCCCCATTTTTTTCCCTTTTTCCCCCCCCATTTTTTCCCTTTTTCCCCGATTTTTATCCCGTTTTTCCCGCCCCACCTGTCTCTCATGCTCCTGCTGCAGCATCTTCTCCTGCGCCGCCTTCTTGTCGGCCTTGACTGGGAACGGAATTCCCATTTCGGGGCAATTCCAGAGGATTTTCGGCAATTTGGGGAATTCCAGAGGATTTTTGGGGAATTTGGGGGGAATTCCAGGGGATTTTGGGGGAATTTTGGGGGAATTCTGGGGGATTTTGGGGGGAATTTTTAGGGATTTGGGGGAATTCTGGGGGGAATTTTTAGGGATTTGGGGGAATTCCGGGGGATTTTGGGGAATTCCAGAGGATTTGGGGGGAATTTGTGGGGAATTCCAGGGGATTTTGGGGGGAATTTTTAGGGATTTGGGGGAATTCTGGGGGATTTTGGGGGATTCCAGGGGATTTTGGGGGAATTTGGGGGGAATTCTGGGGGATTTTGGGGGGCATTTTTAGGGATTTGGGGGAATTCCGGGGGATTTTGGGGGGAATTTTTAGGGATTTGGGAGAATTCCAGGGGATTTTGGGGAATTCCAGAGTATTTTTTGGGAATTCCAGGGTATTTTGGGGGAATTTTGGGGGATTTTGGGGGGAATTTTTAGGGATTTGGGGGAATTCCGGGGGATTTTGGGGAATTCCAGAGGATTTTTGGGGAATTCCAGGGTATTTGGGGGGAATTTGGGGGAAATTCCAGGGGATTTTGGGGGGAATTTTTAGGGATTTGGGGGAATTCCAGAGGATTTTTTGGGAATTCCAGGGTATTTTGGGGGAATTTCAGGGGATTTTGGGGGAATTTTTAGGGATTTGGAGGAATTCTGGAGGATTTTGGGGGAATTCTGGGGGATTTTGGGGGGTATTTTTAGGGATTTGGGGGAATTCCGGGGGATTTTGGGGAATTCCAGAGGATTTTTTGGAATTCCAGGGTATTTTGGGGGAATTCTGGGGGATTTTGGGGGGAATTTTTAGGGATTTGGAGGAATTCTGGAGGATTTTGGGGAATTCCAGAGGATTTTTAGGGAATTCCAGGGTATTTTGGGGGAATTTGGGGGAAATTCCAGGGGATTTTGGGGGGAATTTTTAGGGATTTGGGGGAATCCCGGGGGATTTTGGGGGGGAATTTTTAGAGATTTGGAGGAATTCTGGGGGATTTTGGGGGGAATTTTTAGGGATTTGGGGGAATTCCAGGGGATTTTGGGGAATTCCAGAGGATTTTTGGGGAATTCCAGGGGATTTGGAGGAATTACAGATGATTTGGGGGGAATTCCAGGGGATTTTGGGGGGAATTTTTAGGGATTTGGGGGATTCCAGGGGATTTTGGGGTATTTGGGAAATCCCAGAGGAATTTTGGGTGGATTTTGGGGGGATTTGAAAAATCCCAGAGGAATTGTGGATTTGGAGGGATTTGGGTGGGATTTTGGGGGATTTTTTTGGATCTGAGCTGGATTTTGGGGTAATTTTTATGGATTTGACAAATCCCAGAGGAACTTTGGGTGGCTTTGGAGGGATTTTGGGTGTGATTTTGGGGATCCCGGGCAGATTTTGGGGGAATTTTGGGAGATTCGGGTGATCCCAGCTGGAATTTGGGGCGGATTCAGAGGAATCTGGGTGGGATTTTGGGAATTTTGGGAATTTTGGGAATTTTGGGAATGCTCACACTGCCTGTTGAGCGCCTTCTGCATCCTGAGCCGGAGCTTCTCCTGCGGGGTCAGCTTGGGCTGCAAAAATTTGGGAATTTTTGTCAGGAAAAGGGGCCGGGATCGGGCTCGGGACCCCCCAAAACCCCCCCAGAGCCTTTTCCCAAAATCCCGACCCCAGCCCTGGAATTTGGGGGAATTTGGGGGAATTTGGGGGAATTTGGGAAGGGAGTGGGGGAGGGGAAGCGGGGAAAAATGGGAAAAAATGAGGAAAAATGGGAAAAAATGGGAAAAAATGAGGAAAAATGGGAGAAAACCCAGAAAAATCTGGGGAAAACCCAGAAAAATCTGTGGAAATCTAAGAAAAATTAATAAAATCTAGGAAAATCCGAGAAAATATGGGGGAAATCTGGGAAAAAACAGGAGAATCCTGGATAATATGGGGAAAATCTGGGGGAAATCTAGGAAAATCCAAGAAAATATGGGAAGTCCAGGAAAATGTGAGGAAAGACTGGGAAAATTTGGGAAAATCTTGGAAAATTTGGGGAAGAAAAAAAAATTAGGAAAACCTTGGAAAATCCAGAATAATATGGAATAAAAACAGGAAAATCCAAGAAAATCTGGGGAAATTAAGGAAAAGATGGGAAAAAACCAAGAAAATCCAGGAAAATCTGGGAAAAACCAGGAAAATGTGGGGAAAAACAGGGAAAATCCAGGAAAATCCAGAGAAAAAAACGGAATATATGGGAAAAAATCAAGGAAAATATGGGGAAAATTGAGGAAAATATGGGGAAAATGGAAAATATGGGGAAAATCAAGGAAAATCTGGGAAAATCCAGGAAAATCTGGGAAAACCTGGGAAAATGTGGGAAAAACCAGGAAAACCCAGGAAAATCTGAGGAAAAAATGGAATATATGGGTAAAATCCATGAAAATATGGGGAAAATCTGGGAAAATCTGGGAAAATCCAGGAAAATATGGAGAAAAACCAGGAAAAAACAAAAAAATCAAGGAAAATCCAAGAAAATCCAGGAAAATGTGGGGGAAAACCAGGAAAATCCAGGAAAATCTGGAAAAACCTGGGAAAATGTGGGAAAAACCAGGAAAATCTGGGGAAAAAATGGAATATATGGGAAAATCCATTAAAATATGGGGAAAATCTATGAAAATGTGTGGAAAAACCAGGAAAATCCAGGAAAATGTGGGAAAACATGGGAAAATGTGGGAAAATCCAGGAAAATCTGGGAAAATGTGGGAAAAACGTGGGAAAAAACAGAAAAATCTGGGGAAAAAATGGAATATATGGGAAAATCCATGAAAATATGGGGAAAATCTAAAAAAATCCAGGAAAATGTGTGGAAAAAGCAGGAAAATATGGGGAAAATCCATGAAAATATGGGGAAAATCCAGGAAAATCTGGGAAAACCTGGGAAAATGTGGGAAAACCTGGGAAAATGTGGGAAAAAACAGAAAAATCTGGGGAAAAAATGGAATATATGGGGAAAATCCATGAAAATATGTGGAAAATCTAGGAAAATCAGAGAAAATGCAGGAAAATGTAGGAAAAAACAGGAAAATATGGGGAAAAAATGGAATATATGGGGAAAATCCATGAAAATCCAGGAAAATCTGGGAAAACCTGGGAAAATGTAGGAAAAACCAGGAAAATACAGGAAAATCTGGGGAAAAAATGGAATATATGGGGAAAATCCATGAAAATATGTGGAAAATCTAGGAAAATCTGAGAAAATCCAGGAAAATCCAGGAAAATCTGGGAAAACCTGGGAAAATGTGGGAAAACCAGGAAAATCCAGGAAAATCTGGGAAAACCTGGGAAAATGTGGGAAAATCCAGGAAAATCTGGAAAAATGTGGGAAAATGTGGGAAAAAACAGGAAAATCTGGGTGAAAAATGGAATATATGGGAAAATCCATGAAAATATGGGGAAAATCCAGGAAAATCAGAGAAAATACAGGAAAATGTGTGGAAAAAACCAGGAAAATCCATGAAAATATGGGGAAAATCCATGAAAATATTGGGAAAATCCAGGGAAATGTGGGAAAAGGGCCCCCCCGAGCTGATTTCCCCAAATCCCAGGAAATTCCCCGTCCCTCCCTCCCTCCCGCTCCCGAAATTCCCGGTCCCTGCGGGGTCCCCGGATCCGTGATCCCGAGGCCATCCGGGAATTCCGTTAAACACAAGGGGAAGTTCCAATTCTTACTGACTTTGGCAGCTCCGGAATCTTTACCCGCCGCAGCGTCCGCCCTGCGGGACAGAAACCGGGAGATTTGGGGGGAAAATCGGGAAAATCGGGAAATTTGGGGGGAAAATCGGGGAAAATGGGGGAGAAATTGGCAGATTTGGGGGAAAAATTGGGGGGGAATTGGGAAATTTGGGAGGGAAATTGGGGGGAAATTGGGGGAAATGGGGGAGAAATTGGCAGATTTGGGGGAAAAATTAGGGGGGAAATTGGGAAATTGGGGGGAAAATTGGGAAATTTGGGAGGGAAATTGGGAAATTTGGGAGGGAAATTGGGGGGAAATTGGGGAAAATATGGGAGAAAAATTGGCAGATTTGGGGGAAAAATTGGGTGGGAATTGGGAAATTGGGGGGAAAATTGGGAAATTTGGGAGGGAATCTGGGGGAAAATTGGGAAATTTGGGAGGGAAATTGGGGGGAAATTGCGGGAAATTGGGAAATTTGGGGGGCAAAACTGGGAAATTTGGGGGGGAAATTGGGAGGAAAATTAGAGGGAATTAGGGGGAAAATGGGATCCCAGAGGGATTTGGGGGAATTTGGGGGGAAATTTTAGGGATTTGGGGGGGATCTGGGGCAGATTTTGGGGAGATCCGGGGGGATTTTGGGGAATTTGGAGACCTCTGATGGATTTTGGGGGCTCCCAGAGGGATTTTGGGGAATCTCAGATGGATTTTGGGGAATCTCGGATGGATTTTGGGGACATTCTGGGGATTTTGAGGAATCTCAGAGGGATTTTGGAGGCTCCCAGAGTGATTTTGGGGCTCCCAGAGTGATTTTGGGGAATCTCAGAGGGATTTTGGGGATGTTCTGGGGATTTTGAGATTTCCCGGAGAGATTTTGGGGGCTCCCAGAGTGATTTTGGGGAATCTCAGAGGGATTTTGGGGAATCTCAGATGGTTTTTGGGGAATCTCGGATGGATTTTGGGGAGATTCTGGGTGATTTTGGGGAATCTCAGAGTGATTTTGGGGAATCTCGGATGGGTTTTGGGGAATCTCAGATGGATTTTGGGGACATTCTGGGGATTTTCAGAAATCTCAGAGGGATTTTGGGGGCTCCCAGAGTGATTTTGGGGAATCTCAGGGGGATTTTGGGGTCTCCCAGAGGGATTTTGGGGAATCTCAGAAGGATTTTGGGGAATCTCTGATGGATTTTGGGGACATTCCGTGGGATTTGAGGACTCCCAGATGGATTTTGAGGAATCTCAGAGGGATTTTGGGGGCTCCCAGAGGGATTTTGGGGAATCTCAGATGGATTTTGGGGAATCTCGGATGGATTTTGGGGACATTCTGGGGATTTCAAGGCATCTCAGAGGGATTTTGGGGCTCCCAGAGTGATTTTGGGGAATCTCAGAGGGATTTTGGGGAATCTCAGATGGATTTTGGGGACATTCTGTCGGATCAGAGGGCTCCCAGAGGGATTTTGGGGAAGATTCTGGGTGATTTTGGGGAGATTCAGGGTGATCTTCGGGAGATTCAGGGTGATTTTGGGGAGATTCAGAGTGATTTTGGGGGATTTTGAGATCTCCTGGAGAGATTTTGGGGGCTCCCAGAGTGATTTTGGGGTCTCCCAGAGGGATTTTGGGGTCTCCCAGAGTGATTTTGAGGAATCTCAGATGGATTTTGGGGAATCTCAGATGGATTTTACGATCTCCAGGATGGATTTTGGGGGTTATTTTTGCTTTTCCGCACTCACTTTTTCAGCTTCTCTCCGAGGGCGGGCGAGGCCGGGGGGCGCGGCGGGGCCTTGTCCCGGGGCGCGGCGGGGCTGGGGGAGCGGGACCGGGACCGGGACCGGGACCGGGATCGGGATCGGGAGCGGGAGCGGGACCGGGAGGGGCTCCGGGAGTCGCTGCGGCTGCTGCGGCTCTGACTGCTCCAGCGGCGCCACGAGCGCGCCGAGCGCCGCGACCGGCTCCTGCGCGGGAACGGACGGAGTCACGTAGGGAACGGCCCGCGGGAAACGGGAAATCCCATCGGAAATGGGGAAATTCCACGGGAAAATCCCACGGGAAATGGGAAAATGCCATGGGAAATGGGAAAAGCCCACGGGGAACAAAGAAAAGCCCACGGGAAAAGCCCATGGGAAACAGGAATATCTCACGGGGAAAGGGAAAAGCCCGCGGGGAACGGGAAAAGTCCACGGGAAATGGGAAAATCCCACAGAAAAATCCCACGGGAAATGGGAAAATGCCATGGGAAACAGGAAAATCCCACAGGAAATGGGAAGAGGCCACGGGGAATGGGAAAATCCCGTAGGGAACGGGAAAAGCCCGCGGGAAATAGGAAAATCCCACGGGGAAATCCCAGGGGAAATGGGAACAGCCCACGGGGAATGGGAAAATGCCATGGGAAATGGGAAAAGCCCATGGGAAAATGCCATGGGAAATGGGAAAAGCCCGTGGGGAACAGGAAATGGAAAATCCCACAGTAAAGTCCCACAGGAAAATCCCACGGGAAATGGGAAAAGCCCACAGGAAATGGGAAAAGCCCATGGGGAACAGGAAAATCCCAAGGGAAAATCCCACGGGAAAATCTGATGTGAAATGGGAAAACCCCACGGGAAAATCCCACGGGAAATGGGAAAAGCCCACGGGAAAATCCCACAGGAAACGGGAAAAGCCCACGGGAAATGGGAAAAGCCTGCGGGAAATGGGAAATCCCGCAGGAAAATCCCACGGGAAATGGGAAAATTCCACAGGAAATAAAAAAATGCCATGGGAAAATGCCACGGGAAATGGGAAAAGCCCGCAGGAAATGGGAAAATCCCATGGGAAACGGGAAAACCCCACGGGAAAATGCCACGGGAAATGGGAAAATTCCACGGGAAATGGGAAAAGCCTGCAGGAAACGGGAAAAGCCCATGGGGAACAGGAAAATCCCAGAGGAACAGGAAAATCCTGCAGGAAACTGGAAAATCCCATGGAAAATGGGCAGGAATGCTGTGAAAATGGGAACCAGTCCCAGACTGTCCCAAAGTGATTCAAACTGACATGAACTGGTCCCAAACTGACCCGAACTGACCCGAACTGGTCCCAAACTGACCCAAACTGACCCAAACTGACCCAAAGTGACCCGAACCGGACCCACAGTGACCCGAACCGGCCCCGGCCTGACCTGGAGCGGCGGTGGCGGCGGCGGCGGCCGCGCTCGGCGGAGCGGGAGCGGCGGCGGCTGTCCCGGGACTCGCCCCGGGAGTAGCGGCGGGAACGGGAGCGGCTCCGGGAGCGGCTCCGGGAGCGGCTGCGGCTGCGGGAGCGGCTGCGGGAGCGGCGGCGGCCCCGGAACGCGCCCCGGGAACGGCGGAACGGCGCGCGGGAGCCCCGGGAGCCGCTGCGGGAGCCGCCCGAGCTGCACCACGAGGAGGAGGAGGAGCGCGAGGAGGACGAGGAGGAGGAGGAGGAGGAAGAGCGGCGCCTGGAAAAGGGAGAATGGGTGAGAAACGGGGGAAAGGGGGAAAAAGAGAGAAAAAAGGAGGAAAAAGAGGGGGGAAAAGGGAAAATAGAGAAAAAAAATGAGTAAAAGAGGGGGAAAAGGGGAGAAAAAGAGAGAAAAAAGGAGAAAAAAGAGGGGGAAAGGGAAAATAGAGAAAAAAAGGAGAAAAAAGAGGGGGGAAAAGGGAAAATAGAGGAAAAAAATGAGTAAAAGAGGGGGAAAAGTGGGGAGAAAAGGGGGGAAAGGGGAGAAAAGGGGGAAAAGGGGAGAAAAAGAAAAAAGGTGAAGAGAATAAAGGATAAAAATAGAAGGGGAGAAAAGGGGAGAAAGAGAGAAAAAAGATAAAAAAGGGAGGGGAAAAGGAGAGATAAGGGGAAGAAGAGAAAAAAGGAGGAAAAATAGGGAAAAAAGGGAAAATAGAGAAAAAAATGAGTAAAAGAGGGAAAAAAAGTTGGGGGGAAAAGGGGAGAAAAAGAAAAAAGGGGAAGAGAAAAAAGGATAAAAATAGAAAGGGAGAAAAAGGGAGAAAAGGGGAGAAAGAGAGAAAAAAGATTAAAAAGGGAGGGGAAAAAGAGAAAAAAGGAAAAAGGGGAAGAAGAGAAAAAAGGAGGAAAAAGAGAGAAAAAAGGGAAAATAGAGAAAAAAAATGAGTAAAAGAGGGGAAAAAGTTGGGGGGAAAGGGGAGAAAAGGGGAGAAAAGCGGAGAAAGAGAGAAAAAAGATAAAAAAGGGAGGGGAAAAAGGGAGAAAAAGGGAAAAAGGGGAAGAAGAGAAAAAAGGAGGAAAAAGAGGGGAAAAAAAGGGAAAATAGAGAAAAAAAATGAGTAAAAGAGGGAAAAAGTTGGGGGAAAAGGGAAGAAAAGGAAGAAAAAAGGAGAAAAAGCGGAATAAAAAAGCGAGAGAAAGGAAAAAAGCGGGACACAAAAGAGAGAAAAAGGGAAAAAAAGCAGAATACAAAAGAGAGAAAAAGGGAAAAAAGCAGAATACAAAAGAGAGAAAATGGGAAAAAAGCAGAATAAAAAAGTGAGAAAAAGGAAAAAAGCGGGGCACAAAAGAGAAAAAGAGAAAAAGGGAAAAAGGCAGAACACAAAAGAGAGAAAAAAGGAGAAAATGCAGAATACAAAAGAGAAAAAGGGAAAAAAACAGAATACAAAAGAAAGAAAAAGGGAAAAAAGCGGAATACAAAAGAGAAAAAGGGAAAAAAGCGGGATGAAAAAGAGAGAAAAAAGGAGAAAAAGCAGAATAAAAAAGCGAGAAAAGGGAAAAAAGTGGAAAAAAAAAGCGAGGAAAAGGGAAAAAAGGGGAATAAAAAAGTGAGAAAAAGGAGAAAAAGCAGAATAAAAAAGCGAGAAAATGGAAAAAAAACAGAATAAAAAAGCGAGGAAAATGAAAAGAAGCGGGTTCCAAGACATGAAAGGCGCAGAAGGAGCCCCGGCCGGGCCCGGCACTGACCGTGAGCCGTCGCGGTGTGCCGGTGCAGCGGTACCGGTACCAGTACCGGTGCCGGTACCGGTACCGGTGGGGCGCGGGCGCTCGCGGGGCCCGGGGGGACGCTGCTCCTCGTCGCTGCCGCCGAAGCTGGTGATGAAGGTGATCTTCTCCTCACGGCCCGGCGACGGCGTGCGCGACGAGCGGGACCGCGACTCCGAGCTCGACTCCGACGGCGACCTGCAACCACACCGGGGGTGGTACCGGTACCGGTACCGGGGGTGGTACCGACACCGGGAGTGGTACCGGTACCGCGGTGGTACCGGGATGGTGCTGGGGTGGTGCTTTGGGGGTATTGGGGTGGTATTGGGGGAGGTACTGGGGTGGTACCGATACCAGGGGTGATAGTGATACCAGGGGTGGTACCGGTACTGGTACCATGGTGGTGCTGGGGGTGGTGCTGAGGTGGTATTGGGGGTGGTACCAGGGGTGGTACCGACACCGGGAGTGGTACTGGTACCGGTACCGGTACTGCGGTGGTGCTGGGGGTGGTACTAGGGGGGTATTGGGGGTGGTACCGATACCAGTACTGGTACTGGGGGTGGTACTGGGGTGGTACCAGGGTGGTACTGACACTGGGAGTGGTACTGGTACCGGTACTGGTACCGCGGTGGTGCTGGGGGTGGTACTGGAGTGGTATTGGGGGAGGTACCATGGTGGAAGCGATACCGGGGTGGTACCGGTACCGGGGGTGGTGCTGGGGGTGGTATTGGGGTGGTATTGGGGGTGGTACCGACACCGGGAGTGGTACCGGTACCGGTACCGCGGTGGTACTGGGGTGGTGCTGGGGGTGGTACTGGGGTGGTATTGGGGGAGGTACCATGGTGGAAGCGATACCGGGGTGGTACCGGTACCGGGGGTGGTGCTGGGGGTGGTACTGGGGTGGGACTGGGGGTGGTACCAGGGTGGTACCGATACCAGGGGTGGTACCGGAGGGGTAACGATACTGGGGTTGGTACCAGGGTGGTACCAGGGTGGTACCGATACTGGGGTGGTACCGGTACTGGTACCGGGATGGTACCGGGGTGGTGCTGGGGGTCGTACTGGAGGGGTATTGGGGGTGGCTCCATGGTGGAAGGGATACCAGGGGTGCTACCGGTACCGGTACCGGTGTGGTACTGATACCAGGGGTGGTACCGGTACCGGTACCGGTACTGCGGTGGTGCTGGGGGTGGTACTGGGGGGGTATTGGGGGAGGTACCAACACCGGGAGTGGTACTGGTACCAGTACCAGGGTGGTGCTGGGGGTGGTGCTGGGGTGGTATTGGGGGAGGTACCATGGTGGTACCGATACCAGGGATGGTACTGGGGTGGTACCGGTACCGGGGTGGTGCTGGAAGGGGTGTTGGGGGGATATTGGGGGAGGTACCAGGGGTGGTACCGACACCGGGAGTGGTACCAGTACCGGGATGGTACCGGGGTGGTGCTGGAGGTGGTATTGGGGGGGTATTGGGGGTGGTACCGACACCAGGGGTGGTACCGGTACCGGTACCGGCACCATGGTGGTGCTGGGGGTGGTATTGGGGGAGGTACTGGGGTGGTACCGATACCAGGGGTGGTACCGGGATGGTACCGACACTGGGAGTGGTACTGGTACCGGTACCAGGGTGGTGCTGGGGGTGGTACTGGGGGGTACTGGGGGTGGTACCGGAGTGGTACCGATACCAGGGGTGGTACCGGGGTGGTGCTGGGGGGGTACTGGGGTGGTATTGGGGGTGGTACCGGGGTGGTACTGACACCGGGAGTGGTACCAGTACCGGTACCGGCACCAGGGTGGTGCTGGGGGTGGTACTGGGGGGGTATTGGGGGCAGTACCGGGGTGGTACCGGTACCAGTACTGGTACTGGGGTGGTGCTGGGGGGGTACTGGAGTGGTATTGGGGGAGGTACCATGGTGGTAGCGATACCAGGGGTGGTACTGGTACCGGTACCGGTACCGGGGTGGTGCTGGGGGCGGTACTGGGGGTGGTACTGGGGGTAGTACCGACACTGGGAGTGGTACCAGTACCGGTACTGGTATCGGGATGGTACTGGGGTGGTGCTGGGGGGGTATTGGGGGAGGTACCAGGGGTGGTACCGATACCAGGGGTGGTACTGGAGGGGTAACGATACTGGGGTTGGTACCAGGGTGGTACCAGGGGTGGTACCGACACCGGGAGTGGTACCGGTACCGGTACTGCGGTGGTGCTGGGGGTGGTACTGGGGTGGTATTGGGGGTGGTACCAGGGTGGTAGCGATACCAGGGGTGGTACCGGTACTGGTACTGGTACTGGGGTGGTGCTGGGGGTGGTATTGGGGGGCTATTGGGGGTGGTACCAACACCGGGAGTGGTACCGGTACTGGTACCGCTACCGCGGTGGTGCTGGGGGTTGTGCTGGGGGGTATTGGGAGTGGTACCGGGGTGGTACCAATACAGGGGTGGTACCGGGGAGGTAATGATACTAGGGTTGGTACCAGGGGTGGTACCAGTACCGGTACTGGTACTGTGGTGGTGCTGGGGGTGGTATTGGGGGGGTATTGGGGGAGGTACCAACACTGGGAGTGGTACCGGTACCGGTACCGGTACCACGGTGGTGCTGGGGGATGTTGGGGGTGGTACCAGGGGTGGTACTGATACCAGGGGTGGTACTGATACCAGGGGTGGTACCGGAGGGGTAACGATACTGGGGTTGGTACCGGGGTGGTACCAGGGTGGTACCGGTACTGGGGTGGTACCAGTGGTGGTACCGATACCGGAGTGGTACCAGTACTGGGGTGGTACCGGGTCGGTACCGATACCGAGGTGGTACTGGGGTGGTACCGATACCAGGGTGGTACCGGGGTGGTACCGATACTGGGGGCGGTACCGATACCGGGGTGGTACCGATACCGGGGTGGTACCAGTACCGGGGGTGGTACCGATACCGGGGCCGTTACCGTTTGTAGGGGTCGTAGGTGGGGCTGTCCCGGCGGGCGTAGCTGTGGGGAGACAGAAATGGGGGTTTGGGGTGAGAAAGGGGGAATTTGGGAGGGATTTGAGGAATTTGGGGGGGATTTGGGGGGGAACTGGGGAGATTTGGGGGGAATTGGGGGGATTTGGGGAGAACTGGGGAGATTTGGGAAGGATTGGGGGAATTGAGGAGGATTTGGGGGCAGAATGGTGAGGTTTGGGTGTGATTGGGGGGATTTGGAGGGAAACGGGGGGATTTGGGGGGAAGTGGGGAGAATTGTGGGGAATTGAGGAGGATTGGGGGGGAATTGTGGGGAATTGAGGGGGAATTGGGTGGGAATTGGGGAGATTTGGGCAGAATTGGGGGGGATTTGGGGAGAACGGGGGGGATTTGGGCGGAATTGGGGAGAATCGGGGGGATTTGGGCGGAATTGGGGGGGATTTGGGGGGAAATGGGGGGATTAGGGGGGAAATTGGGGGGATTTAGGCAGAATTGGGGGGGATTTGGGGAGAACGGGGGGGATTTGGGTGGAATTGGGGGGGAAATGGGGGGATTGGGTGGGAATTGGGGAGATTAGGGGGGATTTGGGGGGAATTACGGGGAATTTGGGGGGAAATGGGGGGATTAGGGGGGAAATTGGGGGGATTTGGGCGGAATTGGGGGGGATTTGGGGAGAAATGGGGGATTTGGGTGGAATCGGAGGGGAAATGTGGGGTTGGGGGTATTTTGGGGGGAAATGGGGAGATTTGGCAGATTTGGGGGGAGAATTGGGGGGATTTCAGGGAAAAAATGGGATTTTGGGGGTGAAAAGGTGGGATTTGGGGGGATTTGGGAATGACAATTTGGGATTCAGGGGAAAAGTGGTGGGATTGAGAGCAAAAACAGGATTTGGGAATGAAAAACTGGGATTTGGGAATGGGAAGTTGGGATTTGGGGGGAGAACGGTGAGATTTTGGAGGAAAATAGAATTCAGAATAAAACCATTGACTTCGAGGGGGAGGAATGTTGGGATTTGGGATGAAAATGTTGGGATTTGAGGGAAAACGTTGGGAAAAACGTCGGAATTGGGGGTGAAAAGGTTGGGAATCTCACCTGGGGGGGCTGATTTTCCGGCCTTTCAGCCGCTTCTCCCGGAATTCCCGGCGCTGCCGGCGGGAGCGGCGGCCCTGGGGAAGGGAAGGGATTTTTGGGGATTTCCCAAGGGAAAATTCCCGTTTTTTCTGTGTTTTTTCCAGGTTTTTCCCTCACCGAGTACATGGCCTTCTCCTCCTCCAGGGCCTTGGCGTTTTTGATGGCTTCAGCCTCTTCCTTGTCCTTCCTCAGCATCCTTTTTCCAGGGGAAAAAAAAGCGGGATCAGGGCAGGGGTTTGGGGAGATTCCGAGGAAAAGGGGGAGCCCTGAGCTGGAATTTCAGGGAAAAATGGGATTTTCAAGGCAGAATCTCAGGGAAAAAGGGAAAGTCTGGAAAAAAGGATGAAACCTCAGGAAAATCAGGGAGATCTGAGGCAGAATCCCAAGGAAAAATGGGATTTCCAGGTGAGAATCCCAAGGGAAAATGGGATTCCCAAGCCAAAATCTCAAGGAAAAATGGGATTTCCAGGAGAGAATCTGAAAGAAAAGTGTGATTTCCAGGAGAGAATCCCAAGGGAAAATGGGATTTCCAGGAGAGAATCTCAAGGGAAAATGGGATTTGCAGGAGAGAATCCCAAGGGAAAATGGGATTCCCGAGCCAAAATCTCAAGGAAAAATGGGATTTCCAGGAGAGAATCTGAAAGAAAAGTGTGATTTCCAGGAGAGAATCCCAAGGGAAAATGGGATTTCCAGGAGAGAATCCCAAGGGAAAATGGGATTTCTAATAGAGAGTCACAAGGAAAAACAGGATTCCCGAGCCAAAATCCCAAGGAAATATTGAATTTCTAGGAGAGAATCCCAAGGAAAAATGGGATCCCTGAGCCAAAATCCCAAGGAAAAACAGGATTCCTGAGCCAAAATCCCAAGGAAAATCAGGATTCCTGAGCCAAAATTGTAAGGGGATTGCCAGGAGAGAATCTGAAAGAAAAGTGGGATTTCCAGGAGAGAATCCCAAGGTAAAAAGAGATTCCCAAGCCAGAATCCCAAGGAAAAGTGCGATTTCTCGGAGAGAATCCCAAGGAAAAATGGGATTCCCGAGCCAAAATTCTAAGGGGATTTCCAGGAGAGAATCCCAAGGAAAAGTGGGATTTCCCAGAGAGAATCCCAAGGAAAAAAGAGATTCCCAAGCCAAAATCCCAAGGAAAAGTGGGACTTCTCGGAGAGAATCCCAAGGAAAAATGGGATTCCCGAGCCAAAATTCTAAGGGGATTTCCAGGAGAGAATCCAAGGAAAAGTGGGATTTCTCGGAGAGAATTCCAAGGAAAAATGGGATTCCTGAGCCAAAATGCCAAGGAAAAACAGGATTCCCGAGCCAAAATTCTAAGGGGATTTCCAGGAGAGAATCCCAAGGAAAAGTGGGATTTCCCGGAGAGAATCCCAAGGAAAAATGGGATTCCCGAGCCAAAATTCAAAGGGGATTTCCAGGAGAGAATCCCAAGGAAAAGTGGGATTTCCAGGAGAGAATCCCAAGGAAAAACGGGATTCCCGAGCCAAAATCCCAAGGAAAAGTGGGACTTCTCTGAGAGAATCCCAAGGAAAAATGGGATTCCCGAGCCAAAATTCTAAGGGGATTTCCAAGAGAGAATCCAAGGAAAAGTGGGATTTCTCGGAGAGAATCCCAAGGAAAAAAGAGATTCCCAAGCCAAAATCCCAAGGAAAAACAGGATTCCTGAGCCAAAATTGTAAGGGGATTTCCAGGAGAGAATCTGAAAGAAAAGTGGGATTTCCAGGAGAGAATCCCAAGGAAAAATGGGATTCCCGAGCCGAAATTCTAAGGGGATTTCCAGGAGAGAATCCCAAGGAAAAGTGGGATTTCCCGAAGAGAATCCCAAGGAAAAATGGGATTCCCGAGCCAAAATTCTAAGGGGATTTCCAGGAGAGAATCCCAAGGAAAAGTGGGATTTCCCGAAGAGAATCCCAAGGAAAAATGGGATTCCTGAGCCAAAATTCTAAGGGGATTTCCAGGAGAGAATCCCAAGGAAAAGTGGGATTTCTCGGAGAGAATCCCAAGGAAAAGTGGGATTTCCAGGAGAGAATCCCAAGGAAAAGTGGGATTTCCAGAAGAGAATCCCAAGGAAAAGTGGGATTTCCAGAAGAGAATCCCAAGGAAAAGTGGGATTTCCAGAAGAGAATCCCAAGGAAAAGTGGGATTTCCAGGAGAGAATCCCAAGGAAAAGCAGGAGCCCTCCCCGAGCTCAGATCCCAGCTTTTCCCGAGGTTTTCCCGGGCCGTACCTGACGAAATCGCCCTCGGCCATGCCGTAGGTGGTAGCCTGCTTGTTCAGGTCGGCCACTTGCTCCTGGTTCAGCTCATCCACGTCCACCTCCACGTCTGGAAAAACGGATGGAAAATCCTGGAACGGCGGCCCGGAGCGCCGGCGGGACCCCGCGCGCGACCCGCCGGAGCGTTACCGATGTCCGGGATCACTTCGTCCTCGTCCGTGTTGGAGTCGTCCTCGGAGTCGTCGTCGTCGCCCGGCCGCTTCTCCAGGGCGTTCTCCAGCTCCTCCACCGTGCTGTCCTCGTAGGTGTAGCCGATGGACGCCTTCTTCTCCGCCAGCCTGCCGGGAGCCGGCAAACAGAGCCCTCCAGCCCCGGGCTGCTCCCCGCGGGACGGGCCCCGGAGAGGGATGGATCCCAGGGAATGGGGATGGCGAGGGGAATTGGGAATTGGGAGGGGAAATTGAGAGGGGAATGGAGATTGTGAGGGGAATTGTGAGGGGAAATTGTGAGGGGAATGGGGATTGTGAGGGGAATTGTGAGGGGAAATTGTGAGGGGAATTGTGAGGGGAATGGGGATTGGGAGGGGAATTGTGAGGGGAATTGTGAGGGGAATGGGGATTGTGAGGGGAAATGGTGAGGGGAATCGTGAGGGGAATGGGGATTGTGAGGGGGAATTGTGAGGGGAATGGGGATTGTGAGGGGAATTGTCAGGGGGAATTGTGAGGGGAATTGTGAGGGGAACGGGACTTGTGAGGGGAATGGGGATTGTGAGGGGAATTGTGAGGGGAAATTGTGAGGGGGATGGGGATTGGGAGGGAAAATTGTGAGGGGAATGGGAATTGTGAGGGGAATGGGGATTGTGAGGGGAAATTGTGAGGGGGAATAGGGATCGTGAGGGGGAATTGTGAGGGGAATGGGGATTGTGAGGGGAATGGGGATTGTGAGGGGAATGGGGATTGTGAGGGGAATGGGGATTGTGAGGGGAATTGTGAGGGGAATTGTGAGGGGGAATTGTGAGGGGAATGGGGATTGTGAGGGGGAATGGGTATTGTGAGGGGAATGGGGATTGTGAGGGGAATGGGGATTGTGAGGGGAAATTGTGAGGGTAATGGGGATTGTAAGGGGAAATCGTGAGGGGAATTGTGAGGGGAATGGGGATTGTGAGGGGAAATTGTGAGGGGAATGGGGATTGTGAGGGGAATGGGGATTGTGAGGGGAATGGGGATTGTGAGGGGGATGGGAATTGTGAGGGGAATTGTGAGGGGAATGGGGATTGTGAGGGGAATGGGGATTGTGAGGGGAAATGGAAATTGTGAGAGGGAATTGTGAGAGGAATGGGGATTGTGAGGGGAATGGGGATTGTGAGGGGAAATTGTGAGGGGGAATGGTGAGGGGAATGGGGATTGTGAGGGGAATTGTGAGGGGGAATGGGGATTGGGAGGGGAATGGGGATTGTGAGGGGAATGGGGACTGTGAGGGGAATGGGAATTGTGAGGGGGAATGGGGATTGTGAGGGGAATGGGGATTGTGAGGGGGAATTGTGAGGGGGAATTGTGAGGGGAATGGGGATTGTGAGGGGAATGGGGATTGTGAGGGGAATGGGGATTGGTAGGGAAAATCAGAATTCTGAGGGGGAATTTTGAGGGGAAATGGGAATTGTGAGGGGAAATGGAAATTGTGAGGGAATTGTGAGAGGAATGGGGATTCTGAGGGGAATGGGGATTGTGAGGGGAATGGGGATTGTGAGGGGAATTGTGAGGGGGAATTGTGAGGGGAATGGGGATTGTGAGGGAGAATGGGGATTGTGAGGGGAATTGTGAGGGGAATGGGGATTGTGAGGGGAAATGGGGACTGTGAGGGGGAATTGTGAGGGGAAATGGGGATTGTGAGGGGAAATTGTGAGGGGAATTGTGAGGGGGAATTGTGAGGGGAATGGGGATTGTGAGGGGAAATGTGAGGGGAAATGGGGATTGTGAGGGGAATTGTCAGAGGGAATTGTGAGAGGGAATTGTGAGGGGAAATTGTGAGGGGAATGGGGATTGTGAGGGGAATTGTGAGGGGAATGGGGATTGTGAGGGGAATGGGGATTGTGAGGGGAAATGGAAATTGTGAGAGGGAATTGTGAGAGGAATGGGGATTGTGAGGGGAATGGGGATTGTGAGGGGAAATTGTGAGGGGAAATTGTGAGGGGGAATGGTGAGGGGAATGGTGAGGGGAATGGGGATTGTCAGGGGAATGGGGATTGTGAGGGGAAATTGTGAGGGGGAATTGTGAGGGGAATGGGGATTGTGAGGGGAAATTGTGAGGGGAATGGGGATTGTGAGGGGGAATGAGGATTCTGAGGGGGAATTTTGAGGGGAAATGGGAATTGTGAGAGGAATGGGGATTGTGAGGGGGAATTGTGAAGGAAAATCAGAATTCTGAGGGGGAATTCTGAGGAGAAATGGGAATTCTGCGGTGGAATTTTAAGGGAAAATGGGAATTCTGAGGGAAAATGGGTGTTCTGAGGGAAAATGGAAATTATGAGGGGAAATGGAATTCTGAGGGGAAATGGGAATTCTGAGGGAAAATTGTGAGGAGAAATGGGAATTTCGAGGGGGAATTGTGTGGGAAAATTGGAATTCTGAGGGAAAATGGGAAATCTGAGGAAAAATGGCAATTCTGAGGGGGAATTGTGAGGGAGAATGAGAATTCTGAGGGAAAACAGGAAATCTGAGGGGAAAATGGGAATTCTGAAGGGAAATTTGGAGGGAAAAGAGGAATTCTGAGGGAAAGTGGGAAATCTGAGCTGAATTCAGAGGGAAAACAGGAATCCCAAGCCAGAATGCCCCAGGCAAAATCAGGAGCCCTTCCCAGGATGGTTTTGGGGGAGATTCTAACAAAGGAATGAGGGGAAAACTGGGATTTGGGGCATTATCCCAGGATTAGGATCATTCCCAAGGGTGTGGGGGTGCATTCCCGGTGTTTTGCCAGCCGGAATTCCCAGGAATTCCAACGTTTTTCCCTCACTTTTTCTTCTCATCCTCGTTGGGTTTCTGGAGGCCCCCGTAGAGCTCGTCGATGTAGATCTGGTACAGGCACTGCTCCTCCGAGACTGGGATTGGGAATTTTGGCATCAAATCATTCCCTAAATCCCTCGGGAATCACCCGCAGGGGATCCGGAGTGGTCGGAATTCCCAAAAAACCAGGGAAAAATGGACTCACTGCCAGCGAAGTCGTTCTGCACCAAGCCCCGGTACCGCTCGTAGTTGCATTTGCGCTCGTCTGACTCCTGTTCTGGTGAGCTGGAAAATCGGGAATTCTGAGGGGATTTTGGGATCAAAACGGGAATTTCGGGGGTTAAAGGTGGATTTTAGGGATCAAAGAGAGATTTTGTGCTAAAAAAAGGTGGATTTGGGGGGAAAAAAGGTGGATTACGAGGGTCTCCCCCTCATAGTTGCATTTGTGCTCGTGAGATTCCTGCTCTGGTGAGCTGCAAAATCAGGAATTCTGAGGGGATTTTGGGATCAAAACGGGGATTTGGGGGGTTAAAAGTGGATTTTAGGGACCAAAGAAAGATTTTGTGCTAAAAAAAGGTGGATTTGGGGGGAAAAAAGGTGGATTATGAGGGCCTCCCCCCTCATAGTTGCATTTCTGCTCATCTGCCTCCTGCTCCGGTGAGCTGGAAAAATGGGAATTCTGAGGGGATTTTGGGATCAAAACAGGGATTTTGGGGGTTAAAAGTGGATTTTAGGGATCAAAGAAAGATTTTGTGCTAAAAAAAGGTGGATTTGGGGGAAAAAGAGGTGGATTATGAGGGTCTCCCCCCTCATAGTTGCATTTGTGCTTGTGAGATTCCTGCTCTGGTGAGCTGCAAAATCGGGAATTCTGAGGGGATTTTGGGATCAAAACGGGGATTTTGGGAGTAAAACGTGGATCTTAAGGAAAAAATGAGAAATTTGTGCTAAAAAAAGGTGGATTTGGGGGAAAAAAGGTGGATTATGAGGGCCTCCCCCTCATAGTTGCATTTGCGCTCGTGAGATTCCTGCTCTGGTGAGCTGCAAAATCGGGAATTCTGAGGGGATTTTGGGATCAAAATGGGGATTTGGGGGGTTAAAAGTGGATTTTAGGGATCAAAGAAAGATTTTGTGCTAAAAAAGGTGGATTTGGGGGGAAAAAAGGTGGATTATGAGGCTTTCTTCCCTCATAGTTACATTTGTACTCGTCTGATTCTTACTCTGGTGAGCTGGGAAATCGGGAATTCTGAGGGGATTTTGGGATCAAAACGGGGATTTGGGGGGTTAAAAGTGGATTTTAGGGATAAAAGAAAGATTTTGTGCTAAAAAAAGGTGGATTTGGGGAAAAAGAGGTGGATTATGAGGGTCTCCCCCCTCATAGTTGCATTTGTGCTCGTGAGATTCCTGCTCTGGTGAGCTGCAAAATCGGGAATTCTGAGGGGATTTTGGGATCAAAACGGGGATTTGGGGGGTTAAAGGTGGATTTTAGGGATCAAAGAGAGATTTTGTGCTAAAAAAAGCTGGATTTGGGGGAAAAAAGGAGGATTATAAGGGCCTCCCCCTCATAGTTGCATTTGTGCTTGTGAGATTCCTGCTCCGGTGAGCTGGAAAAATGGGAATTCTGAGGAGATTTTGGGATCAAAATTGGGATTTTGGGGGTTCAAAGTGGATTTTGGGTTCCCAAAATGGATTTGATGGGAGGAAAAACTGAATTTGGGGGGAAAAAGGGTGGATTATGAGGGCCTCCCCCTCATAGTTGCATTTGTGCTTGTGAGATTCCTGCTCTGGTGAGCTGCAAAATCGGGGAATTCTGAGGGGATTTTGGGATCAAAACAGGGATTTTGGGGGTTAAAAGTGGATTTTAGGGATAAAAGAAAGATTTTCTGCTAAAAAAAGGTGGATTTGGGGGGAAAAAAAGGTGGATTATGAGGCTTTCTTCCCTCATAATTACATTTGTACTCGTCTGATTCCTGCTCCGGTGAGCTGGAAAAATGGGAATTGTGAGGGGATTTTGGACTCAAAACAGGGATTTTGGGGGTTAATGATGAATTTTAGGGATCAAATGAGGATTTTGTGCTAAAAAAAGGTGGATTTTGGAGGAAAAAAGGCGGATTATGAGGGCCTCCCCCCTCATAGCTGCATTTGTGCTCGTCTGCTTCCTGCTCAGCTGGAAAAACGGGAATTCTGAGGAGATTTTGGGATCAAAACAGGGATTTTGGGGATTAAAGGGATACTTTGGAGTACAAACAGGAACTTTGCCCTAAAAATGAGAGGATTTGAGAGAAAAAAAGGTGGATTTTGGGGAAGAAAAAGGGGATTTCGGAGGGGTTGTAGTTGCATTCGTGCTCGTTCAATTCATACTGCAGGGAGCTAGAAAAACAGGAATTCTGAGAGAATTTTGGGACAAAAGCAAGGATTTTGGGGTTCAAATGAAGATTTTATGGATGCAATGTGGATTTTATGGGTCCAAAGGGGGATTTTGAGGATCCAAAGGGGGACTTTTTGCTAAAAAAAGAGGGATTTTATGGGTCCAAAGGGGGGATTTTGGAGCTCAAACACAGATTTCTACAGATCCAACGTGGATTTTTGGGCTCAAAACAGGGATCATTGGGATCCAAGATGGATTTTGGGGATCCAAAGTGGAATTTCAGGGGATTTTCCGAGCTCAAATGAAGATTTTTGGGGTCAAAACACAGATTTAGGACCCTCCCACCCCATCCTGGCAGGATGCCAGCCCCAAAACTGTGGGGGAATTTTTTTTGGGAATTTTTTTTGGGGAATCTCATGGGAATTTTTTGGGAATCTTACGTGGGGCTAAGCAGGGCCGGGGTGTACATGGGGATGAAATCCAGGTGAGCGCGGACGTCGAACCTGTCGATCATGTTGTTGGTGTCCCCCTGCCAGGGCATCCTGCCGGGAAAAAACGAGCCTTGGGAATGGGAAAAATCCCGGAATTCCCACCCGGAATGCTCAGAATTCCCCACTTTCCTTCAGCAAAAAAAAAATGGGAAAGGTGGTTCCCCCAAAAAAGCAGAATTTTCTTTGGGTTGATGGAGTAAAACCAGGTTAAATTTCATTTTGGGGGAAAATTGGGATTTATCCAGCCCTGGGGGTGATTCCAGGGTGGGGATCCCACGGGATTTTCTCCCTGGATTTAGCAGAATTCCCCCTTTTCCACCAGGAAAAAAATGGGAGTGAAGACTCCAATAAAACCTGAATTCTCCCCAGATTTGCTCAAAACCACCCAAATTTAGAAAAATTAGAAAATCCCGATTTTCTCCATCCCCTGGGGAGTGATCCAAGTAATATTCCAGAGATAATTCCATGGAATTTATCCCTGATATGAGCAAAATTCCTTCAGAAAAATTGGAACAGCGGCTCCAAATCCTCCCGGATTTGCCCAAAACCGCCCAAATTCCAACCCCAGGGAAATCCCAATTTTCTGCATCCCAGGGAGGTGATCCCAGGAATATTCCAGAGATAATTCCATGGAATTTATCCCTGAAATGACCAAAATCCTTCAGAAAAATTGGAATAGGGGCTCCGAATCTTTCCAGATTTGCCCAAAACCGCCCAAATTCCATCTCCTGGAAATCCCGGATTTCTGCATCCCTGGGTGGGATATTCCAGAGATAATTCCATGGAATTTATCCCTGAAATGACCAAAATCCCTTCAGAAAAATCGGAATAGGGGCTCCAAATCCTCACGGATTTGCCCCAAACCACCCAAATTGGAACCAATGGAAAATCCCGGATTTCTCCATGCCAGGGAGGCGATCCCAGGAAGATTCCAGGGACAATTCCAGGGAATTCCGGGCGGGAATTGCGGGGGCTCACATGTTGACGGGGCTCTCGGCCGCCAGCGCCACGGCGGAGTCCAGGTGCACCTTGCAGGCGCGGCCGTGCACCTGCAGGAACTGCGCCGGGTCCTTTTTCTGGGAAAAACGGGAAAATCCCGGGATTAGGGACGGATGGGAAAGGTGGGAATGAGGGGAGGGTCACCGGGAAAAGAGGGGACGCGGTTGGGAGGGAGGGGAAAGGAGGAGTGGGGGGGAACTGATGGGAAAATGGGAATTCGGGGTGAAAAAATGGGAATTTGGGGTGAAAAAATGGGAATGTGGGGCGAAAAATGGGAATGTGGGGCTAAAAATGGGAATGTGGGGCTAAAAATGGGAATTCGGGGTGAAAAATGGGAATGTGGGGCTAAAAATGGGAATTTGGGGTGAAAAATGGGAATGTGGGGCTAAAAATGGAAATGTCAGGGTGAAAAATGGGAATTTGGGGGCTAAAAATGGGAATGTGGGTGCTAAAATGGGAATGTGGGGCAAAAACTGGGAATTCGGGGTGAAAAATGGGAATGTGGGGCTAAAAATGGGAATTCGGGGTGAAAAATGGGAATGTGGGGCTAAAAATGGGAATGTCAGGGTGAAAAATGGGAATGTCGGGAAAAAAATGGGAATGTTGGGGCAAAAATGGGAATGTAGGGCTAAAAATGGGAATTTGGGGCGAAAAATGGGAATTCGGGGTGAAAAATGGGAATTCGGGGCGAAAAATGGGAATGTTGGGAAAAAAAATGGGAATGTGGGGCTAAAAATGGGAATGTGGGGCTAAAAACTGGGACAAGAACCCCCCAAACTGGTTCTGGGTCCCCCAAACTGGGACAAGAACCCCCTAAACTGGTTCTGGGTCCCCCCAAACTGGGACAGGGACATCCCAAACTGGTTCTGGGCCCCCCAAACTGGTTCTGGGCCCCCCAAACTGGGACAAGAACCCCCCCAAACTGGGACAGGGACATCCCAAACTGGTTCTGGGTCCCCCCAAACTGGTTCTGGGTCCCCCCAAACTGGGACAAGAACCCCCAAACTGGTTCTGGGCCCCCCAAACTGGGACAAGAACCCCCAAACTGGGACAAGAACCCCCAAACTGGTTCAGGACCTCCCAAACTGGTTCTGGGCCCCCCAAACTGGTTCAGGACCCCCAAACTGGGACAAAATCCGTCCAAATGGGTTCTGGGTCCCCCCAAACTGGTGTGAACTGGCTCAAACCAGTTCTGGGTGCCCCCAAACTGGGAAAAGAACCCCTCAAACTGGTGTGAATTGGCCCAAACCGGTTCTGGGCCCCCCAAACTGGGACAAGAACCCCCCAAACTGGTGTGAACTGGCCCAAACCGGCCGGAACCGGTGTGCGCTCACGATTTTCTCGTAGTACTCGCGGCGCCGCTCGGCGCGTTTCTTGTAGTCCACCATCATCCCCCGCAGCTTCCGCTCGTGCTTCCGCGCCTCGTGCCACATCCCGACGCCTTCCGGGACCTTCCGGAACCTTCCGGGACCTTCTGGAACCTTCCAGAACCTTCCGGGACCTTCCAGAACCTTTCAGGACCTTCCGGAACCTTCCGGGACCTTCCGGAACCTTCCGGAACCTTCCGGGACCTTCCGGAACCTTCCGGGACCTTCCAGAACCTTCCAGGACCTTCCGGAACCTTCCGGAACCTTCCAGGACCTTCCGGAACCTTCCGGAACCTTCCGGGACCTTCCAGGACCTTCCGGAACCTTCTGGAACCTTCCGGGACCTTCCGGAACCTTCCAGGACCTTCTGGAACCTTCCGGGAGCTTCCAGAACCTTCCCAAACCGTCCAGGACCTTCCGGGACCTTCCAGGACCTTCCAGAACCTTCCAGGACCTGCCGGAACCTTCCACGGAGCTCCGGAACCTTTCAGAACCTTCCAGGACCTTCTGGAACCTTCCGGGACCTTCCAGGACCTTCTGGAACCTTCCGGGACCTTCCAGAACCTTTCAGGACCTTCCGGGACCTTCCGGAACCTTCCGGGACCTTCCAGAACCTTCCACGGGGCTCCGGAACCTTCCGGGTCCTGCCAGGGGAAAGGGGGGAGGAGCAGGAGGGTCCTGGGGGAAAAGAGGAGTCAGGGGTGGGGGAAGGGCTGGAATTGGGGGTAATTAACGGGAAATTAATTAGGGGGTTAATTAAGGGGGAAATTTGGGGTAAAAACTGGAGAACAAGGGGAGTAAATTGGGGATAAAATTGGGGATTAAGGGGGAGATTTGGGGTTGATTAAGGGGGAATTGGGGATTAATTAAGGGGTTAATTAGGGGGTTAATTAGAGGGTTAATTAGGGGGTAATTAGGGGGTTAATTAAGGGGGAAAATTTGGGGTAAAAATTGGAGAACAAGCGGAGTAAATTTGGGATAAAATTGGGGATTAAGGGGGAGATTTGGGGTTGATTAAGGGGGAATTGGGGATTAATTAGGGGGTTAATTAGGGGGTAATTAGGGGGTTAATTAAGGGGGATTGGGGGTTAATTAAGGGGGAAAATTTGGGATAAAAATTGGAGAACAAGCGGGGTAAATTGGGGATAAAATTGGGGATTAAGGGGGGAAATTGGGGTTTAATTAATGGGGAATTGGAGGGTAATTAACAGGGAATTGGGGGTTAATTAAAAGGGGAAATTAGGGGGTAATTAATGGGGAATTGGGGGTTAAATAAGGGGGAAAATTTGGGATAAAAATTGGGGATTAAGGAGGGAAATTGGGGATTAATTAAGGGGGATTTACGGGATAATTAACGGGGAATTAGGAGGTAATTAAGGGGGAGTTAAGGGTTAATTAAGGGGGAGATTTGGGATAAAAATTGGGAATTAGGGAATTCATTAAGGAAGAAATTGGGGGTTAATTAAGGGGTAATTGGGGGGGTAATTAAGGGGGAAAATTGGAAATAAAAGTTTGACAATAACGGGGAAAAATTGGGATAAAAATTGGGGATTAAGGGGGAAAATTGTATTAATTAAGGGGGAGATTTGGGAATAAAAATGGGGAAATTGGGGATAAAGAAGGGAAATTGGGAATTAAAGGGGGAAATTGGGAATTAAATGGGGAAATTGGGAATTGAAGGGGGAAATTGGGAATTAAAAGGGGGAAATTGGGAATTAAATGGGGAAATTGGGAATTAAAGGGGGAAATTGGGAATTAAAGGGAAAATTGGGAATTAAATGGGGAAAATTGGGAATTGAAGGGGGAAATTGGGAATTAAATTGGGGAAATTGGGAATTAAATGGGGAAATTGGGAATTAAAGGGGGAAATTGGGAATTAAAGGGGGAAATTGGGAATTAAAGGGGAAATTGGGAATTAAAGGGGAAATTGGGAATTAAAGGGGGAAATTGGGAATTAAAGGGGAGAAGTTGGGGAATTAAAGGGGAAATTGGGAATTAAAGGGGAAATTGGGAATTAAATGGGGAAATTGGGAATTAAAGGGGGAAATTGGGAATTAAATGGGGAAAATTGGGAATTAAAGGGGGAAATTGGGAATTAAAGGGGGAAATTGGGAATTAAATGGGGAAAATTGGGAATTGAAGGGGGAAATTGGGAATTAAATTGGGGAAATTGGGAATTAAATGGGGAAATTGGGAATTAAAGGGGAAATTGGGAATTAAAGGGGGAAATTGGGAATTAAAGGGGGAAATTGGGAATTAAAGGGGGAAATTGGGAATTAAAAGGGGAAATTGGGAATTAAAGGGGGAAATTGGGAATTAAAGGGGGAAATTGGGAATTAAAGGAGAAATTGGGAATTAAAGGGGAAATTGGGAATTAAAGGGGGAAATTGGGAATTAAAGGGGGAAATTGGGAATTAAAGGGGGAAATTGGGAATTAAAGGAGAAATTGGGAATTAAAGGGGGAAATTGGGAATTAAAGGGGAAATTGGGAATTAAAGGGGGGAAATTGGTAATTAAGGGGGGAAATTGGTAATTAAAAGGGGGAAATTGGGAATTAAATGGGGGAAATTGGGAATTAAAAGGTGGAAATTTGGAATTAAAGGGGAAATTGGGAATTAAAGGGGAAATTGGGAATTAAAGGGGGAAATTGGGAATTAAAAGGGGGAAATTGGGAATTAAAGGGGGAAATTGGGAATTAAAAGGGGGAAATTGGGAATTAAAGGGGGAAATTGGGAATTAAAAGGCGGAAATTGGGAATTAAAGGGGAAATTGGGAATTAAAGGGGGGAAATTGGTAATTAAGGGGGGAAATTGGTAATTAAAAGGGGGAAATTGGGAATTAAATGGGGGAAATTGGGAATTAAAAGGTGGAAATTTGGAATTAAAGGGGAAATTGGGAATTAAAGGGGAAATTGGGAATTGAAGGGGAAATTGGGAATTAAAGGGGGAAATTGGGAATTAAAGGGGAAATTGGGAATTAAAGGGGGAAATTGGGAATTAAAGGGGGAAATTGGGAATTAAATGGGGAAATTGGGAATTAAAGGGGGAAATTGGGAATTAAATGGGGAAAATTGGGAATTAAAGGGGGAAATTGGGAATTAAAGGGGGAAATTGGGAATTAAATGGGGAAAATTGGGAATTGAAGGGGGAAATTGGGAATTAAATTGGGGAAATTGGGAATTAAATGGGGAAATTGGGAATTAAAGGGGAAATTGGGAATTAAAGGGGGAAATTGGGAATTAAAGGGGGAAATTGGGAATTAAAGGGGGAAATTGGGAATTAAAGGGGAAATTGGGAATTAAAGGGGGAAATTGGGAATTAAAGGGGAAATTGGGAATTAAAGGGGAAATTGGGAATTAAAAGGGGAAATTGGGAATTAAAGGGGGAAATTGGGAATTAAAGGGGGAAATTGGGAATTAAAGGGGGAAATTGGGAATTAAAGGAGAAATTGGGAATTAAAGGGGGAAATTGGGAATTAAAGGGGAAATTGGGAATTAAAGGGGGGAAATTGGTAATTAAGGGGGGAAATTGGTAATTAAAAGGGGGAAATTGGGAATTAAATGGGGGAAATTGGGAATTAAAAGGTGGAAATTTGGAATTAAAGGGGAAATTGGGAATTAAAGGGGAAATTGGGAATTAAAGGGGGAAATTGGGAATTAAAAGGGGGAAATTGGGAATTAAAGGGGGAAATTGGGAATTAAAGGGGGAATTGGGAATTAAAGGGGGAAATTGGGAATTAAATGGGGGAAATTGGGAATTAAATGGGGGAAATTGGGAATTAAAGGGGAAATTGGGAATTAAAGGGGGAAATTGGGAATTAAAGGGGAAATTGGGAATTAAAGGGGGAAATTGGGAATTAAAGGGGGAAATTGGGAATTAAATGGGGGAAATTGGGAATTAAAGGGGAAATTGGGAATTAAATGGGGGAAATTGGGAATTAAGGGGGGAAATTGGGAATTAAAGGGGAAATTGGGAATTAAAGGGGGAAATTGGGAATTAAAGGGGAAATTGGGAATTAAAGGGGAAATTGGGAATTGAAGGGGGAAATTGGGAATTAAAGGAGAAATTGGGAATTAAAGGGGAAATTGGGAATTAAAGGGGAAATAGGGAATTAAAGGGGGAAATTGGGAATTAAAGGGGGAAATTGGGAATTAAAGGGGGAAATTGGGAATTAAAGGGGAAATTGGGAATTAAATAGGGGAAATTGGGAATTGAAGGGGGAAATTGGGAATTAAACGGGAAATTGGGAATTAAAGGGGAAAATTGGGAATTAAAGGGGAAATTGGGAATTAAAAGGGAAATTGGGAATTTAAGGGGAAATTGGGAATTAAAGGGGAAATATTGGAAATTAAATGGGGGAAATTGGGAATTAAAGGGGAGAATTTGGGGGATTAAAGGGGGCGCTAACGAGGGGCAGGCCTGGGGGAAGGAGGAGGGCGCTAATTAAGGAATAATTAATTAATTAAGGGGGGAGCGGCCCCGCCGCCATCGCCGCTCACCGCGCTCGGCGCACCCGGAAGCGGAAGTGACGAATGCGGAAGCGCAGGGGCTGAGGGGGAATAGGCGTGGCTTGGTGTCAGAACGAGGCTGGGGCGGGGCTTGAGCCGCTAGGGGGCGTGGCTTGCTGAGGGGGCGGGGCTTAAACGGTTCCTCTTCCGGGTTCTGTTCCCAGTTTGATACTGGGCCAAACTGGTCCCAGTTCCAGCCCCAAACTGGTCCCAGTTCCAGCCCCAAACTGGTCCCAGTTCCAGCCCCAAACTGGTCCCAGTTCCAGTTCCAAACTGGTCCCAGTTCCAGCCCCAAACTGGTCCCAGTTCCAGTTCCATACTGGTCCCAGTTCCAGTTCCATACTGGTCCCAGTTCCAGTTCCATACTGGTCCCAGTCCCAGTTCCAAACTGGTCCCAGTTCCAGTTCCATACTGGTCCCAGTTCCAGTCCCAAACTGGTCCCAGTTCCAGTTCCAAACTGGTCCCAGTTCCAGCCCCAAACTGGTCCCAGTTCCAGTTCCAAACTGGTCCCAGTTCCAGCCCCAAACTGGTCCCAGTTCCAGTTCCATACTGGTCCCAGTTCCAGTTCCATACTGGTCCCAGTTCCAGTTCCATACTGGTCCCAGTTCCAGTTCCATACTGGTCCCAGTTCCAGTTCCATACTGGTCCCAGTTCCAGTTCCATACTGGTCCCAGTTCCAGTTCCATACTGGTCCCAGTTCCAGTTCCAAACTGGTCCCAGTTCCAGCCCCAAACTGGTCCCAGTTCCAGTTCCATACTGGTCCCAGTTCCAGTTCCAAACTGGTCCCAGTTCCAGTTCCAAACTGGTCCCAGTTCCAGCCCCAAACTGGTCCCAGTTCCAGTTCCATACTGGTCCCAGTTCCAGCCCCAAACTGGTCCCAGTTCCGGCCCCAAACTGGTCCCAGTTCCAGTTCCATGCTGGTACCAGTTCCAGTTCCATACTGGTCCCAGTTCCAGCCCCAAACTGGTCCCAGTTCCAGCCCCAAACTGGTCCCAGTTCCAGCCCCAAACTGGTCCCAGTTCCAGTTCCATACTGGTCCCAGTTCCAGCCCCAAACTGGTCCCAGTTCCAGCCCCAAACTGGTCCCAGTCCCTCCCAGTATAAACCAGTCCATCCCAGTTCATCCCAGTCCCTCCCAGTTCCAAACCCACTCGTGGCTGTTCATCCATTATTTTATTCCACACAAAATCCCGAAGAATTTTGGGAATTTTGGGGGTTTTTGGAAGGATTTCGTGCGGATTTTTGGGAATTTTGGGAGGATTTTGGGAAGATTTTTGGGAATTCCGAAGGGGATTCTGAAGAGGATTTCGTGTGGATTTTTGGGAATTTTGGGGGGATTTTGGAAGGATTTTGGAAGGATTTTGGGAGGATTTCATGCAGATTTTTGGGAATTTTGAGGGGATTTTGGGAGGATTTTTGGGGATCATGAGGAGGATTCCGAGGGGGATTTGGGGGAGGATTTTTGGGAATTTGGGAGATTTTTTGGGAATTCCGAAGAGGATTCCAAGGGGGTTTTGGGGAGGATCTGGAGGGGGATTTTTGGGAATTTTGGGATGATTTTGGGAGGATTTTTGGGGATTCCGAGGGGGATTTTGGGAGGATTTTGGGAGGATTTTTAGGAATTCCAAGGGGGATTCCGAGGGGGATTTTGGGATGACTTTGGGATGATTTGGGGATGATTTTTGGGAATTTGGGGATGATTTTGGGGGGATTTTTCGGGAATTCCGAGGGGGATTTGGAGGGGGATTCCGGGATGCTTTTGGGATGATTTTGGGATGATTTTGGGAGGATTTTTTGGGAATTTTGGAGAGGATTTGGAGGGGGATTTCTGGGAATTTTGGGGGGATTTTGGGATGGTTTTTGGGAGGATTTTTTGGGAATTTTGAGGGGAATTTTGGGATGATTTTGGGAGGATTTTTGGGAATTCCGAGGGGGATTCCGAGGGGGATTTCGGGAGGATCTGGAGGAGGATTTCTGGGAATTTTGGGATGATTTTGGGAGGATTTTTTGGAATTTTGGGGATGATTTTGGGGAAGATTTTTGGGAATTCCGAGGGGGATTCGGAGGGGGATTTGGGGAGGATTTGGAGGGGGATTTTTGGGGAATTTTAGGGGGATTTTGGGAGGATTTTTGGGAATTTGGGGATGATTTTGGGATGATTTTGGGAATTTGGGGGGATTTTGGGATGATTTTGGGAGGATTTTTGGGAATTTTGGGGGGATTTTGGGATGATTTTGGGGGATTTTGGGATGATTTTGGGAGGATTTTTGGGAATTCCAATGGGGATTCCGAGGGGGATTTGGGGAGGATCTGGAGGGGGATTTTTGGGAATTTTGGGATGATTTAGGGAAGATTTTTGGGAATTCCGAGGGGGATTTGGGGATGATTTTGGGAGGATTTTTGGGGATCGCGAGGAGGATTCCGAGGGGGATTTTGGGATGACTTTGGGATTATTTGGGGATGATTTTTGGGAATTTGGGGATGATTTTGGGGGGATTTTTTGGAATTCCGAGGGGGATTTGGGGAGGATTTGGAGAGGGATTTTTGGGAATTTTGGGAGGATTTTTGGGGATTACGAGGAGGATTTTGGGAGATTTTTTGGGGATCGCGAGGAGGATTCCGAGGGGGATTTGGGGAGGATCTGGAGGGGGATTTTGGGGAATTTTGGGAGAATTTTTGAGAATTTTGGGAGGATTTTGGGAGGATTTTGGAATTTGGGGATGATTTTGGGAGGATTTTTGGGAATTTAATGGGGAATTTTGGGGGGATTTTGGGAGGATTTTTGGGAATTTTGGGGGGATTTTGGGAGGATTTTTGGGGATTCCGAGGAGGATTCCGAGGGGGATTTTGGGATGATTTTGGGATGATTTTTGGGAAATTTGGGGATGATTTTAGGAGGATTTTTGGGAATTCCAAGGGGGATTCTGAGGAGGATTCCGAGGGGGATTTTGGGATGCTTTTGGGATGATTTTTGGGAATTTTGGGGGGATTTTGGGATGATTTTTGGGAATTCTGAGGAGGATTCCGAGGGGAATTTCGGGATGATTTTGGGATGACTTTGGGATGATTTTTTGGGAATTTTGAGGGGGATTTTTGGGAATTTTGGGGATGATGCTTTTGGGATGATTTTTGGGAATTTTGGGAATTTTGGGAAGGCTCAGCCCTCCCCCCCCGGGAAGAGGTGGGACCCCAAGAGGCTGGAAATGGGGGGGGGGTCCCCGGCCGGGGGGGGCTCGGCCAGGAGCAGCTCCGGGCCCAGCGGGAATTCCGGGAATTCCGGGAATTTCGGCAGCTCCGGGAATTCCGGGAACTTGGGGAACTCCGGGAATTCCGGGAATTCCGGGAATTTCGGGAATTCCGCCCGGGCCACCCCGAAGGGGGCGAAGAGTTGGGGAAGGGGATCCAGAGGCTCCGGATCGGCCGGGAAGGCGCCGTCTGCGGGAAACAGGGAAAATGGGAATTTTGGGGGAAAATCGGGAATTTTGGGGGGAAATGGGGATTTTGGGGGGAAAATTGGGAATTTGGGGGGAGAAATGGAAAATTTTTGGGAAATCAAATGGGATTTGGGGAGGAAAATCGGGAACTTAGGGGGAAAAATGGGAATTTTGGGGGGGAAAATGGGAATTTTGGGGGGGAAAAATGGGAATTTTGGGGGGGGGAAATGGGAATTTTGGGGAGGTAAAGGGAATTTTGGGTGGGAAATGGGAATTTTGTGGGAGAAAATGGGAGTTTTGGGGGGAAAAATGGGAATTTTGGGGGAAAAAATGGGAATTATGGGGGGGGAATGGGAATTTGGGGGGAAAATGGGAATTTTGGGGGGGAAATGGGAATTTGGGGGGGAAATTGGGGATTTTGGGGAAGAAAATGGGAGTTTTGGGGAAAAATGGGAATTTGGGGAGGGGAAATGGGAATTTTGGGGGGAAAATCGGGAATTTTGGGGGAAAAAATGGGAATTTTGGGGGGAAAATTTGGATTTCTGGGGGAAAATTGGGAATTTGGGGGGGGGGAAATGGGAATTTGGGGGGGAAATGGGAGTTTTGGGGGAGAAAATGGGAATTTTGGGTGGGAAAATGGGAATTTGGGGGGGGAAATGGGAATTTTGGGGGGAAAATCGGGGATTTTGGGGGGGAAATGGGACTTTTAGGGGGAAAAACGGGAGTTTTGTGGGGAAAAATGGGAATTTTGGGGGGAAAAATTGGGAATTTTGGGGGAAAAGTGGGAATTTGGGGGGGAAAAATGGGAATTTTGGGGGAGAAAATGGGAATTTTGGGGGGGAAATGGGAATTTTGGGGAGGGAAAAATTGGATTTGTGGGGGAAATGGGAATTTTAGGGGGGAAAATTGGAATTTTGGGGGGAATTGGGGATTTTGGGGGGGAAAAATTGGATTTGTGGGGGGAAATTGGGAATTTTGGGGGGGAAAAATTGGATTTTGGGGGGAAATTGGGAATTTGGGGAGGAAAAGGGAATTTGAGGGGAAATGGGATTTTTTTGGGAAATCAAATGGGATTTGGGGAGGAAAATCGGGAATTTGAGGAGGAAAAGGGAAATTTCTTTGGGGAAATGGGAATTTTGGGGGGGAAAATGGGAATTTTGGGGGGGAAAATGGGAAATTTGGGGGGGGAAAATGGGAATTTTGGGGGGGAAATGGGAATTTGGGGGGGGAAAATGGGAATTGTGGGGGAAAATTGGGAATTTTGGGGGAAAATGGGGATTTTGGGGGGGAAAAATTGGATTTGTGGGGGAAAATTGGGAATTTTGGGGGGGAATTGGGGATTTTGGAAGGGAAAAATTGGATTTGTGGGGGAAAATTGGGAATTTTGGGGGGGGAAATGGGAATTTTGGGGGGGAAAATGGGAATTTTAGGGGGGAAATGGGAATTTGGGGGGAAATGGGGTTTTTTTGGGAAATAAAATGGGATTTTGGGGGGGAATTGGGAATTTCTGGAGAGAAACAGGAATTTGCAGGGGGAAAATTGGGAATTAGGGGGAAATTTGGATTTTAGGGGAGAAAATTTGGATATTTTGGGGGGAAAAAATGGGATTTTTAGAGGACAAATTGGGGTTTTTTGTGGGGGGGAATTGGGGATTAAAGGGAAATTGGGATTTGGAGGGGAAATTTGGGATTTGGAGGGGAAATTTGGGATTTTGGGGGGTAAATTTGGGATTTTGGTGGGTAAATTTGGGATTTGGGGTCGCACCTGGGGGGCCCAGGGGGACGAAGTGCTCCAGGTACCCCGGGGGCTTCTTCCTGCGCTTGGCCTCGATCCCGAACGGGTCTGGGGGCACCGGGGGGTCACGGCCCGGGACCCCAAAATAGCCCCAAAATACCCCAAAAATATCCCCAAAAATACCCCCAAAATACCCCCAAAATACCCCCAAAATACCCCCAAAATCACCCCAAAAAAATCCCAAAATTCCCCAAAAATATCCCCAAATATCCCACTCAAAATCCCCCCAAAAATCCCCCTAAAACCCCCCTCAAAATATCCCCAAATTCCCCCAAAAATATCCCCAAATTCCCACAAAAATCCCCAACAAAAATCCCCACAAAAATATCCCCAAATCCCCCAAAAATCCCCCTCAAAATCGCCCAAAATATCCTCAAATTCCCCCCAAATCCCCCTCAAAATCCCCCTCAAAATCCCCTAAAAATATCCCCAAAATCCCCCTCAAAATCCCCCAAATCTATCCCCAAATTCCCCAAAATACCCCCCAAAATACCCCCAAAAATATCCCCAAATTCCCCCAAAATACCCCCAAATTCCCCAAAAATATCCCTGAATTCCCCCAAAAATCCCCCAAAAATATCCCCAAATTCCCACAAAAATCCCAACAAAAATCCCCACAAAAATATCCCCAAATTCCCCAAAAATATCCCCCAAAAATATCTCCAAAGTCCCCCAAAAATCCCCCTCAAAAATCCCCCAAAAATATCCCCAAATCCCCCCAAAAATCCCCCCAAAAATATCTCCAAATTCCCCCAAATCCCCCCAAAACCCCCAAAACTATCCCCAAATTCCCCAAAATCCCCCCAAAAATTCCCCAAAAATCTCCCAAAAAATCCCAAAATTCCCCCAAATTCCTCCCCAAATCCCCTCAAATACTCCCAAATTCATCCCAAATTTTCCCAAAATCCCTCCCAGTTCCCTCCCAGTCCATCCCAGTCCCTCCCAGTCCCCCTTTAACCCCTCCCAGTCCCTCCCAGTATAACCCAGTTCCCTCCCAGTCCCTCCCAGTCCCTCCCAGTTCCCCCCAGTCCGCACCAGTTGCCGAGAGCCCCTCGAGCAGTTCGGGCATTCCCCGTTTGCGCTTCACCTGCACCCGGTAACTGTCTGCGGGGGGAATTAATTACAGCGGGACTTAATTAATTAATTACAGCGGGAGGTAATTACACCGGGAATTGATTAATTACACCGGGAGTGAGTTAATTACACCGGTAGTGACACCGGGAGTGACAGCGGGAGTTATCCTGGTTAGTTGTCCTGGTTAGTTATCCCGGTTAGTTATCCCGGTTAGTTATCCCAGTTAGTTATCCCAGTTAGTTATCCTGGTTGGTTATCCTGGTTAGTTATCCCGGTTAGTTATCCCAGTTGGTTATCCCAGTTAGCTATCCTGGTTAGTTATGGCTGTTAGTTATCCCAGTTGGTTATCCGGGTTAGTTATCCCAGTTAGTTATCCCGGTTAGTTATCCTGGTTATCCTGGTTAGTTAGTTATCCCGGTTAGTTAGTTATCCTGATTAGTTATCACAGTTAGCTATACTGGTTAGTTATCCTGGTTAGTTATCCCGGTTGGTTATCCTGGTTAGTTATCCCGGTTAGTTAGTTATCCCAGTTAGCTATCCTGGTTAGTTATCGTGGTTAGTTATCCTGGTTGGTTATCCTGGTTAGTTATCCCTGTTACTTATCGTGGTTAGTTATCTCCATTAATTATCCCAGTTAGTTATTTATCCCGGTTAGTTATCCCGGTTAGTTATCCTGGTTAGTTATCCCGGTTAGTTATCCCGGTTAGTTATCTCAGCTAGTTATCCCTGTTACTTATCGTGGTTAGTTATCTCCATTAATTATCCCAGTTAGTTATTTATCCTGGTTAGTTATCCCGGTTAGTTATCCTGGTTAGTTATCCCGGTTAGTTATCCTGGTTATCCTGGTTAGTTATCCTGGTTAGTTAGTTATCCTGGTTAGTCAGTTATGACACTGTCCGTCAGCCGCTGCAGGAACAGCTCCCGGTGCCCTGGCCCGTTGTTATCCTGGTTAGTTAGTTAGTTAGTTAGTTAGTTAGTTAACCCGTTAGTTAGTTAGTTAACCTGTTAGTTAGTTAGTTAACCCGTTAGTTACCGGTGTCCTGGGGCAGGTAGGTGAAGCGGAAGGCCTCATGCAGTTATCCCGGTTAGTTAGTTAGTTAGTTAGTTAGTTAGTTAGTTAGTTAGTTGGTTAGTTAGTTAGTTAATGGGTTAGTTAGCTGGTTACCGGTGTCCTGGGGCAGGTAGGTGAAGCGGAAGGCCTCATGCAGTTATCCCGGTTAGTTAGTTAGTTAGTTAGTTAGTTAGTTAGTTAGTTGGTTAGTTAGTTAGTTGGTTAGTTACCGGTGTCCTGGGGCAGGTAGGTGAAGCGGAAGGCCTCATGCAGTTATCCCGGTTAGTTAGTTAGTTAGTTAGTTAGTTAGTTAGTTAGTTAGTTAACCCATTAGTTAGCTGGTTACCGGTGTCCCGGGGCAGGTAGGTGAAGCGGAAGGCCTGGCTGCGCTGGCTGTCCGTCAGCCGCTGCAGGAACACCTCCCGCTGCCCAGCCCGCTGTTACCCGGTTAGTTAGTTAGTTAGTTAACGGGTTAGTTAGCTGGTTACCGGTGTCCTGGGGCAGGTAGGTGAAGCGGAAGGCCTGGCTGCGCTGGCTGTCCGTCAGGCGCTGCAGGAACACCTCCACCTGCACCGGTTCCTGCAGCTCCAGGTGGGCGTAGGGCGGCGTCCGCAGCACGATGGCGACCTGGCGGTGAACGTCGGCCTGCGAGAAATCCGCCCGCGCCTCCCACGGGGGCCGGCGGAACACCACCGCGATGTCCTCTGGAAAAACGGGAATTAATTCCATGGGAATTCCATGGGAATGTGGGAGAAATCCGCCCGCGCCTCCCAGGGGTGCCGGCGGAACACCACCGCGATGTGCTCTGGAAAAAACGGGAATTAATTCCATGGGAATGTGGGAACACCACCGCGATGTCCTCTGGAAAACAGCCGGAATTCCATGGGAATGAGGGATTTGGGAATGTGGGATTTGGGAATGCAGGATTTGGGAATGTGGGGATTTGGGAATTTGGGATATGGGATCGGGTAAAACGGTGTGAGATTTGGGATACGGGATAAGGGAGAGATCTGCCCGCGACTCCTGGAGCTCCTGTGGGAAAATCCCCGCAATGTCCTCTGGAAAAAAAATGGGAATTCTGTGGGAATTCGGGATTTGGGATCAGTTATGGGAATGTCAGATATGGGATATGGGATTTGGGATTTGGTATGTGGGAGAAATCCGCCCACGGCTCCTGCCAGAAAATCACCACGATGTCCTCTGGAAAACAGCCGGAATTCCCTGCGAATGCGGGATTTGGGAATGTCGGATTTGGGGAATGTGGGATATGGGATGTGGGATGTGGGATTGGAGATTTGGGATGTGGGATTTGGGATGTGGGATTTGGGATGGAGAAATCTGCCCGCGCCTCCCAGGGCGCCCGGCGGAACACCACCGCGATGTCCTCTGGAAAAAAACGGGAATTCTGTGGGAATTTGGGATGGAGAAATCCGCCCGCGCCTCCCAGGGGGCCCGGTGGAAAATCACCGCGATGTCCTCTGGAAAAAACGGGAATTCTGTGGGAATTGTGTGGGATTTGGGATGGAGAAATCCGCCCGCGCCTCCCACGGGGCCCGGCGGAAAATCACAGCGATGTCCTCTGGAAAAGACGGGAATTCTGTGGGATTTGGGATTTGGGATGTGGGATGTGGGATTTGGGAATGTGGGATTTGGGATGTTGGATTTGGGATGTGGGATGTGGGAGAAATCCGCCCGCGCCTCCCACGGCGCCCGGCGGAAAATCACAGCGATGTCCTCTGGAAAAAACGGGAATTTTCCATGGGAATTTGGGATTTGGGAATGTGGGAATGTGGGATTTGGGATTTGGGATGTGGGATATGTGAGAAATCCGCCCGCGGCTCCCGCCAGAAAATCACCACGATGTCCTGTGGAAAAAAACGGGAATGACGTGGGAATTCGGGATTTGGGAATGTAAAACCAGCGGGAATTCCATGGGAATGAGGGATTTGGGATTTGGGATTTGGGATTTGGGATTGCAGGAATTTGGCATGTGGGATTTGGGATTTGGGATTTGGGATATGGGAGAAATCCGCCCGCGCCTCCCACGGGGCCCGGCGGAACACCACCGCGATGTCCTCTGGAAAAAACGGGAATTAATTCCATGGGAATTCCATGGGAATGTGGGAGAAATCCGCCCGCGCCTCCCAGGGGGCCCGGCAGAACACCACCGCGATGTCCTCTGGAAAAAACGGGAATTCTGTGGGATTTGGGAATGTGGGAGAAATCCGCCCGCGCCTCCCACGGGGCCCGGCGGAAAATCACTGCGATGTCCTCTGGAAAAAACGGGAATTCTGTGGGATTTGGGATTTGGGATGTGGGAGAAATCCGCCCGCGCCTCCCAGGGGTGCCGGCGGAACACCACCGCGATGTCCTCTGGAAAAAAATGGGAATTCTGTGGGAATTTGGGAACACCACCGCGATGTCCTCTGGAAAAAACGGGAATGAATTCCATGGGAATGTGGGAGAAATCCGCCCGCGCCTCCCAGGGGTGCCGGCGGAAAATCACAGCGATGTCCTCTGGAAAAAACGGGAATAAATTCCATGGGAATGTGGGATTTGGGATGGAGAAATCCGCCCGCGCCTCCCAGGGGGCCCGGCGGAACACCACCGCGATGTCCTCTGGAAAAAACGGGAATTAATTCCATGGGAATGTGGGAACACCACCGCGATGTCCTCTGGAAAAAACGGGAATTCTGTGGGATTCCGGGAATTTGGGAATGTGGGATTTGGGATTTGGGATGTGGGAATGTGGGAGAAATCCGCCCGCGCCTCCCAGGGGTGCCGCCGGAACACCACCGCGATGTCCTCTGGAAAAAAAATGGGAATTCCGTGGGAATTCGGGATTTGGGATCAGTTATGGGAATGTCAGATATGGGATATGGGATTTGGGATTTGGGATGTGGGAGAAATCCGCCCACGGCTCCTGCCAGAAAATCACCACGATGTCCTCTGGAAAACAGCCGGAATTCCCTGGGAATGCGGGATTTGGGAATGTCGGATTTGGGGAATGTGGGATATGGGATGTGGGATGTGGGATTGGAGATTTGGGATGTGGGATTTGGGATGTGGGATTTGGGATGGAGAAATCTGCCCGCGCCTCCCACGGCGCCCGGCGGAAAATCACAGCGATGTCCTCTGGAAAAAACGGGAATTAATTCCATTGGAGTTCGGGATTTGGGATTTGGGATATGGGAATGTGGGATTTGGGAATTTGGGATTTGGGATGTGGGAGAAATCCGCCCGCGCCTCCCAGGGCGCCCGCCGGAACACCACCGCGATGTCCTCTGGAAAAATGGGAATTAATTCCATGGGAATGTGGGAACACCACCGCGATGTCCTCTGGAAAAAACGGGAATTCTGTGGGAATTTGGGAACACCACCGCGATGTCCTCTGGAAAAAACGGGAATGAATTCCGTGGGAATTCCATGGGAATGTGGGAGAAATCCGCCCGCGCCTCCAGGGCGCCCGGCGGAACACCACCGCGATGTCCTCTGGAAAAAACGGGAATTCTGTGGGATTTGGGATTTGGGAATGTGAAAACAGCCGGAATTCCATGGGAATGTGGGATTTGGGAATGTGGGATCAATTATGGGAATGTGGGATGTGGGATTTGGGATTTGGGATGTGGGAGAAATCTGCCCGCGCCTCCCAGGGGTGCTGGCGGAAAATCACCGCGATGTCCTCTGGAAAAAACGGGAATGAATTCCATGGGAATGTGGGACTTGGGATTTGGGAATGTGGGATTTGGGATTTGGGATGTGGGATATGGGATTTGGGATGTGGGAGAAATCCGCCTGCGCCTCCCAGGGGTGCCGGCGGAAAATCACAGCGATGTCCTCTGGAAAAAACGGGAATAAATTCCATGGGAATTCCATGGGAATGTGGGAGAAATCCGCCCGCGCCTCCCACGGGGCCCGGCGGAAAATCACAGCGATGTCCTCTGGAAAAAACGGGAATAAATTCCATGGGAATGTGGGATTTGGGATGGAGAAATCCGCCCGCGCCTCCCAGGGGGCCCGGCGGAACACCACCGCGATGTCCTCTGGAAAAAACGGGAATTAATTCCATGGGAATGTGGGAACACCACCGCGATGTCCTCTGGAAAAAACGGGAATTAATTCCATGGGAATTCCATGGGAATGTGCGAGAAATCCACCCGCGCCTCCCACAGGGCCCGGCGGAATATCACAGCAATGTCCTCTGGAAAAAACGGGAATTAATTCCATGGGAATGCGGGAATGTGGGAGAAATCCGCCCGCGCCTCCCACGGGGCCCGGCGGAACACCACCGCGATGTCCTCTGGAAAAAACGGGAATTCTGTGGGATTTGGGATTTGGGATGGAGAAATCCGCCCGCGCCTCCCAGGGGTGCCGACGGAACACCACCGCGATGTCCTCTGGAAAAACGGGAATGAATTCCATGGGAATGTGGGAATGTGGGGTTTGGGAATGTGGGGTTTGGGAATGTGGGATTTGGGATGTGGGATATGGGATTTGGGATTCGGGATTTGGGATGTGGGATTTGGGAGAAATCCGCCCGCGCCTCCCACGGCGCCCGGCGGAAAATCACAGCGATGTCCTCTGGAAAAAACGGGAATTCCGTGGGAATTTGGGATTTGGGATTTGGGAATGTGGGATTTGGGATTTGGGATTCGGGATTTGGGATGTGGGATTTGGGAGAAATCCGCCCGCGCCTCCCACGGCGCCCGGCGGAACACCACCGCGATGTCCTCTGGAAAAAACGGGAATTAATTCCATGGGAATGTGGGATTTGGGAATGTGGGATTTGGGATTTGGGATTTGGGATGTGGGAGAAATCCGCCCGCGCCTCCCAGGGGTGCCGACGGAAAATCACCGCGATGTCCTCTGGAAAAAACGGGAATTCTGTGGGATTTGGGAATGTGAAAACAGCTGGAATTCCATGGGAATGTGGGATTTGGGATGTGGGATTTGGGATATGGGAGAAATCCGCCCGCGGCTCCCAGGGGTCCCGGCGGAAAATCACAGCGATGTCCTCTGGAAAACAGCCGGAATTCCATGGGAATGTGGGATTTGGGAATGTGGGAATTTGGGAATGTGGGATGTGGGATTTGGGAATTTGGGATTTGGGATTTGGGATTTGGGATGTGGGAGAAATCCGCCCGCGCCTCCCACGGGGCCCGGTGAAAAATCACAGCGATGTCCTCTGGAAAAAACGGGAATGACACGGGAATTCAGGAATGTGGGATTTGGGATCAATTATGGGAATGTCAGATTGGGAATTTGGGATTTGGGAATGTGGGAATGTGGGAGAAATCCGCCCGCGCCTCCCAGGGGTGCCGGCGGAAAATCACCGCGATGTCCTCTGGAAAAAACGGGAATTCTGTGGGATTTGGGAATGTGGGATTTGGGATTTGGAATGTGGGAGAAATCCGCCCGCGCCTCCCACGGGGCCCGGCGGAAAATCACCGCGATGTCCTCTGGAAAACAGCCGGAATTCCCTCGGAATTTGGGATTTGGGATTGGAAAAACAGCGGGAATTCCATGGGAATGTGGGATTTGGTTATGCAGGAATTTGGGAATGCAGGATTCAGGAATGCAGGTGTGCCCAGGTGTGCCCAGGTGTGATCACAGCCATGCCCAGGTGTTCCCAGGTGTGTGCTCAGCTGCCTCCAGGTGTGTGCCCAGCCGTGCCCAGGTGTGTTCCCACCCGTTTCCAGCTGTGCCCAGGTGTGCCGATCCGTGCCAGGTGTGCCCAGGTGTCCCCAGGTGTGTTCCCAGGTGTGTTCCCAGGTGTGCCCAGGTGTTCCCAGCTGTGCCCAGCTGTTCCCAGGTGTGCCCGATCCGAGCCGTGCGCACCTTTCTGCACCTTGTCGCAGAGCAGGTACAGTTCCTCCCCGCCCGTGCAGGGGCCGCTCTCCTTGTTCATGCGGCAGATCCGCAGCTCCGACGTCGTCGTCGACTCTGCCGGATTTCGGGAATTTCGGGAATTTCAGGGATTTTGGGAATGTTGGGAATTCTTCGGGATTTTTTTGGGAATTTTTTGAGAATTTTTTGGGAATTTTTTTTTAATTTTTGGGGGTTTTTTGGGAATTTTTTGAGGATTTTTTGGGATTTTTTTCAAATTTTTGGGGGATTTAAAAAAAAAAACCTGGAATTCTTTATTATTTTTGGGGAAAATTTTGGGGGGATTTTTTTGGGGAGAATTTTTGGGGGAATTTTTGGGAAAGTTTTGGGAATTTTTTTGGGAATTTTTGGGGGGTTTTGGGGATTTTTGGGGGATTTTTTTTGGTTTTTTTTCGAATTTTTGGGGGATTTAAAAAAAAATCTGGAATTCTTTTTTATTTTGGAGGAAAATTTTGGGGTTTTTTTTTTATTTTTTGGAAAAATTTTTGAAGGAATTTTTGGGGATTTGGGGGGATTTAAAAATTTTTTTTTTCAAATTTTTGGGGGATTTTTTTTTTCTGGAAATTTTTTATTTTTGGGGTAATTTTTTTGGGAATTCGTTTGATTTATTTTAATTATGAGGGGGAATTTTAGGGGAATTCTTTCAGGAATTTTTGGAAAATTTTGGGGGGATTTTTTGGGGAATTTTTTTGAAAATTTGGAGGACTTCTTAGATTTTTCTGAATTTTTTTTAGAAAGTCTTTTTTTTTGGTTTTTTTTTGCATTTTCTGGGATTTTTTTCAACTTTGGGGGAATTTTTTTGATTTTTTAAAGTTTTGGGGGGGAGCTTTTGGGGAATTTTTAAGGAATTTTGGGGGATTTTTTTTGGGGTTTTTTTTTGGGCTGTTTTGGGATAATTCTGAGATATTTCTGGGATATTTTCAGGACATTTTGGGGCTATTTTTGGGGTGAATTTGGGGGATTTTGGGACTCACTCTTGTCGAAGATGGGCTGGGACAGCACCGGGCTGAGGCTCCGGGGGGGATTTTTGGGGTTGTTTTGGGGCTGTTTTGGGGCTGTTTTTTGGGGATAATTCTCAGATATTTTGGGACTGTTTTTGGGGTGAATTTGGGGGATTTTGGGACTCACTCTTGTCGAAGATGGGCTGGGACAGCACCGGGCTGAGGCTCCGGGGGGGATTTTTGGGGCTGTTTTGGGGATTTTTGGGGCTGTTTTGGGGCTATTTTGGGGCTGTTTTTTGGGATAATTTTCAGATATTTTGGGGCTATTTTTGGGGTGAATTTGGGGGATTTTGGGACTCACTCTTGTCGAAGATGGGCTGGGACAGCACCGAGCTGAGGCTCCGGGGGGGATTTTTGGGGCTGTTTTGGGGATTTTTGGGGCTGTTTTGGGGCTGTTTTGGGGCTGTTTTTGGGATTATTTTCAGGATATTTTGGGGCTGTTTTTGGGGTGAATTTGGGGGATTTTGGGACTCACTCTTGTCGAAGATGGGCTGGGACAGCACCGGGCTGAGGCTCCGGGGGGGATTTTTGGGGCTGTTTTGGGGATTTTTGGGGCTGTTTTGGGCCTGTTTTGAGGCTGTTTTTGGGGATAATTTTCAGATATTTTGGGGCTATTTTTGGGGCTATTTTTGGGGTGAATTTGGGGGATTTTGGGACTCACTCTTGTCGAAGATGGGCTGGGACAGCACCGGGCTGAGGCTCCGGGGGGGGATTTTTGGGGCTGTTTTGGGGATTTTTGGGGCTGTTTTTGGGGATTTTTGGGGCTGTTTTTTGGGGCTGTTTTGGGGGATAATTTTCAGATATTTTGGGGCTATTTTTGGGGTGAATTTGGGGGATTTTGGGACTCACTCTTGTCGAAGATGGGCTGGGACAGCACCGGGCTGAGGCTCCGGGGGAGATTTTTGGGGCTGTTTTGGGGCTGTTTTGGGGCTGTTTTTGGGGATAATTTTCAGATATTTGTGGGATATTTCTGGGCTATTTTTGGGGTGAATTTGGGGGATTTTGGGTCTCACTCTTGTCGAAGATGGGCTGGGACAGCACCGGGCTGAGGCTCCGGGGGGGGATTTTTGGGGTTTTTTTTGGGAATTTTGGGGCTGTTTTGGGGCTGTTTTGGGCCTGTTTTGGGGCTGTTTTTGGGGATAATTTTCAGATATTTCTGGGATATTTTGGGGCTATTTTTGGGGTGAATTTGGGGGATTTTGGGACTCACTCTTGTCGAAGATGGGCTGGGACAGCACCGGGCTGAGGCTCCGGGGGGGAATTTTGGGGCTGTTTTGGGGATTTTTGGGGCTGTTTTGGGGCTGTTTTTTGGGATAATTTTCAGATATTTTGGGGCTATTTTTGGGGCTATTTTTGGGGTGAATTTGAGGGATTTTGGGACTCACTCTTGTCGAAGATGGGCTGGGACAGCACCGGGCTGAGGCTCCCGGGGGGATTTTTGGGGCTGTTTTGGGGATTTTTGGGGCTGTTTTGGGGCTGTTTTGGGGCTGTTTTTTGGGATAATTTTCAGATATTTCGGGGATATTTTTGGGGTGAATTTGGGGGATTTTGGGACTCACTCTTGTCGAAGATGGGCTGGGACAGCACCGGGCTGAGGCTCCAGGGGGATTTTTGGGGCTGTTTTTGGGATTTTTGGGGCTGTTTTTTGGGATAATTTTTGAGATATTTCTGGGATATTTTGGGGCTGTTTTTGGGGTGAATTTGGGGGATTTTGGGACTCACTCTTGTCGAAGATGGGCTGGGACAGCACCGGGCTGAGGCTCCGGGGGATCCCGGCGCGGTCCCGGAACGAGGCCTGGAAGCAAATCCGGACCACGTTGAGATCGACCTCCTGATGGTTCCGCAGGGAGCCCGCTGGAAACGGGGCGAAAAGCGGCAAAAGTGGGAAAAACGGGAGAGACGGGGCAGGAAAATGGGGGGAAATGGGGCAGAAATGGGGAAAAATGGGGCAAAAAAAGGGAAAAAGTGGGAGAAATGGGGCAGGAATGGGGCAGAAATGGGGAAAAGTGGGGCAAAAAAAGGGAAGAAGTGAGGAAAAAACGGGAGAAATGGGGCAGGAACGGGAAAAATGGGAAAAAACGGGAGAAATGGGGCAGAAATGGGGAAAAGTGGGGCAAAAAAAGGGCAAAAGTGGGAAAAAACAGGAGAAACGGGGAAAATGGGGGGAAATGGGAAAAACCTGGAGAAATGGGGCAGAAACGGGGAAAAATGGGAAAAAACGGGAGAAACGGGGCAGGAATGGGGAAAATGGGAAAAAACGGGAGAAATGGGGCAGAAATGGGGAAAAGTGGGAAAAACGGGAGAAACGGGGCAGAAATGGGGAAAACGGGGCAGAAACGGGGAAAAATGGGGCAGAAATCGGGAAAATGGGGCAGAAATTGGGAAAATGGTGGAAAAATGGAGGAGAAAAAGGGGAAAATGGGGGAAAATTGGGAGAAACGGGGCAGAAACGGGGAAAAATGGGCAGAAATGGGGGGAAACGGCGTAGAAATGGGGCAGAAATGGGTGAAAATGGGGAGAAATGGGTGAAAATGGGGCAGAAATGGGGAAAAATTGGGGAAAATGGGAAAAAAAGGGGCATAAATGTGGAAAATGGGGGGACAAGGGGCAGAAATGGGGAAAAAACCAGGGAAGAACAACAGAAAACAGGGAAAGGGAATCTGCAGGGATCCTGCTGGAAAAATGGGAAAAAATGAGGAAATACAGGGAAAAAATGGGGAAAATGGGGAAAAAAAGGAAAAAAAAACCCAAACAAACAGGAAAAACTTGGAGAAACCATGGAAAAACCAGGGAAAAAAAGGGAAAATATGGGAAAAATGAGAAAAAACAGGAAAAAAAGCAGCAAAAATCAGAAAAATGAGGGGGAAAATCACAAAATATAAGGAAAAAAAGGGGAAGAAACATGGAAAAGACAGGAAATCCAGGGAAAATTCCGGGAAATTCCGGGAAAATTCCGGGAAATTCCGGGCAAAGGGCGGTTCTGACCTTTGAAGGGGTCGATCCCGAGCTGCAGCTTCTTCTCGATGGCGGCTTCGATTTCCTTCTTCTTCACACACTGAATGCCCAGATTGCTGAAACTGCCGGGAAACCCAAAATTCCCAAATTTTCCAGGCTCTTCCCAAATTCCCCGGGCCAGAAACACCCAAAAATCCAAAAAAAACGGCAAGAAACCCCAAAGAAATGGGCAAAAAACCCACCAAAAATGCCCAGAAATGCCAAAAAGCCCTCAAAACACCCCAAAACCTGCAGGAAACGTGGAAAATTCCCGGAATTCCGGGTTTTTTTGGGAATTCTGTCTGACCTGTGTCGGGGGTTGCTCTGGGGCCTGAGGAGCACCTGGCACAGCCCAAAAACCACCCAAAAATGCCCAAAATATGCCAAAAAATCACCCCAAAAACACCCCAAACCACCCCAAATACCACAGAAAATGTGGAAAATTCCCGGAATTCCGGGTTTTTTTGGGAATTCTGTCTGACCTGTGTCGGGGGTTGCTCTGGGGCCTGAGGAGCACCCGGCACAGCCCAAGAACCACCCAAAGAACCACATGAAAATGCCCAAAAAATGCCCAAAAATGCCCAAAAATCACCCCAAACCACCCCGAAACCCACAGAAAATGCGGAAAATTCCCGGAATTCCGGGTTTTTTTCGGGAATTCTGCCTGACCTGTGTCGGGGGTTGCTCTGGGGCCGCAGCAGAACCTGGCAGAGCCCAAAAACCACCCAAAAATGCCCCAAAACGCCCAATAAACACCCAAAAAATGCCAAAAAATCACTGAAAACCGCCCCAAAACCTGCAGAAAACATGGAAAATTCCCGGAATTCCGGGTTTTTCCGGGAATTCCGTCTGACCTGTGTCGGGGGTTGCTCTGGGGCCGCAGCAGCACCGGGCAGAGCCCAAAACCCACCCAAAACCACCCCAAAAAATCACCCCAAAACCACCAAAAAATGCCCCAAACCGCCCCAAATCCCGCAGAAAAGGTGGAAAATTCCCGGAATTCCGGGTTTTTTCGGGAATTCTGCCTGACCTGTGTCGGGGGTTGCTCTGGGGCCTGAGGAGCACCAGGAAGAACCCAAAGTCCATCCCCAAATGCCCAAAAACGCCCAATAAACGCTCAATAAATGCCCCAAACCACCCCAAATCCCGCAGAAAAGGTGGAAAATTCCCGGAATTCCGGGTTTTTTCGGGAATTCTGTCTGACCTGTGTCGGGGGTTGCTCTGGGGGCGCAGCAGCACCCGGCACAGCCCGTGGGCGCAGTCCTTCCCCACCAGCCCGTGGGGGTGGACGCGGTGCGGCCAATCCTTCCACACCAGGCAGGCGGTGACCGACACCTCGGGGATGGAGCCGCAGCCGCGGAGCTGGAAAAACGGGAAAAACGGGAAAAATAACGGGAATAACGGGAATAATAATGGGAATAATGGGCACACTGTGACCGTCACCTCCGGGATGGAGCCGCAGCCACGGAGCTGGAAAAACGGGAATAAATACCGGGAATAACGGGAAAAACACCGGGAATGACACTGGGAATAACAGGAATAATAACGGGAATAATAACGGGAATAACGGGATGGAGCCGCAGCCACGGAGCTGGAAAACACCGGGAATAAATAACGGGAATAACGGGAATAACACTGAGAAAAACAATGGGAATAACGGGAAAAACACCGGGAATAACGGTCACCTCCGGGATGGAGCCGCAGCCACGGAGCTGGAAAACGGGAATAACAACGGGAATAATAACGGGAATAATAACGGGAATAATAACGGGAATAACACCGGGAATAATAACCGTCACCTCCGGGATGGAGCCGCAGCCACGGAGCTGGAAAAAAACGGGAATAACGGGAATAATAACGGGAATAATAATGGGAATAACGGGCACCTCCGGGATGGAGCCGCAGCCACGGAGCTGGAAAACGGGAATAACAACGGGAATAACGGGAATAATAACGGGAATAATAACCGTCACCTCCGGGATGGAGCCGCAGCCGCGGAGCTGGAAAATCGGGAATAAATAACGGGAATAATAACGGGAATAACGGGAATAACGGGATGGAGCCGCAGCCACGGAGCTGGAAAACCGGGAATAAATAACGGGAATAACGGGAATAACGGGAATAATAACCGTCACCTCCGGGATGGAGCTGCAGCCACGGAGCTGGAAAAACACCGGGAATAACGGGAATAATAACGGGAATAACGGGAATAACGGGATGGAGCCGCAGCCACGGAGCTGGAAAAACACCGGGAATACCGGGAATAATAACGGGAATAATAACGGGAATAACGGGAATAACGGGAATAACAACGGGAATAACGCCGGGAATAATAACTGTCACCTCGGGGATGGAGCCGCAGCCACGGAGCTGGAAAAAAAACGGGAATAAATAACGGGAATAACGGGAATAATAACGGGAATAACACTGGGAAGAACACTGGGAATAATAACGGGAATAACGGGATGGAGCCACAGCCACGGAGCTGGAAAAAAACGGGAATAATAACGGGAATAACGGGAATAAATAACGGGAATAATAACGGGAATAATAACCGTCACCTCCGGGATGGAGCCGCAGCCACGCAGCTGGAAAAAAACCGGGAATAACGGGAATAATATCGGGAATGACACCGGGAATAACGGGAATAACGGGCACCTCCGGGATGGAGCCGCAGCCGCGGAGCTGGAAAAACACCGGGAATAACGGGAATAATAACGGGAATAACGGGAATAATAATGGGAATAATAACGGGATGGAGCCGCAGCCGCGGAGCTGGAAAAACGGGAATAATAACGGGAATAATAATGGGAATAACGGGCACCTCCGGGATGGAGCCGCAGCCGCGGAGCTGGAAAAACGAGAATAAATAACGGGAATAATAACAGGAATAACACCGGGAATAAGACCAGGAATAACAATGGGAATAACGGGAATAACGGGAATGACCGTCACCTCCGGGATGGAGCCGCAGCCACGGAGCTGGAAAAACGGGAATAACGGGAAAAACGGGAATAATAACGGGATGGAGCCGCAGCCGCGGAGCTGGAAAAACGGGAATAACAACGGGAATAACGGGAATGACACCGGGAATAATAACGGGAATAATAACGGGAATAATAACCGTCACCTCCGGGATGGAGCCGCAGCCACGGAGCTGGAAAAACGGGAATAAATAACGGGAATAACGGGAATAATAACGGGAATAATGGGAATAATAACGGGATGGAGCCGCAGCCACGGAGCTGGAAAAACACTGGGAATAATAACGGGAAAAACGGGAATAATAACGGGATGGAGCCGCAGCCACGGAGCTGGAAAAACGGGAATAACGGGAAAAACGGGAATAATAACGGGATGGAGCCGCAGCCACGGAGCTGGAAAAACGGGAATAAACAACGGGAATAACAGGAATAATAACGGGAATAATAACGGGAATAATAACCGGCACCTCCGGGATGGAGCCGCAGCCACGGAGCTGGAAAAACACCGGGAATAAATAACGGGAATAACGGGAATAACGGGATGGAGCCGCAGCCACGGAGCTGGAAAAAAAACGGGAATAATAACGGGAATAACGGGAATGACACCGGGAATAACGGGATGGAACCGCAGCCACGCAGCTGGAAAAACACCGGGAAAAACACCGGGAATAACGGGAATAACGGGATGGAGCCGCAGCCACGGAGCTGGAAAAACGGATATAAATAACGGGAATAACAGGAATAATAACGGGAATAACGGGAAAAACACCGGGAATAACACCGGGAATAACGGGAATAATAATGGGAATAACGGGCACACGGTGACCGTCACCTCGGGGATGGAGCCGCAGCCACGGAGCTGGAAAACACCGGGAATAAATAACGGGAATAACGGGAATAATAATGGGAATAATAACGGGAATAATAACCGTCACCTCCGGGATGGAGCCGCAGCCACGGAGCTGGAAAACCGGGAATAATAACGGGAATAAACACCGGGAATAACGGGAATAATAACGGGAATAATAACCGTCACCTCCGGGATGGAGCCGCAGCCACGGAGCTGGAAAAACGGGAATAAATAACGGGAATAACGGGAATAATAACGGGAATAACGGGAATAATACCGGGAATAACGGGAATAATACCGGGAATAACAGGAATAATAACGGGAATAATAACGGGAATAATAACGGGCACCTCCGGGATGGAGCCGCAGCCGCGGAGCTGGAAAAACACCGGGAATAACGGGAATAATAACGGGAATAATAATGGGAATAACGGGAATAATAACGGGAATAATGGGAATAATAACAGGAATAATAACGGGAATAATGGGAATAATAACAGGAATAATAACGGGAATAATAATGGGAATAACGGGCACACTGTGACCGTCACCTCCGGGATGGAGCCGCAGCCACGGAGCTGGAAAAAAAACGGGAATAAATAACGGGAATAACGGGAATAATAACGGGAATAACACCGGGAATAACGGGAATAATAACCGTCACCTCCGGGATGGAGCCGCAGCCACGGAGCTGGAAAAACACCGGGAATAACGGGAATAAATAACGGGAATAACGGGAATAATGGTAATAACGGGATGGAGCCGCAGCCACGCAGCTGGAAAAACACCGGGAATAAATAACGGGAATAATAACGGGAATAATAACGGGAATAACGGGAATAAATAACGGGAAAAACACCGGGAATAACGGGAATAATAACGGGAATAATAACGGGAATAATAACGGGAATAATAACGGGAATAATAATGGGAATAACGGGCACACTGTGACCGTCACCTCCGGGATGGAGCCGCAGCCACAGAGCTGGAAAAAAAACGGGAATAAATACCGGGAATAACGGGAATAATAACAGGAATAACGGGAATAATAATGGGAATAATAACAGGAATAATAACCGTCACCTCCGGGATGGAGCCACAGCCACGCAGCTGGAAAAACGGGAATAATAACGGGAATAATAACGGGAATAATAACGGGAATAATAACCGGCACCTCCGGGATGGAGCCGCAGCCGCGGAGCTGGAAAAACGGGAATAAATAACGGGAATAACGGGAAAAACACCGGGAATAACGGGATGGAACCGCAGCCACGGAGCTGGAAAAACGGGAATAAATAACGGGAATAACGGGAATAATAACGGGAATAATAACGGGAATGACGGGATGGAGCCACAGCCACGGAGCTGGAAAAACACCGGGAATAACGGGAATAATAACGGGAATAACACCGGGAATAACGGGAATAACGGGAATAATAACGGGAATAATAACGGGAATAATAACGGGAATAATAACGGGAAACACACCGGGAATGACACCGGGAATAACGGGAATAATAACGGGAATAATAACGGGAATAATGGGCACACTGTGACCGTCACCTCCGGGATGGAGCCGCAGCCACGCAGCTGGAAAAACGGGAATAAATAACGGGAATAACGGGAATAATAACGGGAATAACGGGAATAACGGGATGGAGCCGCAGCCACGGAGCTGGAAAAACGGGAATAAATAACGGGAATAACGGGAATAATAATAACCGTCACCTCCGGGATGGAGCCGCAGCCACGGAGCTGGAAAAAAAACGGGAATAAATAACGGGAATAACACCGGGAATAACGGGAATAATAACCGTCACCTCCGGGATGGAGCCGCAGCCACACAGCTGGAAAAAAAACGGGAATAACGGGAATAACGGGAATAATAACCGGCACCTCCGGGATGGAGCCGCAGCCACGGAGCTGGAAAAACGGGAAAAACGGGAATAACGGGAATAATAACGGGAATAACACCGGGAATAACACCGGGAATAACGGGATGGAGCCGCAGCCCCACAGCTGGAAAAACGGGAATAACGGGAATAACGGGAATAACGGGAATAACCGTCACCTCCGGGATGGAGCCGCAGCCACAGAGCTGGAAAAACACCGGGAAAAACACCGGGAATAACGGGAATAACTGGAATAATAACGGGATGGAGCCGCAGCCACGGAGCTGGAAAAACGGGAATAAATAACGGGAATAACGGGAATAACAGGAATAACGGGAATAATACCGGGAATAACGGGAATAATACCGGGAATAACAGGAATAATAACGGGAATAATAACGGGAATAATAACCGGCACCTCCGGGATGGAGCCACAGCCACGGAGCTGGAAAAACGGGAATAACACCGGGAATAACGGGAATAATAACGGGAATAATAACGGGAATAACGGGAATAATAACGGGAATAATAACGGGAATAATGACCGTCACCTCGGGGATGGAGCCGCAGCCACGCAGCTGGAAAAAAACGGGAATAACGGGAATAACGGGAATAACAACGGGATGGAGCCGCAGCCACGGAGCTGGAAAACCGGGAATAAATAACGGGAATAACGGGAATAATAACGGGAATAATGGGAATAATAACGGAAAAAACACCGGGAATGACACCAGGAATAACGGGAATAATAATGGGAATAACGGGAATGACCGTCACCTCGGGTATGGAGCCGCAGCCACGGAGCTGGAAAAACGGGAATAAATAACGGGAATAAATAACGGGAATAACGGGAATAACGGGATGGAGCCGCAGCCACGGAGCTGGAAAAAAAACGGGAATAAATACCGGGAATAACGGGAATAAATAATGGGAATAATAACTGTCACCTCCGGGATGGAGCCGCAGCCACGGAGCTGGAAAAAAACGGGAATAAATAACGGGAATAAATAACGGGAATAACGGGAATAACGGGATGGAGCCGCAGCCACGGAGCTGGAAAAAAAACGGGAATAAATACCGGGAATAACGGGAATAAATAATGGGAATAACGGGCACACTGTGACTGTCACCTCCGGGATGGAGCTGCAGCCGCGGAGCTGGAAAAACGGGAATAACGGGAATAATAACGGGAATAACGGGAATAACGGGATGGAACCGCAGCCACGGAGCTGGAAAAACGGGAATAAATAACGGGAATAACGGGAATAATAATGGGAATAACGGGAATAATAACGGGAATAATAACCGGAATAACGGGAATAACGGGAATAATAACGGGAATAACACCGGGAATAACGGGCACCTCCAGGATCGACCCGCAGCCCCGGCCCATCCCAAACCCCATTCCCGCCATTCCCGGTTCTCCCTGTTAGTTCCCGGTTCTCCCCGGTATTTCCCGGTTTATCCCGGTTTCTCCCGGTAATTCCCGGTAATTCCCGGTGCCCACCTCGATGCTGGGCAGGCTCCGGTTGCTCTCGGTGCTGCTCTCGCCGAGGATACTCCCGGTCCCTCCCGAACCCCATTCCCGGTTTCTCCCCGGTTCTCCCGGTTTATCCCGGTTTATCCCGGTAATTCCCGGTAATTCCCGGTCTCTCCCGGTTCGCACCTCGATGCTGGGCAGGCTCCGGTTGCTCTCGGTGCTGCTCTCGCCGAGGATGCTCCCGGCCCCTCCCGAACCCCATTCCCGGTTTCTCCCGGTTTATCCCGGTTTATCCCGGTAGTTCCCGGTTTCTCCCGGTTTATCCCGGTCTCTCCCGGTTCGCACCTCGATGCTGGGCAGGCTCCGGTTGCTCTCGGTGCTGCTCTCACCGAGGATACTCCCGGTCCCTCCCGAACCCCATTCCCGGTTTATCCCGGTAGTTCCCGGTTCTCTCCGGTTTATCCCGGTAATTCCCGGTAATTCCCGGTTCGCACCTCGATGCTGGGCAGGCTCCGGTTGCTCTCGGTGCTGCTCTCGCCGAGGATACTCCCCGCCGATCTCCCCTCGCACTCGTACCGGAACCTCATCCCGCGCTGTTTCGGTTGTTCGGTGATCACCAGCCGCGGTTTTTCCTCCTTTTCCACAATTTTTTCCACATTTTTTTCCGCCTTTTCCGGTTGTTTTTCCGCCGCGGGGCCGCCCCGGGAGCTCAGCGAGAGGCCGCGGAGGCTCCGGTGCAGCGGCGGGTCCCGGGGCGGGTCCCGGGGCGGGTCCCGGGGCGGCGGCCGCGGAGCGACCGGGGCGGGTTCGGGCTGGAAACCGTCCGCCTTCATCAGCTCCTCCAGGATTTCTGCGGGAAAAACGGGAATTTCGGGGGGGAAATGGGAATTTCGGGGGGGGGAAACGGGAATTGTGGGGGGTTTCGGGGGGAAAAACGGGAATTTCGGGGGGTGTCGGGTGGGGATAAAGGGAAATTCGGGGGGTTCTTGGGGGGCAAACGGGAATTTCGGGAATTTCGGGGGGAAAATGAAAATTTCGGGGGGTGTCGGGAGAGAAAAATGGGAATTTCGGGGGGTGTCGGGAGAGAAAAATGGGAATTTCGGGGGGGATAAAGGGAATTTCGGGGGGAATAAAGGGAATTCCGGGGGGGAAAATGGGAACTTCGGGGGGTACTGGCAGAAAAAACGGGAATTTTGGGGGTGTCGCGGGAGAAAAAGGGAATTTCTGGGGGGAAATGGGGAAAAATGGGAATTTAGGGGGGAATAAAGGGAATTTCGGGGGGTTTGGGGAGAAAAAACGGGAAGTTTGGGGGGGATAAAGGGAATTTCGGGGGGAAAACGGGAATTTCGGGGGGGGTCGGGGGGGAAAAATGGGAATTTCGGGGGGAATAAAGGGAATTTCAGGGGGTTCTTGGGTGGAAAACGGGAATTCCGGGGGGGAAAATGGGAACTTCGGGGGGTACTGGCAGAAAAAACGGGAATTTTGGGGGGTGTCGGGGGAGAAAAACCGGGAATTTTTGGGGGAAAACGAGAATTTCGGGAATTTCGGGGGGTTCTTGGGGGAAAACGGGAATTTTGGGGGGTACTGGCAGAAAAACCGGGAATTTCGGGGGGTGTCGGGGGGCAAAAAAAGGGAATTTTGGGGGGTTTTGGGGGGGGAAATGGGAATTTCGGGGGGTAAAAAGGGAATTTCGGGGGGGAAAACGGGAATTTCGGGGGGAAAATGGGAATTTCGGGGGGAAAAAAGGGAATTTTGGGGGGGGTCAGGGGGGAAAAATGGGAATTTCGGGGGGGAAGAAGGGAATTTCGGGGGGAATAAAGGGAATTTCGGGGGGGTCGGAGGGAAAAAACGGGAATTTCGGGGGGTGTCGGGGGGGGGGATAAAGAGAATTTTGAGGGGTTTGGGGGATAAAAAAGGAATTTCGGGGGGTTCTGGAGGAAAAAACTGGGAATTTCGAAGGGTCCTGGGGGGAAAAACGGGAATTTCGGGGGGTGTCGGGGGGGGGAAACGGGAATTGTGGGGATCCGCCCAGGATGGGACCCGACCCCTCCCCGAATTCCCAAAATCCCCAAATCCCGAATTCCCAAATTCCCAAAATCCCGAATTCCCAAAATCACGAATTTCCGAATTTCCAAAATCCCGAATTTCCCCAAATCCCGAATTCCTGAATTTCCCCAAATCCCGAATTCCCAAAAATCCCCAAATCCCGAATTCCCGAATTTCCCCAAATCCCGAATTCCCAAAATCCCCAAATCCCGAATTCCCCAATTTCCCAAAATCCCGAATTCCCAAAATCCCCAAATCCCGAATTTCCCGAATTCCCCAAATCCCGAATCCCCAAAATCCCAAAATCCTGAATTCCCCAATTTCCCAAATCCCGAATTCCCAAATTTCCCAAAATCCCAAAATCCTGAATTCCCCAAATCCCAAATTCCCGAATTCCCAAAATCCCGAATTTCCCCAAATCCCGAATTCCTGAATTCCCCCAATCCCGAATTCCTGAATTCCCCCAAATCCCGAATTTCTGAATTCCCGAATTCCCCAAAGCCCCAAATCCCGAATTCCCCAATTCCCCAAATCCCGAATTCCCGAATTCCCAAAATCCCGAATTTCCCCGAATCCCGAATTCCCCAATTCCCGAATTCCCAAAATCCCAAATTCCCAAAATCCCAAAATCCCGAAATCCCTAATTCCCGAATTTTCCGAATTCCCAAATTCCCGAATTCCCGAATTCCCGAATTCCGGAGCTCCTCGCTGCGGCTCCGGGATCCCGAAATTCCCGAAAGCGGCGGAGATTCCGAACGGCTCCGGTTCCACTCACCCAAATCATCTGAAAAAAGGGAAAATCGGGAGAAACGGGGGGAAAAAACCGACAAAAATGGGGGAAAACCGGGAAAAACGGGGAAAACCGGGAAAAACGGGGGAGAAAACCGAGGAAAATGGAATAAAAAACCGGGAAAACCGGGGGGAAACCGGGAAAAACGGGAAAAAAAACGGGAAAAACGGGGGAAAAAAACCCGAGGAAAATGGGGGAAAACCGGGAAAAACGGGGAAAACGGGGGAAAACCGGGAAAAACCGAGGAAAATGGGGGGAAATCGGGAAAAACGGGAAAAAAACCCGAGGAAAATGGAAAAAAAACCGGGAAAAACGGGGGAAAACCGGGAAAAACGGGGGAAAACCCGAGGAAAATGGAAAAAAAACGGGAAAAAACCGGGAAAACCGGGAAAAACCCGATGAAAATGGGGGAAAACCGGGAATAATGGGGGGAAACCGGGAAAACCGGGAAAAAAACCGAGGAAAATGGAAAAAAACCGGGAAAAAATCGGGGGAAACCCGAGGAAAATGGGGAAAAAAACCCGTGAGAAACGGGAAAAAACCGGGAAAACCGGGAGGGAAAGTGGGGAAACCGGGAGGGGAAATGGGGAAAACGGGAAAAAAACGGGAAAAACCGGGAAACCGGGGGGAAAAACCGGTAAAAATCAGCGGGAAACGGGAAAAATGATCCCGTGAGGAGCCTCCGACCGGGAGCGGACACCGGGAACGGGACACCGGGAGCGGGAGGGACACCGGGAGGGGACACCGGGAACGGGACCGGACACCAGGAGGGGACACCGGGAGGGGACACCGGGAACGGGGATACCGGGAGGGGGAGGGGACACCGGGAGGGGACACCGGGAACGGGAGGGACACCGGGAACGGGAACACCGGGAGGGGACACCGGGAGCGGAACACCCGGAGCGGGACCGGACACCGGGACCGGACACCGGGAGCGGGACCGGACACCGGGAGCGGACACCGGGACCAGACACCGGGAGGGGACACCGGGAACGGGGACACCGGGAGCGGACACCGGGAGCGGGAGGGGACACCGGGACCGGACACCGGGAGCGGGAGGGGACACCGGGACCGGACACCGGGAGGGGACACCGGGAACGGACACCGGGAGGGGACACCGGGAGGGGACACCGGGAACGGGGACACCGGGAGCGGGACTTTACCTGTCCCCGGTGCTCCGTGAGCCATCGGCAGCCCGGGATCCTGCACGGCCGCTCCTACCGGGACACGGCACCGGGATCGCCACCGGGACAGCCCCGAGAGGAGCGATCCCGGTAAAATCCCCGCACCGGTACCGGAGCCGGACCCCCCCCGTGACCCCCCCGAGCGCCGCTCCCGCCCCCGGTGTCCCCCCGTGACCCCCGGGAGGTGCCGCCGGTTCTGCCACCGGGGGGATCCCCGGTTCCGCTCCCCCGGTTCTGCCACCGGGGGGGATCCCCGGTTCCGCTCCCCCCGGGCCGGTCCCAGAGGCAGCGGAGCGGCGCTCACCGAGCGGCAGAGCCATGTCCCGGTCCCGGTTCCGGTCCCGGTGCGGGTCCCGGTGTCGGTCCCGGTGCCGGTGCCGGTGCCGGTGCCGGTGCCGGTGCCGGTTCCGGTCTCGGTGCGAGTCCCGTTGGTGTCGGTCCCGGTGCCGGTCCCGGTGCGGGTCCCGGTGGTGCCGGTACCGGTCCCGGTGCGGGTCCCGGTGGTGCCGGTGGTGCGGGTCCCGGTGGTGCCGGTCCCGGTCACGGTGCGGGTCCCGGTGCGGATCCCGGTTCCGGTCTCGGTGCGGGTCCCGGTCCCGTCGGTGCTGGTCCCGGTGCGGGTCCCGGTGGTGTCGGTCCCGGAGCCGGTGCGGGTCCCGGTGCTGCTGGTCCCGGTCCCGGTGCGGACCCCGGTTCCGGTCCCGGTGCGGACCCCGGTCCCGGTTCCGGAGTGGGTCCCGTTGGTGCCGGTGCGGACCCCGGTTCCGGTCCCGGTGCGGATCCCGGTCCCGGTCCCGGTGCGGATCCCGGTTCCGGTCCCGTTGGTGCCGGTGCCGGTGCCGGTGCTGCCGGTGCCGGTGCGGATCCCGGTTCCGGTCTCGGTGCGGGTCCCGTCGGTGCCGGTGGGGGTCCCGGTGCGGGTCCCGGTGCTACTGTTGCCGGTCCCGGTGCCGGTGGGGGTCCCGGTTGGGGTCCCGGAGCCGCCGGTGCCGTTCCCGGTGCGGATCCCGGTCCGGGTCTCGGTGCGGGTCCCGCCGGTGCCGGTGGGGGTCCCGGTGCGGATCCCGGTTCCGGTCTCGGTGGTGCCGGTCCCGGTGCGGATCCCGGTTCCGGTCCCGGTGCGGGTCCCGGTGGTGCCGGTCCCGGTTCGGGTCCCGGTTCCGGTCTCGGTCCCGGTTCGGGTCCCGGAGCCGCCGGTGCCGCTCCCGCCGCCGCCCCCCGCGGCCGCGCCGCCGCCGGACCTGGAAATCCCCGCGCGGGCCGCGCCGCCATTGGCTGAGCCCGACGTGACGTCACCGCCGGGGGCGCGGTCGGGGAAACCCCCGCCGGGAGCGCATCGCGCCGCCATTGGCTGAGCGCGACAGTGACGTCACATAAGGGAACACCCCCGGAGCGCGCGCTGGGGGCGGAGCGCGCTCCCATTGGCTGAGCGCGGTTGAGGGGGCGGGGCGGGGAAACCCCCTCCCGCCGGGGGCGGGCCGCGCGCTGCTATTGGTGGGCGTGCCGGTGACGTCACGAAAAGGGCGCGGTTTGCCGAGTTTCCCGCCCCTCCGCGCGGTCACGTGGGGGCTGCCCCCCGGAAGTCTCGCGAGAGGCGGCGCAACAAAGATGGCGGCGCCGGGGACGGAGGCGGCGGCGGGGCCGGGAACGGGAACGGGCCCGGGACAGGTCCGGAACCGGAACCGGGACAGGGAACGGGGACAGGGAACGGGTCCGGAACGGGAACCGGGGACAGGGAACGGGGACAGGGACAGGGAACGGGCCCGGGACAGGTCCGGAACCGGGAACCGGGACAGGGAAATAGGGAACAGGGACAGGGAACGGGCCCGGGACAGGTCCGGAACCGGAACCGGGAACGGGGAATAGGGGACAGGGACAGGGAACGGGCCCGGGACAGGTCCGGAACCGGGACAGGGACAGGGAAATAGGGAACGGGGACAGGGAACGGGCCCGGGACAGGTCCGGAACCGGGAACCGGGACAGGGAATGGGGGCCGGGAACGGGGAACGGGAACGGGGACAGGGAACGGGACCCAGGAACCGGGAACGGGAACGGGCCCGGGACAGGTCCGGAACCGGGAATGGGGACAGGGACACGGAAGGGAACAGAGACGGACACCGGGACCGGGAACGGGGCAAGGTCCGGGGGCAAAGTCGGGGACCGGGAACGGGAACGGGAACAGGACCAGGACCGGGACAGGAGCAGAGATCGGGACCGGGAACGGGACCGGGGCAGGGAACAGGACCGAGAGCGGGAACCGGGATGGGGGAAGGGATCGGGACCGGGCATGGGGATCAGGGACAGAGAAACGGGACCAGGAACAGGGACTGGAACAGGAGCAGAGAACGGGACCGGGAACGGGGACTGGGCCGAGAGCAGGAACTGGGATGGGGGAAGGGATCAGGACCGGGAACGGGGATCAGGGTGAGAGAAACGGGACCGGGAACGGCTCCGGGACCGGGAACAGGAGCAGAGAACGGGACCGGGAACAGGGTCAGGGACAGAGAAACGGGACCGGGACCAGGAATCAGGGACAGAGAAACGGGACCGGGACCGGGAACCGGGAACAGCTCCGGGACTGGAACAGGAGCAGAGAACGGGACCGGGAACAGCTGTGGGACCAGGAACGGGGACTGGAACAGGACCGGGACCGGGAATCAGGGACAGGGAAACGGCACCGGGATGGGGACTGGGAACAGCTCCAGGACCGGGGGACCGGGAATGGGGGCTGGAACAGGAGCAGAGAACGGGAACGGGACCGGGAATCAGGTACAGAGAAACGGGACCAGGAACAGCTCCAGGACTGGGACAGAGAAATGGGACCGGGAACAGCTCCGGGACTGGAACAGGAGCAGAGAACGGGACCAGGAACGGGATCAGGGACAGAGAAACGGCACCGGGAACAGCTCCGGGACCGGGAACAGGAGCAGAGAACGGGACTGGGAACGGGGACAGAGAAACGGGACCGGGAAAACTCCGGGACCGGGAACAGGAGCAGAGAACGGGACCGGGACTGGAACAGGACCGGGAACGGGGACTGGGACAGGACTGGGAACAGGACGGGGACCGGGAACGGGACCGGGACCGGGATCAGTGACAGAGAACGGGGATCAGGGACAGGGAAACGGGACCGGGAACAGGACTGGGAACAGGACCGGGAACGGGGACTGAGACAGAGAAACGGGACCAGGAACGGGACCAGGACTGGGACCGGGAATGGGAATCAGGGACCGAGAAACGGGACCGGGAACAGGACTGGGACAGGAGCAGAGAACGGGACCGGGAACAGGAACTGGGACAGGACCGGGAACAGGACCGGGACGGGGATCAGGGACAGAGAAACGGGACCGGGAACGGGGACTGGGACAGGACTGGGAACAGGACCGGGAACGGGAACTGGGACAGGGAAATGGGACCGGGAACAGGACCGGGAACAGCTCCAGGACCGGGAACGGGGACTGGAACAGGACCGGGAGCGGGAACTGGGATGGGGGAAAGGATCGGGACCGGGAACGGGACCGGGGATCAGGGACAGAGAACGGGACCGGGATGGGGACCCGGAACAGCTCCGGGATCGGGAACGGGAATGGGGCAGGGAACGGGACCGGGAACAGGATCAGGGACAGAGAAACGGCACTGGGAACGGGAACCGGGACTGGAGCAGAGAATGGGGCCAGGACTGGGACCGGGACCGGGATCAGGGACAGAGAAACGGGACTGGGAACAGGGACTGGAACAGCGGGAACGGGACCAGGAACAGCTCCAGGACTGGGAACAGAGAAACGGGAACGGGAACGGGGACTGGAACACGACTGGGACAGGAACGGGACCGGGAATGGGAATGGAGATCAGGGACAGAGAAACAGGACCGGGAACAGCTCCGGGACCGGGGCAGGAGCAGAGAACGGGACCGGGAATGGGAACTGGAACAGGACCGGGAACAGGACCGGGACTGGGATCAGGGACAGAGAAACGGGACCGGGAACGGGGACTGGGACAGGAGCAGAGAACGGGACGGGGAACGGGGACTGGGACACGACCAGGACCAGGACCAGGAACGGGAATCAGGGACAGGGAAACGGGACTGGGAACAGGACCAGGAACAGCTCTGGGACCGGGAACAGCTCCGGGACCAGGACCGGGGCACCGGGACCAGGTCAGGGAACGGCGCCAGGACCGGGATAGGTCCGGATGGGCCGGGACCACAAAAGGCACCGGGACGGGGCCGGGGCCGGGACCGGGAAGGGATCGGGGTGAGACCGGCACCGGTTCGGTACCGGAGCGGTGTCGGTGACCGGGACGGGGCCGGTACCGAATCGGTGTTGGTGACCGGGACGGGGCCGGTACCGGGGTGGGGTTTGGGTCAGTACCGGTACCGGTACCGGGGTGGGGTTTGGGTCGGTACAGGGTCAGTACCGGTACCGGGGTGGGGTTTGGGTCGGTACGGGGTCGGTACCGGTACCGGTACCAGTGTCACTGACTGGTTCCGGTTCCGGTCCCGCAGGTGTCCAGCAGTAACGGCGCCGCCGGGGTCGGTACCGGGGTGGGGTTTGGGTCGGTACCGGTACCGGGGTGGGGTTTGGGTCTGTACGGGGTCGGTACCGGTACCGGGGTGGGGTTTGGGTCGGTACCGGTACCGGTACCGGTGTCACTGACCGGTCCCGGTTCCGGTCCCGCAGGTGACCAGCAGTAACGGCGCCGCCGGGGTCGGTACCGGTGCCGGTACCGGTACCGAGAGCCCACCGGGACAGCAGCAGCCGCCACCGGCCCCCAACGCCTGGCAGGTGGTGAAAGGAGTCCTGTTCAGGTGAGCGCGGCGATGAAGGGGTTAAACGGGCCGGGAATTGATTGGGATCGATCGGGGATCGATTGGGACTGATTGGGATCCATTGGGATTGATTGGGATTGATTGGGATCGAAGGGGTTAAAGGATCAGGAATTGATTGGGATGAATTGGGATCCATTGGGATCGATTGGGATTGATTGATTGGGACTGAAGGGGTTAAATGGGGGGAAGGGATCGATTGGGATCGATTGGGATCGATTGGAACTGAAGGGGTTAAAGGGGTCGGGAGCGGGACTGAAGGGGTTAAAGGATCGGGAATTGATTGGGATCGATTGGGGATCCATTGGGATCAATTGGGATCAATTGGGACTGAAGGGGTTAAAGGGGAAGGGATCGGGGATCGATTGATTTGGATCAATTGGGATCGATTGGGACTGAAGGGGTTAAAGGATCGGGGATCGATTTGGATCAATTGGGATCGATTGGCATCAATTGGGATCGATTGGGATCAATTGGCACTGAAGGGGTTAAAGGGGTCGGGAGCGGGACTGAAGGGGTTAAAGGATCGGGAATTGATTTGGATCGATTCGGATCGATTGGGACTGAAGGGGTTAATGGATTGGGGATCGATTGGGATCCATTGGGACTGAAGGGGTTAAACAGGCAGAAGGGATCGGGGATTGATTTGGATCAATTGGGATTGACTGGGATCGATTGGGACTGAAGAGGTTAAAGGGGCGGAAGGGATCGGGAATTGATTGGGATTGATTGGGATCAATTGGGACTGAAGGGGTTAAAGGATCAGGAATTGATTGGGATGAATTGGGATCCATTGGGATCCATTGGGATTGATTGGAACTGAAGGGGTTAAAGGGGTCGGGAATTGATTGGGATTGATTGGGACTGAAGGGGTTAAAGGATCTGGGATCGATTGGGATTGATTGGGATCGATTGGGACTGAAGGGGTTAAACGGGTCAGGATTTTTCCAGAATTCCCGAGGGATTTTTGGCAATTCCTGAGGGATTTTCTCTGGAATTCCCAAGGGATTTTCCCAGAATTCCCAAGGGATTTTTTCTTGAATTCCCAAGGGATTTTTTCTTGAATTCCCAAGGGATTTTTTTCCGGAATTCCCGAGGGATTTTTGGCAATTCCCAAGGGATTTTTCCCAGAATTCCCAAGGGATTTTTGGCAGTTCCCGAGGGATTTTTTTCCAGAATTCCTGAAGGATTTTTTCCACAATTCCCAAGGGATTTTTTCCACAAGTCCCAAGGGATTTTTTCCAGAATTCCTGAGGGCTTTTTGGCAATTCCCAAGGGATTTTCTCTGGAATTCTGAAGGGATTTTTTCTGGAATTCCCGAGAGATTTTTTTCCAGATTTCCCAAGGGACTTTTTTTCTGGAATTCCCAAGGGATTTTTTTCCGGAATTCCCAAGGGATTTTTTCCAGAATTCCAGAGGGATTTTTCCCTGGAATTCTGAAGGGATTTTTTTCCAGAATTCCCGAGGGATTTTTTCCGGAATTCCAGAGGGATTTTTTCTGGAATTCCCGATGGATTTTCCCTGGAATTCCCAAGGGATTTTTTCCCAGAATTCCCGAGGGATTTTTTTTTCTGGAATTCCCGCAGGATTTTTTCTGGAATTCCTGAAGGATTTTTTCCACAATTCCCGAGGGATTTTTTCCAGAATCCCCAAGGGATTTTTTCCAGAATTCCCAAGGGATTTTTTTTCTGGAATTCCCGAGGGATTTTTTCCAGAATTCCCAAGGGATTTTTTTCCCAGAATTCCCAAGGGATTTTTTTCCAGAATTCCCAAGGGATTTTTTTTCTGGAATTCCCAAGGGATTTTCAGCAATTCCCAAGGCATTTTCCCTGGAATTCTGAAGGGATTTTTTCCAGAATTCCCAGGGATTTTCCCTGGAATTCCCGTGGGATTTTTTTTTTCCCCAGAATTCCCACGGGATTTTTTCCAGAATTCCCAAAGGATTTTTTTTCTGGAATTCCCGAGGGATTCTTCCAGAACTCCCGAGGGATTTTTTCCCCTGGAATTCCCGAGGGATTTTTTCCGGAATTCCCAAGGGATTTTTTTCCAGAATTCCCGCGGTATTTTCCCTGGAATTCTGAAAGGGTTTTTTTCTGGAATTCCTGAGGGATTTTCAGCAATTCCCGCGGGATTTTTTCTGGAATTCCCACAGGATTTTTTCCAGAATTCCCAAGGGATTTTTTCTGGAATTCTCAAGGGATTTTTTCTGGAATTCCCGAGGGATTTTCCCGAAATTCCTGAGGGATTTTTCCGTGGAATTCCCAAGGGATTTTCCTGGAATTCCCGTGGGATTTTTTTGGCATTCCCAAGGAATTTTTTTCTGGATCTCCCGTGGGATTTTTTCCGGAATTCCTGCGGGATTTTTTGTTTTTCCCCGGAATTCCCAAGGGATTTTTCCAGAATTCCCGCGGGATTTTTTTCCAGAATTCCCAAGGGACTTTTGGCAATTCCCAAAGGATTTTTCCAGAATTCCCGAGGGATTTTCAGCAATTCTCGATGGATTTTTTCCAGAATTCCCGCGGGATTTTTTCCCACAATTCCCACGGGATTTTTCCCGGAATTTCCGCGGGATTTTCCCCGTCATTCCCGCGGTTTTTCCCGTTCCCGCAGGATTTTCATCATCTGGGCCATCTCCAGCTGGTTCCGGCGCGCGCCGACGCCGCAGGAGAGCGACGGAGACGGGAACGGCGCCCGCAGCCCCAGCAGGAACCTCTTCCCCAAGGACACACTCATGGTCGGCCGGAATTCCGGGAATTTCGGGAATTTCGGGAATTTCGGGAATTTCGGGAATTTCGGGAATTCCGGGAATTCCGGGAATTCTGGGGTTTGGGAATGTGGGAATGTGGAAATCTGGGATTGGGGGAAATCCGGGATCAGCACCCGGATCCGGGATCAGAACCCGCAGCCCCAGCAGGAACCTCTTCCCCAAGGACACACTCATGGTCGGAATCCGGGAATTTCGGGAATTCCGGGAATTTCGGGAATTCTGGGATGTGGGAATGTGGAAATGTGGGATTGGGGGGAAATCCGGGATCAGCTCCCGCAGCCCCAGCAGGAACCTCTTCCCCAAGGACACCCTCATGGTCGGAACGCCGGGAATTTCGGGAATTTCGGGAATTTCGGGAATTCTGGGGGTTTGGGAATGTGGGGGGAAATCCGGGATCTCGGATTGGGGGGGAAATCCGGGATTGGGGGGAAATCCGGGATCAGAACCCGGAGCCTCAGGAGGAATCTCTTCCCCAAGGACACACTCATGGTCGGCCGGAATTCCGGGAATTTCGGGAATTTTGGGAATTTTGGGAATTTCAGGAATTTTGGGAATCCTGGGGTGTGGGAATGTGGAAATGTGGAATCCAGGGGGAAATCCGGGATCAGCACCGGGATCCGGGATCAATACCCGGAGTCTCAGCAGGAACCTCTTCCCCAAGGACACACTCATGGTCAGCGGGAATTCCGGGAATTTCGGGAATTTCAGGAATTCTGGGGTTTGGGAATGTGGGGGGAAATCCGGGATCCGGGATTGGGGGGGAAATCCGGGATTGGAGGGAAATCCGGGATCAGAACCCGCAGCCCCAGCAGGAACCTCTTCCCCAAGGACACCCTCATGGTCAGCGGGAATTCCGGGAATTTCGGGAATTTTGGGAATTTTGGGAATTTGGGAATGTGGGATCTCATCCAGGATTTCGGATTGGGGGGGAAATCCGGGATTGGGGGGAAATCCGGGATCAGATCCCGGAGCCCCAGCAGGAACCTCTTCCCCAAGGACACACTCATGGTCGGAATGACGGGAATTTCGGGAATTCTGGGAATTTCGGGAATTCTTGGGTTTGGGAATGTGGGAGAAATCAGGGATCTGGGATTGGGGGGGAAATCCGGGATTGGGGGGAAATCCGGGATCAGCACCCGGAGTCTCAGCAGGAACCTCTTCCCCAAGGACACACTCATGGTCAGCCGGAATTCCGGGAATTCTGGGAATTTCGGGAATTTCGGGAATTTGGGAATGTGGGATCTGATTTGGGATTGGGGATCCAGGGGGAAATCCGGGATCAGCACCCAGATCTGGGATCAGAACCCGCAGCCCCAGCAGGAACCTCTTCCCCAAGGACACCCTCATGGTTGGAATTTCGGGAATTCCGGGAATTTTGGGAATTTCGGGAATTTCGGGAATCCTGGGATGTGGGAATGTGGGGGGAAACCCGGGATCAGATCCCGAATCTGAGATCCTGGCGACCCTGGGGAACGTTCCCAGGGATTGTTGGGATGGATTCCCAGGATTTTTTAAATGAATTTCTGGGATTTTTTTAATGGATTCCCAGGGCTCTATTCCCGGGATTTTTGGGATAAATTCTCAGGATTTTTGGGATAAATTCCCAGGATTTTTGGGATAAATTCCCAGGATTTTTAGGATAAATTCCCTGGATTTTTGGGATAAATTCCCGGGATTTTTGGGACGAATTCCCAGGGATGAATTCCCAGGATTTTTGGGACGAATCTCCGGGATTTTTGGGACGAATTCCCGGGGATGAATTCCCAGGATTTTTGGGATAAATCCCCGGGATTTTTGGGACGAATTCCCGTGATTTTGGGACAAATTCCCAGGGATGAATTCCCAGGATTTTCGGGACGAATTCCCAGGATTTTTGGGACGAATTCCCAGGGATGAATTCCCAGGATTTTTGGGATAAAATCCCAGGATTTTTGGGATAAATTCCCAGAATTTTTGGTACGAATTCCCATGATTTTTAGGATAAATCCCCAGGATTTTCGGTATAAATTCCCAGGATTTTTGGGACGAATTCCCAGGATTTTTGGGACGAATCTCTGGGATTTTCGGGACAAATTCCTGGGATTTTCGGGATGAATTCCTGGGATTTTTGGGACAAATTCCCGGGGACGAATCCCCGGATTTTTGGGACAAATTTCCAGGATTTTTGGGACGAATTCCCATATTTCCGTCCCTTTCCCAGGATCTGCACGTTTACATCTCGGAGCACGAGCACTTTACGGATTTCAACCTCAGCTCCGCCCTGTTCTGGGAAAAGCGGGATTTGGTCTACGGAGACTGGAGCAGCGGCGAGAATTCCGACGGATGCTACGAGCACGCGGGCGAGGTGGACATCTCCCAGGTGGGATCCCGGAATTCCCGGAATTCCCGGAATTCTGGGGTCTGGGAATGGGGATTTGGGGTTTGGGAATGGGGATTTGGGGCTGGAAAAGGGAATTTGGGATTTGGGAATGGGGATTTGGGATTTGGGAAAGAGCATTCCATGTGGGAAATGGGAATTCCAGGATCTTCCCAAGGGATTTGGGGTCTGGGAATGGGAATTTGGGATCTGGGAATGGGAATTTGGGATTTGGGAAAGGGAATTTGTGATTAAGAAAAGGGAATTTGGGATTTGGGATCAGGAAAAGGGAATTTGGGGCTGGAAAAGGGAATTTGTGGTTTGGAAATGGGGATTCGGGATTTGGGAAAGGGCATTCCATGTGGGAATGGGAATTTCAGGATCTTCCCAAGGGATTTGGGATCTGGGAATGGGAATTTGGGATCTGGAAATGGGGATTTGGGATTTGGGAAAGGGAATTTGTGATTAGGAAAAGGGAATTTGGGATTTGGGATCAGGAAAAGGGAATTTGGGGTCTGGGAATGGGAATTCAGGGTTGGAATTCCGACGGATGCTACGAGCACGCGGGGGAGGTGGACATCTCCCAGGTGGGATCCCGGAATTCCCGGAATTCCGGGAATTCTGGGGTCTGGGAATGGGGATTTGGGGTTTGGGAATGGGGATTTGGGGTTTGGGAATGGGGATTTGGGATTTGGGAAAGGGAATTTGTTATTAGGAAAAGGGAATTTTGGATTTGGGATCAGGAAAAGGGAATTTGGGATTTGGGAATGGGGATTTGGGATTTGGGAAAGGGAATTTGTGATTAGGAAAAGGGAATTTGGGATTTGGGATCGGGAAAAGGGAATTTGGGGTTGGGAAAGGGAATTTGGGGCTGGAAAAGGGAATTTGGGGCTGGAATTCCGACGGATGCTACGAGCACGCGGGCGAGGTGGACATCTCCCAGGTGGGATCCGGGAATTCCCGGAATTCCGGGAATTCTGGGGTCCGGGAATGGGGATTTGGGCTGGAAAAGGGGATTTGGGGTCGGAAAAAGGGAATTTGGGATGTGGGAATGGGGATTTGGGATTTGGGAAAGAGCATTCCATGCGGGAATGGGAATTCCAGGATCTTCCCAAGAGATTTGGGATCTGGGAATGGGAATTTGGGATCTGGGAATGGGAATTTGGGATCTGGGAATGGGGACTTGGGATTTGGGAAAGGGAATTTGTGATTAGGAAAAGGGAATTTGGGATTTGGGATCAGGAAAAGGGAATTTGGGGTTGGGAAAAGGGAATTTGGGGTTGGAATTCCGACGGATGCTACGAGCACGCGGGCGAGGCGGACAAATCCCAGGTGGGATTCGGGAATTCCCGGAATTCCGGGAACTCTGGGGTCTGGGAATGGGAATTTGGGGTTTGGGAATGGGGATTTGGGGTTTGGGAATGGGGATTTGGGGTTTGGGAATGGGGATTCGGGATTTGGGAAAGAGCATTCCATGTGGGAACGGGAATTTCAGGATCTTCCCAAGGGATTTGGGATCTGGGAATGGGAATTTGGGATCTGGGAATGGGGACTTGGGATTTGGGAAAGGGAATTTAGGATCAGGAAAAGGGAATTCCGACGGCTGCTACGAGCACGCGGGCGAGGTGGACATCTCCCAGGTGGGATCCCGGAATTCCCGGAATTCCCGGAATTCTGGGGTCTGGGAATGGGGATTTGGGGTTTGGGAATGGGGATTTGGGGTTTGGGAATGAGGATTTGGGGTTTGGGAATGGGAATTTGGGGTCAGGAAAAGGGAATTTGGGATCTGGGAATGGGAATTTGGGATTTGGGAAAGGGAATTTGTGATTAGGAAAAGGGAATTTGGGATTTGGGATCAGGAAAAGGGAATTTGGGGCTGGAAAAGGGAATTCCGACGGATGCTACGAGCACGCGGGCGAGGTGGACATCTCCCAGGTGGGATCCCGGAATTCCCGGAATTCTGGGAGTTCTGGGGTCTGGGAATGGGGATTTGGGGTCGGAAAAGGGAACTTGGGGTTTGGGAAATGGGAATTTGTGATCAGGAGAAGAGAATTCCACATGGGATCGGGAATTTTTCTGTCTTTTTCTGTGGGATATTTGGGATTTTCCCTGGATTTTTCCTGGGTTTTTTTGTGCCATTTTTCCAAGGCTTTCTGGTTGGGTTTTTTTTTGGGGATTTTCCCGTTTTTTTCCCGTGTTTTTCCCGACCTTTTCCGTGTTTTTTTGCCCAGAGTGTGCAGCGGAACGGATCCATCTACGTCCACGTCTACTTCACCAAGAGCGGCTTCCACCCCGACCCGCGGCAGAAGAGCCTCTACCGGCGCCTGGCCACCGTCCACACCTCCAGGAGTACAGAATTCCAGGAAATTCTGGGAATTTTCTGGGAATTCCCATCAATTCCCTAGCTTTGGGATCAAAATACCCCCGGGAATGGCCCCAAATCCCTCAGGAAAGGCCCCAAATCCCTCAGGAATGGCCCCAAATCCCTCAGGAATGGGGTTGGGATCAGCCTGGGCACTGTGCACACCTCCAGGAGTACGGAATTCCCGGAATTCCCGGGAAATTCTGGGAATTCCCATCAGTTCCCGAGATTTGGGATCAAAATCCACCCAGGAAATGGCCCCAAATCCCTCAGGAACGGCCCCAAATCCCTCAGAAATGGCCCCAAATCCCCTCAGGAATGGGGTTGGGATCAGCCTAGGCACTGTGCACACCTCCAGGAGTACGGAATTCCCGGAATTCCCAGGAAATTCTGGGAATTCCCATCAATTCCCGAGCTTTGGGATCAAAATACCCCCTGGAATGGCCCCAAATCCCCTCAGGAATGGCCCCAAATCCCTCAGAAATGGCCTCAAATCCCTCAGGAATGGGGTTGGGATCAGCCTGGGCACTGTCCACACCTCCAGGAGTACGGAATTCCGGGAATTCCCGGGAAATTCTGGGAATTCCCATCAATTCCTGAGCTTTGGGATCAAAATCCCCCCAGGAATGGCCCCAAATCCCTCAGGAATGGCCCCAAATCCCTCAGGAATGGCCCCAAATCCCTCAGGAATGGGGTTGGGATCGGCCTGGGCACCTTGCACAGCTCCAGGAGTACAGAATTCCAGGAAATTCTGGGAAATTCTGGGAATTCCCGGGAAATTCTGGGAATTACTGAGCTTTGGGATCAAAATACCCCCTGGAATGGCCCCAAATCCCCTCAGGAATGGCCCCAAATCCCTCAGGAATGGCCCCAAATCCCCTCAAGAATGGGGTTGGGATCGGCCTGGCCACGAAGCACAGCTCCAGGAGTATGGAATTCCCGGAATTCCCGGGAAATTCTGGGAATTCCCATCAGTTCCTGAGCTTTGGGATCAAAATACCCTCGGGAATGGCCCCAAATCCCTCAGGAACGGCCCCAAATCCCTCAGGAATGGCCCCAAATCCCTCAGGAATGGGGTTGGGATTGGCCTGGCCACCGTCCACACCTCCAGGAGTACGGAATTCCAGGAAATTCCAAGAATTTTTGGGGAATTCACAAGAAATTCTGGGAACTCCTGAGCTTTGGGATCAAAATCCCCCCAGGAATGGCCCCAAATCCCCTCAGGAATGGCCCCAAATCCCCTCAGGAACGGCCCCAAATCCCTCAGGAATGGCCCCAAATCCCTCAGGAATGGGGGAATTCCCAGAAATTCCCAGATTTTTGGGTTCCAAATCCCTCAGGAATGGGAGGGATCTGATTTTTCCAAATCCCATTTTTCCCCATTTCCCCCCCTTTTTCCCCCATTTTCCCCCATTTTTTCCCAATTTCCTCCCAATTTTTCCCTAATTTCCCCCCCATTTTCCCAAATTTCCCCCATTTCCCCCCATTTTCCCAATTTCCCCCCCCTTTTTTCTAAATTTTTCCCATTTTTCCCCCATTTCCCCCCAAATTTTCCCCATTTTTTCCCCATTTTTCCCAATTTCCACCCAAATTTTCCCCATTTTTTCCCCATTTTTCCCAATTTCCACCTAAATTTTCCCTGTTTTTTCCCCATTTTTCCCAATTTCCACCCATTTTTCCCCGATTTTTCCCATTTTCTCAGTGATAAACAAATACAAGCGGCGGCGATTCCAGAAAACCAAAAACCTCCTGACGGGGGAGACGGAGGCGGATCCCGAAATGATCAAGGTGGGAATTCCGGGATTTGGGAATTTCCTGGGATTTCCTGGGGTTTTGGGGGATTTTTATCATTTTGGGGGAGATTTTTGGGGATGTTTCTGATTTTTTGGGAGGTTTCTTTGAAGTTGTGGGGATTTAAAAAATTTTTTTAGAATTTTGTTTGAATTTTTTCTTTTTACAAATTAAAAAAAAAATTCTGGGGTCTCTTTTTTTGGGGTTTCTTCAGGTTTTTTTTGGGGGGGGTTGGGATTTTTAGGATCTTTTTTGGGGTTTTTTTTGGTGTTACATGTGGTTTTCTTTTGTTTTTTAGGGTTTTTTGGGGGATTTTTTTTAGTTATTTTTTGATTTTTTTTATTTTTGGTGTTTTTTGGGCTTTTTTTGATTTTTTTGGGGGGGATTTTTAGGTTAGTTTTTGGTTTTTGGCGTTTTTTGGTTTGGTTTTTTTGGGGTTTCTTTGATTTTTTATGGCTTTGGATTTTTTTGGGGGGTTTGGGTTTTTTTGGGTTACTTGAGGTTTTTTGGGTATTTTTATGGCTTTTTTTGGTTTCATTTTGTTTTGCTTTTGTTTTTTGTGGGTTTTTTGTGGGGTTTTTTTGTGTGTTTTTGGGGTTTTTGGGGTTTTTTTGGGTTTTTTGAGGGTTTTTTTGCATTGTTTGGGTTTGTTCAGGTTTTTTTTTAATTTTTTTTTATTTTTTGGTTTGTTTTTGGTTTTTTTTGCAGTTTCTTGAGGTTTTTTTATGGGTGGGGGTTTATGATTTTTGGTGTTTTTTTGGGGTTTTTCTTGGGGTTCTTATGGGAATTTTTTACGGTTTTTAAAATTTTTTTAGGGTTTTGGGAGGTTTCTTATTTGGTTTTTTTGTTGGTTTTTTGTTTTGGTTTGGTTTGGTTTGGTTTTTTTTTTATTATTTTGTTTGTTTTTTGGGTTTTTTAAAGTTTTTTGGATTTTGGGGTTTTTTTTGGGGGATTTTTTGCCAATTTTTGGCCTTTTTTCTTGCAGAGGGCCGAGGATTTCGGGCCGGTCGAGGTCATTTCCCACTGGCACCCCAACCTGACCATCAACATGGTGGATGACCACACGCCCTGGGTCAGGGGCAGCGTCCCCCCGCCGCTGGACCAGTGTGAGCAGCCGGAATTCCCAGGAAAATTCCCAAAAAAACCCAAAATTCCTGAAAAACCCAAAAATTCCCATTAAAAACGGGGCAGGTTTGGGGTTTGTAGGGCACCAGTTCCTCCCAGTTCATCCCAGTTCATCCCCAGGGTCAGGGCCAGTGTCACCCACCCCAGACCAGTGTGAGCAGCCGGAATTCCCGGGAAAATTCCCGAAAAACCCAAAATTCCTGAAAAACCCAAAAATTCCCATTAAAAATGGGGCAGGTTTGGGGTTTGTAGGGCTCCAGTTCCTCCCAGTTCATCCCAGTTCATCCCAGTTCATCCCCAGGGTCAGGGCCAGTGTCACCCACCCCAGACCAGTGTGAGCAGCCGGAATTCCCGGGAAAATTCCCAAAAAAACCCAAAATTCCTGAAAAACCCAAAAATTCCCATTAAAAATGGGGCAGGTTTGGGGTTTGTAGGGCTCCAGTTCCTCCCAGTTCATCCCAGTTCATCCCAGTTCATCCCCAGGGTCAGGGGCAGCGTCCCCCCGCCGCTGGACCAGTGTGAGCAGCCGGAATTCCCAGGAAAATTCCCAAAAAACCCAAAAATTCCCGAAAAACCCAAAAATTCCCATTAAAAGTGGGGCAGGTTTGGGGTTTGTAGGGCTCCAGTTCCTCCCAGTTTATCCCAGTTCATCCCAGTTCATCCCCAGGGTCAGGGCCAGTGTCACCCACCCCAGACCAGTGTCAGCAGCCGGAATTCCCGGGAAAATTTGTAATTTTTTTGTTATTAATGAATTTTCCCCTTTCTTAATCCCCTTTTCCTTATTCCCAACTCCTTTTTTTCCTATTTTTCCCTGATTTTTCCCCATTTATTCCCCATTTCCCCCCATTATACCCCATTTATTCCCCATCTATTCCCCATTTCCCCCATTTATTCCCCATTTCCCCATTTTCCCCTAATTGTTTACATTTATTCCCCATTTATTCCCTATTTCCCCCATTTTCCTCATGTTTTTCACCATTTTCCCCACTTTTCCCCATTTATTCCACATTTTCCCTCATTTTCTCCCCATTTTCCTCATGTTTTTCACTATTTATTCCCCATTTCCCCCATTATTCACCACTTATTCCCCATTTCCCCCCATTAATCCACATTTATTCCCCATTTCCCCCATTATTCCCCATTTATTCCCCATTTCCCCCACTTATTCCCCATTTCCCCCCATTATTCCCCACTTATTCCCCATTTATTCCCCATTTCTCCCCATTATTCCCCATTTATCCCAAATTTTTCCCTTTTCCCCCCATTATTCCCCATTTATCCCCCATTTCCCCCCATTACTCCCCACTTATCCCCCATTTTTTCCCCATTTCCCCCCATTTTTACCCATTTTCCCTATTTCCCCCCATTATTCCCCACTTATTCCCCATTTCCCCCATTATTCCCCACTTATTCCCCATTTATTCCCCATTTCCCCCATTATCCCCCATTTATTCCCCATTCCCCCCATTATTCCCCCCATTATTCCCCATTTATTCCCCATTTCCCCCCTTTATTCCCCATTTCCCCCATGTATTCCCCATTTCCCCCCATTTTCCCTCATTTTCCTCATGTTTTCCCCCCATTTCCCTCATGTTTTCGCCACTTATTCCCCATTTCCCCCCATTATACCCCATTTATTCCCCATTTCCTCCATTTCACCCCCCCATTTTCCCCATTTTTTTGCCATTTATTCCCCATTTCCCCCCATTTTCATGTTTTCCCCATTTATTTCTAATTTCCCCCATTCTCCTCATGTTTTCTGCCATTTATTCCCCATCTATCCCCCATTATTCCCCATTTATTCCCCATTTCCCCCCATTATACCCCATTTCCCCCCATTATTCCCCATTTTTTCCCCATTTATCCCCCATTTCCCCCCATTATTCCCCATTTTTCCCCATTTCCCCCCATTATACCCCATTTATTCCCCATTATCCCCCACTTATCCCCCATTTATTCCCCATTTTTTCCCCCATTTATTCCCCATTTCCACCCATTATACCCCATTTATTCCCCATTTCCCCCCATTATTCCCCACTTATTCCCCATTTATTCCCCATTTCCCCCCATTACTCCCCATTTATTCCCCATTTATTCCCCATTATCCCCCATTTATTACCCATTAATTCCCCATTTTACCCCATTTATTCCCCATTTATTCCCCAATTATTCCCCCATTTTTCCCCCATTTATACCAAATTTTTCCCCTTTTCCCCCCATTATTCCCCACTTATCCCCCCATTTATTCCCCATTTCCCCCCATTATTCTTCATTTATTCCCCATTTTCCCCATTTCTTGCCATTTATTCCCGATTTCCCTCATTCCCCCAATTTTCCTCATGTTTTTCGCCATTTATTCCCAATTTCCCTCATTTCACCTCCCGTTTTCCCCATTTATTCCCCATTTCCCCCACTTATTCCTCATTTATTCCCCATTTCACCCATTATTCCCCATTTATTCCCCATTTCCCCCCATTATACCCCATTTATTCCCCATTTCCCCCATTTATTCCCCATTTATTCCCCATTTCCCCCCATTTATTCCCTATTTATTCCCCATTTCCCCCCATTTTTCCCCATTTATTCCCCATTTCCCCCATTCCCCCCATTATACCCCATTTATTCCCCATTTCCCCCCATTATTCCCCATTTTTCCCCCATTTTCCCCATTTCCCCCATTTTACCCCATTTATTCCCCATTTCCCCCCACTTATTCCCCATTTCCCCCCATTTTACCCCACTTATTCCCCATTTATCCCCCATTTTCCCCCATTTTCCCCATTTCCCCCCGTTATTCCCCATTTATTCCCCATTTCCCCCCATTATTCTTCATTTATTCCCCATTTATCCCCCATGTATTCCCCATTTATCCCCCATGTATTCCCCATTTCCCCCCATTATACCCCATTTCCCCCCATTATTCCTCATTTATTCCCCATTTTCCCCATTTTCCCCATTATTCCCCATTTATCTCCCATTTCCCCCCATTTTTCCCCACTTATTCCCCATTTCCCCCCATTTATTCCCCATTTATTCCCCATTTCCCCCCATTATACCCCATTTCCCCCCATTATTCCTCATTTATTCCCCATTTTCCCCATTTTCCCCATTATTCCCCATTTATCTCCCATTTCCCCCCATTATTCCCCACTTATTCCCCATTTATTCTCCATTTATTCCCCATTTCCCCCCATTATCCTCCACTTACCCCCCATTTATTCCCCATCTATCCCCCATTTCCCCATTTATTCCCCGTTTATTCCCCATTTTTCCCCCATTTTCCCCATTTATTCCCCAATTCCCCCCATTTCCCCATGTTTTTTGCTATTGTTGCGCCATTTATTCCAAATTTCCCCCATTTCACCCCCCATTTTCCCCATTTTTTTGCATTCCCCATTTCCCCCCATTTTTCTCCATTCCCCATTTCCCCCCATTTTTCTCATGTTTTTCCCCATTCATTCCTAATTTTCGCCATTGTCCTCATGTTTTCTGCCATTTATTCCCCATTATCCCCCACTTATCCCCCATTTTTTCCCCATTTCCCCCCATTATTCCCCATTTTCCCCATTTATTCCCCATTTATTCCCCTGTTTTCCCCCATTTGCCCCCAATTTCCCTCATTTTCCTCATGTTTTTTGCCACTTATTCCCCATTTCCCCCCCATTATACCCCATTTATCCCCCATTTCCCCCCATTATCCTCCACTTACCCCCCATTTATTCCCCATCTATCCCCCATTTCCCCATTTATTCCCCATTTATCCCCCATTTTTCCCCCATTTTCCCCATTTTTTTGCATTTATCCCCCATTTTTCCCCATTTTCCCTCCAATTTCCCCCCTTTTCCCCCATCCCTGCCCCTGCAGACGTGAAGTTCGACGCGCTGAGCGGTGACTACTTCCCCATCGTGTACTTCAACGACTACTGGAACCTGCAGCGGGACTATTTCCCCATCAACGAGAGCGTGCGGCGGCTGCCGCTGCGCCTGAGCTTCTGCCCGCTGTCGCTGTGGCGCTGGCAGCTGTACGCGGCGCAGAGCGCGCGCTCGCCCTGGCACTTCCTGGGCCACGAGCTCTACGAGCAGAGCGACGAGGAGCAGGACTCCGTCAAGGTGCGTCATCAGATTTCAGGCATGGTTATCCCAAATTTTCCTGATTTTTTTCTGGTTTTTCCCTGATTTTCCCTGATTTTCCCTGATTTTTCCCTGATTTTTTCTCATTTTTCCATGATTTTTCTGATTTTTTCTGTTTTTTTCCAATTTTCCCTGATTTTTTCTGATTTTCCCTGATTTTCCCTGATTTTTCTGATTTTTTCTGATTTTTTCCCTGATTTTTTCTGATTTTTTCTGATTTTTCCCTGATTTTTTATTATTTTTTCTGATTTTTCACCAATTTTTTCTGATTTTTCCCTGATTTTATATGATTTTTTCTGATTTTTCCCAGATTTTTTCTCATTTTACCCTCACTTTCCCTGATTTTTTCTGATTTTTTCTGATTTTCCCCTGATTTTCCCTGATTTTCCCTGAGTTTTTATGATTTTTCTCTGATTTTCCCTGATTTTCCCTGATTTTCCCTGATTTTTTCTGATTTTCCCTGATTTTTCTCAAATTTTCCCAGATTTTCACAATTTTTCTCAATTTTCCCCAATTTTTCCTGATTTTTCTACAATTTTCCCAATTTTCATTATTTTTCTATAATTTTTCCTTAATTTTTGCAATTTTCCTCAATTTTCCCACATTTTTCGCAATTTTTCCCTGATTTTCCCTGATTTTTCCCAGTTTTTACTTGGTTTTTTGGGACTTATTGTGGATTTTTTCCTGTTTTTTTACAAATTTCCCAATTTTTCATTGATTTTTGGACAATTTTCCCAATTTTCTACGATTTTCCCTGATTTTTCTACAAATTCGCCCAATTTTCCTGATTTTCCTGTAATTTTCCTGATTTTTCCTCATTTTCCCCAATTTTTCTGGATTTTTCTCAATTTCCCCTATTTTTCCAAATTTTTTCCTGATTTTCCCCCATTTTCCCCAATTTTTCTGGATTTTTCTCAATTTTCCCCTATTTTCCCCAATTTTTCATGATTTTTCACACTTTTTCCACAATTTTCCCTGACTTTTCCCAATTTCCCTCAAATTTCCCTGACTTTTCCCAATTTTCCCCAGTTTTTCCCGTTTTTTTGCCAATTTTTCCCAATCCAGCCCAATTTTTCTGGGTTTCTTTGGGATTTGGTGCCTTTTTTCCCGATTTCCCGGTGGTTTGGGGGCTCTGCTGTGGGTTTGGGGTTTTTACGCGGCGCAGAGCGCGCGCTCGCCCTGGCACTTCCTGGGCCACGAGCTCTACGAGCAGAGCGACGAGGAGCAGGACTCCGGCAAGGTGAGTAATTGGCTTTAGTCATGGGTTTTCCTGATTTTTCCCTGGTTTTCCATGAGTTTTCCCCAATTTTCCCTGATTTTTTCTGATTTTTTCTGAGTTTTTCCCTCATTTTCCCTGATTTTTTCTGATATTTCCCTGATTTTTCCTGATTTTTTCTGATTTTTCCCTGATTTTTTCTCATTTTTCGCCGATTTTCCCTGATTTTTCCATGATTTTCCCTGATTTTTTCTGATTTTTCCCTGATTTTTTCTGATTTTACATTATTTTTTCTGATTTTTCCCTGATTTTCCCTGATTTTTCTGGTTTTTTTTGTGACTTATTGAGGATTTTTTCCTGTTTTTTTACAAATTTTCCAAACTTTTCATTGATTTTTTGAAAATTTTCCCCATTTTCTACAATTTTCCCCGATTTTCTACAATTTTCCCCAATTTGTCTTGATTTCCCTGATTTTTCTACAAATTTTCCCAATTTTCCCTGATTTTTCTCAAATTTTCCCAGTTTTGCCCCGGCTTTCCCCAGATTTTCACAATTTTTCTCAATTTTCCCCAGTTTTTCCTGATTTTTCTACAATTTTCCCGATCTTTCTTGATTTTTGTCAAATTTTCCCAATTTTTCATTATTTTTCTATGTTTTTTCCTAAATTTTTGCAATTTTCCTGATTTTTCCCAATTTTTTCTCAATTTTTGCCCATTTTTCGCAGTTTCTCCCATTTCTCCCCAATTTTCCCAATTGTTTCCCTGATTTTCCCTGATTTTCCCTGATTTTCCCTGATTTTCCCTGATTTTTCATTGATTTTCCCTGATTTTCCCTGATTTTTCTCAAATTCTCCCAGTTTTCCCCCAGCTTTTCCGAGATTTTCACAATTTTTCTCAATTTTCCCCAGTTTTTCCTGATCTTTCTTGATTTTTGTCAAATTTTCCTGATTTTTCCCAATTTTTTCTCAATTTTTCCCCATTTCTCGCAATTTCTCCTATTTATTCCCATTTTTGAAGTGGATTTATCCCCATTTTCCCACCGGATCTATCCCATTCCCAAGGAATTTATCCCATTCCTGATGGATTTATCCCATTCCCAATGGATTTATTCCCATTTTTGCTTTGGATTTATCCCATTCCCAAGGAATTTATCCCATTCCCAATGGATTTATCCCCATTTTCCCACCGGATCTATCCCATTCCCAATGGATTTATTCCCATTTTTGCAGTGGATTTATCCCATTCCCAGTGGATTTATCCCATTCCCAGTGGATTTATCCCCATTTTCCCACCGGATCTATCCCATTCCCAAGGGATTTATCCCATTTTCCCACCAGATTTATCCCATTCCCAAGGAATTTATCCCATTCCCAGTGGATTTATCCCATTCCCGATGGATTTATCCCATTCCCAGTGGATCTATCCCATTCCCAAGGAATTTATTCCCATTTTTGCAGTGGATTTATCCCATTCCCAAGGAATTTATCCCATTTTCCCAAGGGATTTATTAACATTATTCCAAAGGATTTATTCCCATTATCCCAAGGGATTTATCCCATTCCCAAAGGATTTATCCCATTCCCACTGGATTTATCCCATTCCCAAGGAATTTTTCCCATTCCCGATGGATTTATCCCATTCCCAATGGATTTATCCCATTCCCAGTGGATTTATCCCATTCCCAATGGATTTATCCCCATTTTCCCACCAGATCTATCCCATTCCCAAGGAATTTATCCCATTCCCGATGGATTTATCCCATTCCCTATGGATTTATCCTATTCCCAAGGAATTTATCCCATTTTCCCACTGGATTTATCCCATTCCCAAGAAATTCATCCCATTTTCCCAATGGATTTATTCCCATTTTCCCAAGGGATTTATCCCATTCCCAATGAATTTATTCCCATTTTTGAAGTGAATTTATCCCATTCCCGATGGATTTATCCCATTCCCAATGAATTTATTCCCATTTTCCCACCGGATTTATCCCATTCCCAGTGGATTTATCCCATTCCCAAGGAATTTATCCCCATTTTCCCACCAGATCTCTCCCATTCCCAATGGATTAATTCCCATTTTCCCACTGGATTTATCCCATTCCTAAAGGATTTATCCCATTCCCAATGGATTTATTCCCATTTTTGCAGTGGATTTATCCCATTCCCGATGGATTTATCCCCCTCCCAGTCCCTCCCAGTCCCTCCCAGTCCCATTCCCGGTCCCTCCCAGCTGCCTCTGGGCCGGTCCCATCCCCGAATTCCCGTTTTTCCCGTTTTTCCCGGATTTTTCCCGTTTTCCAGGTGGCTCTGCTGGAGACCAACCCGTACCTGCTGGCGCTCACCATCGTCGTCTCCATCGTCCACAGCGTCTTCGAGTTCCTGGCCTTCAAAAACGGTGACAATTCCCACTTTTCCGCGCCTCTCCCGACTTTTCCCGGGAATTTCCCCCCGGCCATCCTCGTTCCCGAAGATCCAGCCCCGTTTTCAGCATTTTTCCCTTGGTTTTCCCTCCTTTTTCCTTCATTTTTCCATTGTTTTTCCATCATTTTTTCCTTGTTTTCCCCTCCCTTTTTCCCTCCTTTTTCCTCCCTTTTTCCCTCCCTTTTCCCTCCTTTTTTCTTCCTTTTTCCTTCCCTTTTCCCTCCTTTTTTCCCTCTTTTTCCCCTCCATCTTCCCTCCCTTTTCCCTCCTTTTTCCTCCCTTTTCCCTCCTTTTCCCCTCCTTTTTCCCTCTATTTTTTCCCTCCTTTTTCCCTCTTTTTTCCCTTTTTTCCCCTCCTTTTTTCCCTCCTTTTTCCCTCCTTTTTCCTCCTTTTTCCCTCATTTTTCCCCTCCTTTTTTCTCCTTTTTTCCCTCCTTTTTCCCTCCTTTTTCCTCCCTTTTCCCACCTTTTTCCTCCTTTTTCACTCATTTTTTCCCTCCTTTTTCCCTCCTTTTTTTCTCCTTTTTCCTCCCTTTCTCCTCCTTTTTCCCTCCCTTTTCCCTCCTTTTTCCTCATTTTTCCCTCTTTTTTTATCTCTTTTTTCCCTCCTTTTTCCCTACTTTTTCCCTCTTTTTTCTCTCTTTTTTTTCCCCTCCTTTTTCCCCTCCTTTTTCCCTCCCTTTTCCCTACTTTTTCCTTCCTTTTTCCTCCTTTTTTCCCTCCTTTTTCCTCCCTTTTTCCCTCCTTTTTTCCCTCCTTTTTCCTCCCTTTTCCCCTCCTTTTTTCCTCCTTTTTCCTTCCTTTTTCCCTCTTTTTTTCTTGGGAATTTTTGGCTTTGAGGAGCTGGAATTGCCTTTTTCTGCCCCTTCCAGTGTGAATTTTTCCCTGGAATTCCTTTTCCAGCCCTTTCCCTCCATTCCCAGTGGGATTTTCCCCAAATTCCCAAACAGAATTTCCAAAATTCCCGTTTTTCCGCAGACATCCAGTTCTGGAACAGCTCTGAAATTCCCAAATTCCCTTTTATTTGCTCCATCCCCAGTGGGATTTTTTGCCAAAATCCTGATTTTTGTCCATTCTCAGTGGGATTTTTTGCCCAAATCCCCATTTTTCTCCATTCCCACGGGGATTTTTCCCAAATTCCCATTGGGAATTCCCAAAATTCCCATTTTTTTGCAGACATCCAGTTCTGGAACAGCCGGCAGTCGCTGGAGGGGCTCTCAAATTCCCAAATTTCTGACCTTTCTCTCCATTCCCAATGGGTTTTTTCTGCCCAAATCCCCATTTTTCTCCATTCCAACGGGGATTTTTCCCAAATTCCCATTTGGAATTCCCAAAATTCCCGTTTTTCCGGCAGACATCCAGTTCTGGAACAGCTCTGGATTTCCCAAATTTCTGACCTTTCCCTCCATTCCCAATGGGATTTTTTTGCCCAAATCCCCATTTTTCTCCATTCCCACGGGGATTTTTCCCAAATTCTCATTGGGAATTCCCAAAATTCCCATTTTTCCGCAGACATCCAGTTCTGGAACAGCTCTGGAATTCCCAAATTTCTGACATTTCTCTCCATTCCCAATGGGATTTTTCTCTCCAAATCCCCATTTTTCTCCATTCCCGTTGGGATTTTTCCCAAATTCCCATTGGGAATTCCCAAAATTCCCATTTTTCCGGCAGACATCCAGTTCTGGAACAGCCGGCAGTCACTGGAGGGGCTCTCAAATCCCCAAATTCCCTTTTTTCTCTCCATTCCCAGTGGGATTTTTTGCCCAAATCATGATTTTTGTCCATTCTCTGTGGGATTTTTTTGCCCAAATCCCCATTTTTCTCCATTCCCAATGGGATTTTTCCCAAATTCCCAACCAGAATTCCCATTTTCCGGCAGACATCCAGTTCTGGAACAGCCGGCAGTCGCTGGAGGGGCTCTCAAATCCCCAAATTTCTGACCTTTCCCTCCATTCCCAATGGGATTTTTCTCTCCAAATCCCCATTTTTCTCCATTCCCAATGGGATTTTTCCCAAATTCCCGTTGGGAATTCCCAAAATTCCCATTTTTCTGCAGACACCCAGTTCTGGAACAGCCGGCAGTCTCTGGAGGGGCTCCCAAATTCCCTTTTTTCCCTCCATCCCCAGTGGGATTTTTTACCAAAATCCTGATTTTTGTCCATTCTCAGCGGGTTTTTTTGCCCAAATCCCCATTTTTCTCCATTCCCAGTGGGATTTTTCCCAAATTCCCAACCAAAATTCCCATTTTTCGGCAGACATCCAGTTCTGGAACAGCCGGCAGTCGCTGGAGGGGCTCTCGGTGCGCTCGGTGTTCTTCGGGGTGTTCCAGTCGTTGGTGGTGCTGCTCTACATCCTGGACAACGAGACCAACGTGGTGGTGCAGCTCAGCGTGCTGGTGGGGCTGCTCATCGACCTCTGGAAGATCACCAAGGTCATGGACGTCAGGGTCAGTCTGGGGCGAAAAACGGGAAAATCGGGAAAAATGGTGAAAAAATGGCGAAAAACGGTGAAAAAATGGCGGAAAATGGTGGGAAAATGGGGAAAAAATGGCAGAAAAATGGGGAAAAAATGGGGAAAAATGAGCGTCCTGGTGGGGCTGCTGATCGACCTCTGGAAGATCACCAAGGTCATGGACGTCAGGGTCAGTCTGGGGCAAAAAACGGGAAAATCGGGAAAAACGGCGAAAAAATGGTGAAAAATGGTGAAAAAATGGGGGAAAACGGTGAAAAAATGGGGGAAAAATGGGGAAAAATGAGCGTCCTGGTGGGGCTGCTCATCGACCTCTGGAAGATCACCAAGGTCATGGACGTCAGGGTCAGTCTGGGGCGAAAAACGGGAAAATCGGGAAAAACGGCGAAAAAATGGCGAAAAACGGTGAAAAAATGGGGAAAAACGGTGACAAAATGGCGGAAAACGGTGGAAAAATGGGAAAAATCAGAGGGGGAATGGGGAAAAAAAACAGGCCAAAAATACAGGAAAAATTGGGGGGAAACAGGGAAAAAATTGAGGGGGGGGGAATTGGAAAAAATGGCAAAAAAAAGGGAAAAAATGGCAAATGGGGAGAAAATGGGAAAATGGGAAAAAAACAGGAAAAAATCCTGGAAAAAGAGGGGGAAATCAGTTTTTTTTCACCATTTTTCTGATGGATTAAATTGGGATTTTTCCATTTTTCTGAGGGGTTTTTTTGGGGTTTTCCCAGCGAGGTTTTTTTTTTGGGATTTTCCCGTTTTCCCACAGGTCAATTTGGATTTTTTGGGGATTTTCCCATTTTCCCATGGGTCAATTTGGGATTTTTGGGGATTTTCCCGGTTTCCCACATGTTAATTTGGGATTTTTTGGGATTTTCCCGTTTTCCCCACGGGATTTAATTTGGATTTTCCCATTTTCCCGAAGGATTAAATTGGGATTTTCCCATTTTACTGATGGATTAAATTGGGATTTCCCCATTTCCCAAGGGGTTCATTCGGGATTTTTCCAGAGGGTTTTTTTTTTATTTTCCTGCAGGTTCATTTGGGATTTTTTTTGGATTTTCCCGTTTTCCCCTCGGGGTTTAATTGGGATTTTCCCATTTTCCCCATGGATTAAATTTGGATTTCCCCATTTTCCCGATGGATGAAATTGGGATTTCCCCATTTTACTGATGGATGAAATTGGGATTTCCCCATTTTCCCCACGGATTAAATTGGGATTTTCCCATTTTCCCGATGGATTAAATTGGGATTTTCCCATTTTCCCCATGGATTAAAATGGGATTTTCCCATTTTCCCGATGGATTAAATTGGGATTTTCCCATGGATAAAATTGGGATTTCCCCATTTTCCCAAGGGATTCATTCGGGATTTTTCCAGAGTGGGTTTTTTTGGGTTTTCCCGTGGGTTGATTTGGGATTTTTTGGGATTTTCCTGTTTCCCCACGGGGTTTAATTTGGATTTTCCCATTTTACTGATGGATTAAATTGGGATTTCCCCATTTTTCCAAGGGGTTCATTCGGGATTTTTCCAGAGGGGTTTTTTTGGGATTTTGCTGCGGGTTGGTTTGGGATTTTTTGGGATTTTCCTGTTTTCCCACGGGTCGATTTGGGAGTTCTTGGGATTTTCCCGTTTTTCCACGTGTTGATTTGGGATTTTTGGGATTTTCCCATTTTCCCACAGGGTTTAATTTGGATTTTCCCATTTTCCCCATGGATTAAATTGGGATTTTTCCCATTTTTCTTAGGAGGTTTTTTTTGAGTTTTCCCAGAGAGGTTTTTTTTGGGATTTTCCCGTTTTCCCACTGGTTGATTTGGGATTTTTTTGGATTTTCCCGTTTTCCCATGGGTTAATTTGGGATTTTCCCACATTCCATTTGGGATTTTTTTGGATTTTCCCATGTTCCCCACGGGGTTTAATTTGGATTTTCCCATTTTCCCCATGGATTAAATCGGGATTTTCCCATTTTCCCAAGGGGTTCATTCGGGATTTTTCCAGAGTGGTTTTTTTTGGGAATTTCCGGCAGGTTCATTTGGGATTTTTTTTGGATTTTCCCATTTTCCCATAGGTCGATTTGGGATTTTTTGGGATTTTCCCATTTTCCCGCGGGTTGATTTGGGATTTTTTGGGATTTTCCCGTGTTCCCCACGGGGTTTAATTTGGATTTTCCCATTTTACTGATGGATTAAATTGGGATTTTCCCATTTTCCCGATGGATGAAATTGGGATTTCCCCATTTTCCCAAGGGGTTCATTTGGGATTTCCCAGAGTGGGTTTTTTTTGGATTTTCTGGCGGGTTGATTTGGGATTTTTTTGGGATTTTCCCGTTTTCCCCTCGGGGTTTAATTGGGATTTCCCCTTTTCCCCATGGATTAAATTGGGATTTCTCCATTTTCCTGATGGATTAAATTGGGATTTCCCCATTTTCCCCATGGATTAAATTGGGATTTCCCCATTTTACTGATGGATTAAATTGGGATTTCCCCATTTTTCCAAGGGGTTCATTTGGGATTTTTTGGGATTTTCCCATTTTCCCGCAGGTTGATTTGGGATTTTTTGGGATTTTCCCATTTTCCCACTGGTTAATTTGGGATTTTTTGGGATTTTCCCATTTTCCCACGGGTTAATTTGGGATTTTTTTGTATTTTCCTGTTTTCCCACAGGTTGATTTGGGATTTTCCCATTTTCCCACTGATTAATTTGGGATTTTTTTTGTATTTTCCCATTTTCTCATCAGTTGATTTGGGATTTTCCCATTTTCCCATGGGTTGATTTGGGATATTTTGGGATTTTTCCCATTTTCCCCATGGATAAAATCGGGATTTTCCCATTTTTCCAAGGGGTTGATTCGGGATTTTTTGGGATTTTCCCACAGGGTTTAATTTGGATATTCCCATTTTCCCCATGGATTAAATTGGGATTTTCCCATTTTACTGATGGATTAAATTGATATTTTCCCATTTTCCCCATGGATTAAATTGGGATTTTCCCATTTTTCTGATGGATTTAATTGGGCTTTTCCCATTTTCCCGATGGATTAAATTGGGATTTTCCCATGGATAAAATTGGGATTTTCCCATTTCCCAAGGGGCTCATTCGGGATTTTTCCAGCGGGTTTTTTTGGGAATTTCCCGCGGGTTGATTTGGATTTTTCGGGATTTCGGCAGCTGGACCGGGAGCGGCGCCTGGCCGGGCTCGTCCCGCGGCCGCGATTCACCGACAAATCCACCTACGTCGAGTCCTCCACCAAAGTCTACGACGACGTGAGTGCCGCCACCGGAATTCCGGGAAATCCCTCGGGAAAGGGACACGGAATTCCGGGAATGGCCCCAAACGGACCCAGAATTCTCGAGAATTTCCCCAAATCTATGAAAAACAGACCCAAAATGCCCAAAAATGGCCCCAAACAGACCCAAAATTCCCAAGAATGGCCCCAGATCCTTGGGAAAGGGACACGGAATTCCGGGAAGGGCCCCAAATCCATGGGAAAGGACGCGGAATTCCGGGAATGGCCCCAAATAGACCCAAAATTCCCAGGAATGGCCCCAGATCCATGGAAAAGGGACATGGAATTCCGGGAATGGCCCCAGACAGACCCAAAATTCCTGAGAATGGCCCCAAATCCATGGAAAACAGACACAAAATTCATGGGAATGGCCCCAAACAGACCCAAAGTTCCAGGAATGGCCCCAGATCCATGGGAAAAGGACACGGAATTCAGGGATTGGCCCCAAACAGACCCAAAATTCCTGAGAATGGCCCCAAAATTCCCAGAAATGGCCCCAAATCCATGGGAAAGGGACACGGAATTCCAGGATGGGCCCCAAATTCCTGGGAAATGGACCCAGAATTCCCAGGAATGGCCCCAAATCCATGGGAAAGGGACACGGAATTCCGGGAAGGGCCCCGGATCCTTGGGAAATGGACCCAGAATTCCCGAGAATGGCCCCAAACAGACCCAAAATTCCCGAGAATGGCCCCAAATCCATAGAAAAGGGACACGGAATTTCGGGAATGGCCCCAAATTCCTGGGAAATGGACATGGAATTCCGGGAATGGCCCTGGACCCATGGGAAAGGGGCATGGAATTTCGGGAAGGGCCCCAAATCCATGGAAAAGGGACACGGAATTCCGGGAATGGCCCCAAATCCATGGAAAATGGACGCGGAATTCAGGGAATGGCCCCAAACAGACCCAAAATTCCCAGGAATGGCCCCAGACAGACCCAAAGTTCCAGGAATGGCCCAAAATCCATGGAAAAGGGACACGGAATTCAGGGAATGGCCCCAAACAGACCCAAAATTCCCAGGAATGGCCCCGGATCCTTGGGAAAGGGGCGCGGAATTCCGGGAAGGGCCCCGGATCCTTGGGAAAGGGACACGGAATTCCGGGAATGGCCCCAAATGGACCCAAAATTCCCAAGAATGGCCCCAGATCCGTGGGAAAGGGACGCGGAATTCAGGGAATGGCCCCAAGTGGACCCAAAGTTCCAAGAATGGCCCCGGATCCTTGGGAAAGGGACACGGAATTCCCAGGAATGGCCCCAAACAGACCCAAAATTCCGGGAATGGCCCCAAATCCATGAAAAACAGACCCAAAATTCCTGGGAATGGCACCAGACAGACCCAAAATTCCAGGAATGGCCCCAAATCCATGGGAAAGGGACACAGAATTCAGGGAAGGGCCCCGGATCCTTGGGAAAGGGACATGGAATTCCGGGAATGGCCCCAAATCCATGGGAAAGGGACCCAGAATTCCCGAGAATGGCCCCAAACAGACCCAAAATTCCCAGGAATGGCCCCAAATCCATGGGAAAGGGACACGGAATTTCAGGAATGGCCCCAAACAGACCCAAAATTCCCAGGAATGGCCCCAGATCCATGGAAAAGGAACACGGAATTCAGGGAATGGCCCCAAATCCATGGGAAAGGGACACGGAATTCAGGGAATGGCCCCAAACAGACCCAAAATTCCCGAGAATGGCCCCAAAATTCCCAGGAATGGCCCCAAATCCATGGAAAAGGGACACGGAATTCAGGGAATGGCCCCAAACGGACCCAAAATTCCTGAGAATGACCCCAAAATTCCCAGGAATGGCCCCAAATCCATGGGAAAGGGACGCGGAATTCCGGGAATGGCCCCGGATCCATGGGAAATGGACACGGAATTTTGGGAATGGCCCCAAATCCATGAAAAACAGACACAAAATTCCCAGGAATGGCCCCAGATCCATGGGAAATGGGCCTGGAATTCAGGGAAGGGCCCCAAATCCATGGGAAATGGGCCTGAAATTCCCAGGAATGGCCCCAAATCCATGGGAAAGGGACACGGAATTTCGGGAATGGCCCCAAACGGACCCAAAATTCCTGAGAATGGCCCCAAAATTCCCAGAAATGGCCCCGGATCCATGGGAAAGGGACACGGAATTCCGGGAAATTCCTCGGGAAAGGGGCCTGGAATTCCCGGATCCATGGAAAAGGGACACGGAATTCCCGAGAATGGCCCCAAATGGACCCAAAATTCCCAAGAATGGCCCCAAATCCATGGGAAATGGGCCTGGAATTCCGGGAATGGCCCCGGATCCTTGGGAAATGGGCCTGGAATTCTGGGAATGACCCGAAACGGACCCAAAATTCCTGAGAATGGTCCCAAAATTCCCAGGAATGGCCCCAAAGCCATGGGAAAGGGACGCGGAATTCCCGAGAATGGCCCCAAACAGATCCAGAATTCCCAGGAATGGCCCCAAATCCATGGGAAAGGGACACGGAATTTCAGGAATGGCCCCAAACAGACCCAAAATTCCCAGGAATGGCCCCAGATCCATGGAAAAGGAACACGGAATTCAGGGAATGGCCCCAAATCCATGGGAAAGGGACACGGAATTCAGGGAATGGCCCCAAACAGACCCAAAATTCCCGAGAATGGCCCCAAAATTCCCAGGAATGGCCCCAAATCCATGGAAAAGGGACACGGAATTCAGGGAATGGCCCCAAACGGACCCAAAATTCCTGAGAATGACCCCAAAATTCCCAGGAATGGCCCCAAATCCATGGGAAAGGGACGCGGAATTCCGGGAATGGCCCCGGATCCATGGGAAATGGACACGGAATTTTGGGAATGGCCCCAAATCCATGAAAAACAGACACAAAATTCCCAGGAATGGCCCCAGATCCATGGGAAATGGGCCTGGAATTCAGGGAAGGGCCCCAAATCCATGGGAAATGGGCCTGAAATTCCCAGGAATGGCCCCAAATCCATGGGAAAGGGACACGGAATTTCGGGAATGGCCCCAAACGGACCCAAAATTCCTGAGAATGGCCCCAAAATTCCCAGAAATGGCCCCGGATCCATGGGAAAGGGACACGGAATTCCGGGAAATTCCTCGGGAAAGGGGCCTGGAATTCCCGGATCCATGGAAAAGGGACACGGAATTCCCGAGAATGGCCCCAAATGGACCCAAAATTCCCAAGAATGGCCCCAAATCCATGGGAAATGGGCCTGGAATTCCGGGAATGGCCCCGGATCCTTGGGAAATGGGCCTGGAATTCTGGGAATGACCCGAAACGGACCCAAAATTCCTGAGAATGGTCCCAAAATTCCCAGGAATGGCCCCAAAGCCATGGGAAAGGGACGCGGAATTCCCGAGAATGGCCCCAAACAGATCCAGAATTCCCGGGAATGGCCCCAAAATTCCCAGGAATGGCCCCAAATCCATGGAAAAGGAACACGGAATTCAGGGAAGGGCCCCAGATCCATGGGAAAGGGACATGGAATTCCGGGAATGGCCCCAAAGCCCTGGGAAATGGACCCAAACAGACCCAAAACTGATCCGGGTTTTTTGGATTTGTAGATCCAGGTTTTTTGGGAATTGCGGGTTTGCTGATCGGGGTTTTTTTGGGGAATTCCGGGTTTTTTGGGGAATTCCGGATTTTTGGGAATTCTGGGTTGGCTGATCTGGGTTTTTTGGGAATTCCAGGTTTTTTGGGAATTGCAGGTTTGTTGATCTGGGTTTTTTTGTGTTTGCTGATCGGGATTTTTTGGGGAATTCCGGGTTTTTGGGAATTCTGGGTTTGCTGATCCAGATTTTTTGGGGAATTCTGGTTTTTTTGGGAATTGTGGGTTTTTTTGGGAATTGCGGGTTTGCTGATCGGAGTTTTTTTTGGGAATTCCATATTTTTGGTAATTCCGTGTTTGCTGATCCATTTTTTTGGGAATTCCGTGTGGCAGATGGCGTTCCGGTACCTGTCGTGGATCCTGTTCCCGCTGCTGGGCCCAGAACTCCCCCAAACCCCCCCCAAACCCCCATCCCCTCACGCTGATCCGGGTTTTTTTTGGGGAATTCCGTGTTTTTGGGAATTCTGAGTTGTCTGATCCAATTTTTTTGGGAATTGCGGGTTTTTGGTAATTCTGTGTTTGCTCATCCGAGTTTTTTTTGGAATTCTGGGCTTTTTTGGGAATTCTGGGTTTGCAGATCCGTGTTTTTTGGGTTTGCTGATCCAGTGTTTTTTGGGAATTCCGTGTTTTTGGGAATTCTGGGTTTGCTGATCTGTTTTTTTTTTTTTGGGGGGGAATTGTGGGTTTTTTGGGAATTGCAGGTTTGCTGATCCAGGTTTTTTGGGAATTCCAGGTTTTTTGGGAATTGCGGGTTTGCAGATCCAAGTTTTTTGGGTTTGCTGATCCAGGTTTTTTGGGAATTCCGGGTTTTTTTGAGAATTCCGGGTTTTTGGGAATTCTGGGTTTGCTGATCCATTTTTTTTTGGGAATTCTGTGTCTTTTTGGGAATTCTGGGTTGGCTAATCCGGGTTTTTCGGGTTTGCTGATCCTGGTTTTTTGGAAATTGTGGGGTTTTGTGAATTCTGGGTTTGCTGATCCGGGTTTTTTGGGTTTACTGATTGGGGTTTTTTGTGAATTCCGTGTTTTTGGTAATTCTGTGTTTGCTGATCCATTTTTTTGGGAATTCCGTGTGGCAGATGGCGTTCCGGTACCTGTCGTGGATCCTGTTCCCGCTGCTGGGCCCAGAACTCCCCCAAACCCCCATCCCCTTATGCTGATCGGGGGTTTTTTTGGGAATTGTGGGTTTTTTTGGGAATTCTGGGTTGGCTTATCCAGTTTTTTTCGGGAATTGTGGGTTTTTTGGGAATTGCAGGTTTGCTGAGCAGGGTTTTTTAGGAATTCCTGTTTTTTTGGGGAGTTCTGGGTTTGCAGATCCGGGTTTTTTGGGTTTGCTGATCGGGGTTTTTTGGGAATTGCGGGTTTTTTTAGGAATTGTGGGTTTTTTTGGGAATTCTGGGTTTGCTGATCCGGGTTTTTTGGGTTTACTGATCAGGGTTTTATGGGAATTGCGGGTTTTTTGGGAATTCTGGGTTTGCTGATCCGGGTTTTTTGGGTTTACTGATCGGGTTTTTTTTGGGAATTGTGGGTTTTTTTGGGAATTGCGGGCTTGCTGATCGGGGATTTTTTGGGAATTCTTGGTTTGCTGATCGGGGTTTTTTGGTAATTCTGTGTTTGCTGATCCATTTTTTTGGGAATTCCGTGTGGCAGATGGCGTTCCGGTACCTGTCGTGGATCCTGTTCCCGCTGCTGGGCTGCTACGCCGTGTACAGCCTGCTGTGGCTGGAGCACAAGGGCTGGTACTCCTGGGTGCTCAGCATGCTCTACGGCTTCCTGCTCACCTTCGGTGAGGCCCCAAAACACCCCAAACGGCCCCAAAAAATGGGGGAGAAATCCCAAAATGGTCCTGAGAAATTCCCAGAAATGTCCCTGAAATGTTCCCAAAATAGCCCTGAAAAATTCCCCAAAATTATCCTGTAATGTTCCCAAAATAGCCCTGAAAAATTCCCAAATGATCCTGAAATGTTCCTGAGAAATTCCCCAAAATGTCCCTGAAAAATTCCCAAAATTATCCTGAAATGTTCCTGAGAAAATCCCAAAATGGTCCCGAGAAATTCACAGAAATGTCCCTGAAAAATTCCCAAAATTATCCTGAAATGTCCCTGAAAAATTCCCCAAATGGTCCTGAGAAATTCCCCGAAATTATCCTGTAATGTTCCCAAAATAGCCCGGAGAAATTCCCAAAATGTCCCTGAAAAATTCCCAAAACGTCCTCAAAAGACCCCTGAGAAATTCCCAAAATGATCCTGAAATGTCCCTGAAAAATTCCCCAAATGTTCCTGAAATAACGCCCAAAATGTCCCCAAAATGTCCCTGAAAAATTCCCCAAAATGTCCCCAAAATGTCCCTGAAAAATTTCCCAAAATGTCCCCAAAAGATCCCTGAGAAAGTCTCAAAATGTCCCTGAATAATTCCCCGAAATGTCCCTGAAAAAATCCCTAAAAATGTCCCTGAGAAATTCCCAAAATGTCCTTGAAATGTTCCCAAAATGTCCCTGAAAAATTCCCAAAATTATCCTGAAATATCCCTGAAAAATTCCCCAAAATATCTCTGAGAAATGCTCCAAAATGTCCCTGAAAAATTCCCCAAAATGGTCCCGAGAAATTCCCCAAAATTATCCTGTAATGTTCCCAAAATAGCCCTGAAAAATTCCGAAAATTTCCCCAAAAGATCCCTGAGAAATTCCCAAAATGGTCCCAAGAAATTCCCCTAAATGTCCCTGAGAAATTCCCAAAATGTCTCTGAGAAATTCCCCAAAACGTCCCCCAAATCGCTCTGAAAAAATCCCCAAATGTCCCTGAAACGTTGCCAAAATAGTCCCAAAACACCCACAAAATATCCCCAAAATGTCCCCAAAAAATTCCCCAAAATGTCCCTGAGAAATTCCAAAAATGTCCCTGAAAAACTCCCCAAAATGTCCCCAAAATATCCCTGAAAAGATTCCCCAAAAAGTATCTGAAAAATTCCCCAAAATGTGCCCAAAATATTTCTGAGAAATTCTCAAAATGTCCCTGAAAAATTCCCCAAAATGTCCCCAAAATGTCCCTGAAAAATTCCCCAAAATGTCCCCAAAATGTATCCATTCCCAAATCCCATTTTTCCCCAGGATTCATCACGATGACCCCCCAGCTGTTCATCAACTACAAGCTGCAGTCGGTGGCCCACCTGCCCTGGCGCATGCTCACCTACAAAGCGCTCAACACCTTCATCGACGACCTCTTCGCCTTCGTCATCAAGATGCCCATGATGTACAGGATAGGCTGCCTGAGGGATGGTAGGAGGGAATTTTGGGAAAATTTGGGAAAATTTGGGAATTTTGGGGGTTTTTTTGGGGAAATTTGGGGTTTTTCTGGGGCATTTTGGGGGGTTCTGGGGGCATTTTAGGGGATTTAATATGGAATTTTGGGGGTTCCCAATGCCCATGATGTACAGGATAGGCTGCCTGCGGGACGGTACGGGGGAATTCTGAAATTTTTGGGAATTTTTGGGGATTTTTTGGGATTTTTGGGGTTTTTTGGAGGAAATTTGGGCGTGTTTTAGGGGATTTTATGGGGTTCTGGGGGAATTTTAGGTGATTTAATATGGATTTTTGGGGGTTCTAGACACCCATGATGTACAGGATAGGCTGCCTGCGGGATGGTACGGGGGAATTTTGGGAATTTTGGGAATTTTGGGGTTTTTTTTGGAATCTTGGGTTTTTTTGGGGGGAATTTGGGGGTTTTAGGGGATTCTGGGGGGATTTTAGGTGGATTTTTGGAGGTTCCAGATGCCCATGATGTACAGGATAGGCTGCCTGCGGGATGGTATGGGGCGAATTCCGGGATTTTTGGGGAATTTTGGGGATTCTGGGGGAATTTTGGGGGATTTTGGGGGAGTTTTAGGGAGGTTTTGGGGGTTTTTAGGGGGATTTTTGGGGGATTTTATGGGATTTTAGGGGGATTTTTGGGGGTTCCAGACACCCATGATGTACAGGATAGGCTGCCTGCGGGACGGTAGGAGGGAAATTCGGGAATTTTTGGGGAATTTTGGGAATTTTGGGGGGATTTTAGGGGATTTTGGGGTTCTAGACAGAAGTTTTGCAGTTGTAGAGCTTCCCCCCAAATAACCCCACATGAACCCCCAATAACACCAAATCTGAATTTTCCCCAGATTTCCCCCAAATAACCCCAAATTCCCCCAAATAAACCTGAATAACCCCAAATAATTCCCAAATAATCCCAAATCCCCCCAAATAACTCTGAATAAACCCCAAAATTCCCCATATAAATACCGAATAACCCCAAATTCCCCCAAATAACCCCCTAATTTCCCTGAATAAACCCCAAATTCCTCTCAAAAACCCCAAATTCCCCCCAAATAACCTCAAATAATCCCGAATTAACCCCAAATCACCACAAATAAATCCTGAATTTCCCCAAATAACCCCCAAATAACCCCAAATTTTCTCCAAATAAACCCCAAATTTCCCACAAATAACCCCAAATTGCCCCCCAAACCTGAAATTCCTCCCTAAAACCCCAAAATTCCTCCCAAAAGCCCCAAATTTCCCCCATGTAACCCCAAATTCCCCCCAAATAACCCCAAATTCCCCCAAAATAACCCCAAATTTCCCCCAAGTAACCTCAAAATTCCCCCCAAAACCCCCAAATTCCCCCAAATAACCCCAAATTTCCCCCAAATAACCCCAAATTCCCCCCTAATAAACCCCAAATTGCCCCAAATAACCCCAAATTCCCCAAATAATTCCCAAATAATCCCCAAATAAACCCCAAATAACCCCAAATTTCCCCAAATAATTCCCAAATAATCCCAAATAAACCCCAAAAAAACCCAAATTCCCCCCAAATAACCCCAAATTCCCCAAACAATTCCCAAATAATCCCAAATAAACCCCAAATAACCCCAATTTCCCCCAAATAATTTCCAAATAAACCCCAAATAACCCCAAATTTTCCCCCAAATAACTGCAAATTTCCCCAAATAAACCCCAATAACCCGAAATTTCCCCCAAATAACCCCAAATAATTCCTAAATAACTCTGAATAACCCCAAATTCCCCCAAAATAACCCCAAATTCCCCAAATAATTCCCAATAAATCCCCAATTCCCCCAAATAACCCCAAATTCCCCCAAATAATTCCCAAATAATCCCAAATAAACCCCAAATAACCCTGAATAACCCCAAATTCCCCCAAAACAACCCCAAATTCCCCCAAATAATTCCCAAATATTGCCAAATAAACCCCAAATAACCCTGAATAACCCCAAATTCCCCCCAAATAACCCCAAATTTCCCCCCAAACCCCCAAATTTTCCCCAAATAACCCCAAATAATTCCCAAATAACCCCAAATAACCCCCTAATTTCCCTTAATAAACCCCAAATTCCCCCCAAATTACCCCAAATTCCCCCCAAATAACCCCAAATTCCCCTAAATTCCCGTCAAATAACCCCAAATAATTCCCAAATAACCCTGAATAGCCCCAAATAATTCTCAAATAATTTCAAATAAACCCCAAATTCCCCAAATAATTCCCAAATAGTCCCAAATAAACCCCAAATAACCCCAAATTTCCCCCAAATAAACCCTAATTTTCTCCGAATATACCCCAAATTCCCCCCAAAAACCCCAAATTTCCCCAAAAAACCCCCAAATTTCCCCGAAATGACCCCAAATTCCTCCAAATAATTCCCAAATAATCCCAAATTTCCCCCAAATCACCCCAAATTTTCCCCAAATAAACCCCAAATTTCCACCAAATAAACCCCAAATTCCCCCCCAAATAACCCCAAATTCCCCCCAAAACCCCAAATTCCCCCCAAATAACCCAAATTCCCCCGAAATGACCCCAAATTCCCCCCGCAGACGTGGTGTTCTTCATCTACCTGTACCAGCGCTGGATCTACCGCGTGGACCCGACACGCGTGAACGAGTTCGGCGGCACCGGGGAGACCCCCGCGCCCCCCGCGCCCCCCGCGCCGCCCCCGGCCCGCCCGGAGCCCCCCGAACCCCGCAAGAAAAAGGATTAAAAACACCCAAAATCATCCCAAAATCCCCCGAAAAAAAAACCCCAAAAATCCGCAGCGGAGGGTGAAAAAAACGCCCCAAAAATTCAAAAATTCGGGATCGCGGAACGGGGGCGGAGCCTCCGCTGATGGTCCCGGCTCCTGATTGGTCAGGCGGGATTTTGGGGGGTTTTTGGGGGTTTTTTGGGGGTTTTTTGGGGCCGGTGTCGCCTCCCGGTGTCGCCTCCCGGTGTCGTCGCGTCCCCGTCGTGCTGCTCCATCCGTTCCATCGTGGGTGTGGTAGGAAAAGTCTCCGCGGAGCCATAAAAGAGCTGAATTCACCCCAAAAATCGACTCGTTTTTGGGGGGTTCGGGGGGGTCTGGGGGGGTTCGGAGGGTTTGGGGGGTTTGAGTGGTTTTTTGGGGGGTTTTGTCACTTTTTTTGGGGAAATTATTGCAAATTTTGGGGGATTTATTTCCATTTTTGGGCGAATTATTCTCATTTTTGGGGGAATTATTTCCATTTTTGGAGGAATTATTGTAATTTTTGGGGAATTATTCTCATCTTTGAGGGAATCATTGCAATTTTTGGGGAAATTATTGTCATTTTTGGGAAATTATTCTCATTTTTGAAGGAATTATTCCCATTTTGGGGGGAATTATTATCATTTGTGGGGAATTATTCCCATTTTAAGAGGAATTATTCCCATTTTTGGGGAAATAATTCTCATTTTTGAGCGAATTATTCCCATTTTTGGGAAATTATTCCCATTTTTGGGGGGAATTATTCTCATAATGGGGGAATTATTCCAATTTTTGGGGAATTATTCCCTTTTTTGGAGAAATTATTCCCATTTTGGGGAATTATTCCAATTTTTGGGGAAATTATTCTAATTTTTTGGGAAATTATTCCAATTTTTGGGGGAATTAGTCCCATTTTTAGGCGAATTATTCCCATTTTTGAGGGAATTATTGAAATTTTTGAGGGAATTATTCCCATTTTTGGGGAATTATTCCCATTTTTGGACGAATTATTCCCATTTTGGGGGGAATTATTATCATTTTTGAGGGAATTATTCTTATTTTTGAGAGAATTATTCTAATTTTTGGGGAATTATTCCCATTTTTGGTGGAATTATTCCAATTTTTGGGGGAATTATTCCCATTTTGGGGAATTATTCCCATTTTTGAGGGAATTATTCCCATTTTGGGGAAATTATTCCAATTTTTGGGAAATTATTCCCATTTTTGGGGAATTATTCCCATTTTTGAGAAAATTATTCCCATTTTTGAGCGAATTATTCCCATTTTTGGGGAATTATTCCCGTTTTGGGAGGAATTATCATTTTTGAGGGAATTATTCCCATTTTGGGGAATTATTCCAATTTTTTTGGGAAATATTATCATTTTTGGGGAATTATTCCCATTTTGGGGTAATTATTGCAATTTTTGGGGAATTATTCTCATTTTGGGGGGAATTATTGCATATTTTGGTGGAATTATTCTCATTTTTGGGCGAATTATTCCCATTTTTGAGGGAATTATTCCCATTTTGGGGGGAATTATTCCCATTTTTGGGGTAATTATTGCAATTTTTGGGGAAATATTCCCACAAATATGTCCCACACCCCGTGGTTCCGGTACCGGGATGATTCCCGGTGCCACCGGCGGTCCCCGCGGGGCTGTCCCCGTGTCCCCCCCGTGTCCCCACGCGTGTCCGTGTCCCCCGTGTCAACTCCCGTGTCCCCCCCTTGTCACCCTCCTTGTCCCGAGTGTCCCCCCCGTGTCCCCCCCATTAAGTCCCGTTTTCCCCCACCCGTGTCCCCCAAGCTGTCCCTCATGTCCCCCCCGTGTCCCCACGCGTGTCCCCCCGTGTCCCCCCCGATTTGTCCCCCGTGTCCCACTCGTGTCCCCATGTCCGGTGTGGGGTGGGCGATTCTCGGGCCCCACCCCGGTGCTTTCCCCGCCCCCCCCCAGCCCCACCCCGGGGCGGTTCCCCCCGTGTCCCCCCCCCTGTTCCCGTGTCCCCACGCGTGTCCGTGTCCCCCGTGTCAACTCCCGTGTCCCCCCCTTGTCGCCCTCCTTGTCCCGAGTGTCCCCCCCCGTGTCCCGCCCCGTGTCCCCCCCGTGTCCCCCCACTCTGTCCCCCGTGTCCCCACCCGTGTCCCCCCCGTGTCCCCACGCGTGTCCGTGTCCCCCGTGTCAACTCCCGTGTCCCCCCCTTGTCGCCCTCCTTGTCCCGAGTGTCCCCCCCCCGTGTCCCCCCCTCGTGTCCCCCCGTGTCCCCCCACTCTGTCCCCCAATTTGTCCCCCGTGTCCCCCCACCCGTGTCCCCCCCGTGTCCCCACGCGTGTCCGTGTCCCCCGTGTCAACTCCCGTGTCCCCCCCGTGTCGCCCTCCTTGTCCCGAGTGTCCCCCCCGTGTTCCCCCCATTGAGTCCCGTTTCCCCCCATCCGTGTCCCCCCCACTTTGTCCCCCGTGTCCCCCCCGTGTCCCCACGCGTGTCCGTGTCCCCCGTGTCAACTCCCGTGTCCCCCCCTTGTCGCCCTCCTTGTCCCGAGTGTCCCCCCCGCGTTCCCAATCGTGTCCCCGAGTGTCCCCCCGTGTCCCTCATGTCCCCCGTGTCCCG